CACTTATCACCACAATGATATTCTCACCCAACGTCGTTTGCTTCCTCACATTCTATACCAACTCCATCCAACTCCCACCTTAATTCATTCTACCTTACAATATACTTCTCGTCAATGTCCACACACCCCAACGGTAATGGGCCTACTTTGGCTCACTACTTTAGCTTACACGTGTGCGCGTGTATGTGAGGAAGCGTAGTTTGGTTTAAACTAGAGTTAATTATACTCGGACCTCCGAGTATAGATTAATCTAAATAAACGATCCAAATAATGTTTTTGGGTTAAAATGAGATCTGCTATTTTTTTTATGTTTCTGACTTCCTCTAAATGTAATATTCTAAACTAGGAATCTGCCAACGGCTGGTTGTCAAAATTCCAATGCTATGCATGTCGCTCATTGGCTAAAAGATGCTGCTTTCAGCCAATAGGAATCCTAAGTCTCTATGGACCACCCGTCGTGGTGATCGTAAATGTATGTAGCCTTTGGTGTGTCTACACCAAGGTCGAGAAAGTCTTTCGAACCTCTAACAGACGTCGTGTCTGTTAGAGTTACAAGTGACTGTAGCCACTTGTGCGTGTAACCCTGTTACACCAACCAAAACACTCACTTCTCACCACATACCCACCAATGTACCACATATATCCACCTCATTTACGCATACCATACTAGAGGCTTTCAGAAGCACGGCTTTTCTAAAAATACGTAGCGAAAAACACGTAGCGCCCATAGGTAATTTTGACTACGGGATTCCCGTAGTGGCGGGCTCTTCAGAGATACGGAAAGTAAAAAAACCGTGGCAAAAGTACGTAGCGACTCTTCGCGCTCGCGCAAAATTTCAACTCTGCTTTTCGGCAACCAAAGATCAAAGCTTTGCTGTCGGCACTCATCGGCTGCAAACGCATCGACGATAGACGAGGAATGCACGCTGGTGCTGAGCCAAACCGTGAAGGGGGAAGAGATCGCAATGCTGCTCATGATTGAGCTGGTCGCTAACGCCCCCCTGTCCTACCGAGACCGGATCCTAGTTCCAGATTTTCGCCTTGACATCCTCTCAATGCCTGATGGTGAAGCCAAGGACCAGTTTCGTTTCATCACCAGCGACTTGCAGAGGCTCGTGCGATACCTGAAGATACCAGACCCAGTGATAACCAAGGAGGGCGTTCGTGCAACCTCACTCGAAGCTTTGGCGGTGTGTCTTCGCCGCATGGCATTCCCGCAGCGTTGGATTGATATGGCGGGGATGTTCGGCCGCTCCGTCGACACTGTGCCACATATTTTACTTTGTTGTGGAGCACCTTGATAAGACGTTCGCAGAATTGCTGTACTTCGATGCAGAGCGAATCGCCAAGAACTTAGATCGCTACTGTCAAGCGATTGCTGCAAAGACTCCAGACTACATTGAGGGGTGTGGGGATTCATTGATGGCACGGTGCGTCCAATATGCCGACCTGGAATCGGGCAACAGGCCGTCTACAACGGTCACAAGCGCGTCCACGCCTTCAACTTCCAAACCGTAGTGGCTCCGGACGGTATGATCTGCCATGTTTACGGGCTGGTCGATGGAAGGCGACACGACATCTACATGCTGAGAGAAAGTGGTCTCATGTCGCTTTTGGAAGGCAACGATGCCTTTCATAACAAGCTTATCTACGGGGACCCGGCCTACGGCTGCACGAATGTCTTCTGCTGTCCATTCAAGGGATGCCGAATCGATGCGCCGCAACAGGAGGTGAACAAGGCCATGAGCAAGGTTCGGGTGTCCGTGGAGTGGTCATACGGCGAGATCACGCGCAATTTCTCCTACCTGGACTTCAAGAGACAGTAGCAAGTGGTCATGACACCCGTAGCAACGCTCTACAAGATCGGGGTTCTCTTCACCAACTGCATTACGATCGCGAGAGGCAAGAACAACAACTCGAAGTACTTCAACTGCCCCCCACCAACATTCGACGAATACTTTGGCATGACATGCTAGAGAAAACACTCCAAGCAAGCGCCAACCAAAAAAAAACTAATATGTGCGGCTAAGCAAAGCAAAAAGAACTCATAGGTGAAGTTGACTTAAGTTTAAAGTTCGATGGCTACTTAACCGGCCGCAAACGTGCATGGTGTAGACGCAAAATGGTTTCTGGTTACTCGAGTCGGAATTCCGGCTGGGCAACACCGCGGACACGTTGCTGGGCTTCAAACTGATCTCTCAGTAGCTGCAGTTCATCTCGGCGGAGTTGCATTTCTTCTCTGCGAAGCTTGAGCTCGTCCTTCCATCGGGTTTGGCCGATCATTTGCTGTTTCTTCTTGAAGCTGAATTCTTGTTCCCATCTACTAGCTTCCGCGCTCGACTTGTTCTCCAGGAGCTCAAGTTGTTTACGTTGAAACTGTTTGTTGTCGGCACGGTTCTGAGATTGAAACACCATGAAAGCGCCCATTATTCCTGCTGAGTTCGCGATAGGCTTTGTCGTTCCTTGAGCCGGTGGTGGTGCATGTCTCGAAGTGTCTCCAGTGTCAGAACAATCCTCAGCACCCTCATCACTTTCAGCTTCTCCCGTCGCCGCGTTATCTCTCTCGCTTCTACGCTTCACAGCTTGGTCACGCAGAATTTCACCTTGTGTTTGCAGTGCCGCTGCTTTGTCTTTCTTCTTCTTGTTTTTCTTCTTCTTTTCCTCCTCCACATCGCGGATGCGGTCCGAGATATCTTGAAGAAGCCGCTTGTGCTCTGTATACTGCTCAGAAACCCCCGATTTCTTTAGGTACGATTGATCGTCGAGCATGAACTCGGAGAGCAGCAGCTCCAAACGGTCTTTCAGAGTTCGATCCAGCAATTTCACCTTCAGATGCTCACTCAGGTAATCCGCGACTTGCTTGGTAGCGTTGCTTCTTGAACCCATGTTCGGTGGCGTAAGGTTCAACGCTGAGCATCTCCTTGAACAGCGCGAGTTCGGCTTCTTGCGTGAAGAAAAACTTCTTGGGCTTCTTTTTGGCGTTCTTCTCCTTTTTGCTGTTGTTCTTAGCCTTGTTCTTACTGGGGCTTTGTTTATCAGCTGAGCCGCGCTCACCGTCACGCTCACGGGTCTCGTGTTCACGGTCAGCTCTGGTTTCATCTGATTCATCCAAATCTTGGTCGAGAATGCTTTGGAGTCTCACAGCATCATGCGAGCCAACTCGGCGCTTGTGAGCGACACCTCCGACTTGAATTACTGGTCCTGATGGGGCTGCGTTGGTGGTGGCTGCTAGCGAGACGCTGGAGCTGGCACTAGCACACCCAGCAGCGAGTTCAAACCCCTCATCATGGACACGAAGTGGTTGTTGAGCTTGTTGTTGACCAGCTTCGGAGTTGTCCGGTGCTTTCAACGTCTTGCCTGCGCGTGGAGCGGATTTAGACCGAGTCTGACGCGTAGGCTTCTTTCGCTTGGAGCTGCTGGGGGCGGGGAAGATGCAGCGCGCTTCTTGCTTTTCTTCTGAGCGGTGGAGGAGCTTCTCGACCGGTTGTACTGGGCCTTGGACGTCTCGGAGGCAGCTGGAGCCTTCGCGCATCGGTTGCGGCAGATAATCGAGCACACGCGCACGTCCAGGTCCCCATCGCGAAGCGCATTGGAGCAGAAGTGGTGGATGGGCTTCTGACAGGCTGTGCAAGGCTCGGCGACCAGCTCCTCGTCGCCCAGGACCTCACATCCACCGTAAGCGCACGGCGCTTGCTGCTTGGTCATGCTGCTCTTCGCACGTAGATTTGGGTTTGATTTTCCCGTGACGGACCACTCGGCCACGGGTTTACGGAACCAAAACTCACGTGGCGTCGCCCGCGCCAAAAATAGATCGCGTCGCTACGTATTTTTCGCTACGGGTTTTTGTTAAAATCACGTGCTTCTGAAAGCCTCTACTATCTTCCGCAATAACCCACTCCACTATAAATTATGAACTACAATATACTTCGAACCATATACTTCAGCATACGTAAACCAAATTACATTTGAGTAGATATTCGGCTCTGACTGTCTCTTAATATTATTTAAAATATATGTTTGGATGCTAAAACTGAACTCGGTATGAAAATTTCAGCTCCGCAGGCTTCATATTGTACTAGCTCCACAACTACATTGACGCAAGCTGTTAATTATAGGGTACTTATGTCTTTCTCTGGCACGTATAAGTGGAATGGAATAAATAAATTCCCCACTGATGAAAATCTAGGGTCCCCAAATCTCAGGTGCTGCAGCCAAATCTAACAATTTAATTCTCAAACCTTATATTACCGTGTATAATTTATAATAAGCTTTTAAGTTTATACATTTTCAATAGACAAAAATCATTGGTTTCCCTTCAGATGAGTAACATGTCACTAAATCGGGGTACCGAAATTACCACCACGATAATCCGAATTTAGGTTATTTTTCGGAAAAATGGACCCTAGATGAACGTTAGCATAGAGCGGACATTTAAGGAATTTTAGCCAATAGAAAGCTATATTGGCTAAAACAGAGACTTATTGGCTGAAAATTTAGGAGGTACGTGGACTTTAGATCGACGTCTAATTTCGGGAAAGGAGGCCCTAGAAAGTCCTACGATGAACGTTCATCCGGGTCGTAATATATTTATACGTAGGTTTCCAGTATCCAGGTTCTGGGGCGCAGCATACAGCTTGTTGGTTCATAATTTACGCACACAGAAAATACTCTCTCCACATGTTCCGTGTGTAACAGCGCACAAACGAGGATGAAGCACAGCAACCAGCGCAATTCTGCTGGTCTGCTGACCGTTGTGTGCTGATCTAGGCGGTTGATTGATGCTAATACCTGGTCAACTTACAGAAGACGAAAGATGGAAGCTGACCTACCGAGGGTCTCTCGGAGTATTCTTTCTCGATGTCAACATACATCAAAACGACACCCTACAGCTTCAGTATCCACGGCACAATTGCACACACGCCATGATCTACACACATACGACAGGATCTGCACAGGCGTGGTCATGCTCGTCTACAGAGGCAACTTGCTGCATCCTAGTGGTTTTCGGCACTGTCGTCTGGGACTCCCGAGCTTGGCTTCTGCGAGTCGCAGGGCAACAAGTGGACGTCGTCGGGCGCAGTGTCGGAAGCCAAAAAAGGTGTACAGGTCTGGCGAGCACTTTTGCCGTCCTGTTGCGGACAAGTTGTTGTACACTCGTGCCAGCAAAAAAAACCGGCCGAAGAATTTCACCGAGAATGTAGTATTGAGACTACAGAGCGCGGATGGACAAACAAGCAAGGAGGTTAACTCGCACGATGGATACGCTGAATCTGCTGCTGTATCGGTCTCAGTCGTCGCCGCTAAAGGTCGAAATGACGACTCAGGTAGTACGCAAGTCGAGAACCATGATGATACTGCTGACGAGGGATTAGTGTGGATCGCATGCCGGTAGGGCTTGCGTATTGGTACAGGGTCCAGTGGCAAGATGAGCCCGATGGATACCGGTGGGCCGACTCATGGCTGCCTAGGAAGCGTTTGGTGGAGGACGGCTTTGAGAAAGCATATGCGGTCGTGGACATGTGGAAAGCGTCTAAGTACGCGTCGTTTTACGAGTTTTGCCGAAGGAATGGACACGTGCACAATATCGGTGCCTCGCCGTCAGCAAATGGAAAATGTGCAGTTGTTGCTGTGGAGACTGCAGTTACGCTTATCGGTAACTCTGGTTGGGCACCGCCCGGGTGCTTTGGTGCATTTGTGGAGAACTGCGACCAGTGGGGTCGACCCTTGTTGCCTGACGGTCTGACTACTCGAAAGCTTCGTTTCTACATCAAATACCTGAATGATCGGTGTGGTAGCTCGAAGACAAGTCAGATCAGCATCCGCGTATTCGATGACAATTTGCTAGGAGGTGTCAACGGCAAGAACGCGTCGGAAGTATTGGTGAAAACCGCTCTAGCGGATGGAGTTTACGTGTGCGCTGCCTACTGCTCACTACGAGTGACGCACGGCTTTGCGATCAAAGTTTTGAGTGGTGATAAGCTCATTTACGATGACAACAATGTTGCGGTGGAAGTTCAAGCCTATGACGCAGAGTGGATCATGGGGATTATCTTTTTGCGCCGAATCGCGCTATACCTCCCTTAGTATTTTTGGCTGGCAGCGTCTTCGTCTTAGGTATTACCTCAATTGGCTTAGCCACAATATGCATTACGGTAGGACTGAGAGTTTTTAAAATGAAGCCTCGGGTTTGTTACTTACTCGTATCTTATTACCACGCTGTTAGTCAGGTCAGACTACAACACGCGTTCATTCTACAAAATCCTTGAACCAACCCAGAAGATCGTAGCACACCACTCAGTATGCGGGCACACAACGCAGTATGGCTCTTCGCGGCAGCGGTGGGGAATCGATACGCGCGTTGGTATGCAAGCTTTCGTCAAACGCTACCTGAATTGGAGCGGCGTAGCGTGACACAACCATCTTGTGTGGCCGTGGCGGTGATAAAATTCGGGACGCTTGGCGTTACATTGGGCCGGAGGAACGCGCACGTCCAATCCAAGCAACACCGGATTCCAGTTTCCCCAATGATACGTACGGCATCATGGACGAACGTAAGGCTTATCCAGGACAACGAAAGAAGACGTCTGGCACAACATCGCCCAAGACCACTACGGCCAAGAAGGCTGTGGTCACAACGTCTACTGCCACAACGACTACGGGCAAGATGACTACGGCCAAGACGAAGCGGCAACACGTACAACCGAATTCCACGAACAATCCAAAACGTGTTCGATACAGCAGTCGGGTGACTGATGAGCCGATGCCAACCCAGTCTGTACAGCATGATACTCAGCTCCAAACACGATTCGCAGAGATGGAGCGCGCGTAACAACTGCTACACAGTGCTGAGCAAAGTGCAGGATCTCCGAATCCACGCATCATACAATGGCGGGAGTATGGTCGGTATTATCGAAGCTGCTGTGGCCGGTGCGCAGAACGCGGTCGTCTTGGCCAGAATCAAGGACAGACCTAAGACAGTGGAGGACGCGTTTTCTGCTGTCGCACTTCGCCTGGACGATGTACTGGCGGTTCAAATGGGAACCGCTCAGTTTGAACCGGACCCTGAGTACGATCAACCTGATCCAAGGTTTGCTGCGGCGCGGATTAGACGGGCAAAGCGACGATATGATGATACCAAAAGCGCCTTGTACAAGCTTTTTGTTGAGCTTGGAGCGGATGAACCTGGTGAGATCGTCATCGGGAATCGTACGAGCCGATTCTTTGGGAGAGTTTAAGTGCATCGAAACTTTTTGTGAGGATGCGATTTAGGTTGTGGGTATCGTCGATTTCCGCAGCGATAAAGCAAAGAATACATGTATTCAATCACCTAGAGGGTTTGACCTAGTCAGTGTTCTCTATTCTAATAGAATGTCTTGAACTGTCAGCGCTGGTGCTGCATGAACAGGCCTTCCAACGGGCCCTGGGAGACCTTCAGAACCGGGAGCTGAGGGTGCAGTGGCGCTTGTACTGTTCGTCTGCTTCGTTTTTCGGCGAGACGCTTTTCCCTTCGATTTTTTTGTTTGGATTGTTTACGCTTGGATCCGGAACGTTTTGCCTTGGCCTTTGCTACGATTCTGTTTTTCAACTTCGCCAGTGGGTCGCGTACACTACTGGTGATGTTAAATTTCCGGAGAACCGCGACAACATGCCAGCACATCAGCATTTTTGAAAAGTAGGGACAGGTGCATCGCTTGCGTGTGGTATCAACTAGCCACCCATCAGAAGGCATTCCTATGCGATGCGAACGCCGTAGAGACCATGATGTGGCTTGCTCGAAAAGCCTTTTCCAATTCATGACCGTGTCATCGTCCTCCTGTCCATCTGAATCCAGTCTAGATCGTAGTATGGCTGGGATATCGCTGGCCGACGAGTATCGGACGAATATGATGCTGGGTTGTCTTGAGTGGATCTCAATGATAGAAACAAAGCCAATTGGCTACTTGGTCCTGTTGCCGTATCGGTAGCGTGGAGGGAGCCGCATTGACTGTCTCCAGAAGAAATCCGTTTTCTTCTGTCGGCGCGTAGAATCTCGAGGACTCATAATTGGTTCGCATCGCTTGTCCTGGTGATGACAACTCGAGAAGCTTCAAGCATAGCTGCCGCTGCCTTCCCTAACTCGGATGTTGGTGTGGATGTATATTCTGATGGCGCGGGCTTGACGGGACTCGTCGTTTCGATGAAGGCCCCGATTTTTTCGAGTAATCGACACATATGATGCTTACGGCGCTGCACAAAATGCTTTAGTCCTCCATTTAGGTTCTCGCAGGGATTGTTGGTTAATGCGTAGCCCTCAGAATTGTGGTAGAGTTGCCATCGCCAATAGCGGCCTTTTAGCCACTGCTGCTCGAAGTAGTCCGCGCATTCAACGCGATGTGTCTGCTTGCGCCAATTAGCTATTTCTCGATCTCGGGTACGCTCGAACTCCAACAAGCTTTGCGTAAAATGCATGTCGACAATCGAGTTCATCACATTTCTCCTATCATCAAAGGGCAAGTGTTGTGTGCGTTTACGTACATTGTACATAACGTGAAAATAACACATCAGCTTCGTAGCATTTGCAAAACTGGGCACGTTCTCGAGAGCCAAGAATTGAGCATCCTCAGCATCGCTCATGGTTGCGTATGTGGAGTAGCGCCCTCGCAGAAATCTCGCGAATGCGATCTCGCACAAACTCGGCGCGTCTGGATAGCGGTCGCGCCGAGCAAATTATTCCCGGTTGTTGGAGTAGCGTATCTTCGAAATACAGGCCCAAGTCTTCGCAGGCTTCGGAGTTGGGGGTTCTTGTGTTGACGGTTGTTCCTTGTCGTAGGGCGTCGAGCCTTGGGTGTGCGGCGTTATCGGGCCGGCGTTTCCTCGGCGTTCCCGTCAGGCGTGCGGCGTTATCGGGCCGGCGTTTCCTGGGGCTTGTGTGGCGTTATCGGGCCTACAGGGGGGTATTGTGCACGGCGGTTATCAGGCCAGTGCGGTCCTTCGCCTAGGCAGCGCGTTATCGGGCGCCCACCTAAACGGTATACGTTTAACGTGCCTTTGTTCCAGCACGGGTCTGTGGGGGGGGGGGGGGGTGAGCACCCGAACCAGCAAACGACGGGGGGCCGCGATATCGAGGTGGCTCTACTTGCCGGCGCTTGGTGGTTCCCCTGGAACCTCGGAGAAGACGGGAGGTCTTTGTGGTTCAGAGAAATTTCGGACTGAGTCTTTACCCTATCCTATGCCCTAGCTACTGGCTACTCCGTACTACTGCTTGCTAAGCCTATCGTTCTGTGCCTATCCCCACTTCTGTCGTGCTTGCACTGTCGTCCTTCAACCTGATTTGCGTGGCGTAATCAAGATCTTACCTCGACGCGTTTTGGTCGGCGCGTTTTGCTCGGCGCGTCTTACTCGGCGCGTCTTGCTCGGCGGGTTTTGCTCGGCGGGGGATTAGGGTCGACGCGTTTTGCAGAGACGGGGCGCTGGTCGACTCGTTGGATGATTACGCGTCGAGTTGGACTCTGTCGCTGTGTCTCGCGGCCCATCACCCGCGTCGACTTTCCGTCGACCTCTGCCGCGCGTCGCCCCCATCAATCGCGTCGCGTTTCATCAACTGCGTCGAGTTCATCATCCGCATCCATCAGCATTCGTCTCGGCGCCTTCTTTCACCGACGCCGACGTGCCCGCTTCCTCGCTGGGCACGACACCACATCCGCCCCGCTGCCACGCACGCGCACTCCCCAGGTGGGTGTGTCGTTGCAGAACCTGCCCCGCGTGTTGGCCGCATCTCGATTCGTCGAATTCTTTGTCGTCTCCGTCCGCTTCGTTGCCATTCAAGCATCATGGTTCGCGCTGAGGACTTCTGCGTTGAGGAGAGCGGGCCCGACACGGGCAACGTCGAGGCTGCGCTGACATCGTCGTCTATGCAAGCAGAGAACATCGGTCTCGCCTCCCTGATCCGTCGGATCAGCTCGCGGTAGCCCAAGCTGCCTCTCCCCGGTCCAATCGCGACTCGGCGCTACCGTGGCGTAATGCGATCAAGCGCAGCAATCCTTCGTAGCTGCAGAGCAGCAACGCGGCGTAGCTTTTGCCGAGCGAGACCGCGCGCATCAAGCCCTGGCGGTCGTCGAGCAAGCGCACGACGCTTCCAGCATCGCGAGGGACCAAGTGCGTCAAGCTTCGGCTCTCCAAAAAGGAGTGCAACACCGCCGTCACCGAGAGAGACCAGGTCCGTCGCGCTCGGACGGCGACGCACTACCCTTATTGGGCATCTCACCCTTATCCGTAATGCGCCCACGCAGAGCCGTGCGGAAGCCGAGTCGGCGCAGCGTTTAACGAGCCGCTGTTAGTAGACCTTCGGCGCAATAACGCGTTCCTTGTGACCCACGCCAAAGAACTCCGGCGGGGCGTGACGCGTATCCGCGACTTGGAGGAATCAGCGAGTTTCAGGCCACGTCTCGCGCAGCTGGGAATACGTCGCGTGTGGGGGTAGCGGCGAGATGCCGCGAGCGCTCAAGTCCACCGTTCCAGCGCTCACGTAATCGAGCTGGAGGACGAGCACGACGTGGCCATCCAGGACCGCGACGAGCATGACGCGGTTTGAGGACGGGTGCTTCGGGAAGCGCGTCGAGGTTGGTAGATGGCGTAGCACGTGCGCGATGGACTTCCAGAACGTCTTGCCGGTGCCGTCACGTCCGTAGGCGGGCACATTGACACCTACGACCTGATTCGTCGACGTGAAGCTTCCGTCGCGGTGGAGATAAACGCTGTGACCTGCGGAGTCAAGCCGAGCGGCGGCTCCCGCTGCTCCTGTCTCGCCTCCACTACGTCGAGTACGGGTGTCAGCGTGCGTTCTGCCGCCCCCGTTTCCGGTCCTGAGGCTAAGACCTCGTTAACCGCGGATACTCATCGGGCTCCGAGGTCCGACGCTTCGTCCAGGTCCGGCGTCTACTCCGCCGCCAGCTTCAGCGGGTGTCCGCCAACCGCGGTACAGCGGAGCCGAGGAATCAACGCGTCACGGGTGCAGGCCTCCTAGTTTGGTCTCGACTCCATCGTCTTCGCCTTCGTCTCGGCTGCTGCTGTCGATCGAACGCGCCAGGTCACAGCGCAGTTCCAGTCCGAGGCCTCGGGCAGCGACGCCCAAGCGCGCCGCCCTCAGACCAAGTGGCGACGTCCGTCGTCGCGTTCACTAACATGGACCCCATTGAGGGGCCCTAGTGCCACACGTTGTCGTTGCTCGTAGTCGCTGTAGCCGTAACTCCAACACGTAGGCCTTGCTCTTTTCCTTCGTTTCTTTCCACTTCTTCACATCTTTTATGAGACGGCCCTCCGCCATATCATCTTCAGCAACAGGCTGGTCCTCCACACTTTCCTCATCCAACCCCTCGCTCCGGCCATTCCCAGAGTCGAGGCTCTCCGCCTATCCACCTCACCCACCAGGGCTCGGCTCAGCCGCCCCACGTCCTCGCGCGAAATCGCCGCAAGACGGTAACGACCAGCGTGCTGTCGCGAGAAGTCGCACCGCCACTTTCCGCAGTTGAGATCCAGTTCGTCGGTACAGCCTCTCCAGGTCACGTCGGACTCGCGGCGCGCGCAGTCATGTCGGGAAGCCCGACCGGCATGCAGCTCCAAGGACTTCTCCCCTTCGGAAGATCCTCGTCCAGAGCGGGTGTCAGGCTGTGCTACAGTAAACACGTATCGGTGGAGTCAAACGGTCCGTTCGTTGACACCGCCAAACACGTCGCGGCGTGTGACGGAAACTCTTCAACGGGGTTTTGCCTGGAGGTGCGGAAGTCGAAAGACAGTTGGTAAAGCGAGTTACTCGTCTCGCGACGCGATTCGTTTGGCCTGCCTTGCGCTTTGGTGCACAACCTGACGCGCCGCATCTGCGCACGCGGTCCGATCTGTAGCGTCCGTCGCTTGGGCTCGGCGCACTGGCGCGGTAGTTTTCCGACAGCGATTATCGCCCTTGACGTACACCGCGGATCTCGGTCGCGCGCGAACCGAAAGGAGAGCGCCAAGTCTACCACGACGCGAACCGTCTCGGCGTGCTTGTCCCTACGCAACGCCGTCGCTCTTTACAGTGCTAGTATCCCGGCTCACTTCTAGCGGCATCTCGTCGCGGCAGTCGGCGGGCTCGTTCGACGGGGTCGTCCCATTGATCATAGCGCGCACAGGCCTCAACTTGGAAACGTCCTTGACCGAAAATTGACAAGGCGTGCAGCCCGTCTCAAGACGTACAGCGTACGTGCTCACACACGGGGTGTCTCGCGGCACAGCGTTGAGCATGAGCTCTAGCCCTTAGGCAGATCCCATTCTGCCGCGATCCCAGCAATATGACATCAACGAATTCACTCCAGCCCTGTTCATCGCCGCGACGTCGCCCCGGGTCCGATCTGCGTCGTCCCCGGTTTGGCCGACTACTAGCACGTTCACCTGCGCGAGTCGGCAGTTCTGAAGGATGCATATCCCTCGGCGCGTCGACTCTGTTCCGTCGCGCGACGAGTCACTCGCGGCGTCCGACACGCTCCTCGCAACCTCGAATTCCCAATCAGCCTCGACGCAAGGTGGGTTTCTGTTTATCGGGTCGTCGCACTCTGAGGGCTGTACTGACGTTGGACCCTCCACGTATTTCGACACTGCAACAGGCCTCCTGATCGGGCTCGACGCGTTCCTCGTTGCAGCAGGCTCGTTGCCGGCCGCCTGCGTCCTAGCCGCGTCGAGGCCACTGTCCATCGCCCCGCGTCTCGCCTCCGCGTGACTGTCCATCGCGCAATGTAGAACTTCTGACATCCTCGTCGCGCTCAGTCTCGACGCGTTCCGCGCTGCACCGGGCTGGATGCCACCCCCCTGCGCTCTCGCCGCGTCGGGGGCACTTCCCATCGCCCCGCGTCTCGCTTCAGCGTGACTGTCCGTCGCACGACATTGACCGTGTTTCGTGGCATCTGGTTTCCTGACGATCTCCTCTCGGTGGTGTAGCGTCTCTGCGCACCGGGTCTGCGACGAGTTTCCCGTCGCGTTGCACTCATGACGTTGTAGCTCGCATCCTGCCAGTGCGTCGGACATGCGCTTAAGCTCGTGGGGGAGACCGGGGCTGTCGCAATCCAAGCAATACCGTATCGGCAAATTGACTTCAGCCGTGTCCGTCGTCGCGACTCCGCCCCGAGTCCGATCTGCGACGTGTACACCTTGGTCGACTTCTAGCGCGTTCAGCCGCGCGAGTCGGCGGTGCTGTCGAACGCATAGCCCTAGGCGTTTTGACTGGGCACCGTCGCGTGACGTGTTTCTCGTTGCGACCCACACGCCACCCAAAAACTTGAATGCACAACCAGATCCGACGCAAGGAGCGTCTTCGTCCAGCGCACCGTGCCCCGTAAAATGCCCGGGGCCATGCCCTCTGCGCCTTTAGCCGCTCTGGGGGGGGGGGCTTGACCAGGCTCGACGGGTTCTGAGCAGCCAGCTCTTGTAGGACACCTGGAGCTCTGCCTCTGGGGTTCGTCGCGCGTGTAGAAGCCGAGTGCATCGTCACCACGAGGACGTATGCCGTCCCGCGCCCCAAATCCATGTTCTCCGGCGTCGGCGGGTCTCGTTCCGGCACGTTGACGACAGGGTTGGCCTCGTCGCAGTTTCCCTCGTCGCGATTTTTCGCGTCGCGTTCCGCGTCGAGATTTTCCACGTCGAGTTATTTCGCGTCGCAATCTTCCGCGACGAGGTTGACAGGTGACGCTGTTTCTGGATCTAACGTCCGGGGTCGGATGTCTTCTCGCGAGTGATCCGCCGGCTGTATGACAAACACCCCTGCCCCTGCTGCGCTGGCGTCACCGTCGCTCGTCCCGCGTCAGCGCGACTGTCCGTCGTGCAACGTGGGTCTGGCACCCTCGTCGCGCTCGGGCTCGACGCGTTCTGCGCTGTAGTAGGTTGGATGACCCCCACCTGAGTCTTCGCCGAGTCGGCACCGTCCTTCGCCCTGTGCATCGCGCCAGTGCAACCGGCCACCGCGGAGCGTTGACCGCGTTCCCCAGGATCCGATTCCCCGGTGACCTCTCGGCGGTGCATCGTCTCCGCGCACCGGATCTGCGACGAGTTATTCGTCGCGCTGTCTTCTTGATCTCGTCGTACGCATCCAACAAGTGCGTCGGGCCCCGTGTTCCCGCCTCGACGTACGCCGTAACGCGGTTGTACGTGTAGTGCGTCACAGGTTCGAAGTCGGTGTAGCTGCGTGGCTCATCGCCCGCCTTGCCCGCCATCTTCAGGACCGCAGACTTATTGAGTTCACTGGACATCCGTCGAGTGACAGCTGGTACCTTCGCCAGCAATCCTCCAGGTGGCGCCGTGGCATTCGGGCTTGTCCACAGGAAATTGCACCACTCACCCCGCCGCGGCGTACCCGCCACTTCGATAGATCGCGCAATTCGGACCAGCATCTTGCTCAGGGTTGACAATCGATCAAGGTTTATGGCGCGGTGCCTCTCTTTTGGTGCAGACGCCGGTGGTCCTCCAGTCCCGCCACCGTCAGGCCCCTCGTCGACCACGTCGAAGTTCACATTCGGCTTGTTCTTCACGGGCTCGAGGGCGGAATGTCGCCAAAGTCGCCATTTTCCAGCTTTGTCCCCAAGTCGCATACCGTCGCAGGTCTGAGACCTCGCTACTGACCGTCGCATAGTGTCACATTCGGTCAGTCTCACGTCGTCGCGTCCCCTCGACCCTTCGCTCGACTGTCGCACGGTGTCACATTCCGTCCGTCTCATGGGCGACCATTCGCCCAACTGACGCACGGTGTCACATTCGGTCCGTCTCACGGTGTCGCACTTCTGGGACTGCTTCTGGGACGGTTCCGAGACGTTCCATCCCTCACATCTCACACTGTCGCACTTGTCCCTGTTGGATTTTGCAACTTGCGCGCGTTCGCTCGACTGGCGCACCCTGTCGCATTGCAGCGACCTTCCGCTGGATGGCGCGCCTCGCGCTTCGTCGCCCGACGCACCTTCGACGGGTTGTTCGACTCGCGACGCTTCAGCTGGGCGCCCCGCATTGTCGCTTATCTGCGACCCGTGGTCCGACCGTACACACGTCGTTACTACGCCGACCCGTGTCTTCAACACCACGCGCGACAGCGTCGAGTGGCCACGCGTCTGCAACTTGCTCACCGACGACGTCTCCACCGCTGGCGCACGGGTCAGCCCCGCTGTTGGTGACCACAGCGACTACTGGGTACGAATGTGGGCTTGCTATCCGCGTGAACTTCTTCCTCTAGCTCACTTCGGCGCGCGTCGAATTCCAGATCTTCGTACGTCGGCCATCCATACATGGTCCAGACGAGCTCGTCGTCACGCCAGGTCTTGTCCTCGTCGCAGGTCACTTCATACGCAAGGTTTTGCCAATCTTGGTACTGTCGATTAGTCGCCAGCACGAAGCGGGGCGCAGGCGGAAACACATCGGAGGGTGTCCACCAACCCACGTTCGTGCCTGCGTCGAGCGTTATTGTCTCGTCTGTGACGTTGGTCACCCGCAGGTATGTTTGTCGCTCGATCTTAGTCTTAAACATGGTTGTAACCCACGTTTTGCTGCGCGTGACCCACAGGCGCGGTGCATCTCGGCTGGAGCGCAGGCGGACGTCGAGTGTTTGCCCTGGGTCGAGTCGCTTAAGCGTGTCGAGTGAGACCGGCCGCACTCGTGCGTCGTAACGCCATTGCTCGGGAGTAGTAGAGGCCCGCGCCGTGCCCAACGGTCGCCTGGATGTCGTCGCAACCGGCACTGCGACGGACATCACGGCATGATTACCAAGTCCTTGCTGGCGCATCTCCTTCGACGCGTCCCGCGTCGACATTTTCTGCGTCGAGTTTCTTGGCTCGACATGAACCGCAGAGACATGGGTATTCGACGCCTGAGTTATCGTAGAGCGCGTACTCGCCTCTTCCAGCGCCTTAGGAATTGCTTCCTTCAGATCCGGCAGAACCTTGATACGCGCTGGCGTGACCTCACGGGGCATAGCGCGCGGCGGCTCACTCAGATGGTTGAAAACCTCGTCCAGTTCCGGTGAAGTCGTGGTTGAGGTCGCGGCCGTGGTTTTCGGCATCCCGAAGTCCACGTCAAACAAGTCGGCGGGTTCGTCATCTACGTCGCGTCGGGGTTTGGACCTCGACGTGGAATGCACGCTCGACTCAGCCTGGGACGAAGTTATCATCTGCGTTGAGATTGGGCGCGTCCCAGGCGGAGTCACCTTGCGTTGGATGGATCCGACCAGGACCGTCAACGGTCCCAAGACGCCGCGGATCGTACGTGTCCACGACTCGACGTCCCAGTCATACACTCCCGTCCTCTCGGTGATACCCAAGCTGAAGCCTGATTCGTGCAACATCTCGAAGAGTGTCCCTGCGGCTCGCGTGACGATCGTGAGCATGTCAAAGTCCGGCACCCGGAAAGGACCCGTGAACTTGATCGCGTTGGGCTTGATGAAACGCAGGATCGGATCGTGTTCCAGCAGCCGGATCAGCTCCACTCCAGCAACCATATACCTCATCTCTGCCGCGGTGAACTGATTCCCCGTGTCATCGCCTCTCGCCTTGACCGGCGGTCCATCCGCTGAATCCGGCGCGCAGAGCTTCTCCGGAGACTTGAGCTTGCGCGACTCGAAGCTGCTATTGAAGTCCACACTCGATTGGTATCGAGGTGGCGGCGAGGGCGTGGTCGTCGAGGTCTGGGCTGAGCCCATCGAGGAACTCGGCGCGTCTTGGCCCGCGGAGAAACTCGTCGCGTCTTGTTTGACGGATCCGGCGAGAATCGTCAAAGGCTCCTGCACCACGCGAATCGCGCGCAACCAGGACTTGACGTCCCAGTCGCACAGCTTCTCCATCTCGAAAGATCCCAGCACGAATCCCGAATCACGCAGCATCTGGAAGAGAATCGTCGCGGCGTCGGCGACGCTGGTGAGACTATCGAAGTCCGGCGCGACGAAGGGGCCCGTGAAGTTGCTCACCAGCATGGGCTTGAGGAAGACCAAGATCGGGTCTTGCTCCAGCAGCCGGAAGAGCTCAGTGCGCGCCACGACGTACCGCACCTCTTCGACGGTGTACCATCCTTGCCTTGCGGCTTGGACAGCGACACATCCGCCGAGTCCGGCGCGCGCAGCTTCTTCTTCTTCCTCCTCTTGTGCGACTTGCGCTTGGCGGCGGCCTTGGCGGTGGGTTGTTGTTGGTCGTCGGCCTTTGCAGGCTTCCGACCAGTAGGACCGCGACTTACGTCGCGTCCCTTCGCGGCTCCCTCATCGGGAGCCACATCGGGAACGGCAAACTGTTCTACGTAGCCCTCCTGGTCGTCGCTGGCCCCGTGGCCTGTCGTGAAGGTTCCCTCAGAGCTCCACGACGCGACAGGTCTCTCACTGTGCTCTCTTGCGGTCGGCGACCTTCCAGCCGACTGCGCACCTGCCTCCGATGCCTCTTGGATCGTTAGCCCGTCATTCGAAGTAGTACTCCCGGGTCGCGGCACCATTGTGGAGTAGCGCCCTCGCAGAAATCTCGCGAATGCGATCTCGCACAAACTCGGCGCGTCTGGATAGCGGTCGCGCCGAGCAAATTATTCCCGGTTGTTGGAGTAGCGTATCTTCGAAATACAGGCCCAAGTCTTCGCAGGCTTCGGAGTTGGGGGTTCTTGTGTTGACGCTTGTTCCTTGTCGTAGGGCGTCGAGCCTTGGGCGTGCGGCGTTATCGGGCCGGCGTTTCCTGGGGCTTGTGTGGCGTTATCGGGCCTACAGGGGGGTATTGTGCACGGCGGTTATCAGGCCAGTGCGGTCCTTCGCCTAGGCAGCGCGTTATCGGGCGCCCACCTAAACGGTATTCGTTTAACGTGCCTTTGTTCCAGCACGGGTCTGTGGGGGGGGGGGGGGGGGTGAGCACCCGAACCAGCAAACGACGGGGGGCCGCGATATCGAGGCGGCTCTACTTGCCGGCGCTTGGTGGTTCCCCTGGAACCTCGGAGAAGACGGGAGGTCTTTGTGGTTCAGAGAAATTTCGGGACTGAGTCTTTACCCTATCCTATGCCCTAGCTACTGGCTACTCCGTACTACTGCTTGCTAAGCCTATCGTTCTGTGCCTATCCCCACTTCTGTCGTGCTTGCACTGTCGTCCTTCAACCTGATTTGCGTGGCGTAATCAAGATCTTACCTCGACGCGTTTTGGTCGGCGCGTTTTGCTCGGCGCGTCTTGCTCGGCGGGTTTTGCTCGGCGGGGGATTAGGGTCGACGCGTTTTGCAGAGACGGGGCGCTGGTCGACTCGTTGGATGATTACGCGTCGAGTTGGACTCTGTCGCTGTGTCTCGCGGCCCATCACCCGCGTCGACTTTCCGTCGACCTCTGCCGCGCGTCGCCCCCATCAATCGCGTCGCGTTTCATCAACTGCGTCGAGTTCATCATCCGTATCCATCAGCATTCGTCTCGGCGCCTTCTTTCACCGACGCCGACGTGCCCGCTTCCTCGCTGGGCACTACACCACATTGTCTTGGTCGACTGGAATGGACACTGTCAAACTCGTGAAGCGCACGGCGTCAGCCAGTTCTCGGCGTTCAAGTCGGAGGACCAGGTCACCAACTTGCGTGTTGCTTGGCATAGCTGCCTTCAGCTCACTTGCGACGACATGGACTAGGTCGTCGAATGACTGCGGCTTCGGCGAAACACCAACTGACACACTAGCAAGACCCAGCTTCGATACTCCTTCCTGGAAGGTTAAATACAGCTCGGCAGGGTCCCAGTTATCCGACATCGCATACTTCTCGCGGTTGGCCAGGTAGTCCCGGAGCGGGATTTCCACAGCTGATGTCGGCGCTACGGTCTTTGATGATACCAGCGCTGTGTTCCATGCGTGTGACGGGAAGCTGAAGCTCACGGAGGTGGTGTCGACGTCGTCGGCCCATGCTCTCCACTGCTGGTGTGCGTCGTTGTTGTCTTAGTTATGCCATTTGCAGGAATCTTGAAGCTCGAAGGGTGTCGTGACGCCCGTCATGGACGTCCGCAGGATAGAGTCTAGCGCATCGGTCTGGGACTTGACGAGCAAGGGCGCGTCCGTCTGGATCAGCGTAGTCGTCATCTCACGAGAAGCAGCAAGTCGTCTGGATGCAGCTCCTGGAATCTCCGTGGTCTGACCCACGTAGACACTCGTGAAGCCGACGTTCATGAGGATGATCACCGTCTTGAGCCCCCAGAAGATGCAGCGCGCCTTCACTGCCGAGTGCACGCGCACCGGCTGGTCCCCAGGATAGAGGCTGCAGTTGTGCAGGTATGTGGCGAGCGTGGGGAAGATGAGCGTCTCGCAGAAGACCTCGAAGACCTTGCCGCCCGCGAACAGGATGTGACCGAAGAGCGTGTTGTAGTCCTCCACGACGGACGACGCCTTGGCGGACAGCGTCTCGTTGGCCACCAGCTTGTTCTCGTCCACGTGCGTGAGCGTCTTCTTGTTGCTCGTGAGCAGCGCGAAGCTGAACGCGACGACCAGCGCCGCCACCACGCACAGCACGAAGCGGCCGAGGCGCAGACTCATGTCCACGATCGTGTTGCGGTCGGCCAGCGCGTTGGTGCGCGCCATGTCGCCGGCTGTGGCCGCCTCGGCCGTCGTCAGGCTCTGCTGCAGGTAGTCGCTGCTTGCGGCGGGGAGAGATGCCGGCATGAAGCTGCTGGTGGAGTGCGAAGTGGCCCCATTGGCGCCGCCTTGGCCGCCCTGCGCCTGCGGGTCCATTGAGCTGTTTTTGTTGTTGTGGAAGTGACGCAAAGGTGCACCATCTTTATGATAGATGAGAGGGTTGTATTATTGAGAGGATTGAATGAGTGCCCAAAAGCGGCTGGTTATTTATTTAATACCCGCTTAAATGTAATAATAGAGCTCGTCATGCCTTGACGGAGGAGTCGATATCTCCGAATCAGACCTGATGTGGGTGGTGCGTTTGGGTTCGCCGCTGCTGCCACTACCGAGCCTGCTAATACTCTCCATCGGTGCCACCACTACATCTAGGTTCGTAGCGGGAAGCGCGGCGTGGTGAAGCCAGTTGTCTAAGTCTTCAACAGTCGCCGCTACGTTAGGCCGCAAACCCTTCCAATCCTTGTTTTCGGCGAAGCGATGTAACAACATATGTAAATGTATGTATTTAGATACAGCTGGGCAGCACCGCACCTCTAAGGCTACGATATCACATCTCACGTTCGAGCTTCCGTTTTACAGGCCCATACAAACGCCAAGACTACGTAACGTCCGGCCGTACCCATAGGGAGGAGCAGCAGTATCATGGGCAGGAAGCGGCCGGCCGTCTCGGAGCAGTCACTCAGAGCACAAGCCGAAGCCAAGTACGAAGTGCACTTGGCTGAGCGTCGGCAGCTGGAGCAGGAGCGCATGTCGTCGTACACGGATGACGCCTTCGAGTGCGAGTCGCCGCACGCCATGCTGGCCAGCAGCCGCGGGCAGCGGCCCGGGCCGCCGCGCGGCGACGTGCAGACGAGTGGGGGCGACGGCGCGTCCCCGTACCTGGTGGTGGACAACATCGGCCGCCTGCGCGTGGACAGCGTGAGCGACAGCGACGCCCACGACGACGTGGCGTACGGCGAGCTGGCCCAGCCGCGGCCCGAGATCATTTTGCGGTGGAAGCGCTTCGCTGTGCTCGTGGTGCTCACGGCCGCCGTCATGTCGGCCATCGCCGCGTGGCTGCGCGAAGGCTTCGTGGTGGACAAGAACGTCCCCGTGGACAAGGCGGAGGACAAGGCGGACATGGTCAACTCGTACATTGGTCTCATCATGGGCTTCGTCGAGTCGCTCGTGGGCCTGGGCGTGGAGGAGATCTTCCCCGTCTTCATCGTGTACCTGCACAACCTGCGCTGGTACCCGGGCGACGACCCGGCCACCAAGAGGCAGAGCAAGTTCAAGAAGTTCTCGCTCACGATCTTCATCCCGGCGGTCATGATGGCCGTGGGCAGCTCCATGTCGGCCATCCAGGCCAACCAGAAGGACGACAACAACGGAGCCAGCAGCAGCAGCAACTCCTCGACCAACGCCACGACCACGAGGTTCCTCATGCGGGAGGTGACGGAGTTGGGAGGTACGGGACTGGCCGACTCCATCTTGAAGACAGCGCTGGAGAGGAGAGTGGAGCCCATGCAGCCGCTGGACACGTCGCGGTGCACCGCGGAGTCGGAACTGCTGTCGGCGCAGTCGCTGCTTGCTGCAGCCCCGAAGGCGGTTTTCGGTTTCCCGCTGCAGGAGTGGAGCGCGGAGTTCGGCAACGGCTGGCACCGAGAAGAAGCGACCCAGCGCTACGAGGTGGCCTATCCTGGTGCGGTTGATGCTGATAGAGACGTGCAGCTGAGTGAGGTGATGCCACTGACGACAGCCTACGAGTTGTGGACGCAAGGAAAATCCGCCATGATCAAGAGCGTACGAGCCACTTCCAGTGGCCAAACAAGCACATCTCCACCGACAACGGGCGAACTTTTGGAGGATGTTTTGATCTCGCTCCGCGCGGCGGAAATCCCTTTGGCTGAAACGGCTGCTCTGGATGCTTCCTTCGAGAGGACGGCCTTGAGCTCCTTGATGGACATGGATGTAATGACAGTGAAAGTACCGCTGCGTGCCCCGACCAACTCCTCCGTTGTCTGCGGTGAGACGAGTTGTGCGCTTCTGGAGCCGCAACTGAGTTTGGGGCATCGACTGCCGCGCAAGCAGATCGGAATGATGCAGATGCCGGGGAATTGTTCACTTTCGGCAGAGTGCGAAGCTGCCCCCAACGCAGCCTTCCTGTATGGTTTTACAACCGTGACCGGTGGCACTTCTGATGGCACAGGCGAGATTGAACGTTCGTTGGTGCTGTCGTTCGCACAACTTTCATGGCGATTTGATAGTGCGGCGTACGAGTGCGACACCGGAACTTCTTGCCAAGTATTGCACCACCAGCTCGATGATGGTGACCGTCATTTGGTTGTGCCTAAGCAACTGTTGCCTGCCCAACTCCAGGTCGGCAGCTTCGCATCACCCGTCTCACTTGTGCAGCTGATGGAGCCTAAGACCAGGCTGGGTGCGGGACAGGCATCTCGTTTCGCGACGCTGGAACGATTGGATCAGTCGCCCCAATACAGCGCAAGTACTTGCTCCCCCGCTGTGGACACATATCTCCAGTACGTCGACTGCAATCACTTCTACTTGGGTGGTGATATGGTGGACACAATGGCAGCGTCAGCGCTGCTGTTTCTCTTTCAAAACGCTCAGGTTTTGGATACTGCGCCGGGGGTGGAGATCATGATGACCCAAAGACGTCTTGCTGATACGAATTCGCGTCGAGTCAAGGTCTTCCTGACGAATACCAAGGTGGGAAATATCAGTACCTGGACGGGATGCGCGGTGTTGTTGTTGTTGACGGTCTTGACCCTGGTGCTGCCGAACGAGCGAGCTCGACTCTCTCCACCTCGTGGAGGCAATGCCCGTGCCGAAAGGTTCGTGGCTGTGCAGACAGAGCAGATTTACCCCAACCTTATTTACAAGAAGCGCTTTCTGATCGGCAAGACCGGCGAAGAGATTAAGTTCGGCGAGTTCGCTGTCGAGTCCGTCGGCCTGCACCACAAGATGGAGGAAGACGAGCAGATCTATATTTGAGCGACCGCGAACCATTCTGAAGTTGATTGTCCAGGATATGTAAAAATGAACCACCAAATCCACCGTTCCACGACCCGTCCAAGACTATTTGATGCGATGCTGCTACCTCAGTTTTCGAGGCAGAAGTCCCATCCACTATAAATATGTGGAAGCACTGCGCATTTCGCCATTGCCCTGACATCGAGATGGTACCCGCTGCATTGGCTGCAGTGACTGCGGTTCTTCGAGAACGACCTCGCGTGGCAGCGTTGACTCATGTTCCCCGCACAATATCCGCGTTCTTGGACAGCTCAGTGGAAATACCCCTTGCACGAGCTTGCCGGGTTGGCTCACTCGCCCTGTTGGAAAGAATTTGGGATAGCCTGCTCTCCTATCAACTGAGGAGCGTCAAGGTTGGACGCTGTGCAAATTCTGCCGAGCCGATCGATACTATTACAAGGCCCAATTCGCGGATGCTCTAACGGAGGCGGTCAATCGCGGTGATTTGGACGTTGTCGCGTGGCTTTTCCAGCATTTTCAGGGATGCGTGGCCCCTACCGACATTGTGGAGACCGCTTCAAGTGCTGGTCACCTCGATATTCTTCAGTTTCTGTTGAAGAATGGTCGCCGCGCATAGCTTTCCCAAGCCCCAGATGCGGAGTCAACACTGAGTGAACATGAAGACCAGGATGGAACGAACACAGTGTTTTGGGGCAGAAAAGACATGGCTGCAGCTGCGAAGAGGGGGCAAAGAGAAATTGTTCGGTGGCTGTATGAACATGTTCGCGATGTCGAGCGGGACTTCAGCCGGGTAATGGTTTATGCTGTCCGCAAGGGCGACCTAGCGCTGGTGAAGTGGCTTCTAACCGACGTCTACAGAGATGTACCCCAGCTACCCCCACCAACCGTCAATGACGCGACCAGAGCGGGGCATCTCCACTTGGCGCAGTGGTTATTCGATCACGGCCACGTACAGAACGTTGGAGACGCTTTTAGGAACGCATCCATCAGTGACTGCGGCGATATTGTGAAATGGCTCGTAGAACACGATATCCTCGAGAATGTGGACGAAGGCTGCAAGGTGCTGCCGCGTGTGGATTCTTTCCGATCGTTATTTGGCTATTGGAGCGGAATTTAGGGCGAGGAGCATTTCGGTCGCTATTCTTGGCGGCAATTAATGGCAACTTGGAAGTTGCGCAGTACGTCCACGCCAAAGGCATCACCAACTACGGCGAAAACACCATGTACATGGCAGCGGAGCGTGGGTATCTGGGTGTGGTTAAGTGGCTGTATTCGGAGTTTTCCAACGACCCGAATGTTGATCTTTTTCCAGTCTGCAGACCAAATGCAGACGGCTACCCACGGTATTCCACCGCAATGGATGCTGCGGCCAGCAATGGCCATCTAGCGGTTCTCCAGTTTCTCCACAGCGTGGAGAGGTCGGTGGAGTCGTCGCCAGAGCGAAGGAAGAGAAAACGGACACGAGAGCGGGGGCAATTGAGAGGAAACAGAGCACCAACCTGCACACGTGCAGCGATGACAAACGCCGCGGCCGAAGGTCATTTAGAAGTGGTCAAATGGCTTCACGAAAATCGGAGCGAAGGTTGCTCTCCACGTGTCATCAACGCAGCAGCTAGAAACGGACACCTGGAAGTGGTGAAGTGGCTCCATGAACATGTCATGGTCGGCTGCACAACCACTGCGATGGATGGAGCAGCAGCGAATGGACATCTCGATGTTGCCCAGTGGCTTCATGAAAATCGGACGGAAGGCTGCACGACTACTGCCATGGACCGTGCTGCTGGTAAAGGCCACCTCTACGTAGTTCAATGGTTGCACAACAATCGCTCGGAGGGCTGCACGTCGTTTGCGATGGACTCGGCGGCACGTGCAGGTCACTTGGACGTAGTTTAGTGGTTGCATCACCATCGCTCGGAGGGCTGCACGGACAACGCGATGGACGGCGCCGCTTACAACGGGCATTTTGACATCGTCCAATGGCTGCATCGGCACCGTTCCGAAGGCTGTTCCATCGACGCCATGCATTTTGCTGCTGTCCACGGGCACTTCGAGGTCTTGCTATTCTTACATTCGCAGCGTACTGAAGGATGCAGCAGCTACACGATTGTAGATGCCGCTGCGAGAGGTAACAACCACGTCGTTGCTTGGTTACGACAACACTGCCCTAACACAGAGGCTATCATAATAATATAGCTGGGTAGCAATGCTTGCTTATTCACAAAGTTGTTGTTTACTCTTCTCGGCATTGTTGACCACAACCGAAATTGTATCAAGGTGTTTGCAAATCTGCTGTGGACTTGAGCAAAGGAATGTTGGTGCGACCAGACCAAGCACGTTGAGCAATACCTGTAAACATGTCCAAAACCGAGTTGATTGCCAGCAAGCTAATTCTGTCTACACTTGCGATGATGCGGGGGAAAGCCTATCCAAACGAACTCAGTTCCTGCCAAAGCATCGTGACGGGTCATTCTTCAAAACACTCCCAGCAGAGCAACCAAGGCTCAACAGCGACAACAACACCCTCTCGACCACCATGGCGTCCAAGCTCTTCTCTGCAGTGAAGCTCGGCGGCAAGAAGGCTCCGACGCAACTGAAGCATCGCGTGGTGATGGCGCCTATGACTCGTCAACGCATGGGTGACGACGGAGTGCATGGACCTGCTGTGGCTACGTTCTGCGAGCAGCGAGCCACCGATGGCGGTCTGTTGATCACTGAGGCCACCAACATCAGTGCCTATGCTCGCGGTTACTACGGCTCCCCCGGTTTGTTCACCCCGGAGCAAGTGGAAGGATGGAAGGCCGTGACGACCGCGGTGCATGGCAAAGGTGGCAAAATCTTCAACCAGTTGTGGCACACTGGCCGGATCAGCCACCCTCTCAACCTGCCTGGGGGAGCGCAGCCCGTTTCCGCGAGCGCAACCAACATGGAGGGGGTGCAGAGTCTCGCTACAACCGTCAAGGGCCGTTTGCTGCACCCGAACCCACGCGCGCTCGAGATCGATGAAATCCCGGGCATTGTCGAGGACTACACGCGTGCGGCCGAAACGCACTGGAGGCAGGCTTCGACGGTGTGGAACTTCACGCCGCCATCTGGTACCTGCTGGAGCAGTTCCTGCTGAATAAACGAACCTGCGCACGGACAAATACGGCGGCAGCCCTGAAAATCGTTCCCGCATTGTGTTCGAGGCCATCGAGGCCATTCTGTCTTCCGTGGACTCGAGCAAGGTGGGCATTCGCTTGTCCCCGTTCGGCACGGCTTTCGGCTGCACCGACTCGAACCCGCGCGAGATCTACGACTACGTGGTCAAGAAGTTGAACGACTACGATCTCGCGTACCTCCACATGGTTGAACCGCGCGGCATGCAGCAGCCTGCACCCGACGCACCGGAGGGTGGCGTTACCTCCATCTACCGCGAAATGTACAAGGGCGTCATGATCGGTGCTGAAGCTCGCAAGGTGGTCGAGGACGGAACGACCGACCTCGTGGCCTTCGCGCGCGACTTCATCTCCAATCCGGATCTTGTGGAGCGCATCCGCAGGGTCGCCGAGCTCAGCCCAGTCGATTGGCAGACTGTGTATGTGCCGCTGGACGCTCCTTACGAGAAGGGATACACGGACTACCCGTTCCTAGTGGAGAAGACATCCGCGTAAGCGTTTGTGTAGGGAAGCCACCTTTAGACGGACTTCACTTCAGACGCAGCACCTCAAAGAGTAAAAGCATGTTTACATGAATTGATGTGAATGCTGTTCAACTAATATATGCCGACGGGTCGGATCCGGCTTCGATTGCACTGATCGAGTAGAGCGAAGTTGTACTTGGCGGCGAACTTGCGCACGCGCTCATTGCTAATTTGCTGCGGGTAGCGCTGAAGCAGCCACTGCACGACCTCAACGTGGTCGTTCGTAGCAGCTTGCACTGCCGCATCTGACGTGCAGCCATCTGAGCGGTTTGAATACAAGAAGAGCAGCACCCCCAAGTGTCCTCCCGCCGCTGCGCCATCCATTGCGCGATATGTGCCACCCTCACGGCGGTTTGCATGCAGCCACTTCACCATTTGCAGATGGCCGTTTGAAGCTGCACCATCCAACGCGGCAGTGGTGCAGCTCCCGAGATCAGGCCGACGTTCGTGAAGCCACTTAACCACGTCAAGGTGCCCACCACTGGCCGCACGATCCATCGCATCGCAGGTGATCCACTCGGTCGTATTGTGCGAAGGAACTTGCTTGTAGAGCCACTTCACAGCTTCCAAATGACCGTTTGCAGCCGCATTTTCTAGAGCGCAGCGTGAAAAACTGCAGCTCTCCGAGCGATGTGCAATAAGCCATTGCATCACTGCCAAATTCCCATGGCCTGCTGCCTCGTCCATTGCTTCTTGTGTGCAGCCCTCGGAGCGATGATCGTGCAGCCACTGGAGAACGCGAACATGGTTCCCCGTAGCAGCTCCGTTCATAGCGGCGGTCGTGCATCCTTCGCTACGGTGGCAATGTAGCCACTTGACTACATCGAGATGGCCGTGAGTTGCTGCTCCATCCATTGCTGCCGTCGAACAACCTTCAGTCCGGTGTTCGTGCAACCATTGAGCGATCTCCAGGAGTCCATGGCTTGCCGCTTTGTCCATGGCTCGAATCGTGCATCCATCAGCGCGGTGGTGTTGCAGCCATCGCACAACCTCGAAATGGCCGTTGGTGGCAGCTGCGTCCATGGCCTGGGTGGAGCACACACCACCGTGCTGAAGCCCCCATTGCACCGCTTGCAGATACCCCTTGCCAGCCGCCTCATCCAAGCAAAGGGGACCATCAATTGAAGAAGCAATAGCGACTAGGCTCGAGATCATGTCAAGGTGCCCACCAGAGATTGCACTCTGAGCAGCACTAGCCACCGCCAACCGCAGACAATCAGCGCCGACGATTTCTACCACCCAAGATGCCATTTCAGTGTTACCGTTGCCGGCAGCAGCTTCCAAAAGTGCGCTTGCACAATCACTCAGGTCAGTTGCGCCGACCAAACGCTCGTACAACCATTTCAGCGCATTCAGATTATTTCCACGAGCGGCGGCGAGCATGGCTGGCTTTACACTAACGCCGTGTTTGTCGTGACCTAGGACGTGTTCGAGAACGTGGAGGTGCCCCTTAGTTGCTGCTGCTTCGGCGGCCTTGAAGATACCACTATGACTGTCAACAATAAATCGCTCAGTCACAACGTTATCGAGCAACCAGCGCACTAGTTCCGCATCGCCGCGCTGTGCGGCATTCACCAACCCGGCAGAAAGTTGGGCTCGACGATAGAAGACATCCATCTCGGCTAGTGGCCGTCGAGCCACAATGCGAGCAACAAGTCGGCGTGCACCACCGTCATCACTATTAGGATCTTCACTTGAAAGCGCGCAAGCTCGGGCGATACTCCACTGCCAAGACACATCAACGAAGCCATCCAAGGCGTGAACGACGTGCTGCAACGTTGCAACACGCGCTTGTTGTCGGAGAACCACTGTAAGCCCTGTTGTCAGCGTCGCTTCCTTCGCTGCCGTTGCGGCTTGGCGGGATCGAGTCGAACAAGCGCTCATCCTTGGTCTTCAAACGCCCACTCCTTGCGTAGTTGCCGGAACAAGCAAAACTGAAGCAAGGGGAGGAAGCACGCCGGGCAGGTGCAGCACCGGCTACATAAAGCCGACTGTTTGCGCTGGTCCACAGGCTCAACCGACGAAACGGACTAGTCGCCAGTAACATATAAGCTTGCAGTTGTTGAATGCTCGCTGCGACACTAAACACTGAAGCAAAAGGCCGCCACGCACTCTGGGGCAGTCTTCCCAAAGGTAAACTCAACTCGACCTGGGGCTTGCACCTGACTTCGTTAGAACTAAGGTAGGCGGTGTATGCGTACTCGACGCTGAGGGCGTGGCGAGTCAGGGTAGTGCTCTTGAAGCCAAGCCAAAATGTGTACGTGCTCCTTACGCTGGGCCTCAAATGCAGCGTTGCGGCTGCAGCCTTCCATGCGTTGCGATCTCAAAAACAGCAATATATCGAAATGTCCTCCCGACGCTGCTGCATCCATGGCTCTAGTTGTGCAACCTTCATAGCGATTGCGATCCAGCCACTGAACCATCTTCAACAACCCAGCCCCCGCTGCGTTGTTCATTGCTTCAGATGAGCACCCTTCTCTGCGGTTGCGATGCAACCACTGCACTACCTTCAGATGGCCATTTTTTGCTGCGTTATCCATGGCGGCAGTTGTGCAGCCCTCCGATCGATGCTCATGGAGCCACTTCACAACTTCCAAATGGCCGTTAGCGGCAGCTCCATCCATTGCTGCTGTCGTACAACCCTCAGTCCGATGGGTGTGGAGCCACTGGACCATCGCCAAATGCCCATTAGCCGCAGCGCCATCCATCGCAGCAGTTGTACAAGCACCGGAGCGGTGCTTACTTAGCCACTCCACAATCTCAAAAAGATTGCCCGCTGCAGCTCCATCCATCGCGTCCTGTGTATCTGTGGGACGACATCCGGTGAACCCTTCTTCGGCCAAACGCTCGTCAACACTCTGAAGATATTTTAATACCTTGAGGTGTCCATTCTTCGCGGCCGCGTCTATCGCAGTACTGGGCTCGTCCGCGAGCAGCGTTAATGAGTACAGACGTAAATCCCTGTACAAATACTTCTGCGAGTCATGGGCAAACTCATCATTCAGCCACTGCACCACATCAAGACATCCCCGCCCTGCCGCGCGAAGCATAGTCCCACACGAAACACTGGCTAGACCGTGAAACCCTTGCTCGTGCAAATGTCGAGCCACATCGAGGTACCCTCGAATCGCAGCTTGATGCATGCCAGACTTAGCGCCACGACCAAGGTTATGCTCCAGTAGCCAGCGCACTACATGCAAGTGATTTTCTCTTGCTGCAGCATCCAGCGCACGATTTGCGTTGCCAACTGGGTGATAACGCACTAGCCACTCCACAATCTCCAAGTATCCGTTGCAGGCGGCATATTCCAGAGCAAAACTGACATGGTGGACATACCCGTTGTGGTAAAGCCACTGCAACATGTCTAAGTGACCTCCCCACGCGGCGTCATCCATCGTAGGAGGAGCAAGCTGGCGCCCTGCGTAGCCATGGTCCAGCAGCCACTGCAATAGCTCGAGGTCTCCTTTACGAACGACAGCGGCCATGAAGCGGCCCCAGTCGCGCTCCACACTACCCTTGCACTCAAATATCCACCGCGCAACATCCGTATGCTCGTTCTCCACCGCAGCAGCCAGATCTCCACCGCCCCACTGAACTTGATTGCCGTTGCTAGCCTCAGCAGCAACTTCATTATCGACAAAGAACTTGAGTATATGCAGGTCACCTGCAGCGGCTGCAGCTTCAACGGCTTGCACAGCCACCACGCAACCCTCGAAGTGGTCGAATAACCATTGAATCATGTTCAGATCCCCTCGACGTACAGCTTCGACGACCCCCTGGGAGAATTGGGCGCGATAATAGTGCCGGTCGGACTGCAAGAATTGCAACGGAGACCAGCTGCTGGGACGGCGGCGGCGCGGATCCCCGTCGGACGGCGCGAATTCTTCGCTGACGTCCCAGACGCGACGCAAAAGCCGTAGCGAGCCGAAGGCGCAGGCCTGAGCGAGGGAGATCTGGACCGAGTTGTCGAGGCATTGCGACACAGAGGAGGTGACGTGCAGCAGCGCGTCTAGAGACGAACTGTTGCCCAGTACTACGACAGCCGACGTGAGGGGAGCCACGCTGGTCGCGCCGCCAATAGCTTCGTGTCGCATCATAACGTGTTTTGAACCAACACCAAATCATAATGTTATCATTGGACAAAATTTGACATGTATTTATCACCAATAGCGATTCAAATGCAATTAGTGTATACATGCCATGTTTTATCCTCCCGGGAAGCTTGGGGAGCATGATGCTCACCCAGCGCTTCCGGCGGACACTTAACCGCGGTCTCCCCGCGCGCGCATCGCCAGCTCCGACTAGGTGCGTTTAATGTCCACTCGATTGGTTCACAGCGCAAGCAGCACGAGACGCTTCCCAGCGACCTGGAACGCTACAAGCTCGACATCCTCGGGCTTCAGGAGACACGCATCAACTACCAGAGCGAGCAGAAAATCAGACAGTACTACCTGCTGACACTGCCGTCCAGCAACATCCACCACTGCATCGGTTTCGCTATAGCCCCGCATCTACGCAAGTTCCTACACAAGTACTGGGCCCAGTCTAATCGTGTCGGTGTCCTCCAGCTGCACCTCCCAATGGCGCAGCGCATCAACGGTATCACGGTCTTCTCTCCCCACAGTGCGTGGGATCTGGAGTACGTGGAAAGCTTCTACGAAGACTTGCATGCCGCAATGGACCAGCTCCCACGCCGAGACACCACGTTCGTACTTGGTGACTTTAACGCTAAGCTCGGTCGTCGCCGCGAAGACGAAGTCTTCATGGGTAACTGGGGACGCGGCCGGCGTAACCGCAATGGCCATGTCCTCGCCTCATTCCGCGCTGCTAACAATCGTTTTGTCACTAACACAGCTTTTCAGGAAAAGCGCGGAACATCACAACTTGGACATTGCGCCAGACCGACCACAGTATTTTCAACCAGATCGATTACATCCTGTGCGATCAGCATCATCGACCGCTCTGTCGGAACGCTCAGTCGTGGGGAGGCTTCAAGACGCCGTCAGATCACAAGCTTGTGACGCTGGACTTCGAGATTGGCTCCATTGCTAGGCTTCGCCGCGCGAGATCCGCGGCACCCATGACGGAGCAGACAACTCGCCTGGCGACTCACAGCATGGTACACGACCGTTGTCAACGCGCCAACTACAGCCGGCTCGTCGCTCAGTACCAGCAAGAATCGGCGGTGCCCAAGAATGCGACTAACCACGAGAGATGGGAAGCCATATTCCGTGCGGCCCTCGCGGCAGCAAAGGGCTCAATAGGCTATCTACCGTATGTGCCTCGTGCTCGCATCGCACACCCTCAGCTGGATCGGCTGACAGCCGAACAGCAACGACTCCGCCATCTCATCTCGGACGACCATACTAAATATGTCATGCACCTTCGCAACCAACGGAACCAGCTACTACATCGCGTTCGGGCGCACAGCAAACAACTTGCCAACGCCATCATCGACGCCCAAGTGACCAAGATCGAACAGTTCAGTGCCTCCACCAAGATGTTCGAAGCAACCTGGACGCTCTTTCGGAAGCGCTCAACACTAACCTCGTTATGTGACTCTACAGGGAGATTCGACCTCAATAAGGCGCGCGCAGGGCGCATAATCAATCAGCACTTCCAAACGCAGTTCGTGGACCCGACCAAGTCGCCAGTCCAACCGGATCCAAGCCCGCGGGCTCTACGTAACCCAATCACCGCGACCGAGCTCTACATCGCCTTCAGCCGCCTTCGTAATGGTCGAGCGGTTGGCCCTGATGCCATTCCAGCGGAACTTCTGATGTATGGCGCGGCCACCCTGGCCGCACCACTCGCCGACACTCTGAATCACGGACTCCAAACAGGAGACGACATCCATCAGTGAAGGAATCCTCCTCCCCCCCCCCCGAAGCCGAACAAGCCAGCTGGCCAGTGTGCCAGCCTGCGACCCATCGTGATGCTAATCAGCATTCGGAAAGCGATCTCGCTCGTTGTGCTCCAGCGCATCACTCTGACGGTCGCTACATTCCTGTCACCCCACCAAAGCGGGGTTTGGCCCTGTCGCAGTACTTCAGATGCAGTATGGGCCCACCGGTAGATAGCTGCGCGCGCTCAACGCTACGAAAAGCGATTCTACATCCTCGGCATTGATCTGTCCCGCGCTTTTGACACTGTTCATCCTATCCGTGCTGAAAGACTTCCTCGACGACGATGAAATCCGCCTCATTCGCCTACTACTTCAACGAACTACACTCTCGCTCCGTACTGGCCGCCACACGCTCGACCCCTTTGAGAATATCACAGGTACACCGCAAGGGGACTCACTCTCATCTGTTCTTTTTTGTTGTCTATCTAGAAGCCGCACTACGAGATGAGGCTGCTCAGCTCGACGTACCCCATCAAGTTCTCAAGGACACGATCGTAGATGCAGACGATGCTGATTTCGTCTGCCCCGACCCCGCCAATGCTGACAAGATCCACGCTGAAGCGCGTGCAATCCTGGCTCGATGGTCCCTCGTCATGAACACGTCGAAGACCGAATACACGACCGTGCACCGCCTCCACGAATCGCACCGACCGCGCCAAAGTACGATCGTGGCACAACACGCGCAAGTTAGGCTCTTTTTTAACGACGTCGAGGACGTTTCGCGCAGGAAGAGCCTCGCCACAGCAGCTCTCCAACATATGTGGAAGGTTTGGACTCGGTCATCGCTGAGCTCGGAAGCCACGCGTTTGCGGCTTTACCATTGCTACGTGCTTCCTATCCTGTTATACAACTGCGGTACTTGGGCGCTGACGAGGACGGAACTAAAGGTTTCCACCGCCGCCAACTACGCAAGGACATCGGCGTGACATATCCCGACGTCATCTCCACCGACGATCTCTACGAGCGTACTGGAACGGAGCCGCTCCCATACTGCCTCCTCGAGCACCGCTGGACACTACTCGGACAGATCCTTCGGCTCTCAATGACGATTCCAGACTTACCCACCTATCGCCACATGGAGGCCTTCTTTGCGCCAAGCCAGAACCTCAAGTTTCGAGGCCGCAACGCACCACACTTCCCTTTGTCCTCGATGCCGACCTCCGAACCCTTCCCGACAACTATCGCCTCCGACGAGCTGCTGACCTTTACCTACTGCAATGCCACGCACAAGACCCGAAAGAGGGGAGACGGCTAATCCAGTCCCTCCTCGCCTACACACCCTCAGAAGAGAGAGATCCGACATATGCGAACGCTACACTAGCCAGGAGGCTCAACCAGATGACTCTTAACCCCAATCAAGTCGGTCCTTAAAACAAGGACCAACACTCTCTTAAGTACGACAGCTGTTTGTTATTTCCTTTAACTCAGAATTTTAAGGACCAAATTTTTCGTACTTAGTGTGCGCAGCTCTTAAGCCGCAAGGGAATCCTCCACCTTAACCTCCGCGCGCACGCAGATCGGAGATTTGGACGCACAACGAGCCCAAAATCGCGGCACACGTAACGCCATTTTTTCGGAGGCACGCTTCTATTGTAGTCAACGAGATCAAATCGTACGGTCCCCTGTGCTCGTAAGTATTTGCATCGATTCGGGGTGCATTTACCGTATTTCTAATATTGTTTTTGTAGTCGTGATATGCCGTTTGCTGCATTTTTGCCGGACGACATCGGTGTAATGGTTACAGCAGTTCGTGGTGAATGTTACACAGTCCTGAAATATAAAGCGAGAGTCGCACACGATACTCAAGACCGCGAGCAAGCGTTAGCAGATGAATACGGAATGTTTGCGTCGGTTGAACTTGTGACGAATGGCTTTGAACACAACTTCAAGCAACAAGTCCCGTAAAGCAGTCATCGCTGTTAATTTGTTCACAACATCGTGCGTTGCGGTGTTTGGAATGGTTTTCTCATTTATGCTACCGCTTCGCGCATTATTCGAGTGGTGCACGCGTTTGTTGGGGAAGTTGTTGCAAACACGTACCGTGCTGCGCTGATAGTCATATGCGAGGCGTATATGAGCTGGGCTTATGATGCGGATGACAGGATTCACTACTTCACGTTGAAAGAGCTCGACCCGTGCATCGATTTGGACACGTTATTGCAGAACTTGGCAATGTGGCGTGCACTCAATCGTCTCATCGAGCAAAGACCCCGACCGCTACCACCAACTCAACACATCTTGCCTTCGTTCATGTCCCTTTGGAGTCGAGTGAAAGGTGGGATTGACGTCTACCCCCGGTATCTGAAAAATGTGAAATTAAGTCACGCTTCCCTACCACCGATATCGGCCATAGTGCAGCGGATTATTATGACGCTGATTTACAATTCGTTTCAGTCTTTACAGCTTTTCCGGGTAAGTACTTCACCAGTTATTCAAATTATTTGTGCAATTGATATTAACTAACTGTTGCTGGTCAGGCCCACCGATTCTTTTGCAATACAACACTATGCAGCTCGTTCACGGAGTACCAGAATCATAAGCAAAAATTGTCCACGTTTAGGGCCTTTACCGCGACGCTGCTAAGTATTTGCGAGAACGCTCACCACCGGATGCTACAACGAGCTTGAGTTGCCGTGCAAGAAATGAGAACAAAGACACTGGCAACATCGATCAAAACGGGCATGAAATCATATACAAGAAACGAGTTCATTTCAACTCTGACATTGACCTCATTCGCCGACACTTGAACAAACGGAATCAGCATGTTATGGTACGTTGTATAAACGCCAGTGTGATGGTTTGTACTCTCTAGAAACTCACGCATTTGGGTACTGTATGTATGTGGCTAGATACAAATCGAAGATGGTGCCCAAAACGGCTGCGTGCTGTTCTGCTCGCTTAACCACGATACTGAGAACGCTGGACACGGCCACAAAGGGTTCAAAACCCGGTTTGAGTGTAGCGCACGCATGGTTGCTCTCTGTCGCCAAGATGGAATGGGGCGCGGTCGTGCATCGACAAAGTTCCACAGTGAAAAGGAGCTGCCGGATCCCTGTTCAGTTTCGGGAAAACTGAATTCGACAAGGGAAAACAACAACCGTGCCCCGCCACCGTCGCGGAAACGACCTAGTTCCATGGTGGACACGCCCAACCGTCGTTCACCTAGTGCTCATCTACATCTACGCGAGCGCAGACGCTCTCAACGCATTCGCGAGAATGCTTCCCAAGTTTTTCCTCAACTAAAGGACCAAAATTTGCCCTAACTTTAAGGACAAAACGATGACAGCTCGCTCTTCAGAACTCCTGACTTCATCGACGTTTTACTATTTAACTTCTAATGGACCCCATCTTTGCGTTCACTTTTCGTGTTAATTGGCGTGTTTTATCTCTGTGACAGCAAGGAATCCATTTCTAGACCTTTGGTGTTGTCAAGCGAAGCGTTTGGAATTTGGTCCTATTTTTTGTCCTTAACTTTTGGCCGGATTGAGGTTAACTAGCGTAATGAACGCGAGACCCCGTTTACTACTACTAGGCCATGTTTTCTGAGAGAAAACAAATTTACTGAAAACAAATAAGATATCCCAAACATTGCCAAACGTGTTGCAACATGACCAAACATATTCAGTTCTTGGGACGGGTGTCATGACCTGCAAACACGCTGCAAAAGCTATGGGCTAAGGTCATCTTAAGCTGTCAAACGTCGCTCTACCGGCTCTTAAAGCCTCTGAAAACCGACCTAGCGTCGAGCAGGGAATGTCATGACCAACCATGACACTGTGGTGAAGTTTGCAGGGTCTTCATGCCTCTCCAATGCCACTGTTGCGGACTTCACACGCACACTCCCGATAGATTTGAGTTAATTTTACCCCCCTCTGGGCTATATCTTTTTCGTTAGCGTTAAAAAAGGCACACTCCTATTTCGACGCAGCCGAGGCAATTTTTGTGCGCTACCGTATTCGTCAATGAGTCCCCCATCGATGGTTCACGTGCTTTCCTGCTACTTGGAGCGTTAACAGCATTGCCAACAAGCTTGCATTCACGTTTTGCGTGGCCCCCATTTTAAGCTGTAGGCTTGTCAATTCCGCTTTTGCATTCCACACCCCACAAACCACGTCCCGATCGCTGCTCTGATCTCAATAGCACCTATAACCCCTGTCGCCGCCGCCGCTGCCACTCCTCCAGCTGCCACTTCAGCTGGAGCCACGGTTGCTGCCGTTTCTACTAGCACGCCAAGTACACGCGTACTGGTGGGCAGTCTCCTACATTGTACTACCTGACTCACGCAGATCTTATGGGGACTGCGAAGCGCTGCTCGCATGGCGAGTTTGGGTCGTCGTTCACGAGTCATTACGACTCCTATTTGACCACGCCCACGGTTAGCTCATCCACCTGGTCCCCTCGGTGATCAGACCCACGTGCTCAATCTAGCCGGTCTTCGGTTGCACAGGAAGTCCTTCCAGGAGAGTCTTGGGAGGTACGTGGTGTTATTTACATCGCGAGGCAGGCTCGTAACTTTGATGACGCACGACCGGTGTTTAGCGCCCTCTCCGTATTGAACGCCACACATCGACTCCTCAGGCGCTTGAGAATCGCGACGGGGCTTCTGGCAGCGCGAGCAGGTGCTCGAAGAGGACGAATCGCTCTCGCTCAACGATAAATCACCCTAGTCTAGGGAAGCGGCCACGATCGACCATACCGACAGTACGCGGCTGAACCACGCTATCATCCATGACGCCGATCTGCAGGAGCGATTCATGCTCCGCTACGTGATCGGGTCGGGATCCCTTGCCCGACCGTCGACTCGTTGTTCGACGGGATTCCATGCTCGACGGTTGGCCCGGTTTTAATATAGGGAGCGCTCCTCATTCAATCACGCGCCCGTCATCGCGTTCACGCGATGTCACCCGGACATCTTTATAATTCAACAGCACACAACAGATGATGCCGAAATGGCCATCGCTCGCTCTGCGCACAACTTGAGACTTGACTATCTTATCCACGGCGGTAACGCGAGGCCAGTCAATTGAAGTCAACAAGATATGCGTGACCCCTTCATGTGAGTCAAAGTCGCGTCGACGCTTGACCGACCAAGCCAGCCCGCAAATCGCTGGCTGATAGCGTGCAAGCCACGGGATACCCAGAATACAGCCAAACGCTTACTTATCTTGATCACCAGTAATCGCCGTAGCTATAAAAGCCGTCAAACGGGTATGACACTGACTCCTCGCCCGGATCCCTCCGAACGCTACCGCCCGCAAGAAGCACCGACACCGCTCGTCGCTACTGAGTCGAGGAGTGAGTGCCGTGGACACCGGATACCTGCGACGTGGAGACTTACGGTGGTCAGGCTCGAGTCGCCACTAGTAGGGGTGGCACCAAGGGGTGCATACGACTCGGGAGGGCTGAGGCTGTTGCCTTTACTCCAGACCCGACCTGATTCACTACTAAATGTTTTATTTTAGTTATCAAGTTTTTTCACATGGGGGTAGTACGGCCAAGTCGGTAAGCTCATTGGATGCAGGTTCGGTCACCAACATATGACTTGGAGCAAGACTACGATAAATGACGTCAGCAGGCATACAGGGTAAACGTATCATTCACGATTCGGAGGCTTTGAGATCGATTGTGCAATTAGTTGGGTCACCTTTCCCTGCGCTTTGTACTGTGAGTAAATCGCAGAACTCTTCCTAGCCCTCAGCATAGGGGCTCTCCATCTGGCCCACCTGGGTCTGCCATGGGCTTCGATTTTATTACGGTGGCATAACCCGATGACATGACCACCATCACTTTCTGGTCACGAATCGGTGAACTTCTTGCTCTACTCGTAGCTTGAGTGCACATCTTGTGACATATCTATTCAAACATATCAGCGGAGGTTACACTTTTGTGGAAGTGGTCGCCTTTTATCTAGCCACATTCCTAGTTATGTTTGGGTCAGTCTATATCAAATAATATATATGCAGAGTGCTACTCGTTTTTGGGTGTCCAGACATGTCGTATCGGTGCGAAATCACCCCATCCTTAATGAAGTGAGCCATATATAGCAAACGCTCCCATCTATAGTAGGTAAAATGGTAGGACGATGCATCAGTAGGTCTGAAACCGCTAGCACGAGAGTACTGCCTTGATCGACACTGAGAACTTAAACCGTTGCGTTGTTTGTAACCTTTTCTACAATAGATTTGCCCGGTGCAAACCCAGCCACGTTCGGCGTTTTTGCCGTGAAATTCACCACAATTTTTTTTTGTTATGAGCGACACCAAAAGCAACGATAGACAAGGGATTTCTTTGTATAAAAAGAAGACGAAAACTTTCCAAGAGTCCGAAGCCCTCAAGCAATTTCCACTACCGTTTTTTTTTTTTTTGGGGGGGGGGCACGAACTGCATCCTATTAATAGTGTGGACCACCATAGTGTTCTATCATTTACAGTTTTACAATCCGTTGATTCTGGTCGATACTGTTTGCTATCACGTCAGTTCCACGCCCGTTCAGCCTGCGTTCTGCTGTGTTGAACTTGTTTTATCGATTTATCGATAAGGCCACAAACAACAGCAAGGTGGAGCCTAAATCGTTTGCATACAATACGATCCCTTACCAAGCTAATCGTCGCATTGCGGGGTGTAAGTGCTACATTATATATATAGGTAGCTCACTGCATTTTAGAAAATAACCTAGCGTGGATTGTAGAATGCCTGCTATGCCATTTGCTTGAGCTAGTTATGTGGTGACATAGCGGTACCAGCGTGTAGCATAAGCAGAACGGACGGTCAACCGCTCCAACCCAAACCACAAAGGTAACGACGATAGAAACGCATTTGCTACTCTTTTATTGAGCAACCTCTTTTGATTGCGCTTGTCGAGACGATAAAGAAACTACAGTAGTGGTATCTCATTAAAAAAAACAGACCCTAACAGGTCCTAGGATGGACGTTCATCCGGGTCGTAATATATATATATAGAGTGGTACCATCGGATTCCTCGTATACGAAAACCTATATGTCCAACCACATTTACCACTCTTCGCACACCTTATTTCCACACTTTCTTTCTGTCCATTCTGCAATTCACGACCACTGTCATTTACACACACACCCAACCTTGCACAACTCAATAGGAGCTCTTATCAGTGGGTCTGTGGTTGCTAAACCACATACCTTCACGCGAATCCCTATCTCGTCATTGGAAACACAGGAGGATAACGTCTGATTAATGCCCATTAAGAGCGCTTGATCAACATCCATTTCTGCTGATCTAGTTAGCGTGCGTAGTGCAAGCCTAAGTGTAAGACACGCGAATTTGGGTACCTAATATTGGCTCCGTTGCTATTTTGGGTCTCTGTCCTGTCTCTGACACATAAGTGGTGCCACTAAATTTATATGTCCAGGTTTTCATGTCTTGGTACCCGATATTGGCTCCGTTGACGATGGTGTCAAAATATACAGATTTGTAGGCACAAATATACGTACATGGGGAGTGAATATAAATATGGGTTTGCACCATACAGTTGGAGTGACAACAGGGAGAGACTATATGTGTGGGGCACCAATATAACCGCTAACCGCTGTGAGGCATATAAATATCAGCTTAATTTTGATGGCCAAGTTACCACACGGGCGGCTGCAGACAAAGGTTTTCGTTCAGGACCGGCCATGACTGGCTGGCATCAGCTAGCCGTGCACAATTCCACGGGGGAATTCGATGACTACCATGACGAGTCGATGTACTGCTCGGCGATATTTCACAAGGTCGACTTTGACAACTGCCGTGTTTGTGCTGGTGAACATACGATGACAGAAAGACGTCTTCGGTACTTGAGCAGCACTTGTCACGAGTTTGGCAAATGTGGCGTGGTCTGGAAGGTGTTCTACTGCACAGCTCAGGACAAGTGGCAGTTAACTGTAAACGAGCAGGCACATGCCCGTGGTGTTCTTCCCTGTACTGCTGAGCATCGGCCAGTTGTGACTCAGCCGATGAAAGCAGATATCGCGGCACAAGACGAGATTGGGAACGCCCCACGTATTATTCTGGCACATCTCAAGAAGCAAGCAAATATCAAACCATCTAAAGGCGGATGGCCAGAGCTCTCCCAGATTCAAAATGCGCTGAAAGTTCACCGGCGTTCGAAGGGCACCAAGAATTCAATTAAGGCATGGATGAAATGGCTCGCGCTCGCCGCTACAATCCAGAACTTCAGCCAGATTCCGCTTTTCTGTTTGGATCTAAGTTGGGCACGGATGGCTTTGTTTATGTGGGGTCCGGCGAGGACGACGCTCCTTTCATTATTGGGGTGACGTCTCTCGCACTTATCGATAGCTGCCTACGGTTTTGCCACTCGGGTGATTTTGTGCAGTTCCATGCGGATGCCACGTTTAAGGTTAGCAACTTGGGCTATCCAGTGATAACTTGCGGCTTCACGGACCGAGGGCGTTCATACCAAGTTGGTGCTTTTTTCGTGATGAGTCGGCGCACGGAACATGAATACACCGTGTGCTTGCGCAGTTTTGCTGACGTCGTCCGGCATGTTCGAGGAGCAACACTTCGTATCGACGTGTGGTGTAGTGCCCAGCGAGGAAGCGGGCACGTCGGCGTCGGTGAAAGAAGGCGCCGAGACGAATGCTGATGGATGCGGATGATGAACTCGACGCAGTTGATGAAACGCGACGCGATTGATGGGGGCGACGCGCGGCAGAGGTCGACGGAAAGTCGACGCGGGTGATGGGCCGCGAGACACAGCGACAGAGTCCAACTCGACGCGTAATCATCCAACGAGTCGACCAGCGCCCCGTCTCTGCAAAACGCGTCGACCCTAATCCCCCGCCGAGCAAAACCCGCCGAGCAAGACGCGCCGAGTAAGACGCGCCGAGCAAAACGCGCCGACCAAAACGCGTCGAGGTAAGATCTTGATTACGCCACGCAAATCAGGTTGAAGGACGACAGTGCAAGCACGACAGAAGTAGGGATAGGCACAGAACGATAGGCTTAGCAAGCAGTAGTACGGAGTAGCCAGTAGCTAGGGCATAGGATAGGGTAAGGACTCAGTCCCGAAATTTCTCTGAACCACAAAGACCTCCCGTCTTCTCCGAGGTTCCAGGGGAACCACCAAGCGCCGGCAAGTAGAGCCGCCTCGATATCGCGGCCCCCGTCGTTTGCTGGTTCGGGTGCTCACCCCCCACAGACCCGTGCTGGAACAAAGGCACGTTAAACGTATACCGTTTAGGTGGGCGCCCGATAACGCGCTGCCTAGGCGAAGGACCGCACTGGCCTGATAACCGCCGTGCACAAGACCCCCCTGTAGGCCCGATAACGCCACGCAAGCCCCAGGAAACGCCGGCCCGATAACGCCGCACGCCCGACGGGAACGCCGAGGAAACGCCGGCCCGATAACGCCGCACGCCCAAGGCTCGACCCCCTACGACAAGGAACAAGCGTCAACACAAGAACCCCCAACTCCGAAGCCTGCGAAGACTTGGGCCTGTATTTCGAAGATACGCTACTCCAACAACCGGGAATAATTTGCTCGGCGCGACCGCTATCCAGACGCGCCGAGTTTGTGCGAGATCGCATTCGCGAGATTTCTGCGAGGGCGCTACTCCACAACAATGTGGGAACTACGCGGTGTGGATCTGTATGCCACGTCAACAAGCGTCCTGGAGAAACGCCACATGTAACCAGGCGTATCCATCGCGACGTACGAGCACGATGACAACTCCGCCTTGGTCTACAGCGACGGGAACCAGTACGTACAGGACCTCGGAACATCTCATACTCCGCACGAAGTGCTGACACCGTCGATGGGCAAACTCTCGTGGCAAATGAGTCCACTACACATTCAGCACGACGCGGCATGTGCGGACGATGGCGATCAGCAGTGCCTTGGCTTGAGTCTGCTGTTTGCAACGGATGACGGCGTACTGCTAGTTGGCAAGGACGCGTTGGCTACACAGCACGTGGCACGGCCTGTTGCTCTCGTGACTTTGCATCCTGCCGCGATCCCGGATATGATTCGTCCGGAAGACGAAGTCCTCACGTCTTGGCACTGAATCGTATCAGCGAACGGTATGCTCGTGGGTCCAAGTCAAACGACCGATTGCGATCCGCGGGTGGACTCGTACCTAAATCACATCGAGACGAACCACTTCTACCTGGACGGTCAGTCGTCGCAAGAAATGTACTCTGTGGCGTTGTTTTACCTGTTGCAGCGTGGAGTCCCGACATCCTACGCGGGTCTCATGTCTCGACGGCGTCTGGCACTCTCGGCCGTCATGGCATCGAGCAGTTCTGGTTCAGGATCGCTTAACGGGACTGCTGTTGCTACGACAGACATTGAAGTGAACGTCCCGACTACGACGGCCTTGGTGACGTTAGCTGGTTGTATTTTCATCGTCGTACTCATGCTGTGCGTGGTTTACCTTCCCACGTCTCGAGTGAAGCTGTCGCCTGACACGACCCCCGCTGCCCAGTACGTGCAGATCTTGACGGACGACCTGTACCCGGACGTGGTGCACAAGAAGCGGTTGTGCTTCGCGAACGGCGACTGTATTTTGTTCAACGAATACATCGTCGATGCCATCGTGCTGCATACCAAGCGCGACTAGCCTAAGAAGATCTACCTGTAAGTTTGTAAAAAGTTTGAAGAGGCCGTACCGATGGCCCGACCTAGCCATAATAAAGTTTCGCTGCCCTTGCAACCACGGATTTAGATCCTGGTTGATGTCCTAGACGTGGTCCGGGATTTGTCCAGGACGTAAGATAATACTTAAGTAGATTACACGCAATACTTTCCCCTTTTCGCGAGGACGACTCCAGCAGGCCGAACCAGCTGGTCTCCTCATAGCTTCAAGCGGTGCTTGAAGGTAGACAAGCGCGCGGCAGTGCCGCCGCGGCATCCACCCGTGCGAGCTTTTCACCTCCGATTTTCGCCTCCGTGCATTGCAAACTGATGTGCGCTAGTCGTTATCCCTGCATGTGCGATAGCAGAACGAAGCACAGATCATTACCTTCATGACTTAATGAAATACCTTGAAATCCTTATAACCAAAGGTCGTTGCTGGCCTTCGCCCTGATCGAGCTGTCTCCTGTGTAGCAGTAGACAGTTATGCCGAGGCAGCGGGCAATTCGACTTTCACGACGTCGAGCTGGAGAAAGTAAGTTCGAAATTGTTATCGTTGGGTGACGTATCTACATGTAGAAAGAAGTTCAAAGCTACACAGTGTATCATGCACCGGCCACACAATTGCTTTGAGTGGCATGTAAAATACTACATGTATATAGAAAAGTTTATTAACTAGTTAGTAGTCCCCTATAGCGCAAAATCGCTCTATTAGCGTCTCGTACAGCTTTCACGTAGTAGCATCTGCGTGTAGTTAGCGGGCGGGCACAACATTTGCGACTTTGACAAGAAAGAACCGGTCACCAGTAGCCGTGGCCTACAGCGTGAAGTAGTTAGTGGATCGGTACGTCCAAGGCCATTCACAAACCGGCGTAGGTGTTCGCTGTGTTTCGGGAGGACTATATATGATCGGCGTTGAAACGGAGGTGAGAGGGTCACGCCGTCTCGCCCTACTAGTTTTATCGGTAGTGGTCAACCGTTGATCGTTGATCATCAATGGGTTCAAGTGCACGCGGGCCAAAGGCTCGACAGAATGTGGACAGTGTCGCGCCCGGGACTTGACGGACGCAGATCTCCATGAAGATGCGATCTGTCGAGTGCTTCGACTCGACAGACCACTGCTCGCCCCCAGCATATCAGTCCTACCCAGGGCATCAGTGCCCGAAGAGAGTCTATACAATTGCCATCCACTGAGAAGGCCTCGTTCTTCGACAACGAGTACGGCAATGAGCTGGGCGAGGGCCAAAACGTGTTCAACTCGACTTGGACGAGGAGCACTCCACTTGTGCCATGCAGACCACACGTCGAGCCCCATCTCGCGGTCGATTAGTGTGCATTTCTGCTGCATCCTTTCGGACGGACGTCAAGGCTGCATACCACGGGCCATGGGGTACACTTACTGATTTGCGATACAGTTGCCGTACAATCTCATGATTTATAGCGGAATGGTGGTTGACGTGCCAACATGACTCGACCTTCATATTTTGTATGCAGCCCCTCTAGAACTTTATGTGCGTACACTACCGAAAAAGCACAAAACGGGTTCCTCGCTCCAGTTTAGAACTTACCGCCGCTCAGTAGCCCTGGAAGCGCGCATGTGTAAGATGAAGTAAGGCGAGGTCAGTTCTTACCGGTTCTTGTAATTGGTTCAAATGACGTCTCTAACCGGTCAAACTGACGTTTGCTTACGCACTTTGTTTGTCAGTGTAAGCCACTGCTGAACGTGTCCGACAGCTCTGAGCCGCGTACCGGCTTCATACGCCGCAGCTACTCCATCCATAGGCCACCCGGGATGGCGTTCTCAGTGCCACCAGGCCGTGCGCTTTGCAGTGTCGCCCGGAAGCCGTCCGAGATAGTCGAGTTCATCCGGCGGTCAATAGAATGTGCTGAGTGACCACGGCGAGGTCACAAGCGCAGCACGCGTGGCAACGAACACGACGAAGTGCAAGCTTGCCTTGCATTACAATCGGAGAATGCCTCAAGTGTTGCGACGGGATGGCTGCCGAGCAGATTATGTCTAAGAAGGAAGCCTATCGCGTCCAAGGACGAGCCGTCATCATCGACCCAGAAGGAGGCGAGCTTAGCAGAGATAAATTTGCCAATGTCTACATCAACTTCACGAGTCTACCTTCCATGCGGCTGATGTTAAAGCTTCATCGAGGAGATCTTCGTTAGATAGCACTGTCGGTAGCCGTGGGCTTGCTAAGTAAGTGACATAAATTCACCTGAATGCAAAGCAAGGCTAAAACACCACGGGAGTTCATGTTTAATCAAGCAGAATACCAACAGCTCGTGCGAGGTCAAACATCACCGCTTTCGTATTCGTTGGCTGTAAGTGGTCTTGTGGCTGCGGGTTATTGAAGCTAACAACTTCCTGCATGTACGGGAAGATCTCAACACCTCACACCTATCTGTTTTTTCGTCTTCGGAACTGACCAGGGCATATGTGTAAGATACGCACGAATCTTCCCGAGGGGTTGCATCGAATTGTGGAGGTATTTGGAGTCCAAGTGTCCATGATTTTCATCCTGGATCGCAACTACACCTGCCATAAAGTTTTCTTTCTCGCGCTGTGGGTATCACCTGTAGCTTGGTCCAGGTCGGACGTGAGTTGGGAGGGGCATGAGTTTCTGGCCTCTTCCGGGACAGCACCACGTTGGATCGCCGCCATAACGGTCCAGCGCTGCCAAATATCGAGTCGAGACGAAGACGCCCCCCCCTTCTTGTGTCAACCCGCCATGCCAACCACGCTGCACCAACTCGGTCACGAAGACAGCCCCAAGCACAGCTTCATGCACTGCGAGCCAACGGAGGATGCGACGCACGCGAAGGCTTCAGACGACCGCGACACCATCGTGGACATGAGCCTGCGAGTCGAGCGCTTCATTCTGTGCGTGAGCATTGCACTCGCCTTCGCGTTTACCTTCGCGATTTTTTCCTGACGTACCGCAGGAAAACACTCACGTACATTTACGAGAGTGAACTCGACGATGGCGATACGATGTCGTCCAATGCATCGGCCGTCGTGGAGAACTACAACACAATATCGGGCTACCTGCAGCTTATGGGATCGAGCATCTTTACGGTCTTCTGCGAGACACTAATCTTCCCCTCTCTCGACACGTACCTCCATAACTGCAGCTTGTATTGGGACGCGGTGTCGATCCCTAAATTTGGGTGAATGCACCTGAACCTGGGTAGTCCCAATGATGTGGAGCTTGGTGATACTGGATGATTTGGAGTCTCCTATAAAAACAAGGGTAATGTCTGCGAATGGACGCTGAATCCCGGAAGATAGATCAATGTGGGCGAGTTGATCCCGTTCTATGAAGTGCAACGGAATGCGAGCGATCCTCCCCAGTATATCTAAGTACGGCGGAACTCGACTCTGGCTTACAACCTGGGAGCTGAGGCACTTCTCAGATTCCCCGTTGTTTTCCCGGAATAACGATTCCCAGACTTCGCGTTCCCAGACTTACCTCCCACAAAATTCCAAGAACGACCTCGGCTTGAGGCGTTCCGAGGCTCCAAACACAAGAACACTTGGTTTCACTGTGGCATCTTCCAAGATCCTAGGTGTACCCAACAACTCCGAGAAGGTATCCAGTTTGGCGACCCTTCAAGGCCAGACCAACACTCCGCAGAAAGATCGCAGTCTCCGAAGGGTCGCTTAGGAAAGATTTCGTCTGCATGTGACCTTTAACCAAACAGAGTTCGTTTTGCTTCGAAGGGCACAAGTGCTTCTTTCACAGCCTGGAAGGCCGTTCTCCACGACAAAATTCAAAGTACTTTAGGTAAGTGATCCACTACTTCGGCCTGGAAGTGATCATATCTATTCCATATCTGTATATTTGGCGGCTTGCAGACCGTCTTTGTTGTATATTTGCGGTCTATTGGGCCTGTGTCGAACTGAAGAAGTTGGCGACAGGGTAGATCGTTTCCTCTCTCCGAGAGGTGGTGCGCGTCCCCAAGATTGATCAAGCGTCTTGGATTTGGACCAGTTGACTTGTATTTTGGCCTTAGCCTTGGGCCTAGAGAAAGAAGAGAGGGCAAAGAAGTATTTGTGTGATTGTATAACGTGTATAACTCTATTTGGGTTGGATTGTTCTAGCGTTAGCCCGGCGTAGCTGTCTGATTCACGGGGTCGATACTAACCTCCTGGTGAAAAGAACCGCTACCCAAGGGATACACATCGTGCGCCTGACCAACAGCGTGTACTGGACAACACACACCCTGTGCCAGCCGAGACGGATCCAAAGCTCTAGTAGCCTGAGGTCTGTCAAGGAGGGCCTATAACTGTTTTCTGGGAGAAAACACCGCATCGCCTCGTCACAGCTGGTGCGCGTGCCCGGATCAGGGGTTGGAAGTTGAACGTGCATTGTGAGAGTTATGTCTACTAACGCTAACGCGATTGTGCCTGCTTCGAGTCCTGGAGGACGCGGACGAGGTCGTGGACGCGGTCAAGGTGCTCAACGAGTGTCAAGACCGCTGCAACTCCCTGTCCCGCCTCCGGGGTCCGGACAAGGTCCTGCGATGTCGACGGAGACCAAACAACAACTGGCGCTGGCCGAACCAGCGCGCCCGACATCGACCCATTCGACGCCAAGACGAGCTTCTCAAGTGATGGTCCCCGTTCTGTGCAGTCCAGCTCTGGACGGCCCCTAGACCGTGGTTCCGACGCTCAAGCAGCACGTCTGCCGACGGAGTTGGCGCTGAGCCCTGCGGTTGCAAGTGCTCTTGGAAAACGTGATCATGTGGCGCTGCGAGAGGAGGGTCCCGGATTCCGGTGCACCACTAGGTCCTGGGCCTGCTCCTGGCACTCGTGTCTTCGGACCTGAACTGCCAACCACGCTGCACTCGACGTTCCAAGATCCGCTTCCGCTGATTCCACGGGGCACGAGTGAAATCCCAGGATCCGACGTAAACTGTCTTGCTGACGACGAAGCCCGAGCGTATGGAGCCGAACAACTGAGCCACTGGAGCTCTCTTCCAGGAGAAGTCATCTCTCCAGTCGACGTGGTCTACGACGAGGGAGAAGAAGAGTACGACATGGAAGCTTGGGTCTTCGCCGCATTCGAGACTGGGAAATACTTGGGTCTTGTGAACGCTGGTCGGACTTCCGAGTCTTGGATCAAGGCGTTGTCTGCCAAACGCAGACGGCAACCGCTGGTCTCGGATAAGGAGGCCGTCACCGTATCGCCCAAGTTGCTTCCGGCTGCTGCATGCGTCGCTGTGCTCCAGACCATGTTGATGGAGGCCGGTTTCGAGTTTCGCAATGTGATTCCTACGTGGAGTGAAGTCCGTGCGGTGTCCGAGGTGTCTGAGAATCTGATCCGCCGAGGTGTTGAAGAAGTTCAACTCAGACTCGCAGTTGAGAGTCTTGAGTGGAACAAGCTGATGGATGGCGTAGGGTTTCACATCCGACAGCCGCTGGAGCCTCTCCCAGCTGTGCAACTATCCGAGCGAAGTACAAGTTCCCCGACTGATGCCGATGGAGACGTCCTAATGACGGACGACGCTGTGGAACTGCTTGGTGAAGAATTGTTGCACCGCTTGATGATCACGCGGACCAGAAGAAGCAGTCTTGCTTCAAGCGCGTCTGGACAACCAGCGCCCAAGCGTGCGGCCTTAGAAGCTGAGCGATCTCCGCCCAGTTCCCTGATGCCTCCGACATCGTCGTCCCAGAGTCTGGTGCCCCAACCGTCGGTATCCCAGAACGTCGTGCCTCGGACTCAGAGCCTAGTCCCTAGAGCTCCAATTCTTGAGCTGATGGCGAGTGTGGACTCAGTTCCTAGTCTGGTGGGACCAAGTGGTGCTTCCGACGAGTCGATGAACGCGGCCGCTGAAGGAACAGACCTGTCGGGGCACAGCTCCTCAGGATCGTCGTTCTTGTCCGCCGCGGACTACATGGTTGGCAGTGCCTTGAGTCATATGCCTGGACCAAGCCCGATGGCGATGGTAATGATTGCGCAGGAGAGCGCGGCTGCGGCAGCTGCCGACCCGGGTTTCGGTGTCTCGGCAGGTGCTGTGTCGTATCCAGTGCCGGTTTCAGCACGCCCTGCGCCTTCGCTGCAACCCCTTCAGGAGTCGCCTGCGCATGTACCGCTGCCCGAGGCATCAGAGAGCAGCGCAAGTCTCCAGCCAGAACACTCGACGCAACCTGCTCCCGGGTTGCATCCAACGTCGTTGCCCCTCCAAGCTTCGTGTCTTCCACCACACCCGCAGCCGGCATGAACCGTGGCATCTCCACATCAAGTGCTATGCCACGGACTCAAGCCACTTCGACAAAGGTCGCGGACCCGGAGTCTGAGAAGAAACCACAGAAGTCCGTGCATTCTGGGAAGTCATCGCGATCCCGGAAGTCCACCGCGAAATCTGCGTCGTCCAAGTCTTCGATGTCAGGAATCTCCTCTCGTGTGTCGTCCTCGAGGTCGTCGCGTTCCGGCACGTCCGAGGTCGCCCTGGTCATGATGAGGCAGCAGGAGGCCGCCCTCAACCAAGTACGCACCGGCATGGCTGCCAGTTGCGTGGCATTTGCCTAGACAACCAGCAGCAGACCGCTTCCCTCATGGAGCGTCTTCAACTGAGCGAAGAAGCTCTTGCCGCCGAACGTGAGTCCCGCCGTCGCGACGCCGAAGTTGCTGAAGCTTGGGTTGCTGCCGCGGTGAAGGTAGAGCACTCTTCAGTACCATCGTCAGTACCTGCACCCGAGATGGGGCGCGGCACACTTATTCCCCCCGAAGCGCCATTGCCGAGTGCGGCCCTGGACGCCGCCACCGCTGCTGTGTTGGCAGCAGCCGAGGAAGTGAAGGCAGAGAGTGAGGGCATCGCGCAGAGCACGACTGCCCATTTGGCCGCGTTCGAGGACCAGTTGCGCAATGTCATGTCCGCGTATCTGCAGAAGTGCGCCCTGGCCCAGAAGGTTCAACGTGAGAATGATGCTCGCCTACGGTAACAATCGACTAGTGTACCTGAATCTAGTGGAAAAGCCACCGCGACGAGTCGCACTTCCTGCAACAAATTTGCGGGACGGTCGCCCACTTATATCGGGCAACAGCAAGTGGTCGCGGATTCGCTGTCAGCAGGGCAGCTTCAAGCGACCATACAAGCTCCAAGTCAAGTTGTCAAACGCGAGATGGGACCAGGCGAGACGAAGCCGACTGAGACACGTGAGACAAGGTCAAGTGAGACGAAGACACGTGCGACAGGCGGGACGGGGTCAAGTGAGACCAAGCGTGGAAGGCAGCCGAAGGCTGCGACACAGACTCGGTCCAGTGTCGCTGCAGTCAAGGAAGAAAACTCGGAAGAGACCAAGAGCTCAGCGAAAGGTGTCGCTCGGGACTCTGCGAGTGGGAGTGGCCATGTCCCCAGATATTCTGGGAAGTTGGCTAATAAAACGTCTTCCCAGAAACACAAGCGTGGAAAGAGGATCCGTCGCAGTAAGCGATGAGGTGGCGATCCCTCATCGTCAGATTCAAGTTCAAGCGGCAGCTTGTCTAGCATCGAGTCCAGCTCGGGCTCCGACTCCGACTGGGAGCGCGGCCTTGCTGAGGAACTCGCCCCTGCAACAGTACCAGCCGCTAACGGCCAATCGTACACGTTCCGCCCGTATATCCAGTATGGGACGGTGGTGATGTTTGATCCCCACGCCAAGCTCGAAGACCGCGTGAACTGGTGGGAGCGGTTTGTCTACGCTGCTGCGTTGGGAGTCTGGCCGGAGAAGATGAAGTTGCGTCAGCTCCTGGGCCGACTACCTGCCCCGCTACGTGCATGGTTCCGCCAACTACCCGAGAAGGACCAGAAAGACTGGTCGCGCTTGTCGAAGCTGTTTCGCAACCGAGGCGTCCCCGTACGACCGCTATTATGAGTTGGGACCGGAGAATGGCGAGTCTGCGGGATCGTTCCTGTATCGACTCAACGCTGCAGCCAAGAAGGCCGACGTCGAGTACGAAGACTCTCCGAGTGACCGGGAACTCCACATCCGTCGCTTTATCAAGAAGCTGTCGGATCGTCGTCTGAAGATCACACTACAGGGACAAACGTTCAAGTCGATGAAGGAACTCGAGAAAACTCTCAAGCGTATCGAAGCGGTGCAGCGTGATGATGGATATGAGACGCCTCCACCTCCAAAGACCCGCGATGCGAAGCCTAGTGGTGTGAGGTTTAGTCGATTCCCTCCTCCGCGTCGAACGCAAGGTGAACGTGCGTACTTGGTCGAGAACCTGGTCTCGGAGTCAGAAGACAAGGCTTCCCCGCCCTCGGACTCCGACGAGAAACCAGAACCACGTTATCTCCCGGGAACTCTGCCCCCGTCCATGGGGCGTACGGTGAATTCTGAGAAGATCAACGTAGCCCAGGCTTCTGAGACTATCGTTCAAGTACCCAGACCCCCGACGACCGAGGAGGTGTTCCGTGCTGCTGAGCAGATGGGTTGGTGCCCTCCAATTCCACAAGCGCGACCACCATCTCCATACCGAGACAACTCCCAAAGAACTCCCTTCTGTGAAAATTGCCGCAGTTTTGGACACGACGCTCAGAATTGTTGGCGGGATCTGATCTGTGACCGATGCCATGAAGCTGGACACCCGACATATAAGTGCTCGCGTCGCCCATGTTCCAAGTGCGGAGACTTTCACCGTGAAGGGCTCTGTGCCGATTGGGTTGCTTTGAAGGCAGTCCGGGAATTGGCGCGACAAGGAGCGCTGCAAGACTTGCCGACCGAAGTTCTGAAGCAACTGCTGAAAGAACAGCCGGCTTAGTCTGGGACGTCGTTAAACAACTAGGCTCGCTGGGTAGGGACCCAGGGCGTGTCGAGCGTAAGTCCCAAGTGTATTGCGCTCTTGCATTTGTCGGTCCAGAACTTAGGCACCAGATCGGTAACCCACAATGCATGACTGCCGTTGCATGTGAAGATGAATCGCTGTTGGAATCGCGCCCGGTTTCTCGAAACTACGTTTTCCGAGGTTCTGCATTTGAAGATGAAGCCCCAGTGGATTTCACGTTGAACCCAGGAGAACGTTACGGGTGGTGGGCAGACCACGACTTGGATAATCAAGATGCAGTGGCATTAGTGCATGGGGCGACCAACAACTATCGGACACACATCATTCTAGATTCCGGCGCCAGCACAACTATATTGAGCCCAGAGGTTGAAGCTTAAGTTGACGTCGCACGCCGGACTCAAGGTGAAAGGTATGGGGGGAGTGATCACGTACATCCGATCGCGGACTCGAGTGACGTTAACTCTGGGAATGCGTGTGGTATATGTGCTGGACATGTGGGTTGGAAACATTGGAGATGGAGTCGCTTGTCTGCTGGGTATGGATTTCATGAAAGCGGCTGGAGTACGACTGTGCGCGCGTGAGCAGTTGGCTAAGCTTCCGAATGAAGAAGACATTCCTCTGGTTGGAGAGAAGGAAGTTCCACGTTACATCTTGGAAGTACCAATTTGTGTGCGTGAGCCGGTGTATTTGGCTCCTGGTGATTCGATCATTGTTCCGGTGCGGTATGGTCAAGCTGACGCTGACACAGCTGAGGTATGGACTGCCCGAGGGAATCAGTGGGTGACGCAAGTGATCTACATCTCCAGACGGCGGTCTGCCGCAGTTCGTGTGGTCAATATCTCAGAGAAGTGGACCCAGATCATGCAACACACGGTGGAAGCAGCGTTGGTGGAGCCTGGGCAACTGCCACGAGGAGACCGCTTTGTTCAACCGAAGTCGCGTAAGTATCGAGAGTGGCAACAAGAGATTTACCAGAACACCCCTTCGCGGGAGTATTGGCGACGGGAGGAGCTGGAAGCACTTGAAGCCGAACGGAATGCCCCACCCGCAGTGCTGCGACCTCAATATGTTTGGCCGACGAAGATTTTGCCACGTCCACCTGAAGAAGTCCGGAAGGCTGCTGAGCTACAGAAATCTCGGAACGCGAGTGGCCGAGCCATGAGCTCTTCGGGTCAGACTGAGGAAGAGGCCCGCAGTCACTCGAGCGCTGTTGCTGATGTAAAGAGTCTGGCTCTGGGCATTCCAACTGCCGCGGAAGTCACTCCCATGGACGAAGCCGAAGCCTCGCAGGCAGACGAGTTAGATCCTGCGAAGGAGCTCGTCATTGATCGGGATTCTGGTGATGTCGACCGCGGACTGACTGGTGGAGGTACCAGTAGTGCCGAAGCTCGACATGAATTGAAGGACGTGTTTCGCGCAGAGCCAGTCAAGATCTGTGAGGGTGCCCCGGAGCAGCTGGAGGTGGCGTACGCGATTTGTCTTCGGGTGGTCACAGCTGACTTGGATCCTGATGAAGAAGTCTTCTTCCACGAAGGAACCGAGCTGTTGACGCAGTTACGAGACCAGTTGGCTGTACTCCCAGACTTGAAGGATCTCAACCCGAAGGTGAACATGGATGAAGCTGATGTGGGTGTCGAAGGCAAGACCACTCCTGAGATGAACAAGGAGATGAGAGGTATCTTGGAATATCATCACTCGATCTTCCTAGGAGATGGCAATGCTGTCCCCGCACCTGCCAGAGGAGTTGTCTGCGACCTGGATGTTGGGGACGCAAAATCCATTGCCCAGCGCGCTCGTCCGATTGCTCCACGCTTCCTCCACCAAGTCTACGAGCTGATCAAAACATTGTTGGAGACCGGACTCATCGAGACTTCGTATTCGGAGTGGGCCTCACCCATCGTAATCATTTTGAAGAAGAACGGCAGGGATATCAGACTACCGGATGGTGAACCAGCTCATCAAGCTGTCTTGCTACCCGCTACCGTTGATAGATGACTTGCTAATTGGATTTGAAGCTGCGATGTGGTTTATGAGCTTGGATATGGCGAGTGGCTTCTGGGCGGTGCCCATGACCCAGAGGGCAAAGCTCATTTCTGTTTTTGTCTGTACTACCAGTGGTTGCGCATGCCCTTCGGGTTGAAAAATGCGCCCCTAATATACCAGCAGATGCTGAACAACTATCTTCGGGGTTTTGTGCGACTGTCGCCTGAGGAAGAAGCCAAGGTCGATCCCGATGTGCTTGAGTTTCTGGGAATCAAGGTAGACGAGCGAGCGGTCCCCGATTCTGGAGTGGAGATCCCAGCTCTAACAGATACAATGACTGTTTTCCACCGGAACATTCCAGCCCCAGTTTCAATGGGCCCAGTCCTGGATAGAAGCTCATACATTGACGACATCGCCCATGGGGCGCCTACCTGGGACCAGCTCTGCTCGGACCTGAACGCGTTGCTGTTTCGACTACGCTACTGGGGAATCTCCGTGAGCCTGCCCAAGAGCGAGTTTGGGAAGCTACCTGTCGCATGAAATCAGCGCCGAAGGCTTGCGAGCGAAACCCAAGATCGCGAAGGGTGTGAATGATTTGCCATTTCCGTCGACACTCAAAGGCGTGCAGTCATTTCTGGGAAGCATCAACTGCTACAACAAGTTTATCGAGGATCTTCCTGTTATAGCATTGGTGCTTTACGAGCTGACCGAGGAGCAAGTCCGGGAAGGACGAGACTTGGGGCGCGCCAAAGAGGCTTTCGAGATTCTGAAGAAGAAGATCGTCTCGACGCCGCTGTTACGACACCCGGACCGAGAGAAGGGCTTTGTTGGGATCCAGCTTGCGAATCCTTGGGCTGCAAGTGCTGGCTTGGGCCAAGAATATGACGGTGTGATTTTTCCTGTTAGGTATACTGGCAAAACTCTCAATGAGTCTGAGATTAAGTATCATCCGGCTGAGAAAGAGGTGGTGGCGTTGTTGCGCGTCCTGCGAGTGTTTCATTGTATGCTTGCTGGGAGTCACATCAAGGTCTACACTCGTTACTCAGTCCTGCGGTGGATTTTCACTTCGTCATCATTGGAGGGACGTTGTCAACGGTGGGCCACCCTGCTCTCGCCTTGGGATCTAGAAATTCACCGGATTGAGAGGGACGAGGATGGCCTGGCAGCCATCATGGGCGCTGGGATTACGCCTCGTGAACATCTCGATAACGTGGCAGAATCCCTGATTCCTAGGAAAGGACGAGTGACCGATTAGTGAGGAGATGTTGGAAGAGGATTTCTCAGGTTACCTGCTCAGCTTTGATGGCGCTGCGAAGACGTCTACCAGGCAAGGTAGCTGTGGTTGTATCTTGTGGAAGCTCCCAGAGTGGACTGTGGTCAGCGCGCGAGGTTACTTCCTGGAAGATGTGACGGTCAATGATGCAGAGTATCATGGCTTGATCAAAGGAGCGACACGGGCTATGGAGCATGGTGTTTACGACTTGGTTGTCGTCGGTGACTCCCGAATCGCTATTCAACAGGCCCAAGGGTTGATCAACTGTCATCAACCGAACCTTCAGCGCCTGTTAAGTGAGTTCGATTCGGTTCGTCAGAAGTTCCAGTCTGTGAAGTTGATTCATGTGAAGCGGGAATTCAACCAGGCTGCGGACTATCTCATAAGTCGGACTCTAGCCGCTGGAGAATCACTGGTTATCGATGATCCCCTTGAGCTGTCGCATTTGCGTTTGATGAATCGCATCCCTGAGAAGCTGGTGAAACAGTCTGAATCTGGAGTTGTCGATCCATTGGTCGAAGGCACTGCTGAGCGTCGAGTACTGAGAGCAGTCGTAGATGAGTTCCCAGATTATGACAACGCACCACTTTCTCTTGGCGCGCGCGTGCTAGCCGCTCTGACCCGGAGCCAAGCCCAAGCGGAAGTTCGTGATGCAGAGGAGACGGAGTCTGATACCCCAGGCATGACACCTTTGGAGTTCCAAGCAGAGCGCTGGCGCCGCATTAAGGCTCACCAAGATGGCGATCCATGGATGCGACAGTTGAAAGCTTTCCTGCGAGGTGATCTCTCTGAACTCTCTGAACTGGAAGCACAGAGGTTGGCGAAGATTGCTGACAATTATGACACGAGGCGGTCCCCAGAAAATTGCCGACGATGTGCCGTCACCTCTGTGACCTGGAGTTTGTATCGGATGCTGATTGGTGGATGACTTGGATACGGCGCGGCTGTACCCGTGTGACATGGATGGCGACTGTGGGAGAGAAGTGATTTCTCGGGATGAATTTAGCGCCTGACCGCAGATGGGCCCAACTGGCTGGAAGTGTGAATCCTGGGAGTGCACGCCCAGGATTTCAGAGAACACTCAGTCCAGCCGCGGACTTTCCCTTACGATGAGTGCCTAAAGTCTGGCGGAAAGTGTCTCTGGAGAATGTATCCCAGAGTACGCCTCATCTTGCTGTGGCTCAGAGTGCCCCAGAGGATCAAATTACCCTGTGAATCAACCCACTACTACCCTGATCATGCGCAGGAGGCCGCTAAACCCACTAAAAGTGTGGCTTTGAGGAGATACACACGAGTCTGCACTGCAGCAGACTTGTTACCCAGAGTGTCGCACGGAAACCTAGAGTGTCGCACGATGACCCAGAGTTCGCCTCCCTGAGTGCAGGTGACCCAGAGTCCCAAAGATGATTCTCTGGGTTTGGACCATAAATCCAGACTCTCTATACTGAACCTAAGTGTTTCCCAAGCCAACACCCAAGAATCCCTACAGCTCCCCAAGATTCCTCAGAATTCCCAGGATTTCAGAAGATGACCCGGAGTGTCACCTGATTCTCAGGGATTCGAGTCAGTTCGAAGTCAGTCTGCATTCAAAGTGATGCGTGACCTTGAAGAAACCGCTATGGATGCGCAGACTGGATACTTTCGAGGAGTCGAGAGGGAGTCCTGCACCATACTAAACCAAGGCTAAGGACCCACAATTGGCACTTTCGACACCGTGCGACAATGGATTCGCAAGCCGATCGCAAGTTTGGACCGCTGAACCCAAGGTATACTCAAGACAATACGTTTGACCCCAAGCGTAGTAAACAGAAGATATTTGCCCGAAGAAGAGAGAGAGAGAGAGAGAGAGAGAGAGAGAGAGAGAGAGAGAGAGAGAGAGAGAGAGAGAAGTAGCTGATAAAAACCAAACAGAGTTCATTTTACCCTGTACTCCGCAAGTGACTTCGGCCAAGCCTGCCGACGGAAATCCGGAGGACCCGAGACTACGACCGCGTCCAAGCCTGCCGACGGAAATCCGGAGGACCCGAGACTACAGGACGCTAAGGGCACATCAACGGCGAAGGACAGCCGTCTGTGTGGGCCCCATCAAACTCAAGTCCAGTTAGGTGGTGACCAGCGATGGCCTTGAGCTTCTTGGGGTGATCCATCTATTCCATATCCTAGTTGGGTCACTTGCTGTGCTCGTGGTAGCCCATTTCATATTATTCCAGAGGGTATTCTGGGGTGCTAGGTACTCGCCTCCAGGATTTTGTATTGACTGCTTGTGTGAAGGGAAGGTAACTGATAGTGATTGTATTTTCCTTCTTTATTGGAGGTGGTGCGCGTTTGTGTGAGTCTCAGGGGAGCTAGGCCCCTGAATTTCAGACTCGAGTGAGCCTAGTGTGTGTGTGACCCACCGTCCAAGGGTCCAAAAGAATAAGTGACGGCTAGTTGTAGTGTTTGTATACTCTGTATTTGTTGGTTTTATCGAGCTAGGAGGGCATTTGGGTAAGGTGTCTTCTGAGTTCCAAGTCCCAGAGTTGACTGAAATCCTGGACCCTGAATTCGTGATATTCTGGGTTTCAGGGGATCTGATTCTCTGGGTTTGCCTTTTGGTGTGGAGGTGCATTCTGAAGTAGACGTGCGCTCCCGCACTTCTTCGAGGCTACATTTTCAACCGATGGAGTGCCGTTCCGTCGAAGACAAACGAGCCGACAGGGATTACACAAGGTACCCACGCCAACCAAGGAGTGTGATTCTCAGGGTTTAAAGCGTTGCGGCTGCGAATCTCTGGGTCTATCTTCTTGCTGTTGACTCTCAAGTCGATTCTCTGGGTCAACCCCTGGGGAACAGTCTTGGGCTGCGCTATACGAACCCCCCCTGGGCGACAAAGGTTTCATCGGCCTCGCCTCAACTATGTCTTGGATTCCCGAGACGTTCCGTACTATCTGAGCCGATCGACTGCTTCTAGGCCAATAGATGCACGAGATGAACCTCGATTAGTGGTTCCTCACGGTCTGCGCCAGGCCTTGCTGCATCACTGTCACGAAGAGCTTCAAGGCGGTCACCAAGGAATTACGCGGACGCACAAACGCCGGCGTCGAGAGTTCTTTTGGCCAGGCCTCTACGCTGATGTTGAACGTTTTGTCAAGGAGTGTGTGGACTGCGCCTCTGGAAAGGGGAAGCCGCCTAATCCCGGGCCGTCGCCTGGAAATATTGAGCCCAACGCTCCGTTCGAAGTGCTGTCGATGGACTTTGTCACGCACCTCCCGAAATCTGAACGAGGGAATACGTTTCTCTTGCTTTTTTCAGGATATGTTCTCGGGTTTCGTGATGTGTAAGCCCATGAGTTCGACGACAGCACAAGACGTAGTTGAAGCTTATGAAGAGGCTGGCTTCCGGCGCTTCGGCGCGAGCTCCATGCTCAGGCACGACCAAGACCCCAGATTATGAGCGAAGTTTTCAGTCGATTCAGGGAAATGCTGGGCACCAAACAGCGAGCGACGTTGGCGTATCGCCCTCAAGCCAATGGGCAACAAGAAAGATCGGTGCAGACTATGGTGAGGAGCATCCGGGCCTATGTAGCGGAAGCAGATCAGAGCGACTGGGATGATCATGCGGAGATGTTGGTGTTCGCCTTAAACACCTTTGATTCGACCCGGCTCGAAACGCCCTTTTATCTGGTCCATGGCTGGGATGCGAAGAGCACTGTGTCGGCTATGCTAGGTCCACCACCCACGGGGCTGGAACAGAAGTCGGCTTACGAGTGGAGACGCAAGTTGCAACGCGATTATAGTTTCGCCCATGCTTGGGCTCGAGACTTGCAGAAGGAAGCTAAACGGCTGAGCTCAGAAGCCCAGACTCAGAAATGGCGGGAATTATCGGGAAGACTCAAAGCTGGATTCCAAGTTGGTGACTCTGTCTGGCTGTATCTGGCCCGTGTGCAACCCGGGTTGACCAAGAAATTCGCGCATATGTGGCATGGTCTCTTTCGAATTGAAGAAGTCCGCAATGATTTCCGCGTACGGCTAACGATCGAAGGCACCAGCTATCGAATAGGTCCCTGGGTACACATCAGCAGGTTGAAGCCGAGGGCGCTCTTCCCAGAACGCCCAACGGTGGAGATCGAAGTGGCCGAAGAGGCTGACTTCGACGCAGCATTATTACCAGAAGATAGCTGGGATCCTAAAGATCAATCCGGTGTGTACGAGGTGGAGATTATCAAAGACGTCCGCTGGACGAAGAGGGCTAGAACCGCGCGAGGGGTTCGTGAATATCTCGTGAAATGGAAAGGATACTCAGATTTGGAATGGCTCCCGGGGACGCAGCTAAGTTCTGGTAACCTGCTCTACGAGTTCAACAAGGGCGCTAAGGCGCGGGCTCGATTTCGCGCGATGCAAGCAGGTGGTGATTCCGACGCTGTGGGGAACTCCCAGCAGTTCTGGGATTCAGGCGCTGGATGTGATTATGTGTGTACGAGTCTGACGCTATGACGACTTGACCCGACAACAACAAATTGGATTGGTTCCAGAATGATGAATGACTGTTGAAGTGATGATTTGGCGACTGGAGATGAAGCGTGACCAACGGGAGTGTAGCGTGAAGCCCAACTCGACAGTGACACGCGAAGATTGCCGCAGGTGGTGACCGCTGCAACGACCGTCGAACCTGCATTGTATACGCTGCTTCCTTGCACGTGCTGGTACATGGAGCTAGGGCGAGTGGTCATGCGAGCTGCGCGGGGCTGCTAGCGCTCGGACGCCTCCCTTTCGAAGGCGCGCGCGCGTGGCTCCGTTCCTGCTGCGCAAGGCCGCTTTGCTGGTGATGATCGGGTTGCTTCGACCCGCGTGTCGTCTGAGTGCCTCGCGGCCCAGACTAGAGTTCGGATGTTGGACCGTTCGACCCATCTCGACTCTCCAGTTGCCTCCGTGGCTCGAATTGGCCAATGGGGCGGTTGTGACGCGGTGTCGATCCCTAAATTCGGGTGAATGCACCTGAACCTGGGAAGTCCCAATGATGTGGAGCTTGGTGATACTGGATGATTTGGAGTCTCCTATAAAAACAAGGGTAATGTCTGCGAATGGACGCTGAACCCCGGAAGATAGATCAATGTGGGCGAGTTGATCCCGTTCTATGAAGTGCAACGGAATGCGAGCGATCCTCCCCAGTATATCTAAGTACGGCGGAACTCGACTCTGGCTTACAACCTGGGAGCTGAGGCACTTCTCAGATTCCCCGTTGTTTTCCCGGAATAACGATTCCCAGACTTCGCGTTCCCAGACTTACCTCCCACAAAATTCCAAGAACGACCTCGGCTTGAGGCGTTCCGAGGCTCCAAACACAAGAACACTTGGTTTCACTATGGCATCTTCCAAGATCCTAGGTGTACCCAACAACTCCGAGAAGGTATCCAGTTTGGCGACCCTTCAAGGCCAGACCAACACTCCGCAGAAAGATCGCAGTCTCCGAAGGGTCGCTTAGGAAAGATTTCGTCTGCATGTGACCTTTAACCAAACAGAGTTCGTTTTGCTTCGAAGGGCACAAGTGCTTCTTTCACAGCCTGGAAGGCCGTTCTCCACGACAAAATTCAAAGTACTTTAGGTAAGTGATCCACTACTTCGGCCTGGAAGTGATCATATCTATTCCATATCTGTATATTTGGCGGCTTGCAGACCGTCTTTGTTGTATATTTGCGGTCTATTGGGCCTGTGTCGAACTGAAGAAGTTGGCGACAGGGTAGATCGTTTCCTCTCTCCGAGAGGTGGTGCGCGTCCCCAAGATTGATCAAGTGTCTTGGATTTGGACCAGTTGACTTGTATTTTGGCCTTAGCCTTGGGCCTAGAGAAAGAAGAGAGGGCAAAGAAGTATTTGTGTGATTGTATAACGTGTATAACTCTATTTGGGTTGGATTGTTCTAGCGTTAGCCCGGCGTAGCTGTCTGATTCACGGGGTCGGTACTAACCTCCTGGTGAAAAGAACCGCTACCCAAGGGATACACATCGTGCGCCTGACCAACAGCGTGTACTGGACAACACACACCCTGTGCCAGCCGAGACGGATCCAAAGCTCTAGTAGCCTGAGGTCTGTCAAGGAGGGCCTATAACTGTTTTCTGGGAGAAAACACCGCATCGCCTCGTCACAGCTGGTGCGCGTGCCCGGATCAGGGGTTGGAAGTTGAACGTGCATTGCGAGAGTTATGTCTACTAACGCTAACGCGATTGTGCCTGCTTCGAGTCCTGGAGGACGCGGACGAGGTCGTGGACGCGGTCAAGGTGCTCAACGAGTGTCAAGACCGCTGCAACTCCCTGTCCCGCCTCCGGGGTCCGGACAAGGTCCTGCGATGTCGACGGAGACCAAACAACAACTGGCGCTGGCCGAACCAGCGCGCCCGACATCGACCCATTCGACGCCAAGACGAGCTTCTCAAGTGATGGTCCCCGTTCTGTGCAGTCCAGCTCTGGACGGCCCCTAGACCGTGGTTCCGACGCTCAAGCAGCACGTCTGCCGACGGAGTTGGCGCTTCGTCAAGGCGCCTTACTACGTCCGATGAATTGCCGCTTCAGATAGAGCCGCGGTTGACCGTGGGCTCCGAGACCGATACACTAGACTCTATCCTGCGAACGTCCGTGACGGGTCCTTCGAGTTTCAAGATTCCTGCAAATGGCATAACCAAGACAACAACGACGCCCACCAACAGTGGAGAGCATGGGCCGACGACGTGGACACCGCCTCCGTGAGCTTCAGCTTCCCGTCACGCGCATGGAACACAGCGCTGATATCATCAAAGACCGTAGCGCCGACATCAGCTGTGGAAATCCCGCTCCGGGACTACCTGGCCTACCGCGAGAAGTATGTGATGACGGATAACTGGGATCCTGCCAAGCTGTATTCAACCTTCCAGCAAGGACTGTCGAGGCTGGGACTTGCTAGCGCGTCAGTTGGTGTTTCACCAACTCCGCAGTCATTCGACGACCTAGTCCATGTCGTCGCAAGTGAGCTGAAGGCAGCTATGCCAAGCAACACGCAAGTTGGTGACCTGGTCCTCCGACTTGAACGCCGAGAACTGGCTGAAGACGTGCGCTTCACGAGTTTGACGGTATCTGTTCCAGTCGAACCTGACAGTGGCAGCGTGGGGACTACGCGTTGTGGATCGACCGGGTGCGTGTATGCTACGTCGACAAGCGTCCTGGAGAAACTCCACATGCAACCCGGCGTGTCCATCGCGACATACCATCAGGACGACAACTCCGCCTTGGTATACGGCGCCGGAAACGAGTACGTACAGGACCTCGGAACATCTCAGACTCTGCACGAAGTGCTGACGCTGTCGATGGGCAAACTCTCATGGGAGCTGAACCCACTGCACATTCGTCACGAAGCAGCGTGTGCGGACGACGGCGATGAGCAGTGCCTTGGCTTGAGTCTGCCATTCGCAACGGGTGATGGGGTACTGCTTGTCGGCTAGGACGCGTTGGCTACACAGCACGTGACACGGCCTGTTGCTCTCGTGACATTGCATCCTGCCGCGATCCCGGATATGACTCGTCCGGGGGACGAGGTGCTCACGTCTTGGCACCGAATCGTATCGGCGAACGGTATACTCGTGCGTCCAAGCCAAACGACCGATTGCGATCCGCGGGTGGACTCGTACCTAAATCACATCGAGACGAACCACTTCTACCTGGACGGTCAGTCGTCGCAAGAAATGTACTCTGTGGCGTTGTTTTACCTGTTGCAGCGTGGAGTCCCGACATCCTACGCGGGTCTCATGTCTCGACGGCGTCTGGCACTCTCGGCCGTCATGGCATCGAGCAGTTCTGGCTCGGGTTCAGGCAACGGAGCCACCACGGATATCGAAGTGAACGTCCCGACAGCAATGGCGGTAGTGACGTTAGCCGGTTGTATTTTCATCGTTCTGCTGATGCTGTGCGTAGTTTTCCTACCCACGTCTCGAGTGAAGCTGTCGCCTGACACGACCCCCGCTGCGCAGTACGTGCAGGTCTTGACGGACGACTTGTATCCAGACATTGTACACAAGAAGCGGTTGCGCTTCGCGAACGGCAACTGTCTTCTGTTTAACGAGTACGTCGTCAACGCCATTGTTTTGCACGCCAAGCGTGATCAAACCAAGAAGATCTAGCTGTAGCTATCGAATATTTGCTAACAGTAAGCGTAATGGCCTGTTCCAGGCACAAGGATAAGTCCATACTAATACTTTTTAAATACTGCCACGAAAGTATCTAAATCTTAAAAAGTTGTTTAAATACGTTCGTGGCAGTATTTCTTAAAAAAAATTGGCAACACCTTGCGAAGATCAGCTCGAATTAGACACCCGTTAGCCATGCAGTGTGTGCTCCAAAACGACGGGAACGATAGAGGGGCACTTGCCGATGCTTCAGTGGCTTCTGAGGGAAGGCTTCCCGGGCGAAAACCGTCGAGTTCCGCTTTCAAGTAAAAACTTGGACGTTAGCAAGTGGCTGGTGGAGTCTGGCATGGATGGTGATGCCGACTACGCTTTTGCAAACGCCTGTGGCGAGGGTCCGATGCCAGTTGTGTGGTGGCTTGCAGACCATTTACATGCCAAAAACATCACTCTGGGCCCCGAAGCAGCTCAAGACGCACTGGATTCCGCAGCAGAACATGGGCGCCTCAAGGTTGAGAAATGGCTGCTCGAGCGCAATATCGGGAACGACACCACGTGGTCTATTCACGTCGCTGCATCAAACGGTCACTTATCTTCATTCGCAGGGACTCACTGGATGTGTGCACGAAACTTTGGCGGTTGCTGCCAAAAGCGGCCATCTGACGTCGTCAAGTGGTTGTGGGCTGAGTTTGGTGATGATTCGCAAGTGGACTTACTTTGCTTGCACGGCAGGCGACGAGAGTTTGTATCGTGGGCATCACCATTGGAAGTTGATAAGTGCGACGCGGCCAGCAACGGCCATCTAGCTGTGGTTCAGTACCTGCACACGGTCGCACTCACGCTTGTGGGGAAAAAGAGGATGCGGGGCGAAACGCACCGACACCCCCGCACTATTGAGATGGACTGTGTGGTGACCGAAGCTGCCAGAAATGGGTATTTGTGTGAGATGAAAGTGAGATGCTTGTGAGATACCAGTGTCGAGGCACGACACTGGCAGATCACTATTGTACTCGTAAGCGTGTGGTTGCCACGCGCGGCTATCGTGATATCCAGCTCTGCCGCGCTACGACAAACAACACTGTGTGAGTTTAAGTAAGGAAAAGGTGATCAATGGTTGAGAGCACGAAGGCTCTGCTTCGTGTTCTATTGCGAAGGACAACATGTATTGAGATTTAGTGTAGTTATCTTGCTGGGTGTATTGCTGCTAATACACTGACTGCTGGTGAGCGGTAGTTTGGCTGAAGGTTCCCACTCACTCGAGAACTTGACGCCTGCGGCGCAAGTGGGAACCTCTACCGAATTGCTGCTGTGCCTGTCGTGGCGTTCTGCCTCGGCACTTACGTGTTTCTTAGTCTTACCTCTATCTACTTTGCAAGACTATGACAGTAAATCTGCGTAGTAGTAGCAACATGGAGCCTAACACCTCTCAATTTGGATGTTGTGCAATGGGTTTGCATGAATACTGTAGTCAGTTCGACTGAAGATGCGATGGCTTGTGCTGCAAGTGAAGGTCATTTGCCAGTCTTGCAGTGGTTGCACGCCAACCGCTCGGAGGAATGCCGAACTGAAGTGACTGACCAAGCGGCAGGCTGAAAGAACTTGTCTGTGCTGAAGTGGGTGTTTGCTAATCGATCTGACGGCGAAGAGTACTCGACGCACGCGCTCAATTGTGCTGCTGGCAGTGGCTATCTACCTATTCTCCGGTGGTTAGATGATAACCCACCAGAATGGTATGAAGGCGACGATAACGTCCAGGCCATGAGGTTAGCCATGGAAGGTAACCACTTCGACGCGCTTCTGTTTATTCACGCCGAGTGTAGAGAATGGGGAGGTGAGACCGTCTGGTTTAAGGACGATATTATCTACAACCAGCACATTGAGGCGTGGCTTGAAGAGCAACTGCCTGAATCCGACTAACGCTGTCATGCCAGATAGAATCGGAAATGCATAGCATCAGCACCATTGGATATCCCAAAGCATCATATTATTCTGATACACATACTTTTCGAGAGACGGGATAGCATTGACTTACTAATCTGGCCTGGTATTTGTTGCTATCCAAACTCGTAAATTACTACTTCGAAGTATGTTTTTTTACTGATCCCAAATAAAACCATCGTGTTCTCCTAAACGTCACCAGGTGGAAACATTCTAAAGCTTCGTCTTCATCAAAATCTTGGATGCTGATTCACAACGGTCTCGAGCAAAACGCAATAACTACAAGTTAAGGCAATTGGAGCTTCGGAAAGAAAGCGCTGATTGGTCCCATAGCTCGAAAACCCACGAAGTCCGTGGAAGCTGTTGTGTAATTTAGTCTGCGAAGATTGTATCGGGAACGCGGGCTACTTGGTACTGCGAAGTAGCCCGTGCTCGCTCATCTTCTTTTCTCGTCTATTTTGTGTGACTGTTTTGGTATCCATTCATGAACTCTTTTAGGCAATCTTACATGAATATATCCATGATAGGATGCAAATAACACAAGTTGCCCTAACGAAATGGTACCCACGCAAGGAGACCTCCCAGACGATGCTAGAGAGCTGCTCCCTCTCGCCACGGCGACCCTCGCTCTCCGCGACCGCTATCACTTCTCTAAACCACGTGGTTGACCTCACTGCTCGGCTCGCTCTCCCTGCTGGATCGAATTTGGATGCAGAGCCTGCTTCCTATCGGCAAGTATCGGCGCTGGTGCCCCGCCGCGTCGCTACAGACCAATCGCCACTACAAGCGCTGGCAGTTCTCTCAGTCACTACTGCAAGCGGTTCGAAGACGAGATCTGAGCGTCGTGCAGTGGATACTCAACCACTTCACACATTGCGGCAGGCCAACTGAAGATTCTGGAGCTTCTGCACGACAACGATTGCAAGTACACTCAGGATGTGTACGAGTTTGCCTACACCGCTGCTATTAGGGGTGAAGAGATTCTTGTTGAAGGCAATGGTGTAACGTGGGGGGGGGGGGGCAAGGACATGCTGCTAGCTGCTAAGAATGGTCATCATGACGTCGTGCGTTGGCTGCATGAACACACTGGAGGTGTCGATCGCAAAGAGGGCCGCGTGCTGAAGTATGTCGTGCGCACTGGTGGGGGACTTGGCGCTGGTCCAATGGTTGTGCTCGCGAGACATTATGGTGGGCGACCCGCTGGTAGTAGCTAATGAAGCTGCCGCAGCGGGAAACTTGCCGATGCTCCGGTGGTTGATCACAGAGTTCGCAGAGGACTTCGAGGAGAACGAATTAAAGTACGCGATTGAACTCCCACGCGATCACTTGGACGTTATCAAATGGTTGCTGGACTCCGAGATTGCAAGCGACGTGAATGGAGCTTTTGCTGCTGCTTGTGGCCATAGCCCACTGCCTGTGGTGTGGTGGTTTATCGAATAAATCGAGGAGAACAATGAAATTATCGAAATTGACTCAACTCGGACCGCCATGGAGCGTGCGGCAGCCCACGGTCGCCTCGACGTCGTCAAATGGCTGCTCGAGAATACCTTTGGAAACAGCCACGATTGCAAACGCGCGATTCACTTTGCTGCGGCAAACGGCCACTTGGAGGTGGCGAAGTATCTCCGTACCGAGGGCTTTACTGCGTGTGATTTTATGGCCATGGAGAAGGCTGCGAAGGCTGGTTACCTGGAAGTAATTCAGTGGTTGTGGACGGAGTTCGGGGATGATGACCAAGCAGACCTACCGCATCTTTCAGGAAAGCAGAACACACCTTTCGAGAGTGCGATCACAGCAGCAGCCGGTGCTGGCCACCTAGTTGTGGTGCAGTACTTACACGAGCTAGCGCTGTCCGTGACTGGGAAAAAGCGGAAACTGGACCAGGAGGGTCGACACCCCGGCAAAGTCGTGACGGACAGGGCAGTCGCTGAAGCTGCTCGAAATGGACACTTCGATGTGGTACAATGGCTGTGTACCCACACCACTGTTGAATCGACTGATGGCGCCATGTCTAATGCTGCGTACTCGGAGCATATCGACATCGTTCTGTGGCTGCACGAAAATCGCTCGGAACGCTACTCGACGATGGTGATGGATGCAGCTTCCCTCCGGGGAAACTTGACAATGCTGAAATGGCTCCGCGCCAACCGACCGAACGAAGGATACTCAACCCTCGGCATTTCGTTGCTCTCCAAGCTTTAGCGTCAACCGTTTGGCCGTGATTCGGTGGCTGACCGCAGTACCGCCGTTAAAAATCTTCGACCGCAAGCACATGAGAAGCGCTGTGATGAACAACAACTTCGACGTGGTGCTCTTCTGGAACTCCGCAGGCTACGAGTGCTATCGAATCGACTGGGATCGACTGGGAGATGGATCTGGATATCAACGCTCACATCCTGGCGTGGCTCGTAGACGAGCTAAACATTGTGCCTAGCGAAAACTACCGCAGAGTACGACTCCGAGTCCGACTGAAATGAAGCCATTCCGTCACAAGTCACAGATTGTAATGCCTTACTGCCTCAGACATAATAGTTAAGAGCGTACCGTGCTTTACAATCGTACTTAACCGAGGACTTACTCGTATCCACCAGCTCCTCATTCCCAATTTTTCCACATCTGCCAACCATTGTTTCTTTAGACGGATACAGGGCACCATTACCGTATATATCTTCCGAGGCCTCTTCCCCCAGGATCGAGATGATAGGACAAACTTCTTTCCCCATACGACCGACGCTGAGTACAGCCGAAAGACCCGACGTTCTTTTGCCAGGACGTTGGTGCTAGTTTGATCGATCCACTGCCAGTTGCGTGTCTGCACTTCTATTTATATGTTTTTGCTCGCTTGGATGTGCGCGAGTTGTGCAGGCATGCCACTCAAACTTAGGATTCCTAAGTCAGGACACCTTTCAAAAAGGCCTGAGCTTTTTGTGGCTGTTTGGTTGAGGCAAGCGTCGTTGTATTGCTGAAAACAAAATCACTTTCTGCTGCCTTCCCACTCAGCTTGCCGATTGTGGTACAGGTATCGATGATACGTGTCCGTGTATGTGTCAGTTGAGAAGGTGATGATTCAAAAATGCATAGTTCAACTGAACAGCTCCCAAGGCTTCTGTTGATAACATTCCATCAAAGTCTTTCGCTCCTATCTGATTCTCAACAATAGCGCCTTCAGCATGTTTGCTCACGATTGAAATGTTGTTTTCAAGATAATCCAACTCTGAAGCCTATGTGTAGATTGAAAATCTAGAGCTTCTTAACCCTGATCAATCGCAACCAAACCAACTCGCACTCCTCTTGCTTGCATTGGAGTCCCATGCTGTGAGAATGCTGCAAGTTGGCAGCGATCTCATCGTGACGCAGCCCGCAACTAAGTTGACTGTGAATACGGTACGTATGCACGAGAAACGCACAGCGTCGAAGAGTCAACGATCCAGTGCTACATTTACGAACACAGTCACTGCAACTACACTCGGTGGCTATTCCTACAACTTGAGCATACACTGACGCGCGTGACGATAAATAGTCTTGACGCCTTCCTCGGACAGGCAGAGGTACTCGCCTCACTGCGCCACAATTAAAGAGCGTTGTTCAGCGTGACAACCAGCAGCGCGTCCATCAGGCCTTTGACGCCGAGCTGTCTTGTCTCCGAGAGTCCAGCCGCCAGACCTCGCAGCCTGCTCGAGTGCTCGATGCGGTCCGTCGTCTCCTGCAGTCGCACTTGCCTGCGCTCCTTGCACTGGGCCAGGTACGCGGCCATGCGTCGCTGGTACGTGAGCATCTCTTCGTCCTCACAGACCGGGGCGTCCACGACTTCTTCGATCCACGCCATGCAGTCGCTGGCGCACTGCTCGGCGTCGTCCTCGCTGGCCGCGGACAGGTCGTACGTCAGCGCCGCCTTGCACGAGAGCGGCACGCTCGGGGCCTCGCTGCTGGAGGCGGCGTCAGACTCGAGAGACGCGCGAATCGCGGCGATTTGAGCTTGCACCTGCTGCTGCTGCTCGCCTGAGCAGGACGAAGACGTCGTGGAGGCGGCGCTGAGGCCGAAGCCCATTGCAGCAACCAGAGCGATGATACGAAAAGATGGCATGGTCTGCTCCGTGGGTGGGAAGATGAAAAGTGAATCTCCTCGGGGGCTGCGCTGCACGCGAGGTTCGACTGGCCAGACAGGCCGCGGTCCATAATCCTCGGCCTTGTCCACATTGTATGGCACGGATGTCTTATGGTCGGGTCTCTCCCAACAGCTCCGTAGATGGGCGCTGACTTGACCTGACCTACAGCATAAACCTATGGAAAACGCTTCATCGATGCGGTACAATACAATGTGAAGAGACCTGATTATGGCATTTACCCATTGATGGGACTGGCGTATGGATCGGGTGTGTCCTACACAACCCCACAGCAGTCTCAGATTCCGAGGCAAAGCACTCCGCCGCTATCTCGGTGTCCTGCACGTGCTGCTGGTCACCCCACTGAGCAATTAAGCTATTCAAGTAGATTACCCTTGATTTGTTGCAACGTAAGTAGGTTTGTGTTACTACTTATAAGTAGGTTAGGGCCAAACCTACATATCCGTTTTCTAAACGTTATATACGCTTTTATGATTATCTTATACATGTAAGCTACCGGTGTGACAGTCCCAGCAACGCAAGTTTTACTACATGTATCATGCTTCAGTACAGGGTAAAGTTGACGAGCGATAGCGGGCTAGATGTGTCGCCAGCTAATTGTCTTTTGCGGGGACCATGCTCCGCAAAGTTATTACAGTACCGTGTAAACCTTATGGCATGAAGCACGAATACGTTTATACAGTGCAAAGTTGCCCTATCTAGCCTGCCCCCGAATCAAACATCCTTAACAACATCATAAAATATTTATGTCGCACGCTTGTCATCTTCATTCGCTTGCTTTACCGGATAGTGTACTTCGCAAACATGTTCGCGATTTTCACAGTATACCAATTAGCGGTAAGTGCTGTCTACTAACGCATTTGTACGTTTGCTGCTCTATCATTTGCGTGCAATGTTATTTTGCAAAATTTCACGGATCCGCTCGCGAACTGTTACCCGATGTCGAATCTGCATTCCGCGCACGCACCACAACGTAGTCAGAGTAATCTAAGGTAAGGGGATCACTATTGGTATGCTATAGAGACTTCTCGCCCGAGATTTTTTAGATTTAGACAACCGAAACCGAGTTTCAAGAAGAATGATTCAAACCGTCTAACCCACAAACATGTTAGGTAGATTTACTACACACTAACAAACCGTTTGTAAACGCTAGTGTTAGCTATACAATGAGTATTTATGCGAACACTAATGTAAACACGAGGCACCCTGAATATTGGTTGATGCTGGTGTTCTTGTCCGCACGGGTGGGCTCGGAATCTGCTAGCCGTTTAACCAGGGATCGCTCTGTGGGGTGAGTGTCGTAGCACCACCATCCAACGCCTTACCGACGCTTTAGCAATGTTTTATTCACAGTTTAAGTTCCTGATTCACAGGTATGTACAGGTTTGGTGATATGATTCTTTCCCATTATCGTCGGTATGCGGGGTTGAAGTAGAGCTCACCCTGAGCGCAATCGGCGTTAACCCCGAAAAAATATATCCTATTATCGTCAAGCAAATACATGTTACCGACGCTAACACCAAGTCGGCAATTCTTAAAGCGGCGCTATAAGACAATCATAAAACCTATATAACGTTTAGAAACGGATAAGTAGGTTCGGTCCTTACCTACTTATAAGCCGTGACACAAACCTACTTACGTTGCAACAAATCAGGGATAATCTACTTGAAAAGCTTAATTTCTCCACCCCAGTCGGGTCCTATGACTTTCGGTGACAAGAAACCGCAAGCTCTGAATATTTCAGCCTGAAGACAAAGCCATACGTCGTCACAGTGACGGTGTGACACGGTGTAACCCGATGACTGGCAGACAGTTTGAGTCTGGGCACTTTGAAGTTGGTTGATACTTAGACCTCAGTGAGGTCACCTCACACCCCGGACTTCCATTTGAAAGTCGTAGCACGACTTGAATTGCTTGATTATCTATGTACATGTATGCTAGGGAATTTCTCCGAGCATTCATTTCTTCCGAGTGATTCATTCGCCATGTCTTCAAAAACTCTTGACCACCCCCTCCCGCGCGCGCACACGAAGCTCTCGTCCAACTTAAGTTCTACAAGAACACTTTTGAATCCTTCGCGACATCCTCTTGTAAGCATACATGTAGTACAGGGATACGATCTAGGAAATGCGAGAAAGTAACATTCTCTTAAATTCTTACGGGTAAATGCCCCCATTTCATTCGCTTCCCGAAGATGGGAATGGTGTCGTAACCTGCGGTAGATGCACCTTCGACGCCCGAGGTTCCGCAAAGTAAGCTTACATGTACTTTCAAGCTCAAAGTTTTAAAGGCGACGAAGGGACAATTGGCTTAGTTTCCATTGTACTACTACAAATTGTAGTCTACAATGGAAGCTAAGCCAGTAGTACTATCTATTGCCGCTTGCAAATACTTTGCCCTATAGACCACGCCTGTCTCTTAATATGAGTGGACACGAGATAGGCGAGGGCTGATTTAGCTTTATGCCCGCTTTTAGGCCCAGAAAGTCGGTTTGGTCCGTCTAGAATGGCATTTCTGCGTTTCCAAGTCGTAGAAAAGCGCCTTGGTCGAGAAAACAGAGCCCCAAGCTCGGATCTTAGACCGTACTGGCGAGATATATAAATCAGACCTAGGTCTTAATTAAGAGCTGGCTGGATTAAAATCGAGATTACTAACGAGATAATAAGCATGCGTTGGCCAAAATATCTGCAAACGGCAATACGTACTACTAGTATTGTGCTTTGCAGATAAAATGTCGCCCCGTATTATGGCCTAGATCGAGGAAGGCCGGTCCACAAATCAGTGTACAAAACAGAGGCGGTAGCTCGATTTACTTAGATCGACCTCGAATTGCGCTTTTGAAAACGCAAAAGGGATCGATTTACCGTAGATCGACCTCGTTCTGCCCAGATCCACCAGGAGACCGACCTCGAGCCCTGATTTGGATTGTCGTAGCTCGAGTTATTAGCCGGCCTAAATAGACCGATCTGTCCCTTTCTTTGACCTCGTTTTATTAAATCGACCTCGACTTAATGATAAATCGAGGAGAGCTCCAAGTCAAAACGACAAAACGTTTGCAAAGCACAATACCTCCGCTCGGAAAATAAGGGCAGTTTCAAAAAAAATGCGCATAGCTCCGCCTCGTTTTTTTTGTGAATTATAAGCTGTGCAAAGAGAGTAAAATTAGAGCACGACCAAAAAAAAATTTTATATCAGAATAAGTAACGAGAGTCAAGCCGAGTGCGCATCGAGGCCACCGCATTCAATGTCGCATTAAAGGCCACCACATCAAGGCACCGCAATTCGCCGGGCTGAAGAGACAAGCAGATCAACTGCGAAGTACATGGTCCACCGCCTGCTGCACAGCGTACTTGTTCCGCCTCCAGCATGTTCGTAGGACTGCGAGCAGAGCTTCATTCTTATAGGGGGTCGCCAGGATCTATTCGATGCTCAGCCTGGCAAGCGCGTTCACTACGGTAGCATAGTCGCGTTCTGGATGTCTAGACACGCTCTCCACTTGACCTACATACGCCGCGCGCTTACCTCCTGCCTTGGGATCTTCCTTAGCCTGCGATCATGCTGGACATACATACGCACAAACAGCACGACCGTTAGCACACGAGCGTTCCGCGCGAGTCTACCCAATCATGTACTCACTGAGGAGCCTCACACACGCGGCTTGGGGCTTGAGCCTTGACTTCATGCTCTACGATCGTCCAGCAGCTTGTTACTCTCCCTTGCGAAGTGAACTTGGCGGGAGATTCGAATCAGGACCTCTCTACCCATCCCTCTTCAAAATGATGCAAACGGATACACATTTGTTTAGCAAGGTATCTTCTTAAGGAGGATATAAAACTTGCGAAATCGGAAATAGTTTGAAACTGCCTTTTATTTCCGAACGCAGACACCGTGTAGTGGGGCATCACGTTATCGTACTCCAGTAGATACATGTCGAGGTGCAGCACGATCGCGTTGAATCCCAATCACAAATGCGACCTCACCTTGGGACATCAAAGCAAGTGACTTTGCAACTCGACGTACGGACTCCGAGTGCAATTGTTTCGATTAGAAAGCAAAACAAGCAAAAGCATTACAACGAAGGGTTAACAATACCAATCGAGGCATCTAAAAAGCCTAAGGAATGTCTTAGTTGCGAACGCCGCAAGGTACACTTTGAGCAGCCTCACTCTCAACAGAGGCTGACGACTCCTGAGGTACGGCTTCATCCGCAGCAGACCCACCAATCCCACCAACAGATCCACCAAAGCCGCCCATGGAGCCGCCAAAGTTGCCACTGCCACCAGCGCCGCCGCCGGTGACAGAGTCGCTCGTGGCCACACCACCGTTCGCAGTCAGCGTAGCCGCCGTCTCGACCTCCTGGTTCGCTGACATGTTCACCGCGACCGAAATCCACGTGAACAGACCGTCCGCCACCGAGTCGCCCAGTAGAGCGTACTCGACGATGGGGTCGTATCCGTCCGCCGCGGCCGCCTGCAGCCACATATCGTCCTCGTTGAGCGTGATCTCCTGCGTGTTGGTGACGTACGTGTCTTGCTCGTTCACGGCCGTGATGAGGTCTTGGTAGAAGAAGAACTGGCCGACGTGAGCGATGGAGCTGCCGGAGTACGTTCCGTTCGCCAGCACCGTGTCGTTGTAGTTCCCGATCATGTACAGGTGCGTGGCGCGCTCGACGTAGTGTCCGGGGAAGACCGTCAGCATCTGGGCCACGCCATCGCTGTCCGTCGCCGCAATGCCGCGGCAAAAGGTGGCGTTGATGTTGGAGGCGTCGCTACTGTCTCCGTTACCGTCGGTCACCACGCCAGAGTACACGTCGCGTGCCAGAAGTCCACGTACATGTCGGTCACGGGCTCGCACGTGCTCACGTCGATCACTTGCAGGTCGATGTACATGTCGATGCCGGGCTGGTCCTCGCGCATATCCGAGCGGATGTACTCGCCGGAGACGTAGTACGGTCCGTATGTGACCTCGGGCTCCAGCACACACGACACTTCGTCGCCGAACAGCACGCTGGACGAGGTGTCGGCCGTAACACCCGTGAGGCTGGATTCGTGGTTCGTGGCCACGACCGTGTCGACGTCGAGACGGCGCTGGCGACGCTCACGACGCAGGTTCTCGACGGCTTCGGTGCGGCGGGCGATGGCGCGTTGCTGGAGCTTGCGCATGGACTCGGTGTCGGCGCACTCACCGAGCGCGTGCTTGGCGTTGGCGACGAAGAGCTTGCGCTGGTCGTTGGAGAGCGCGCGGCGAGTGGCCATTTGGTGGGCCAATACGGTGTCGGGGAGAGCGCAAGCGGCGATGGCGGCGGCGACGAGGATGGAGAGAGTCTTGACCATGGTTGGCTGCAGTAGGTGATTTGTGTACTTGTGAAGAAGCTGGAAAGTTGGATTGTGGTGTTTTGTTGGCGCTGTTGTTTTTCGCGGTGGTGGTGGTTGACCCAGGACCAAGTGGCTGCCGGAACCATGATGCGTCGAGGTTGGTTTGGCGCTCGTGTTAGTGAAAGAGTTAGTTTCTGATTAACGTCGCATCGTCTGTTAAACGGCATCGGCAAATTGCCGATGCCGACGGCAACCACAACGTGAAGGTGCGTGAAACGTATACTCGGGGAAGATATCCGTGGCACCACCGCCGGAATCATGCTGCTCGGAGTGCAGCGGGACAGACGAATTATATTTGGTTTTACTTGGCCCCTGTGCATTACAGATCACCAGATCAGCCTGAGACTGTAAGCATGCCACAAACTGCCAGCACCGACGCGTGAGACTCAAAGATATGCCCAGCAAGTGGCAGGTGGGGTGCGGGCTGTCGTCACCATGACATCCACCTGGTTAATCATCTTGCGTGCGCACAACATATCTGTGTGGTGTACCGTACACCGTGATACAGTGAGTCGCCAAAGCGCGCTGCATCTGAGCGCTAACTTAGCGTGTACGTGATGCCAATGGGCTTTCATAGTTCATGAGTTCGCAGTTGCTGCATGCGCTCTTCTTCACCGGGATTAGGTCGTACATGTAATACCAGCACAGGTAAAGCATCGCAAGATCTGAAGAATATAGAGGAACGAACTTCAAATATCAAACAGCAATTCTACAGTCGCAGCTGCAAGATAACTTTCACGATCTTACAAATCTTGTCGTGATCACCAGAACGAGGGAATCCGGACGTCTACACAAATGATGCTGCGATACTTCACTTCCATTGAATGACCCGGGGCTGCACGTACGCCAGTAGTGCTAATGCTATCTACATCGTCGTCTGCGTGGTTGATTCAACCAGGTGCTCAACCGTTGAGTGGACAGTCCGGTACCTTTGCAGTTTGTACATGCGCGTGCATATTGTATGCTTCGCCAATTCCGGAGATACACTTCCAGACCCGACCGTCGTGTAGAAATTCGGCTGCGGGCAGTCACGTGGGCATGACGGACGTGTCAGCGTACATTGAATAGTGACCCTGTCACTATTCCGGGATGGCTACATCGGTCACTCCCCTGGATAGTGACCCAAGTGGCCTCAGAGCCAACAGATACATTTTGTATGACACAAACTATAGGGAACTTAGTATTTGTATGCAGGCCAAATCTGTACCAACCTATAAATACATTCAGTCTTAGATCTACCGCTTTTCAAGTCAAGTCGTCCCCTTCAGACCAGGGACACGTGAACGGCTGTTCACTTGGAGTTTGTATACCTGCTTCCTCTGTTAAGAAGTGCTGTGTACTTGGTAGCACTTGTAGTCAATCCTACCCCTACGCGGGTAGATTGGACTACCTGAATCCTCTGTGGTCTCATCGAGTGAGCCAAGATGGATCGTACGGAGTTTCCCCATCTGAACGACTCGCAGTACGAGTCCGTTCGTAAGATGGCAGGCATCTTTGGGACAGATGCCCTGCGTAGCTTAGCGGCGGCGACGCCGGCTGAGCAGGTTGAGCGTATCAACGCGTTCGACACCTACGAGCGAGGGCTCATCGCCCACGTTCAAGGGCTGCAGGCCACTGCGGCCGCGCCGAAGCCGGTGCAACCGAAGCCCCTGAGGCTGAAGGTTCACCCCTTCGAAGGGAAGGAAGGAGAAAACCTTCACTTCTGGGTTCGAGAGGTTGAGCTCGCGATGGACGCGGCTCTCGTCTCGGACGAGCGACTCCGTGTCGCCTTTGCGCTCTCCAACCTTAGTGGTCGCGCTAAGAGTTGGGCGTATACGCGCGAAGCGACGACGCCTGGATGCTTCGCACCATGGTCCCAGCTGTGCGAGCAGCTGCGGGCCGCGTTTCTTCCGGCGAACTACGAGTACCGCCAGCGTTCGCACTTCCTCGCCTGCAAACAAGGAAGGCGCGAGCTGCATGAGTACATCCAGGAGATGCGAGTGCTCACTGCCTCTTTGGTGGGGAACCCCCTGCCTGAACACATCAAGGTGACCGTGTTCATGGACGGTCTGCGTGTCGGTCCTGCCCGCACGCAACTGTTCCGTGTGCAAGCAAACACTATGGAGGAGACGATTCAGCTCGCCCTCCAGGAGGAGTACAGCCACAAGCAGGCTCGTACCCCCGCCACGGTATGGCAGAGCAACCCTGCCTCTGGCGGTGCGCCTAATGGTAACTCCGGCAATGGAGCGATCAACGGGCCGGTTCCCATGGATCTGGGCATGGCCGAGCAGAGCGACATTCGCTGCTACGGCTGTGGCAAGCTTGGGCACATGAAACGCGCTTGTCCCGCGGGAGGACTGAAGAAGAAGTTCTCTTCGAAGCCCTTTGGCTCTAGGGGTCGCTGGCAGAAGCCGCGCCCCAGGAACCAGGGGAACGCCGGACACCAGTAGGGGCGGGGCGCCCTACAGGGGAAACACTAAGTCTTCATGAGGGGCGTGCGGGTGGCGCACGCCATGGGGACTTAGCCCCTGAGAGTCTCTGTACTCTCGAAGCGGAGAAGGGCAGCGGTGGGCTGCTTGTGGTGCACGCGAGTGTACCGGGATACGATCATCCCTTGAGAATCTCGATCGACTCTGGGGCGTCCAAGAACTTTGCGCGCCGCCAGACTGTCGCACGCAATCGCGACAAGTACGCCGATGCGCTACGAGGCAGCAAAGGCAACGGGCTGGTCTCGGTAAGACTGGCCGACCGTACGGTGGTAGAAGTACCTCGGGTCTACATGGACCTCACTGTCAAGTTCGAGGACTTCGACAGCACGGAGCCGTTCTTGGTCCTAGACATGGACAAGTACGACTTGATCCTTGGCACGCCGTGGCTGGAGAAACACGAGCCTTGGATCGACTGGCGCGGCAAGGCCATCGGGGCCAGCCGTCCCCCACGCTCTGACAGAGCTTTGGTGAGTCATGTTCCCACCTCTGGCAGCAGCTGGGGAGCCCGCGAGGGCCGCCAGGGCGCAGCAGCGTCTAATGAGTTCTTGGGGTCCGTCGAGACTGACGACGACTCCGACCAGGCCGGACAAGGCCTGAGAGTGGAGGTGCCGGACAGCACCTACCAGGTGGGTAACGTAGGTCCACACGCGGGTAACGAAGTACCGCACGCAGCAAGGGCTGCTGGAGAAGGCGCCGCTGGCGTTGGCGTGGGTAACCAAGTTCCACGCGAGGTCACTCAGACCGTAACTGATGAGAAAGGCACTGCAGGCGCTTCCGATGTGGGTAACATAGTTCCACAGGAGGTCACTCAGACCATAACTGATGCGGGAGTCGCTGGAAGCGCTCCTGGTGTGGGTAACCAAGTTCCACACGGCGAGGTGGGTAACATAGTTCCACCCAGCAAGGCGGGTAACCAAGTTCCGCTCAAAAACAAGGCGGGTAACTAAGTTCCGCTCAAGGACAAGGCGGGTAACGTAGTTCCGCACGAGATCGAAAAGATCGGTGGTGCCGTCAAGGCGGCGCCACGAGACGAAGACACCCGAGGGTCACGTCGTAAGCCGGGCCTAGTCGTGTGGCCGACGACGCCAGTCGCCAGTCGCCAGCGACTCCGAGCCTCCAGCCAAGGCTCCAGCCGCCGAAGAGTGTTATCACATCTTCGACGGCGTGACCGGTCGTCGGGTCAAGACAGGAGCTGTCAAGCTCACAACTCTGCCCGAGGTTTCAGAGTTGCTGAACCTTGAGGAGCTCGCCATGGAGGACTTCTTGGCCGAGCTAAAGGCAGGGGAGATCGCAGAGTTGGTTCTCCTCCGACCGGAGTCCACGTCGGCCGAGTTGAACTCGTCCTCGGTCATGGACCAGGCAGTCCTGGAGGAGTTCCAGAGACAGCGCGCGTCGCGCATGGGATCTGAGATTCTTAAGAACCCCCGGGACCCGGTGTACCTCTTGGTGAAGGAGTTTGAGGACGTGGTGTCCAAGGATCCACCGTCCAATCTCCCTCCGGACAGGGGAATTAGGCACGAGATCGATCTCGTGCCGGGCACGAAGTACTGTGTCACGAGGCAATGGCCTCTTCCCCGGGAGCAGTGTGAAGTCATTGATGCCTTCTTTGCCGCCAAGGCGAAGGCAGGCATGGTGCGGGAGTCGAAGTCCCCGCACTCGACGACTACCTTCTGTGTTCGCAAACCGAACGGAAAGTGGCGTCTGGTTCATGCTTATAACAAGCTGAGCAGCGCGACAGTGCCTGCGCAGACACCGATCCCGCGCAAGGACGTGTTGCTCAACAACATGGCCGGCTGCACGCTGTATAGCGCGCTGGACCTGGTGGACGGATACTACCAAATCCTGATGCGCGAGAGCGACATCCCACTCACGGCTGTGAGCACGCCGAGCGGTATGCTCTGGGTGTGGCTGGTCATGCCTCAGGGGCTTTCTAACGCCCCGGCAACGTTCAATCGCTTGGTCACACAACTGTTCCGACCTTTGCGTGCGTTCACACAGACGTACTTTGACGACATCTTCGTCCACAGCCGTGCCGAGGCAGGCCAGACGGCCATGGAGGTGCATCTCCAGCACCTTCGACGTGTGTTCGAAGTCATGCGGGCGAACAAGCTGTACGCCAACATCGACAAGTGTGTGTTCGCAGCTGAGGAGATCAAGGTCCTGGGCTGCTTCGTCAGCAGTGCCGGGGTCCGGGCGGACCCGGAGAAGGTGAAAACCATCGCGGCTTGGCCGCCACCTCGGTCGCAGAAGGACCTACGACAGTGGTTGGGCCTCGCCAACTACCTGCACAAGTATAGTGCAGGCTGCGCCGAGCTGGCACGGCCCTTGTCGGATCTCCTGAAGAAGGATGTCGACTGGCGCTGGGAGCGTCGCCATCAAGATGCTTTTAACGACATCAAAGCGAGCTTACAGCGCGCGCCAGTCCTGGCATTGCCGGACGAGACGAAGCCTTTCAGCGTAGTCTGGCTACGCAATTCGCTGTGCGCTATTGCAGGCCGACGTTGAAGGCCGCGAACGGGTCATCTCGTTCCAGTCCAGGCAGCTCAAGGCAGCCGAACGGAACTATCCATTTCACGACAAGGAGTTACTTGCCATGAAGTACGCTCTTGTCAAGTTCCGAGTGCACCTCCTGGGCTCGACGCCCTTTGTCGTTTATACAGACCACGCGTCCTTGCGGACTGCCGTCAACACGCCGCATCTCTCACAGCGGATGGCGCGTTGGCTGTCATTCTTCGCGGAATACAACTTCCGTGTCGAGTACAAGCCGGGCAAGTTGAACGTGCTTGCCGACGCGCTGTCGCGCCGACCCGACTACGAGCTTGCTCATATTAGTCGGGTCACGACGGATCTGTATGATCGCATCAGGCTGGGGTACCGAGACGATGCCAGTCTCGGACCTCTTGTGCGGTTCTTGGCCGCTGGCTCGGAAGCCAAGGCCGAGTGGCTCACGCCCCGACAACGTGCAAGGCTGCACCGCTATGAGTGGGCTGACGGTTTGCTCCACTATAGGGTCGAGCCCGAGGATCCTCCCCGTATTGTCGTGCCCAACGACGAGGATCTCAAGTACGACATCCTGATGGAGGCGCACGACGCTCCATCCAGTGGCCATCTCGGCCGTGAGGAGACGTACGCGTCTGTCTCGCAGATGTTTTGGTGGCGTCACATGTACAAGTGGGTCGCCACCTACGTCCGTACGTGCGAGACGTGCCAGCGCGTGAAGCCTGCCGGTCACGCCTCGGCACCATTGCAGAGCCTGCCGGTCCCAGCGGACTGCTGGAAGTCGATGAGTCTCGACTTTGTCTTCGGACTTCCGGCCGATGACCGTGGCAACACTGGTGTTGTTGCCTTCGTGTGCTGTCTGAGCAAGATGGTCCACTTTGCTCCAGTTCGTGACACCGTCACTGGCGACGAGGTCGCTCACCTGTTCATGGCCTGTGTCTTCCGACACCACAGTCTGCCCGAGACCATTGTCTCTGGTCGAGACCCGCGGTTCACCGCTACGTTCTGGCAGACGCTGTTTCGCCTTCTCGGCACACGACTGTCGATGTCGACGGCGGACCACCCGCAGACGGATGGCCAGACGGAGCGCGTCAATCGAGTGCTCGAAGACACGCTCCGCAGTATCTGCGCGGAGATGCCCCGCTCTTGGGCTGATCGCTTGCCCATGGTTGAGTTCGCACTCAACAATGCGGTACATGCATCGACGGGCTTTACGCCCTTTTACCTGAACGGGTTGCTCCACCCTCAGGTGCCGCTCACATTACGAGGCGGTACCGGGGCTTCGGTCCTAAGTGGGGGAGAGGCTCGGAAAACCTTTTCCTCCCAAGTCTCGGACGTGAGTCCAGCCGCCTTGCGGAAGCAACTGTCCTCGTTTGCCGAAGACAGGCTGAACATACTCAGCAGGGTGCGAGGCACCATGGCGCAAGCCCAAGATAAACAGAAGGAGTACTCTGACCGAAATGGAAGAGGAAACATGAACGTGTTTAAGGTTGGGGATTTAGTTCTCCTAGATACTAGAAACCTACCGCTAAACACTGTTAGCTCGGTCGAGAGCAACAAGCTGAAGCACCGCTTTATTGGACCCTTCACGATCCTCAGCCGGCATGGCGCGGCGTACACCATAGACTTGCCCAAGTCGATGACGACTCACCCGACGTTTTACGCGGGTCGTCTTAAGAGGTACCATGACCCTCTGGCTCTGGCTGCCCCGCAGGAAGCGGTTGGTGGCCCGGTGGAGATGAGCGCAGCTCCTCGAAGCGCGGCTTCGGGTCGCGGTAAGGCGCCTGATACGCGCGCTGGTCGTAAGACGGCGCGGCGTACATCGGAGCAGCATACGCAGGGGCCCCGTACGAGCCCTGGCCAAACTGGGCCTGATACGAGTGGGGCTGCTGCTGCTCCGGATACGGCGCGTGTCCATGAAGCTCGGCCCGAAGGCCAGCGAGCTGGTTTCGCAGCGAGTCGTAAGACGACAGGTCGGCTCGACGATCCACGCGGCCATGGAGACTGCGAGTTTCTTGATAGAGCGAGGCAACATCCTCACGGAGCCGCTCCACGGCACCAGGCTGACCAGCACGAGCGGCAGCCTCGCCACCAAGGCCGACGCCAAGCGCGATCTCGAGGACGTACACACGGTCCCGGAGAAGACGAATCTCCTCTTGCTGCAGGGCCACCACCTGACTCGAGGCCCCAGCATACGGCTGCGTCGCCTCAGGCTCGTAGCCATGGCCGTGCGAGGCCACCGCCGGCCCTCCTTGATCGTAATGGGCATATCCACTACCACGTGGAACGAGTCGTCCGGGAGCGGCGGCTCCATGGCAAGCGCCAGCTGCTCGTGAAGTGGAGGGGTTACCCTGAGTCGGATAACTCGTGGGAGCCCGTTGAGTAGCTCCAGGCAGACTGCCCGAAGGCTGTTGCGATATGGGACGAGAAGCAGCGGCAGCTTCGTAAGTAGTCCTTGGCTTCTTGGCCGGTACCCGGGGCACGGTAGCAGACATAGTCGCACCACGCCCACGCTCTTCACGAGCTTTGGCTCTCGCCTCTTGCTTCAGCTCGTCCATCTTCGAGTGGAGCTTGCGCTTGCTCACGAGTTGAGCGAACTCGATGCGGAGCTCGCGCACGTCCAGGATTGCGGACAGAGTGCGATCCTCACGGAGTTCTTTGAGCTCTTGGTCGGAATACCCTTTGCGCTGGACGTAGCGCCAGAAGAGGTCTTCCACCAAGCACCAGGTCATGTCATTCGGCTTGACCCAGTGGAAACCCCACACAGGATGGAGTCCACCCTTGTTCTCCGGCTTCTTGCGAAGCGTGGTGAACTCCTTCAGTGTGAGCTTGTGTGGTGCTAGTAGCACACACCGGGCGACTTCAACGTCGCCAAGAAAGAGTGGCTCTTTCTCAACAAGAGCACGCTCATAGGAACCCCTCGAGGTGTACCCGCCGATAAGGCCACGAGGAGCCGAGAGCTTCTCCAACAGCGCTGGCGCACCAGTGCCAGGCTCGGGCAGGAAGTAGCCCTGCGGGTACGTGGCATCCCCGCCTGAAGAAGACTCGATGGCAGTCGCGGCAGTCGGCTGCCTGGCATACGCACCCGAGCTAGCAGCGTGGTATTGCTGCTGCTGCTCGTCGAGGTTGTTGGAGAGCTCCTTGGGCTCGTGGACGGCACCCTCCTCGTCCTCAGACTCCGAGTCGATGAACAGCTTGGAGCTGGAGCCGCGAGGCGACCTGGAAGCTGAACGCTTCTTTGCCTTGGCCTCGGCGGCCTTCGCAGCGGCAGCCGCTTTCGACGCTTTGGCACGCTCACGACCTTGTGTCAGCGTCAGATGCTTGGATGCCAGCACCTCCTTGGGCTTGGAGCCCGCGTCGCTCGGCGACTTCTCGGCCACGACCCCAGCGTCGGCCATGGCGACTTCGTTGTGCGACTGCTTGCTGTCGCCTGAGCCGGACTCGGCGTCCTCCGCCTCCTTCTCTGACGAGGCCTTTGCGTCGGCCGAGGCGTTGGTCATGTCGCCTGCCGCCAGCTCCGTGCCTTCGGCAGCGTGCGTGCTGCCCTCCGAGACGTTCTCGTCGTCGGGTGACCTCTCACCGGAGTACTGGACCATCGTGCAGTCAAAGACGGCGGCTTCCCAGTCGCGAGCCGGGCTTTTATGGTCCCGAGGACTCTTCTCCTTGCCTTGCGCGGCGTCAGGAGACTTGCTCCGAGCCCCGACCTGACGGCCACTCTCCGGCGTGCTGCTACGAGAGCGCACCACCTCTTCGGCCGCCTTCGTGGCCTCCATCAGCGCGGACGACTCGTCCTTGGCCTTGGCCGCCCTGGTCTTCGGCCCGCGGTTTCGGAGGTGCTTTCGCACTGCGCGCACTGCGCTTTGGAGGCATGCTTCCGATCGACGTGGAGACCTTGCGGCTTGCTCGGCGATGCGCCAGTTGCTCTGTGAGGCCCGGGAGCCGAGGCGCCAGAGCTCGCGCCGTTGTCGATGGATTCGACTTTGCGAGTGAAATGTGAGTCGCCGGCGTAACCTCGCTCTGATTGGTCGATAAGATCGGATCTAAGTGGGGGAGGATGTAACGGGGTTACATGGAATAGTGACCCTGTCACTATTCCGGGATGGCTACATCGGTCACTCCCCTGGATAGTGACCCAAGTGGCCTCAGAGCCAACAGATACATTTTGTATGACACAAACTATAGGGAGCTTAGTATTTGTATGCAGGCCAAATCTGTACCAACCTATAAATACATTCAGTCTTAGATCTACCGCTTTTCAAGTCAAGTCGTCCCCTTCAGACCAGGGACACGTGAACGGCTGTTCACTTGGAGTTTGTATACTCCTGCTTCCTCTGTTAAGAAGTGCTGTGTGCCCTTCCAGGATGCCTGCTACGTACTTATTTCGCACCGCGGTTGGCATGAAGAAGATTGACCTCAGCGTGAGGAACATGCTGCGCAGCTTGTTATAGACTTACCAGTTGGCTGTTGTAAAACCAATAGAGAGGTTTCATAAGTTAAACTTGTGGAAGTTAGAGCCGTTCGAAAGATTTGACAGAGAGCGGCCATAGATTTATTCGGCCAAGTTCTAGAACGAGCTTTCGCAACTTAGACTTGTACGTCTAAAGCATTTTCAAAGATGAACTCTACTTACGTACAAGACCTTCTCGTGCTCGACATGCTCTCAGAGGAAGAAGCGGTTTGTCTCCTCTCTGCTCGAACGTCGTCCACAAGCAACGTCCCCCGGTCCATTTCCTACGGCGAACGCTTAAACATCAACGCGCTCAACGACTACGAAACACGGTTCTACTTTCGCTTCTGGAAGCGAGACCTATTTCGACTCTTTGAAGCGCTCCGCCTAGACAGCAGCTATAAACTCCCAAATCGAGCTGTCTTCTCCGGTTTCGAGGGCCTCTGCATTCTCTTGTGCCGCATGGCATACCCGGGACGTTATGGAGACTTAAGCCACTTTTTCGGGCGGTCCGCCCCTATTGTCTGCATAATATTTAACTTCATGCTGGGGTTGGTGTACGACAAGTACAAATGCCTACTCACCATTGAATGTGAGCTACTTACATCGTCGCGATTGGAGGAGTACGCTGCTGCTGTGTCACAACGTGCAGCACCGGAGTCGAGATGCATTGGTTTTATCGATGGCACTGTGCGTGCTATTGCACGTCCAACGCGCAACCAAAAACAAGTTTACAACGATCAGCAAATTATTTTCCATTAAGCCGCCAAGCCTCGAGGAGTATCTTAGTCTAGCTACTACGAACTAGTCTTGCTGACGACAGCCTTTAACATTTCAATAAACGCAAGTCGCTCGTCTCGCTCAAGTTCCATTCGCAGCTCTTGCAGCTCCAGGCGTCGCTCCTCCAACGCAAGCCGCTTCTCCTCGTTGGCGACCTTCCTCCCTTCCAGTGCCTGAGCGACTTGGTCGCGGCGTTCGAGATAAGCAACCAGTTGCTGCTGCTGCGATCCACCTTATCGTCCTCCTCGGCTCATCCCTTCTAAGGCTGCGTCGCGCATAGCGCTAGCTTGCTCGTCCTCCTGCTGCTGCTGGTCCTTCTGCTGCTTCTTGTCGTTCTTCAGCAACGCCTCTATCTCGCGCATCTCCAGCAGCTCCGCCAGACATTCGTCCTTCGGCGTGTACTCTTCACACGGCCCGCTTCGTTTCTCACTCGCCTTCTGCTTTGCCTCATACGCATCTACGAGCTGGTTGCAGCGCTCGCGGCAACGGCGACCGTCGACGTCCACTTCCAAAGCTGCAGCTACATCAGCCCAAGCCTGGGTCTTCTTCCCGTAGTCTTCCCCATACGGATATCTCGCTTGAGCTTCCTGGATCAGTTGGAAGTCAAGCTCATCCGTAAAGCGGACCATCGTTTTGCGACGCTTCGTCGGTGGGGCCTCCTCCACGGGGTTGTTGTGCGTTTGGCTTGGCTTCTCCATAGTAAAGATTGCTGGGAGATTGTAAAATGCTTACCCGTATCTCCTCAAGTACCAACGTGTACAGGGCGTTCTAGACGTTCTAGGAGTCGAGAACAACTTGTAGACACGCGTCTCTATAGAGGGGTAGGGAATGTATTGTCGCTAACTCCCACAAGTTGCTTTGCGAAACCTCTCTAATACTTCGGGCCAACGTGGAAGTTCGTGTAGCATTTTTGCAACGAACTTCAACTTGGAGCATAGTCAAAATAAGTGATGTGCCGTTGCAGATATTCGCCCGCAATCGACTGCCAGGGCGATCTGCGTTTTGCTCAGCGAATCACGGGTGATCTGCTGCGACGCCAGCATCCACGCGTGAGACTCAAATTGATGCCAGCAGCTGGCGTCGTCTTGAGAGGTGCAGAAGCCACTTGGATATTGAGCTCATAGCATATCCAGCGGTGTTTGCTGAGCTTTCAACGGTTGGACGGGGTTTTTCTTATCCACTAGCACAGAACTGCAGGAACTGCCTGAACGATCTCCGCAGTTTGGTACAGCCATTTGCACAGTGATCATAAATTATTACACGCGCATACCCCACTCCGTTCTGTTGGACTAATAGTGCCGTGATCATCAGAACGTGATGTCCACACAAGTGATGCTGCGAACACTTCAAGAAGCTGCACCGCTACCGTTGTGTCGACTGCACCAATGCTAAGCCTTTATTGCGATTTCCGGGGATCCACCATTCCTATTTGTTAAACAGAGCAACGCGCATCGCCTTCTCTCTCAGCGAACCTCTAAGGAGGTGCTGCGATCTAGACCTCGTTCGTCTATAGCTTTTGAAGACTACAGCTCTCAACAAACATTTTCCAATTTGCGTTCCACCGCGCACAAACCGAGCACAACCGCCCCAACTCTCCCCTTCCAGCCATGGTCAAGACTCTCTCCATCCTCGTCGCCGCCGCCATCGCCGCTTGCGCTCTCCCCGACACCGTATTGGCCCACCAAATGGCCACTCGCCGCGCGCTCTCCAACGACCAGCGCAAGCTCTTCGTCGCCAACGCCAAGCACGCGCTCGGTGAGTGCGCCGACACCGAGTCCATGCGCAAGCTCCAGAAACGCGCCATCGCCCGCCGCACCGAAGCCGTCGAGAACCTGCGTCGTGAGCGTCGCCAGCGCCGTCTCGACGTCGACACGGTCGTGGCCACGAACCACGAATCCAGCCTCACGGGTGTTACGGCCGACACCTCGTCCAGCGTGCTGTTCGGCGACGAAGTGTCGTGTGTGCTGGAGCCCGAGGTCACATACGGACCGTACTACGTCTCCGGCGAGTACATCCGCTCGGATATGCGCGAGGACCAGCCCGGCATCGACATGTACATCGACCTGCAAGTGATCGACGTGAGCACGTGCGAGCCCGTGACCGACATGTACGTGGACTTCTGGCACGCGACGTGTACTCTGGCGTGGTGACCGACGGTAACGGAGACAGTAGCGACGCCTCCAACATCAACGCCACCTTTTGCCGCGGCATTGCGGCGACGGACAGCGATGGCGTGGCCCAGATGCTGACGGTCTTCCCCGGACACTACGTCGAGCGCGCCACGCACCTGTACATGATCGGGAACTACAACGACACGGTGCTGGCGAACGGAACGTACTCCGGCAGCTCCATCGCTCACGTCGGCCAGTTCTTCTTCGACCAAGACCTCATCACGGCCGTGAACGAGCAAGACACGTACGTCACCAACACGCAGGAGATCACGCTCAACGAGGACGATATGTGGCTGCAGGCGGCCGCGGCGGACGGATACGACCCCATCGTCGAGTACGCTCTACTGGGCGACTCGGTGGCGGACGGTCTGTTCACGTGGATTTCGGTCGCGGTGAACATGTCAGCGAACCAGGAGGTCGAGACGGCGGCTACGCTGACTGCGAACGGTGGTGTGGCCACGAGCGACTCTGTCACCGGCGGCGGCGCTGGTGGCAGTGGCAACTTTGGCGGCTCCATGGGCGGGTTCGGCGGCTCCATGGGCGGCTTTGGCGGATCTGTTGGTGGATCTGCTACTGGTAGCTTTCCCCAGTAGGTGCCAGTGATGTGTGTGCTTGACGCGGATGACCTAGTGATGCCGTAAGATGCTGCAGGGATAACAAAAACGCGAACACGCCAGTGATTAAATGTGAATGACCTTACTTACCAGCTAACGTGGCTTCAGAGTTATGTAGACTCGACTCACGGAAAATATACATGTAGTGCAATATGCGTGGAGTCAATCTTGGCACGCACCAATCGATGATACGTCATTATCTGTGAGCATCCACCAACTAGCACACCCCGTGTGGCAGCTCATCGTCAAGAACGCCAGCAGCGAGATTAGCAACGGCGATATCAGCCATGGCTTGGCGAGTTTTGACCGTGGCTGAGCCAATGTGCGGCATCACGACGCAATTGTCGAGCGAGAACAGCGGGTGAGTAGGAGAGAGCGGTTCAGGGGTGGTCACGTCCAAGCCAGCAGCCGCGATTGCCTTGCCCTTGAGCGCCTCCACGAGCGCGTCTTGGTCGACCAACTCGCCTCGACCAGTGTTGATCAACACAGCGCTAGACTTCATGAGTTGGAGCTCCTTTGCACCAATACTGCCGCGAGTTGCCTCGGTCAGCAGCTGGTGGAGACTCACAATGTCGCTTTCACGCAGCAGCGTCTCCATGTCCACGTACTCGACGGAGCCCGGCTCGCCACCGAGCGACTTGGCCACCTCGGGCTTCTCGCGCGGTCCCGTGTAGAGGATCTTGCAGTTGAAACCATTCTTGAGCATACCAGCGTAGGTTGCACCGATGCGCCCGAGCCCCACAACGCCCACGGTGCTGCCCGTGACGTCGGTGCCGCAGTACTGGAACGGCTGCCAGACTCCCCACTCTCCGTTCTTGGCGCTCGCAGCGCACTCGAGGATCCGACGCTTAGCCGCAAAAGTTAGCGCTACCGCAGTCTCGGCGGTCGAGACATCCAGTACACCTGGGGTGTAGCCCACCCTCACATTGCGAGCTCGACAGGCTTCCACGTCGATGTGGTTGTAGCCCACCGACATGGTGGACACGACTCGAAGGGACGGCCCCGCAGCATCCAGCACTTCCGCGTCCACTTTGTCCGTCAGCAGGCAGAACAGCCCCGAGCATCCTTTCACTCGCTGGAGCAGCTCCTCTCGGGAGATGCAGCTCTCCTCAGAGGCGAAAGGCTCCACCGCGATGGAGTTGGCGACTCCAGCTTTGGCCAGGCGCTGCCGGAATTGCTCTGAACCAAACAGGGTGTCCAGGTGAGTGAACTGATCGTAGATGTCGGGGCCGTAGACGTCTTACCGATGGCGTAGGGCACATTCCGAGAGAAAAAGACCTTGCGGGGCGCTGCGGAGCTCATGGCGACACGTTGAACGTGGACTCTGGAATGGCGTCGACAGAGGATTGGCAGAAATAGGGATTTGAAGATCGTTTGACAAGCATCGATTCCGGCTCATTTCGATTGGTAAGTACCTCAAAGCCTCCGACACCAATGTCGTCGACTGCCCCCCGCAAGGTTTTCTTCACACGCAACTGGCCGTATGCGATCGGTGGGATGGACGCAATGCTGTTTACTTAGTAGAATGCAATGACCTACACTAACAGCTTGACTCGGGTTTCTTCAACTGTAGATTTAATGCGTCAGCGCATTGCCAACTCTGGTGCTGCCGTTGAAATCGATGCCTTCGAGTCTGAAGACACGTGCATCTCGCGCGAGGAGCTGCTCAAGCGTGTGAAGGGGTGCTCGGGGATCTTCTGCCTGTACACGGATACGATTGACGAGGAGCTGCTCGACGCTGCGGGCCCTTCGCTGCGTGTGGTCTCGGACCACGTCCGTGGGCTACAACCACATCGACGTCGAGGCCTGCCGAGCGCGTAAGATTCACGTGGGACACACCCTTGGCGTGCTGGACGTAGCTGTAGCAGAGACTGCAGTGGCGCTGACCTTCGCTACCAAGCGTCGGATCCTCGAGTGCGCTGCGAGCGCCAAGAACGGAGAGTGGGGAGTCTGGCAGCCGTTCCAGTACTGCGGCACCGACGTCACGGGCAGCACCGTGGGCGTTGTGGGGCTCGGGCGCATCGGTGCAACCTACGCTGGTATGCTCAAGAATGGTTTCAACTGCAAGATCCTCTACACGGGACCGCGCGAGAAGCCCGAGGTGGCCAAGTCGCTCGGTGGCGAGCCGGGCTCCGTCGAGTACGTGGACATGGAGACGCTGCTGCGTGAAAGCGACATTGTGAGTCTCCACCAGCTGCTGACCGAGGCAACTCGCGGCAGTATTGGTGCAAAGGAGCTCGCTCTCATGAAGCCAAACGCCGTCTTGATCAACACTGGTCGAGGCGAGTTGGTGGACCAAGACGCGCTCGTGGAGGCGCTCAAGAACAAGCAGATCGCGGCTGCCGGCTTGGATGCGACAACTCCCGAGCCGCTGCCTCCGTCGCACCCACTGTTCTCGCTTGAGAACTGCATCGTGCTGCCTCACGTGGGGTCTGCCTCGACCAAGACCCGCCAGGTGATGGCGCAGATCGCTGTGGATAACGTGCTGGCTGGAGTCACGGGGAGGAGCTCCCGCACTCGGTCTGCTAGAGCAACACCGTACATGCAACCGTCGCCGTCTAGTTGTTGCCATCCAGCCCTAGATAGGAGATCAAGTTTTGGTGAACCCATCGTGCTTCTTAACAAGCACCATTGATCACAACCTTCCTACCTACCTACAGTACTCGTCTGACTTAATGGGAACAGGTGATCACCTTTAATTTTTGATCAAGTTTCCTGGTAGGGTCCACTGTCAAGTCGCTGTCTAGAGCTTCTGTTGACTGGCAGCATCTGAATTCGAGTCGATGGATCTGCTCGAGTCGCTGTGAACAATGTCCTGAAAGACCTTGACGACCTCGTCGAAGCCGTACCGGGGCTCGTCGCCCTTCATGAGATCCTGCAGCCAGCGCTGCTCGATGACTGGCACCAGGCGCTCAAGTCTCTCGGCGGTGCACTGCGGGTCGTGCGTCTTGCCCGGTTGCTGCTCCAGCCCCTGCTCGCGCAGCTTGGCGTTGCGGATCAGCGTCTTCACCTTGACGCGCACCACTTGCAGCAGGAGGTCCTTGTCCACTCGGATGGGCGAGATCGGTACACGTGCGTCCTCCCCGCGGGGACGCGGTGCTCGGTCGAGTTCCGCAGCGACCTGCTCCTTGATGTCGCCACGGCCGCTGGCGCTTCTCGGGCGCTTGCGGCCGGCGCGCTGCTTCCGCCCCGCCTGCAATGCGGCGACGTCCTCGGGCAGCTCCGTTAGGGTCATGTGGCGACCGAAGAAGGCAAAATGACGACTGACCCTGAACTGACTTGGTGGTGCCAGTGACAGACGAAGTGGAAGCTTGGTCGACGTTGACATGCAACATGTGGATCGAGCAGGTGGGTCCTCCGAGATTGTACCCGTGTTTCGGTACGCGCTTATGTGCGCCACACCAATCGCACATAGACGGGGATGGATACATAACGGGATGGTGGCATCGCTCTGATACCATCGGCGCCATTCGCGCAGCAGCTTAGCAAGCGCGTGAATCCTCCGCCCCCTTCCCTGACCCCGCCCCCCGCCTTGGCTGCAGCAACAATGTCGACGGAGATGAAGGTCGCGCTCAGCGCCAAGGAGTACGTTCTGGTGGCCATGACGCTCACGCTGGTGCCCATTCTGCTGCTCGAGCTCTTCGGCGTCTCGGACACGCGCAGCAACAACCGCGCCTTCCACGACGGCACGCCGGGCATGCCGCAGCTCCCAGACCTGCTGATCGGTGGTGCCGTGTCGCTGCTGCTCATCGCTGCGCGCTTCGTCGCTGGGAAGGCCTTTGCGCCCCTTGCGCGCGTCGTGCTCTCGCCCAAGAAGCGCGTAATTGAGGACCGCGTGCACCGCTTCACGACGGTGCTGTTCAAGCTTCTGTGAGTGCAAGTGTTTGTGCTGTGGCGTTTATTGCGTGAGCGTCATTGTAGTAATTTGTTGGTGCTTGCTGTTGACCAGGTACTTTGTGGTGATCACCGCCGTGGGTTTCAAGGTGATGCAGCACGAGTCGTGGTTCCCGCCGTCACTCGGCGGCAAGGGCGAAGTGGTGAAGACGTTTGAGGTGCTGTCCGACGCGCCGTCCAGCGCGCTCAAGTACTACTTCATGGTGCAGCTCGGATACCACCTGCACAGCTTGCTCTTTATGGTCTTCTTCTCGCCGATCCGCAACGATTTTATCGAGATGCTGCTGCACCACGTCGCCACCATTATTCTGATCGGCGGGTCGTACCTAGCCAACTACACGGCGTTTGGTGCGCTCGTGGTATTTACGCATGACATTGGCGACGTTACTGGATGTACGTGCACTGTGAGGATTATTTGCTTGGTGCAACGGTGAACTAATCTCTGAAACTGTTGTGCATTTTGCTTGCGAATAGATGGCATCAAGTCGATCGTGGACACCGGCAACACGCCCTTGGTGGTGTTCATGTACGTGGTGCTCCTGGTGTCGTGGGCGTACACGCGGCTGTTCGTGTTCCCGTGCCACCTCATCTACAGCTCGATGATCGAGCTGCCGCAGAAGCACCCGGACATCGTCGGCGCGTTCGTGCACCCGATGAACGCCATGCTGTGCATGCTCGTTGTACTGCACGTGTACTGGTACTTCCTGTTCCTGGTGATGGGCTACGCGCTCGTGAACAAGGGCGTGGCTGAAGACATCCAGCACAAGGTGGAGGGCCCCGAGGACGAGGAGGAAGAAGCCGAGGAAGCCAGCGTCACGGCCCCCCGCGTCAAATCCAAGGACGACTGAGACTGCATTTTCGCATACATAAATGTACGAAGCCCGTTGTACTGTTGCCGCTAGGCTGGCTGGCCATTATGGTTCCTACAGTAGTGACGACACTACCGCAAACGATGTGGTCGCTAATTGCGTGGACCACACAAGTATGCTATATAATTGGGTCTCGTCATCAGACAGATTCCAGATCTGATGATTTTGGTCCGATACAAAAGAGCGGTTGCTCACCAACATATCCCATCCTGCCCCCCTGATCGTCAAGCAGCGACCGACCGTCGAGCAGCCATGGCCGCCACGGAGATGAAGGTGCTGCTGAGCGCCAAGGAGTACGTGCTGGTGGCGCTCACGATCACGCTCGTGCCCATCGTGCTGGCCGAGCTCTTCGGCGTGGCGCAGATGCGCGCCGCCATCCCCGAGTTCCAGACGAACCCGGACATGCCGCATATCAGCGAGTGGCTCATCGGCATCGGCTTCGCGTTCCTCATCATCGCGCTGCGCTTCGCCTTCCTGGCGGTGGCCAAGCCCATCGGCCGCCGCGTGCTGTCCTCGGCCAAGCGAACGCACGAAGACCGCGTCGAGCGCTTCGCCACTGTGCTCTTCAAGCTCACGTGAGTGCCGGCCTCCTCGTCTCTGAAGGTCGGAGGATTCATTGGACTAAATCGCGGTCATCTCGCTTTCTCTCTGTTGCTGCCTTGTTTAGATGGTTCGCTGTCATCACCGTGGCTGGATACTACGTTATGCGCGACGAGAAGTGGTTCCCGCCGGTGCTTGGAGGCAAGGGTGTGATCCGCGAAGCCTACTTGATCCTGCACGAAGCCCCGGGCCTCGCGCTCAAGTACTACTACTTTGTGCAGCTTGGCTACCATTTCCACAGCCTATTGTTCATGCTGCTGTTCTCCCCGATCCGCAACGACTTCATCGAGATGCTGCTGCACCATTTGGTGACGATCATCCTCATCGGAGGATCGTACCTTGCCAACTACTGCGCCATGGGAGCGCTCGTGACCTTCACCCACGACATCGGCGACGTTACTGGCTGTAAGAAGACTGATTGTGATCTCCTGCTGTGAAAACTCACGATGACTCACGTTGTTTCGCGGTGTTACGTTTACGTGCGTGTGTTAACCATAGACGCCATCAAGTCGGTGGTGGACACGGGCAACACGCCGCTGATCGTGGCCATGTACGTCGTGCTCCTGGTCTCGTGGGGCTACACTCGGCTGTACGTGTATCCGTTCCACCTGATCTACAACGCCATCTTCGTGATCCCCGAAGCCAACCCGCACGTCGTTGGGATCTTCCTGCACCCGGGCAACGCGCTGCTCTGCATGCTGGTTGTGCTGCACGTGTACTGGTACGGCCTGTTCCTCGTCATGGGCTACACGCTGATCCGCAAGGGCTTGGCGGAAGATATCCAGGACAAGTGCTCGGACGTGGACGACGAGAAAACGCCAGCTCTAGAGACGACTGCGACCGGCTCGAGCAGCAAACCGAAGCACGAGTGAGAAATGAAGCGCGGCGTTGCAATTGCTATTCAGGCGGCCCTTTTCCTCTTCCTTTCTACCTCTTTTGACCCGATAACATAGACGCACCCGTGCAAGCATTTTCAATAGCTACGGGCGTGGCCTTAGCTGTATAAAGCGACTATACTGAAGTACCTCGCTGGATTGCGTTTCAGTCCACGGACAGACAAAATTTGGCAATGTTCACTGTCAGTTCAAGCGACGTTGGGAGATTCTTGCTGTTGCCTGCGGTAGAATCTGCTGCCCATTTCTCTGTTGTCGTGGCAAAATTATCTGCTAGAGAGCTTGCAATGCAGTTGCAGCCATTTTCCAACGTTCACACCAGAGCGGAGAGGTTTGCGGACCACAATGAATCACTGGGGCCTTTGGAGCGAGTGCTTCGTCGGCGGTCTCGTGTTCGGCTTCGCGGTGGCTTGCATGCGGGATTCGCGAAAAGCGCGAGCAGCTCGAAGACGGCGCCGTGGTGATGGTGGCGACTACGCCAGCGGTGAGTCTGGCTTCGATGGTGGTGCCTGTGGAAACCACGGCGGTCATGGAGGTGGCCACGGCAATGGTCACGGCGATGGTCACGGCGATGGAGACGGCGGAGGAGGAGACGGAGGTGGCGATGGAGGCGGAGACGGAGGAGGCGGCGACTGAGAGCGTTCAATTGCTAGTGTCGTAGCGAGTGGATATCATCATGCCCACCGTGGCCTTCATAAATGCACCAGCATGTGCCGCGTTGATTCCTCATCGGTCTCCATTCGGACGTCGCCTCGTGTGCCACATCGCCACGCGCTCGCTCGCTCGTCGCGCGTGGTACAGTGTCTTCCGCATCTCTTCTCACAATCAGAGTTCCTCTCGACATGGCGGACGACTGGCTGGTCGACATGGCGGACGAGTGGCTGGTCGACATCGCGCTGATCCTCTGCGTCAACGCGGCAGTGCTGTTGCTGTGCTGGCTGCGGGGTGCGCCATCGAGCACTGGGCTGCGGATCTCAAGCGACACAAGGAGAGCAGCAGCGAGCCCCAATGGCCATGCTTCGTTCCTCTACGCGGCGTTCCCGGGCCACTTCAGCAGCGGATTATGCGGGGAGGACCTGCAACTCGCAGGCGGCGTCGTGCTTGCAGTGGCCGTCACAGCGGCCGTTGCAGCGGAGGTGGAGGCCACCGCGGCCAGCATGAGTCGAGTCGCCCGGGCGTGAGGACTGCTCATTGAGCAGATCTCCGACGCGAACAGAGCCACGCGACACACAAATGTATACTGAAACCAAGTCAATAATGAATACATGCAGAGTCTTACCGCGCTTTCGTCTTCAAGCACGTGGGATCGTTTAACGGCATGGCGATCTTCCAGCAGGCAGCCACCTTGAGCTTCTTGCACTTTGAGCTTTGAGCACTCACCTCAACTAACTGCTGCACTGCTAGCCAGGTTGTATCCGAATGAGGACCGTTACACCCAACGCTTGCGCTGCTCTTGTGTTTGAGCGGTTTCAGACTTCGGCATCATGTTGTGCTTGCCGCTCTATTGTGAGAGCGGCGGAGCTAGCGAGGCCATGGAGAGCTGGGGCGCTGAGCTTGCGCTGGGCCTCAGCTTGAACATCGCGGTGGTGGCCTACTGCTGGGTCAGCGGCTGGAGACCCGTGGACACTGGCAGCAGCATCCGATGGCACGACGCGCAACGCGACGAGGAGCAGACCGACGACGAGGATCGTGCCGACGAGATACTGTGGAGCGGCGGCGTGGAGACGACGGCCGGGCTCGTCATAGCCGTCGCCGTGATGGTGGCCGTCGCGATGGAGATTGCAGCGGAGACCGGCGCTCGCGCCACCGCTTATTCCAGATACTGAGACCGTCGGCCTCAAGAGAGACGACACCTAAAACAACACTTCCCAGCGCAAGCCAGACAGAACATAGACTTTCAATAGAAATACATGTACTCATTACATCAGCTATACTCTCGTCCTGGGGTGACGCTCTCTGCCCCTGCTTCTTGGCACTCGCCATCGCCTTCCGTCTACGCTAAGGCCGCCGCGCTGTTGACGCCTCCTTTGTCGACTCCTTCCCGCACGAATTCGAGCCCACCAGCGTCGTTGCCTTTGCTGTCACGGAATGCGCTGAGTCCGAGATACCCGTTCTCGTTGTCGCTGCTGCTGCTGTAGGGGCCGTCACCCTCCGCCTCGCGCTGCCTCCGCTCTCGGTCGTCCAGGTACATTTTGATGAACGTGAAGGCGATGTACGCCACGAACAGTGCCCCAGCTCCGATAATGACCCACACATAGGCGGAGACCATGGCGAGTAGGTTTTGGTTCAGGGCGTGGAGTGCGTTGCCCCGATCCAGACGTCAAATGATCGATGATCTCGAGGGTGAGCTCGAGCTCTTCAAAAGTGTACCCATCGACACAGGCTGCCTACTGCAACTTGCAGTGCAAGGGTAGAGTCAGCAGGACGATATCCAGTCACCACTGAATGTTGATACAACTGAGTGAGCTCCATGCTGCTCCAGCAAGGAGCTGCTGGTACACCAGCACCTGCAACTCACGCAATAGGAAATCACAAAATTTAGTCAGACTAAATTCCGCACCTGGTTTTCACTATTGTGCTCAAAACTTGGGCATCCACAATCGCCGTTTAACCCATTTTCCAGCCACTCGTGATGCTGGCCCACCGACGACCGCACGTTGCGCCCCACTTGCGCCGCGCCGCGCTGCGAGCGCTCAGCAGCGCCGTCGCCCCCTCTCACTTCGATGTGGTCGTTGTCGGTGGTGGCCACGCGGGCTGCGAGGCCGCAGCCGCCGCTTCCAGAACTGGTACGCGGCACAAACGCCACTAAACCCTACTGTCCATGGTTGTCAAAGCTGTTGGAGCGTCTACTAACGGTGCCTTGTACATTATCGTTGCTGCAATTCAGGCGCCACGACTGCGCTGGTGACGCAGAAATTGTCGACAGTTGGCGAGATGTCATGCAACGTACGTGAATTCCAGTCAAAGTCAAGAGATTTTGCAACATGCCAATGCTAGTTGCAATGTACTCACCTGTTTTACGTGTGCAATTACTGCAGCCATCCATTGGTGGTGTCGGCAAAGGCACCTTGGTTCGTGAAGTGGACGCTATGGGAGGTTTGATGGGCCAGGTGGCCGACTCTGCTGGCATCCAGTTCCGAATGCTCAACTCGGCGAAGGGACCGGCGGTGCGAGGCCCACGAGCGCAGATGGACAGAGATCTGTATCAGCAGGGCATGCAGAAGGCGCTGCGGGAGCTGCCCAACTTGTGGCTCGTCGAGGAGGGAGTGGACGACCTCATGCTGGAGAAAGTGAGCAACAGCGACGATGACGTGGAGGAGCGCGTTAAGGGCGTGGTGACGTCTTCCGGCCGTGAAATTCAGGCACCGCACGTGGTTATTACGACAGGCACTTTCCTCCGCGGAATGATTTACCAAGGGCCCGACATCCGTATCCCCGCGGGACGACACATGCGCGACTCCGACGGACTCGAGCCTCCGGCCGTTGGGCTGGCTCAAACGCTGGAGCGCTGCAAGTTCCCGCTTGGTCGACTGAAAACCGGAACTCCGCCGCGACTTGATGCGCGGACGATTGATTACACAGGACTGGAGATTCAGCCGAGTGACGACCCACCCAAGCCATTTTCGTTCCTGAACGAGCACAAGGCAGTGCCGCTCGCAGACAAGCAGGTGGATTGCCACGCCACGTACACGAACGAGGAGAGTCACCGCATCGTGCGTGACAACTTGCACATGCTGCCGTCGTACGATGGCGGCAGGGACGGCGAAGGCGTCGGTCCGCGCTACTGTCCGTCGATTGACGCCAAGGTTGTTCGCTTCGCTGACCGCTCCAGGCATCAACTTTGGCTTGAGCCCGAGGGCTTGAACACGCACCTTGTATACCCGAACGGTATCAGTACTGCGCTGCCCGAAAACCTGCAGCTTGAGTTGCTGCGCACCATTAAGGGACTTGAGAAGGTGGAGATCGTGCGTGCTGGATACTCCGTCGAGTATGACTACGTGGACCCTCGATCGCTTCACCCGACGCTCGAGACGAAGAAGCTGCCGGGACTGTATTTGGCAGGTCAGATTAACGGTACGACGGGATACGAAGAAGCTGCTGCACAAGGTGTTGTGGCCGGCATGAACGCTGGTCTGAGCGCGATGGGCCGAGAGCCGCTCGTGCTCGACCGCGCCGACGCGTTCACGGGCGTGCTCATCGACGATCTGATATCGTTGGGCACTACGGAGCCCTACCGAATGTTCACGTCCCGCTCCGAGTTCCGTCTGCTGCTCCGTGCAGATAACGCCGATCTGCGACTCACCCGCAAGGCGTTCGAGCACGGCGCGGGTATCCCTAGCGAGCGGATCGAGAAGCTAGAGCGCAAGGAGAAGGCCCTGGAGTACGCTCGCAAGGCTCTGGACGAGTTTGTGCGCGACCCGCACGAGTGGAACCGCTACGGGATCAAGGTGGGTCTGGACGGCGTGAAGCGCAGCGCGGCGCAGATCCTGGCGTTCTCGACGGTGTCACCCCAGGACATCGAGCGTATCTGGCGTGAGGTCGGCTACGAGCACGCGGATGCGCTGCCCGACGAGATCAAGGAGCTCATGAAGACCGAGTGCCTGTACGCGACCCAACTGCGCGCGCAGCACCAGGAGATCCGCGTCTTCCGCGACAAGCAGCACGTGCAGATCCCCGAGTGGGTGGACTACTCGGAGCTGCCCATGATCTCGAACGAGGAGCGCGAGAAGCTGCAGCGCGCGCAGCCGGCCACGATCCACGCAGCCAGTCGCATCGCCGGTATCCGCTCGGCCACACTGCTGCTGCTCTACCAGTACGCAATGCGCCAGCCTCACGATGGACTCACCAAGAAGCAACGTCGACGCAGAGCCATCGCCCAGCGCTCCGCCGAAGTCAAGTAAAGCAGCAGGCATCCATGATGACGTAAAATATAGACCCCAGCCTGCACCTGCACCTGCATGTAGCCATCTAGCGCACAAAAAGTGTATCCATGCTCTACAGATCTTTCTAGCGAAAAGATACGCGACCTTTGGTGCGCGTTGGCCAGTCAGTCATGCGTGGCATTCCGTATCAAGACGCTCGAGGCTCACCATGGGCGCCGCCACGTCGACGGAGCTGGTGGACTGCGTGGTGGACGGCGACATCCAGCAGCTCAAGACGCTGCTGCACGACCACGAGGCGGACGCCCAGAGCAAGGACGCGGCGTGGGAACTGCAGCTCGAGGAGGCGGTGCACACGGTCGTGGCCTCGGAGCTCGAGTCCGGCCAGCAGCTGCAGCAGCTGCAGATCACGCTAGAGCTGCTGCTGCACGCGCGTCCAGAGGCCTGGAGCTCCACAGCCTCCAGCCAAGTCTACAGCACGGAGGAGGGGGAGGAGGACACCATCACCACCGCCACGAGCAACTCGGCAGGCTGGTCGGCCTGCCATCGAGCTTGTGCAACGGGCAACTTGGCCTTTGTGTCCTTTGCACTGCAGCACTATCGGGCGCAGTTTGAACTGCAGACTCGTGACACCTTTGGGCTGTTTCCAGTTGACTTGGTGCCGCCGGAGCTGCTGATGAGCGCAGCGGAGATCCAGGACTATCTCCGACGAGAGCGGGACACGACGAAGCCGTCGACCGCTCGCGCGCGTCGCTGCTTCGCTCTTCAGCACCTGCGCGAGCGCAAGGCGGTGCTGCAAGACCAACAAGTTCGCAGTCTGCTCGGCGACTCCAAGCTGGAAATTCCAAGCAGGACAACTAACCAGGATGGAGAAGAAGTTCCTCGCGCTGGAGAATTCTTTGTGGCGTTCGAACCGAGACGCGAGCGGTTGTCGCTTGATTTGGAGTGCAACATGGGGCACGTGCACGAACGTGAAGCCCCACTACATGTGAACTATCGCTTGCCACTTACGGAGATGTTCGTCAACGGCTACTTCCAACTGATCTGGCGTGAAATTGGCGATGCCCGGAGTGAGAAACCGCACTACGACGCACAAGTTACGGGATTAAGAGACGAATGCGCTCGGTTCCTGCACAAGGAAGCCCCTCCTCAGCCGCAGCAGACTCAGAATGAAGAGGCCTGTCAGCACCGACCTCTTGACGGCCCTAGCACAAGCTCCGTGGTGGTGGGCTGCTTCCCCGTTGATGTGGCGCACTTACCCGCTGACAGCGTCTGCCACGTACTGTTCATTGCGTGCGACCGGCACATGCTACACCGCACAATTGCGTTGAGCACCGAAGGACTAGCCATCCAGACCGCTGACATTGAAGACGACAGTGATGATTACTACTCGGATTCTACCAGCGACGAAGACCAACACGAAGAAAATGCTGTCGAGGAGAAGCCGGAGGTGGAGATCAAGCAGACGGGTTATACGTTTTTCGTTGGAGGCGAGGAGTTCTCGCATCCGAATTCTGTTTTTGCCGGTCAGAGCTTCCCTGACGTGGAATCCTTTGAGGCCTTCTTACGGGAGTTAAGGGTGAAGAAGCAGCGTCGTCTACAAGAAAGGCAAGAGCAACAAGAGAGGAAGGCGCTACAAGAACAGGAAATGAACAAGCAGGAGAGTGTCGACCAGGAACAGCAGCAGCAACAACAGCAAGAAGCGGGCCAAGAAGCAGAGGAAGTAGCAAGCAAAAGTGACGAATCTGGGCTGCAAGTGCAAAGAACTCGACAGCAAGATGAAGTTCAACCTGCTGAGAAACCTGCTGACGCCTTGGAGGACCACCAGAGCAACCAGGAGGCTACGGAGTAGCTCGAAGCAGTCTGTTGAGCCTATTCTCCTTCCTATCTACTTCATGTCGTCTGGAATCGTTGCGCTCTTTTTATTTTTTTCATAAATATTGGCTACGACGCCGTCATTTCTTCCTTCTACGTCACTCGCGACTCGCACGTTCAATCCCTGCGGTCATTTTGCTGAATTCTTGGGCTCTACCATCCACTCGCGCGTTGCTTTCAGAACGTGAGCGGAATCATATCGTTGGAGCTCCCTACTTGGTCCAGAGTCTTCGCTTGTCGGTTGTCGTCGAAAACTACTAAGTCCATTTTACTCGACACCGCCGGGGTCTTGGCTGGCGGGTTCAACTGGATCAAGTCGCTGCGGGCGCTTCCAGACGAGTATGACGACCTCTGTGAGTGCGATGGGGAGAAACCCCCGGAGCTTTGAGCTACCCCCGGCACGTGGTAGACCTTCTTGTTGGCGAGTTCTACCGGACTTTGGTCGTAGTCGTGCTTGTATTGCGGCTGGTGGCGTCGACCATCGAGCGGAGGCTGACCATTGATGCGTGTGTTTCCTCGGGTATTCGCCTCGCGAAGTAAACGCTCAGTGGCTTGCACCTCCTGGGGGGTCATGTTGGCGTAGTTGAACTGGCTGTGGTTGCTGCCTTCGTTTGTGGCAGCAGTGGTGGCGTAACTCGAGCGAAGGTCTGCGTACGGCGGCACACTGCTGTGCTTGTAGGTGAAGTCGTTGTGCTCATCGTCGTCCATGGCAGTCGTTGCGCTCGGGGCCACCGAGCCTCCAGGAGATAGGGTCAGTCCATTTAGCGAGAGAATATCGGGGTCTCGAGCCAAGAAGGCGCTCAACGAGGCGTCCGATGGCGTGAAGCTGCTGGGCGTGGGGTTTGAGCTCACAGAAGTCGACGAGGGCGGCGGCTTGCCCATGAACTCTGCTGAGCTGGTGGAAGCGTACAGTGCCAGCTGAGCGCGCTCGTCGCGCGACAGACCCGAGTACGAGCTGCTGCTGATGGTGGAGAAGCTCATCTTCTGCTGCTGGTAGTACTGATAGTCTCCAGCATGTATCGGCAGGACTTGGTCGCGTTCAAAGCTGCTGTCCAGACCTGGGTAAGGTGGCGGTGGCCCGTGGACACTGCTGTAACCCGAAGTTTGGTTGTCCTCATGGTCGGCGGTTCGGTTCTTGAGACGAGCGCTGACGAGCTGCGAGAGACTGCCGCTACTACTGCTACTGTAGATACTGGAGTTCTGCTGGCTTCGCGCGTGGCCCAGCATCGTCAAGTTCATCTGCAGCTCGGACACGCACGTGTTGCACCCGCGAGTCTCCATGAACTCCTCCGTGTTGTCCTTAGAGGCGTTGTTGTTGTTGTTGTTGTTGTTGTTATTGTTGTTGTTGTTGCTGCTCCGCTCGCTGCCGTCGCTGGCCATGCGTATATCGAGCTGGCGGTGGCCAATGTTGATGTTGTCTGGGCCGCCCTCGCTGTGCTCGTAGTTGACATCGAACGCCGACATGTTCACGAACCCCGAGCACGAGCCACAGACCGCCTCGCCACAGAAGCGGCAGCGGTGGCGTCTGCGGTACGTGCGGAACGTCTTCAGGCACAAGTAGCAGCGATCGCTCTCCGTCCACGTCATTTTGCTCAGGTGTTGCATGGTGACAGCGGGCTTTGCTGCCTCTGCCAAGTGACTGACCCCCAGCGCGAGCGTTTGCAGCCATTTCCGGTACTTCTTGGCCACTTCATGCCCGGCAGCGACCGCCACACGCATGCGCGGGCTCTGCGAGACCTCCTTCAGCACCAACTTGGCCGGCATTAGAGACAGCAGCAAGCTCACTCGAACCGTGGGGCCGTTGGCGTCCTCTTCGACCAGCTCTTCCACGATGACACCAGAGTTCCGGAAGTGCAGGCGGTCGGTCTTAGAGGACTTTGGCAGCTCTGGGATGTCCCTGAAGTTCATACTGGAGAACGTGTACACTCCGATAAGTCTCGACCCCGTCACGGGTTGCGGCCGGTGCGGGTCTCGTGACGCTCGCCGGCCCACGCGCGTGAGCTTGTCACTGATGTAGGCTCGTTCGAAGACGTCCTGGTAGCAGATCATGGTGAAGTCTCGGGGGCCGTCGAGACCCTCTAACTTCGTGAAGGCCCTCAACGTGATCCAGTTGGCGCTGTAGCCGTCATCCTCACTGAACAATTGCCAGCCCCCGTTGCACCCTTTACTGTCCGGACTGGGCGCGTACGGGGGCGGCGTCGTGCAGCTCAGGGAGTCCACGACGGCGCCGCTCTCGAACTGTTTGTGGAAAATCTTCTTCATGACCGTGCGGAAGTCCTCGGACGTGCTGGTCCGCAGCACGTCCAGCATGGTGTTGACGTCTGCGCGCACGGTCGTCGCGGCTCGGACGAGGTAGAACTCGGACGGGTGGCCGCCGCCGCCCTTGCCGAAAGTCCGCACCGTGCTCACGTTGCTCGAGAGGGACTCGCCCGTCATCTCGTACATTTGCGTGCCGTTCTTGTCGCTCAGCAGCTTCCAGTCGTGCGTGGTGACCGTGGCCAGCAGCGCCAGGTCGGTCGCGTTCTCCCGCACGCGCTCGAGGATCCGGGCCGACGGAGTCGCAGCCCGCCTCTCCAGGTGATGGTCCGAGTTCTGGGTCTACTCTGCCGGACCAAAGTCTCCGCTAACGGGTCGTCGTAAACTTGCGGTGGAGTCCTCGAGTTGGCGAATGGAAGGAGAAGGTGGTCGGTCACGCGGTAGGTGGACTGCAGACGCTATCGCCAGAGACCCGCATCAGTCTCATCCCCCCATGGTCTCTGGAGAATCCCCACCAGAAACTATCCGATACATTTGGGAGTACTGTGGGGATTACTCTGAATTCCCGAGTCCGAATTATCCGGCTTGCAGCCTTCGGCCAACGTAGCCAGCCATTAGCTTCAGCGGCTCGTCTCTTACTTTGCATTTTGCCTTGCAATCCGCAAACACAAATCATTGTACTGACCCTCTTTCAGTGGAGGTTCTCACTTCAAATGAATAGGCTCCAAGTGATGCCCCGTAGACGGCGGTAGGCTGTGGGGTTCAGTGAACAAGAACTCGATGAGTATAAATCGCCACCGTACGTCATGGTGAAGGGCCAACGCCGCAGCCAAGCCAAAGCTGCCCTCAAAAACTTGAAATTCACCCAAACTTTGGATTCGTCCAGCAAGTCTGAAAGTGATGACTCAACTGCCCTCGAGTGGATGGCCTTGCTTCACCGTTCACTTAGACGTCTGCAAGCATCAAGCTACAGCTAACGTTGAATCTGTTTTCCCACCGATAATGTTCGCAAATGCACGGGCTCTCAATGCAGATGTCACGTGTACTGTAATGCCGGGTTCTTCACAAGGAAGAGTACAGCGAAATACCATACTCGTTGTAGTTCTTTGCAGTGCTGCAGCCTGCAGCGGTGAAAAGATCGCTAATAGTGTTCCGTGGTGAAGTCTCCTGTTGTCGAAATGTTGCAAATCACATCCAGTGCACGAGGGCCTCGAGTCACGACCGGATATTTAACACTACTGACCTTGATTTCGTCGTACTTTATCAGTAGTGACCTTGATTTCAAGACGACTGCTGATTGGTCAAACGCCACTGCTGTCTTGTCGAGAGTTCTGCGCTCAGAGACCAGTTGCTTTCCTTCGCGCTATCGCCTTCCACGTCTAGCTGCCGCCTCGCTGCCGTCTAGCTGGTGACTGCTGCGTTGCGCAGGTGTAGTGTCTTTGTAGCCTAGTCACTTCATGACAGTGTTCTAATGCTTTTTACATCTCTCTCATTTGTATTGTTCTGGATGTGTCTTAGCAATGCGCTGCCATGAAGCGTTTTGGGCTTTTGTGGCTGTACACGGTTCGCCACATGCGAAGGAACTCGAGAATACACGCCATGATGACTTGAAGAAGACGAACCTGTGGCTAATACAGGCAAAGCAAGGGCAGAAGCTTCGGAAGCGGTGGATGGCGCTCGCTCAAAATCGAGGAAAGGGAGGCCTTAATGGAAGCTACCCCTGATCCAACCTTCCCTGCTGGAACGGATGGAATTATCGATGAGCGCTTCACGAATATTGGCACATCGACTGAACAAGTGATCGAGCCCACAGTCTTGGGTGTGTCTGAACCTGCGATCGATAACTTCATAGGAAGAAACGATGAGCATGAGTTCGAGAAGCTGTGGCTGGGTTATCAAACTGCAAAACGACAGTAGCTTGGCAAAAATAACCCAGGCACGCCGTACGGGCGACATCGAAGTGGTTGAAACCCTGGTCCTACAATTGGTTGACGCTGAATTGTTGCCATCATTAGGAGGTGAGCAGTGCGATGTGGCGGCGCGGGTGTTTAAGGATTGTGCATCTGGGATTAAATCCACGAGAAGTATGGCTTTGCTCCACACTCGCGAGGAAGAGGAGGAGATTGCCCAACAAACAACTTATGATCTCGAGCTAGCTAGGGAGAGATACGAACTAGCCAAGCACCAGGCGTCGATGACCACGCAATTTAAGGAGCTGTTGACTGACGCAGTCGATTATTGGGGAGATGGTATTTTTCGTAGTTGGGACTGGATTGGAAGTGTCGATGGGATGCGGATCTCTACTCGTGCGTGCGTCGACGATCGAGTAACTGAAGAAGTCGCTATTGACAGCAACATGCAGCCTGATCCACGTACTCAAAGCAGGAAGCGGCGTAGCAAGCGTAAAAAGCAACGATCTGCCACACGAGAATTGCATTAAATGGGTGCGTACGGCTGACAGCCAATACAAGCGGATAGATGAGGAAGAGTATTGAGGGTACAAGATGGTTAAAAGCAATTTGATTTTTTAATTTGTTATCGTGTTGTGTAGGTCGCCAAATGCTACTGTTGTGTCAATTTGTCATAAAAAAGAAGTGTTCAGTTGGCCCCATCTTCTTGGCCGACGTAGAGCAAAACCTATCCGACAGCAACGCACGCGAAGTCAATTAGCAGTAACCGCAACGCACGCGAAGTCAATTAGCAGTTCACTCGAAGTCGAAGAGGGGATAGCTGTGGTTTAGTTTTGGTCATACGATGTTGTATAAATTCGTGTATTCTTGAAACTAACGAACTTCGTATATTTAGAAACCTATTTATAATACTAAGGTCCTGCGGCCTATGAATATCTAGCTTACTATTATAGTGCTTAAACACAATAATTTCATATGAACATGTTGTTTATGCTAATGGCAAAATGCAATTCATTTTTATTTGCAAACTTATAGTTTTGCGATTAAGACGTTCAATAGTGTAATCCCTACTCATTCATCTCCCACACTTCAACGTGTATTAATCCAATCACGTAGTGTAACTTATTAAGGTGGTATCGTATTATGCACGCCTATCTATTATACTGGGATAGGAAGCGACGAAGTGCTGATAGACCAGCCCAAACAGGATTAATTCGGGCGATGTCCCCCCTCCAATCGACACCGGTGATGAACCGGTAACGTCTTTAGGTCAATTTACAGTAAGTGATGTCTATTGACCGAGTGTTTTAGACTTCTCACGAATGATGGAGGCTGGTCCAGTTCATTTGCAAATTCGTCGAGTTAGATTCGTCATTGATTTTGCTCTGAAATCGGTTGTACGTCGTGACCATAGTGGCGATACATTGTCGGGCAGATTCTGCGGCTGCGAAGCAGGCGCAGGAGATGCCCGTGGAGCGTGCGGATTGAGTTTATCAATGGCGATCAAAGGTGAGTTAACCAATCCTATCCCAGCCTTCGCGAAGCCCTAGTTTATAGGGTGTTGGGAATGTTAGTGGGGCTTTCGCTTTGGCAAACGTGTACGACGCCAGTATAGACGAAAACACACACTGTTCTATGGGCGGCGCTAGCATAATATGGTAAGCCGCCGAGATACAACATGGTAGGCCGCCGAGGCACAACATGGTAGGCCGCGAGGTACAACATGGTAGGCAGCGCTGGCACAACATGGTAGGCAGCTCTAGCACAACATGGTAGGCAGTCCTATAGGCGGCTCTAGCGTGACATGGTAGTCCGCCCAACGTTTAACATGGCAGGTATCATTTCGAATAAACGAATTTGTACAGGGCTTAAGTTGTTTTTTTTTCTTATTTTCTTATACGACGAAATCAAGGTCAGTAGTAATAAATATCCGTCACGACCTCGTCACGAGTCGATGACGAGTTCGAAGGCCAAAATTCACGGCTCGGGCTTAGAGTCAGCCACGTCTCGACCCGAGACTCTGGAGCCCATCGACACTATGGATAGGTCATCGCAAGGAAGAGAAAAAATCAAAACTCGTTTCTTGTGAATTGAGACTGTGGCCCCGCCAAGATCGGCTTTCTGAAGCTTCTTATTCGGTTCGGCGCCTGACCTGCGAATGCATCAGCGAGCAGCAGGGCCAGACTTTGCTGGGAGTGTCATTGCAACCTCGAGGTGGTTCTATTTGCAAGCAACAGCCAAGAGAGCCCACGGTGGACTTGGCGGTCCAGTCGCCTACCGGAGGAATGGTTTCTGACGAGGTGGCTACGACTTCTCCTTGCCGAGATGAGTTTGCCCGGACGCCTCCGACGCCGTTCTTCTCTCGGTTAAGCGAGCGCTGGAGGCGAGGTATTGACGGCTGTGTCCTTGCTGGCGACTCGCAACATAACACTTCAGCTTTGTCACTTCAACTGTTCGCGACATCGTGTCGTCCTGCATCATCGTTCTTTCCTCATTGGCGACTGAAGTTGCCCATCACGCGCAACTTCGACGTGCGGGGTATCAGATCGCTTGTCGATTGCTACAACATTGCGTTCTTCCAGCAGCCCCCAAGCCCGCCAGTCGCCGCCATGAGCCGCACGGCGCAGTGCAAGATCTCGGGCCACGCGCCGGCCGCGCGCATCTTGCGCCGGGTGCGGGAGGACGCCACGGACATGGCGCTGCTGGTCACGTCGACGCCCGCGGACAGCTGGAGGTTCGTGGAGGAGAGCAACAACTGCCGCCTCTACGAGCTCACGGGCGACGCGCTGCCGAGCTGTATCAGCACTGTGGAGACGTTCGGCGCTGGCGGGGGCGGCCACCCGTCTGAGTTCTACATGGTGCGCGCGATCACGACGCTGGACGCCGACGTGGACGAGCTGCTGAGCTTCTTCAAGACGTCGCATACCAGGGCGTGATGAAGAAGCTCTTCGGGAGGTTCCTGGACAACGGCGTCACGCTGGACAAACTCACGTGCACCACGCCACCGGCGTCGGCTCAGGACCACGACGGGGTCTGGAGCAGCTACTCGGTGGACGACGCGTACGCCGCCAACTGGCTCACGCTGCGTTCGCTGAACAAACTCGTCGGCGTGGACTCGTGCCACGACTTCACCATGATGTGTTACCAGGACGTCTTCGAGCGCCACCCGGACAAGTCCGTGGAGCGACTCGGACTGCGCAACGGTCGACGAGCAGTGCACGACGTGATGGCCTCACGCTCGCTCATAGGTGTACACACCTTCTCAAGTATGAACTTCTCCGACATCCCAGAGCTGCCCAAGTCCTCCAAGACGGAGCGACTGCATTTCCGTAACTCGGGTGTGGTGATCGAGACGACCAACGACCCCGACAGTGTTCGCGTGAGTTTGTTCCTATCACTCATGCCCAACAAGCAGATTCTAAAGACGGTGGCGGCTAGTCCGCGGATCCGAGCAACGCAGACACACGGCAGCTCATTGTTGAAGAAGTACGTCAAGTGGCTGCAAAGTCTGGCGGCTTGTCTGGGCAATCTGACGGAAGCGGAGAAGCCTGGCGTGACGATTGAAAGACTCACGAAGATGGAGTGGGTGGAGAGCGATCACTGTTTTCTCTGCCTGAAGACGTTCAGAACGCTAACGATGCGGCGCTGCCATCACTGTCGGTTCTGCGGCGAGGCCGTGTGCAGTTCGTGCTCTGGTTTCATCGACATGTCGGCTTTTGACGTTTCTTACATTGAACGAGATGGAGTCGACGGTGGAAGTCGTCACAGTCGAGAGGAGGCTGCAGAAACTCGAGGCTGCGCCACTTGTATCGCCGAGCTTCAAATGAACCTGTCTCCGACGATCCACAAACATGAAATCTTCGGATGAGGGTGGGCTCATAAGAAGTAATGGTAATTGTTGACGAAGAGGTAGCTCTACCATGATGCATTGCTGCGAGATTAAATTGGTAAATGAAGTGCTAAGTAGTGTGGGAAATAATGGTTGTACATGTAAATCCTATCAGCGTAGTGCTGTCATCTTGATCAGTTTTTTTTACCACAGCGCCTCGTTTGGTCAGGAGCTCAACTATTCATCATCATTGTACATACGGGCACCATGCCCGACGAGTTGTTGGGCCACGTTGATGTTTGCCAAGAGTAGAGAAGACCGTCCTGTGATTGACGCTTGCTTCATTTGCGAGGAGTACGGCAACCACGTTGCCATGGTCCTCAGCTGCAGCAGTCATGAGGGGTGTAGAACCTTCGATTGTTACGACGTCAACAGCTGCACCATGCGCGACCAGAAGACTCGCCACGTTGGCGTGGTCACAATACGCAGCTACACTCCGAGCAATTTCGCCGTTGTCACCAGGCTCATCGAGGGAAGCACCACTTTCTACAAGCATTTCAATCAATCACTGGAATGCGCTCCGGAAGCATGCAGCTTGCAGAGCTGTAGATCCACCTAAACCATGACAATCAATGCTCGCACCTTTTTCAAGTAAGCTTTGAACCACATTTGCGTGTCTATTCGCAGCAGCATAAGCCAGAGCAGTCCAGCCTTTGGTGTCAACCTTGTCAAGACTAGCGCCATTTTCAAGTAGCAGCAGCACTGTTGCTCGATGGTCATGTTGAGCTGCGATCATGAGCTGTATCCTCGTTTCGGCTCTTTTGATCAATTGAGTTGGCTCGTGCAGTGGATGGAGTGAAGGCAGCCGTTAAATCGGAAGTGGCCCTAGTTGATTCTGCTGGGACTTACTCATAAATGATCTGGACAAACTCGGTGAATCCACTGAATTGTGCCAGCTTTTGCTAGAGGGCTCCAGCCTTCGTGGATACCCAAGTCGAGGGATGTTCCACTTTCCAACAAAACCTCCACAACTGCAGCATTTCCGTTTCGAGTTGCACTTAACAGCGGGCTTTCACCATCGTTATTCGCCAGATCAATCGCCCTACTGACGCCTTAACGACAGCAAGATGGCCGTTTGAACATGCCGTTTGCAGAGCAGTGAACCCAGTTCGTAATTGGTAGTCTATGATCGCCCCACTTTCCAGGAGCGCAGATACCACGTCGGCGTGGCCACCTTTTGAAGCAATCATGAGTGGGGAACAACCGATGTAATTCGTCAAGTCTGTCGTCCCGCCAGCGCCCACAAGAAACTGAACCACTGCAACGTGGCCCTTGGTCGCTGCGACCAGAGCGCGGTATCGCCAAATAAATCTCTGAAGTTGACTTCTTCCCCACGGTTGACGAGACGTTGGATTTCGTCCATTTGTCCATGAATACACGCACGCTGCAAACCGCTTGTCCAGCGTCCCACTTATCACTGCAGCTCAGCTGGGCTACCATGATATTGTACAATTTCTAGTGACCAGAGGTGCCAATATGAATGCAAGGCTGCCCAGTGGAGGTACTGCTTTGATTACAGCGGTGTGGTTGAAAAGACTGGAGGTTGTCCGCATTATCTTGGACAATGGTGCAGACATCAACTTGTGCGGAGACTTCCAGTGCTGGCCACCGTTGATAGCAGTGTGCAGCCTTTATCATCGACCGAATTAAGCGAAGCTCCGTGATTAGCCAGCATCAAAATGCCTTACTCACACGCGAGGTTCAATGGCGTCGCGTTATTCGGGAGCGGCAGATCAACCATAGCTCCATTTTCAAGCAAATTCATCAAGATATCTGGGTACTCCATCTGAGCAGCGAGGACTTCAATGTGCCTCACACATGTTAGCAAATTTAACGAAGCATGGCTCCTAAAACTCGGGGAGACGAACAGAAGCGCACCCTCAATGGTCAGACGGCAAATAAAAGTGAAGGCTACCCAGAATGTTGCTTGCTGCTCCCAGCTATTTCTGCAACAAAGTCGCTGCGCCATCCCTGTCCAGCACTCGGAAACAAAACCGAACTCACACCCAGGCACTCCGCTCACACCGTAGCGAAGGGGTCGTCGTTAGCGTCCGTGTTCGGCACGTTCTCCATGTAGCGCGCCATGGTGACAGCCACGTCCTCGCCGTAAACCGCCGCCATGAACGCGTGCGCCATATCCATCCCGGCCGTCACCCCGGAGCTCGTCCAGATGTAGCCATCCCTCACCCAGCGCGCCTTGTGCACCCAGTTGACGGTCGGATGGGCCTCCACGACGCCCTTGTAAGCCATCTTGTTGGTGGTCGCGCGCTTGCCGTCCAGCAGCCCCATCGTCGCCAGAATGGCCGAGCCAGTGCACACCGTCAGCACGTACGTCGCGCCCTCGGTGACTCTCTTGAGGAACTTCATGAAGGCGTCGTGCTGCTGCATCACCAACCGACCGGGAGATCCACCGGGGATGACGAGAATGTCGATGTGCTCCGTCACGTCCTCGAACCCGTGCGTGGCGTACAGCGGCATACCGAATCCCAGTGAGTTGCGGCTGCGCAGAACCCCCGCCGATAACGAGATGGTGGAGAACTTGACCGGTTGGTCGCACACAGTCGGGAGCTGCTCCAGGTAGGACGTGACCCCAATGAAGTCCTGCTGCACGACGCCCTCGAAGACGATGACGCCGACGTGTAGAGGGAGCTTCGAGCTGGCTGGGCTTGACATGGTCGACGGGCGATCAACTGCGGTAGATCAAGCAGGAGAAGAGAGCCAACGGGGCTTGAGGATCGTCGCTACTCGCTGCTACGATCGACTGACGGTATCAGGTCAGCTGTTGGGTGATCTGTGGTGCTGACTTTCGGGGTCGCACAAGTCTTTGCTCGGATACCAGGCTGCTACCACCGTCTGTGTGGCGGGTTGCTCGATTGTGCCACCGAAAGTAGCCGTTACATCGCCATCTCGGTGGTCGACACTGTCGACGATGCTACAGCGCTGGACGGACGCAAGTCGCCACTCCGGTAGTTACTCGATCGACTGAACGAAGCCAAGCGCGGCAATGGGGAACAACAAGTTCTCCGTGAAGGTGATGCTCTGCAAGTGCCAGGACCTGGTGGCGGCGACGAACGAGGTGGGCGGCAAGAGCAGCGCCTACGTGGTCTTCACGCTGGACGGCGCCACCAAGAAGAGCTCGATCGTCCAGAGCAGCCTGGATCCGCACTGGTCTCCGGCCGAGCAGTTCGACTTCCAGGTGGACGAGTGGGACAACGAGTTCCTCATCGCGCAGGTCTTCGACCACAACCCGCGCGGCGAGGACGATCTAATCGGATCGGCCGTCATCCCCCTGACGCTCTACGCGGGCAATCGGAATTGCGAGATGTGCAGCTACCCGCTGGTGCTGCCGGACGAGGTGGGCGGCTTGGGGTCGCCCAAGAGCGACATGTTTTTGAAGATTAGCCTATTGGACGCGGACGGAAGCCCCGTGGAGGAACTGTATTGGTAAATGTGATGATTAATGGGGAGTGAGTCAGTAAATGAAGAAATCCTTTGAAGGATATGTAGATTATGTGATATTTAACTGCGTGAGTTTGATTAGTTTCAACGATCAACACCGTAATTCAGCAGCCCAACACTGCTACGAGGCCAGTTCATCTATTATTCCAGAGATTTCAGGAAATTAACTTGGAACGTCGACACCAGTCACCAATGACCCATTTTCAGCAAGTAACTTCACCACGTCTTCGCGGCCATTATCTCTTGCGCATTTGACTGGAGTGTTGCCATCCTCGTCGGTCAAGTCGATGGATGCTCCACTCGAAATGAGTAGTTTAGTAACGTCAAGGTGTCCATGCTTACAAGCAATATGAAGTCCGCTTGGTCCTGATGTGTCAACACCAGCTCCGTGCTTTAAGAGCCGTCCAGCCACACCCACGTGGCCATTTTGCGCAGCAATAGTGAGTGGAGTCCAGTTGCTACGGTTCTTGAAGTCAATCGATGCACCATGCTCAATTAGCAGCCTAACCACTGCAACATGACCTTCCCCAGCTGCATTGATCAGCGGAGTATTGTCTTCAACGTCAGCCAAGTCAACGACCGCTCAACCCTGAATCAGCAGCCGCACAACATCAATTTGGCCGTGCTTACTCGCAATATTCAGAGCAGTATGCCCATCGGGACCTTGTTTGTCCACGCTCGCTCCTGCCTTCAACAGCACCGCTATAACTTGTGCACGACCGTACCGTGAAGCCATTATAAGCGGAGTATAACCCAACGTGTTGGCTACCTCAATTGCAGCTCCCTTATTCACGATTAGTTGCACAGATGCAACATGCCCTCTTGCGGTTGCACGGATCAGTGGCGTATCACCTGTTGCGTCTGGGGAGTCGATTGGCGCCCCGTTTTCTACAAGAGCTTTAACCACTTCAAGGCATCCCCCATAACACGCGTAGTGTAGAGCGGTCGCACCACGACGGCTCTGTCTGGGAAAGCTCGCTCCACCTTCCAAAAGTAAGTCCACCACCTCTTTCGAGCCACTGTACGACGCATACATCAGTGGTGCCATCCCATTGTCGTCATCAAAGTCCACAGTTGCGCCCAGTTCCAACAACAAGTTTACCATTGCAGTTTTCCTGGCAGTAAATGTGAAGAGCGGCAGTTCCGTCTGGATGCTCATAGTTGACATTTGCTCCGTTTTCCAGAAGAATCGCTACAATATCGTTGTGGCCGTCGCGTAAAGCACACAACATCGGAGACCATCCTTCGCTGTTAGGCGAGTCCACGGACGCTCCATTTTCCACGAGAAGTTTAACTGCGTTCGTGTGGTGTTGTTGGCATGCAAGCGATAGAGGTGAAATTCCATCCGGAAGCACTTGATCGACGATGGCGCCTTTTCCAATAAGGCTCGTAAGTGTGTCGATTCATCCGGCTTGCGAAGCATACATAAGCGCACTCCACCCCTTTGTGTCGGTGATATTCACCGACGCCCGTGTTCAAGTCGTAAGGATACTTTAACAAAGTTTATCCATGGTTGCGCTGATCAATGGGGTCATACCAAAATTGTTGGGGACGTCAATGCTTGAAGAAGCGCCGCTTTCTAGCAGTTGTTGCAGTACACCCCAGTGCCGTGTTTTGGCTGCAAGATTCAACACAGTGTCGCCGTTCTTGTCGGTGAGATCCGTAGCTCGGCCATTCTCAAGAAATAGTTTGACGAATGAGAGAAATGAGGCAATGTGTAGAACTGTAAGCCCTTCCTTCGTCTGCAGATTTACGTTGCCCCCGAATTCGACTAGAACCCTTGCTCCGTTCAAGCACATCTCGTTAACGCAATTTCTATGGAGCGCAGTAAGCCCAGCGTGATTAACCCAGTCAATCGAAGCGCCCGATTTCACCAGTAGCGTTATCAGCTCAGGGCTAGATGTTAACAACAATGGTGTATTTCTCTCGTTGTCCGCTAAGTCGATCGACGCGCCTTTCGAGATAAGTAGCCTTGAAGATTCGATGCCTGCGACTTGGAGTGCTGTAGTTCCATTCCCGATTCGATGAGTAACTTCACGGCATCTGCTTCGTCATATCTAGTTATCGCAGATAACCTATCATCTAAGTCGTCAGTAGGAGCGCCATGACTTATTAGTAGCTGAGCAACGTCAGTATGACCTCCCTCACAAGCCTTTTCGAGAGCGGAGCGTTTCCTTTTATCACTGCATACACCACTCTCCAATAGGGCCGTCACGATATCTTTGTTACCACGATACGAGGCTATGAGAAGCGGGGTCTCACCATAAGACACTGCAGCAAGCGAGCTTAAGAGCATAGGGTTGATCGGAAGGCGCTTGTCCTTGTCGGCGTTTCTTTCCAGGAGAGCAATGACCACCTCCGTGTGCCCCATGTGCGCAGCACTAATCAACGGCGTCCACCCTCTATGGTCAGTCAAATCGATGAACGCACCCTTGTCAAGCAGCCGGACGATATCAGCGTGGTTGTGTTCGCACGCAGTGCGGAGAGCGGTAACTCCACTAGGTCCGAACTTGTTGATGTTCGCCCCCTTCTTCACGAGAACTTCCACCACGTCCTTGTGGCCATTTTGTGCTGCACACATGAGCGCTGTCCATCCGGCATTGTTCGTCGAGTTGATGAGAGCCTTCGTTTTCACCAGAAGTTTGACGGTAGCCACATTGCCGTTACTGGCAGCTCGAACGAGCGGATTATCATCACCTTCACCTGGCTCCTCCATTGAATAGATACGATGAGGCTCACGACTTCTAGCGCCCCGTGAAGCAGCTTGATCCTAGGTCCACAGCGAAACGTAGGCTAAGAGAAGCTAAAGATGAGCGTGGTAGCGCTTATAGATTCGTGCACTTGCGCATAAGGTGCCGAGGAGGGACATTCAGTAAAAATGCCCACGCCTGATACAAACCAAAGCAGCCCCCAGGTTCATAGTTCAAACCAAACCAAAATTACCAGCAAACCAGGCTCATTGCGGTTTATGGTTTGGTTTGATATGGCTCGAGGCCGAACTTGAACCGACCGAAGGCAAAACAAAGCAGTGGTTCCAATGACGCTCACTGTTCCACCAGGACCACAGCGACGTCCAGCACACCGTGCCCACACGTAATATTCAGTAGTGCCGCTTGGCAGTTGCAAATTTAACCCCAGCAACCACGGCTGTACATGTATGCCCTTCTTGCGACAAACACGAGAGGCGTTCAGCTCTTGCCATTGACCGTGTCAACGCACGCCCCGTACTCGATCAACAATTGCACATCCTGCGTCGCGACCGCAACATGGTACTGTAGCTCTCAGAAGTCCCAATCAAAACACGAGCGCAGTCAAGCGCGGACCTCAGTACCAGAGCCATCCATCGCGCACCCTTCGGTTCCAGCCGCTGCATACAAGCCAAGGGCCTCGGTGCTTCGCCCTCGGGCCCCATCTGAAGCGCCCTCAACTTATAGGGCGTCAGCTCTCTCATAGCCGAGGCGTAAAAGTGGATATTGAGACTGTAGCCATTTGAGGGTACACGGCGGTTACGCCCAGAGTTACACATTACACACGGAGACACCGAAACGCTCTTCCGACTTCTACCTAACGCGGCATTCTCCTTTACGCTGTGTTCTACCGAGCTGTGCTGTGCAGCGGAGTACAGTGCGCAGTATTTAACAGCATCAACAGCACCCCATGGGCCGCAAGCAGCAGAAGAAGAAGTTCGTGGTGAGCATCGTGCTCTACAAGTGCCAGGACCTGGCGGCCGCCGACATGGACGTGCTGGGCGGCAAGAGCGACCCGTACGTGGTCTTCTCGCTGGGCGGCGAGACGCGCAAGAGCTCGTGCATCATGAACGACCTGAACCCGCAGTGGTCGCCGCCCGAGAAGTTCGAGTTCCACGTGGACGAGTGGGAGAACGAGTTCCTCATCGCGCAGGTCTTCGACTACGACCGCCTCAGCAAGGACGACCTCATCGGCTCGGCCGTTATCCCGCTCACGCTCTACGCCGGTGGGCGCCACTGCGAGATGTACAGCTACCCGCTCGTGCTGCCCGACGAGGTGGGCGGCTTGGGCGCGCCCAAGAGCGACCTGTTCCTGCAGATCAGCCTCTCGACCAGCGACGGCAGCCCCGTCGAGTATTACTATTAGAATATTAGCCCCGGACGACGGGGAAACGAAGTCTACGTTTGAAATTGGCGAAAGAAAATATACAAAGTGCATCCAGCAGCTACTGCGCGTGCGAACGAGTGTAGCGAAGACGTTGGGCCTTTGTCGGCGCGAAACTAAGGAGACTTCGTTCAGGGAAGACGGCGCTAATGTAACGACAGCGTGCAGGTGAGACGCGCCACGAGCAGTTCCTGAAGTTCCTTGAAGCCACTCCCGGGGTGGATTGATGACCACAAGCGCTCGCTGGCACGTACGGCCACTCTCTTCAATGAAGGACAGCAAACACCCATCGAGGTCCATGGCTTTGAGGACATCGACACTCGTTGAGCGCGACAAAGACGCTCTCGGCAAGGTAGGAAAAGGAGGAGAGAGGGATGTAGGAGATTCAGCCCCGGGGGACCCCCTCTCGTTGCCTTGCTAGCCGGTGAGCACAGCAACCTTTGAATCCGACGGGAAGCGCGCTGGGAGGAACCTCGGCGGGGAGATCAAACTTGTGATCGGGGCAGTGGACCGATGGGTGCTGCCACTGCCAGCCGCATAAAAGTCAAGTCATCCGCTGGAACAGCCAGGCAGCAAGTTCCCCACCGAGCTCTGCGACGTCTCTGCTCTTTGTTCGGGGGCAGCAGGCAGGCAAAGCTCGAAAGAAAGCCCCAAACCTTCGGCGGCGTAGTGATCTTCCGACCTCTTCTTGAGACCTTTGGGGGTGGAGAATGGTGGGAATGACCCCAAAGCCTTTCTGCTTGCTTAGCGGTGCAAGTGAGAATGAAATCGTGACGAATGCGCAGTTTCGAGCTGCAGCATATCGACAGCATGAACGAGTGAGCTGGGCTGGCTGGTACGGTGCAGCAGGTGGTTGCGCTGCCTCCGCGAGCGGGCAAAAGGGCAAATTGGGCTCCCGGCGCCGTCCAGCCGAGTGCCTCACCGCCGCAGCTTACGGCGCCACGCACGCGTCGGAAAAAGCCGTCTCGGCCCGGTTCTGCCGAAACATCGCAAGGTCGTTAGCATCAAGTCGTTCGGTTGTCGCGAGGTCAGCTCAATGAAATTGCTCCGCCGTTGGGCATTCATAGTTTTAGCACTGGTACACATCCATTGCCGCAGGTCTTTTTAAACCAAGTCATCTGCGTCTCATCACGAAAGGCTCCGGTACGCATCGAGGCTGGCAGTAAATGAGCCTCAATGGTGCTGCTCATGCTGACCGATACAGTGCAGGCACCATGCTGGCTGCACTCTATCACGGCCAGCTGGCTGTCGTACGAACCCCATCGTCCATGCAGCGCCACAGACCACGTCGTCCAGCCGCGTCTCGCCCCTCTTCCTGCTTGGTCCTCGCTCGCAGATGTCCTGCAGGTGCAGGTGCTTCGGTGGCGTAATGGCGCGGCCACCTGCGACTCATTCCTCGATCGGAGTCAGGTCGGCCAAGTCGCCACTTCACAACGAGGCCAGCCAGGGCTCTGCTCCGTCCGTCGGAGCCGGAAGCGCAGACAGACAGACAGACACATTCGATAGCCGCGGCGCGAGCGGGACTGCGACATCGTGCAAAGAGGGACGAGGCCGCCAGCGAATCGTCCGCCCGTCCAAATGTTAAGCGTAAGCGCCGGGCCGCGGCCAAGTCGCCCGCCCGCGCGGCCGAACGCATTCCGAAAGTCGAGCCGCAACCCGCTCAACATGAGCCGAACGGCCGCGACCAAGACCACGGGCCATGCGCCGTCCACGCTCATGCTGGAGCGCATGCACGAGGCGGCCTCCGACTTGGCCATCCTGGCCACCACCACGCAGGGCTGGCGCTTCGCCAGCGAGCGCAACGGCGCCATGCTCTACGAGATGGCCGGCCGCAACCTGCCGCAGAACGTCACCACAGCCAAGAAGTTCGGCCGCGGGGCCGGCCACTCGTCCGATTACTATCTGGTGCGGGCCGTCACCACAGTGCACACGGGCGTGGCCGCCATGCTCGACCTGCTGCACTCGTCCACCACCGAGGAGTACCGTCTCGTCATGCGGCAGATTTTCAACCAGTACTACCAGAACGGCGTCACGATTGACAAGTTGACGTGTACCACCCCGCCGCCTTTCGCAGAGGACCCGGACGCCGGCGCGGAGGGCGCGCGACGAAGTTACTCGGAGGACGACGCGTACTCGGTCAACTGGCTGACGCTCAAGGCCCAGTCCAAGCTCGGAAGTGTTGAGAACCACCGAGACTTCACACTAGTTTCGTACCAGGACGCCTTCTCGAGGCACGACTCCGGGGTGCTGGAGCGTGTGGGCAGGGGCACGGTGCGCGCTCGATCCAACACATCCAACTTCCAGGTGCAGAGCCGACTGGTGGGCGTGCACGTGCTCAGCAGCGTCAACTTCCAGGACGTCCCGGAGCTGCCGATTCCGCAGTGCACGGACCGCCTGCACTTTCGCAACTCGGGTTTTGTCATCGAGGAGACCTCGGAGCCCAACGTTCTGAGACTCTCGCTCTTGTTGTCGCTGCTGCCCACCAAGGCCACGTTGAAGTATGCTAGGAAGTATCAGCGTTGGCTGCAGGCGTTAGCGAGTTGTGTAGGCAATCTGGCGCAGGTTCTGAGGCCCGAGGTGACGCTGCACTGCCTGAGTAAGCTCACGTGGAAGCAGAGCGACCACTGCTTCATGTGCCTCAAGATGTTCCGTACGTTCCGCCGCTGCCACCACTGCCGATTCTGTGGTGAGGCCGTGTGCGGGGCCTGCTCCAATATGGTCAATATGAGCGGATACGAGGTCATGGACGGCAGCGGGAGTACGTTGGCAGCTTCAGCTCTAGTGTCGTCACAGCGTGGAGAACCGATGAACGACTTCAACCAGACGGGGGATATCTGGCAGATAAACTCGCCTGAAAACATGGGCTCGACTCGCGGCAGCAACAGCGCGCGAGGCTTCCGAGAGGCGAGAGGCTGCAACGCCTGCATCGCCGACTTGCACCACGGTCTTACAGCTTCAATGGTGCTCAAGGCTAGACGCACATCCGACTCCAGCAACAACAGCGCCGATAACCGTAGCAATTACAGCGCTGACAGCCCCTTAATGCCAGCTACTACCACGACTCGATTGAGCGCTAGCAACGACGATGAGGAACAGATCTCGTACGACAGCGCCGACGATGTCATCTATGAACGGCGGTTGGGCTCCATCGCGACGTTCATCCCGTCGGAGGGTGGCCCAGGTGCGTTGGTGGAGGAGAATGGTCCTTACACAGTCACGGCCAGTAGCCTGGGACTGGATGAACCAGTGGACGAGTTCCCGGTCACGTCCGAGGAGCTGCAGGACAAGTTCCCGGCCGTGGATGAACCTGCCCCGCCACGCTTCCGCAACGTGTCGGACCCGGACCAGCTGCGTCGCATGCGTAATGTGTCGGACCCGGAGCTGCCGCAGCGTCTCAAAGACAAACACAGCATGGTGTCCATGTCCACGGCCAGCAGCTCGTTTTCGCGGTCGTCGAACGACCGCTACACCAACGACAACGCGTCGACGTACTCGCGCGGCACCAACTTCTCGGCCATGTCGGATGGATCTTCGGCGTGCGATCTCTCGCGCGACCCCGACATCTTGGCCCTGGCCGGTCTGTCCATGAAGCCCCGACCGTCGGACGACATGTACGAACCTGCACCGGTGCAGCGCCCGCCGATGCCCGCCAAGAGTTACGACCCTTACTCGAACCAGGTCCCCGACGAGCCCAAGAAGAGAGCGGAGGCGGTGCTGAGGACGCAGAAGAAGCTGTCGAACAACGAGGAAGAGGACTCGTTCAGTACAAGGACGATCTCCACGCCGTGGCCGGGCAGCAGTAGTGCTGATAACCGCCTTCGCAGTAACACTACTTGCATGCGCGACGATGGGTTTGTGCCGCCCCAGCCAGACATGCTTCGGCCAGCCGACGTACTTCGCCACCGCAGCCAAACTACGGCTGCCTTAGGCTGGAACCCCGCTGCGACTGCTCCGTTGTCCGGGTCTAAGGATGCTGCCTCGAAGCCCAACAACTTCGCCAGCTCCTGCATCCGTCCATCCAAACCCGCGACCTCAACGGCTGCGACCGTAGCAGCATCGGTCGGGCCTACCAGGGCAGTACCTCAGCGAGACGAGGCCACGACAAGCAGTAAACTTTACATTACTTCGGCAGCTCGACGGGGCTCCGTCCCGATGCAGCAGATGCACCGCCTTCCAGTTTCGGTCCTGGAGGACAGCGCGGCGTCGGGCCGCAACGACATGATCCCGTTGTCCCAGGCTGGTCAGGCGGCGCCGAACTTTGTCGTGTTCTCCGACTCCAGGCGCGAATCGATTTTCACTCGGTCGGCTGACGGTCAGGACATGATCCCGCTTGACTTTTAGACCTGTAGACGAACGCAGTCGAGGTGCAAGTCGAAGTGCTCGAACGAAGAGCTATTTATCAGTGGAGAGTGTCGTAGTGCAATATAAAGCCATGCAAAAAAAGTATTTGTGTGAATATCCTACGTTGAAGCGGGTGAATTACAATACATAATGGCTGTTTGCTGCTGTGGTGCTCAAAGAGCCGACCTACGAAGGTACCTTCCGATCAACTGTTGTCGGGCCAATCATTCCTGCGGAGGTCATCAACTTCCTGACGCCGATATCCTCCAGGATCTTGATCACAGCGCCGATACCAATGCGCTTTTTGGGATCCGAGCGGCACATCCGCTCGACCAATTCCCACTCATAATCTTGGAACTTGTCGGCAGGACGGGCACACATCTCTCCTGTCTTTACTTTATGCTCTACCGCTGTGTCCGGAATGGTGCCCCATGGGTACTTCCCAGCCACAGCCTCGAAGATGCACATACCAAACGCGTAAATGTCCGAGGCAAAGGTAGGACGTTTACCTTCTAAGCACTCGGGCGCCTTCCATCGCACAGCACCGGTCGTCTCGATTTTTTCGGTTGTGGACGAGGGAGTCGCAAGAATGCTCAGCCCGAAATCGGCAATCTTTGTCGCTCCTCCGTCGCAAACGAGGATGTTGTTCCCTTTCAGGTCACCGTGCACAATGCTGTTGTCGTGGAGATGCTGGAGTCCGAGAGCAGCCTGGAGCAGCCGAAACCACGTCTCGTGACGTCTTCCTTTGGTCGGCTCCAGATACTCGACGAGTGTCTGGCGTGTTGCGCGCTCGCAAACGAAGAAGGGTTGCTGACCCTCGTAGCATGCGCCGTACAGCTTGATCAAGTTGGAGTGATTCAAGTTGAACCACAAGTCGGCTTCCTTGCGGAATTTCTCTCGATCCCCGGCACTATTGAGCAACTTCACGACGACATCGGTCCCGAACCATTTGCCGTAGTGCACAGAAGCGAACCCGCCCTTGCTGAAGTAGTCTCCCAGTTCCACCTGGTAATTCATCACAAACCATTTCGGGAGTGGCTCGCCAAGATTGCCCTGCCGCATTCCTTTCGCGCGACTTGCAGCTTGCTGAAGCACCAGCTTCATCTTCTTCACAGTATCGGGAGCGTATGCCCCAGCGCGATTGTGCACTTCAAAGCGCATAAATGCCAACGCCTCCTCTGGCCAGTGCTCTTTGGTGACTTCCTCGAGAAACCTTTCCGGGCTGTCTGAGCACGCCTGGAACAACGCATACTGGTGCTCGTGGTCCTGCTCCCATGTAGGGTGCCACTGGTGGCACGAATCGTTGCCACTTGGCTGGAGCAGCGGGGAGCTTCGTATCAGCTGGTCGATCTGGTAGTGATACTTGGATCTCATGTTGGCTACAGTTCGCGACACAGCTTGCGAAGTGCTGGTAGTGCACTCGTCTAAGTCATCTTTGTCGGCATGCTTAAGGAATCGCCAAAGTAAGGCGCAAAAATCTTCCAACAGCTTCCGTGTGAGCTCCATGGGGGACTTCTCGAGTTGCGCGAACATGCCTTTGAAACGCATGAGCACATGCTCATCCATCGCTCGTTCGTGCGGGTCGTCAATGTCTTCGCATGCTCTCTCGCATTCATCGAGCATCTCTGCCGGGGTCATCGAATTACTTAGCGAGTACTTGTAGTCACTCAGGACTATGCGTTCTTGGGAGGATTGATCGAGCTCAGTGCTCGCGCAGATCTCGCTATTTGACACCAACACTTTCATTCGATACCCGGCGTCGACGAGCCCAAGTCTCTCTGTGGGGTTCTTAGCGCACAGGCCCCGCAATATCTCCCATTCTTCCTCGTTGATGAAACCCGGTCGGACTCCAGGAAGCTCCGAGGTAGATTCATATTTCCACGTATCCAAAGTCTTGTCACGTTCGTCCGACGGTAAATTCGAGTTGCGAGAGCTAGCAAGCAGGAAAAACACAGCGAGGCCAAACCTGAGCTTGTCGTGGCTCACTGAAGACTCGGAGCCACGTCTTAGGCAATACGACCGATCGGCATCGTGCCTTGGGACTAGCCCAAGTCCATCCACAACTCCGCGTCGTTCCGAGTAACTCGAGAGGAACGTCGACGGTGATATGTTGAAGTACACAAGCCCGCGATCATGAACGTACTGGAGACCAAGCGCACAGTTTGACACATAACGCCACACATCCTTCTCGTAGGTAGGCGGGAAGCAGGTTTCGTGAATAACAAACGGCTTGCCGACGTAGGACGCGCCGTAGAATTTGCGCAGATGAGGGTGGTTGAGCTCCGTCCAGATCGACGCCAGTCGAACGCACACTTCCTCACACACTTCCCCATGAACTTCTTCACTCAGATTCCCATCGATATACTTCTCCCGTGCTCTGGCGTCCCACGCTTCCTTGCTGTCTTCCAGCTTGGCCTTGTTCACCCACGCCCACTCGTGCTCCGACGTGACGAACCAGTCCGGCAACTCGCCTGACACAACACCCGCCTTCTGGACAACCAAGTCATACACCATCGAGATGGTGTCCAGCTCCTCCGCCATCAACTTGTCTCGGTACTTATCATCCTTCCCGGCAAACTTCGTGAGTCCATCATGATACTTCTCAACGCAGTAGCGAAGCAGTGTTACGATCTCCAGTTGCTGGTTCTTGTCGCCCAGTGCAGCGACTAACTGCTCTTCTTCCTTCACAAACTTCTCGAAAACTTCGAGTCGCTCTTGACGTTCTATTAGGAGGTGGTTGTGCCATTCCTCTCGCACTTCAGGGTCGAGAATGTCCAGCGTATCCAGAGCGATGTCGACGTGCTTGTGCAGCAGAACCACGACTCTTCCCGTGTCCGCCAGCTTTAAGAGCATGTTGGCTTGGCTCTCATACGACTCGAGTTGCTCCTTGAGCATGCGAGTGAAGCGCACCATAATAGCCACGTTGCTCACTTCATGACGACATTGGTCTCGCAATTTCCCCACAAAGTGGTCGGCCAATCGGTCCTCCGTGCGAAAGTCCCCCTCGTGGCTCGAGTGCCAACGACTGGCCCCTGAGATTTTCGATTCCATCCAGAACTTGGTCATCGTCTTGCTCATGGTATTCGTCGCCATGGTCTCCGATCGGGTAGTTAGGAGGCGCTTGGTCTCCCGCGGTAAAAACGATTGTGGGGTCTTCTCGGGACAGTCGTCGCGTGCGTCTTGCGATCTCGCACGACAGACTCATGGTTTAACCCATTGAGAAAGGATCATCTGGCAGGATCTGGCAAGAACGGCTAATACATAATCCAGAAATACTGAACCGTCAAGCGTACAGAAGTTCAGTACACTCAAGTGCAGCCAACACTCAGAAACCTGTACGACTCGTACTACGAGCACCTCGAACACGACTATCGAAGGCTTTCAACAATCCGAGACTCTTCAAAAGCAATCAGTGTTGCTGCGGAGGAGCGCGATCGTAAAGGTCGTTGTGGTCAATAATGCAGTATCGACCGGAACAGACTCTCAGCACTTGGAAGAGAAGTTCTGGTAAGCTTAACTGCTTGGCAGCCACGCGACGATCTGAACCGTTGAGTTCGATTGGGTTAGCTTGAAACGGCGCCCCTGTGACCAACCACCTTTGACCCACTATGCATTTTTACTCTTTCTTACGTATTCAACTCATTGGACGCCTGCCAAATACCTATATTTATGGCTTACTCGAGCGGCTTATCTGCAGTGATTCATACGCCCGACGTAAATCTGCGGAGACACGAAATCGGTCTCGATAAGCAGTCCCAACCCTACCTTTATGTCGTGAAGCCATCATAAGCTTTTATCTTGCTATTTGTATTGTTAAATCTGACCATCATTCTTGAAGGTGTTTCCTTCACTCTGGCGGCTTATTGCCTCGATTATACCTTCATGCCGACAACTTGAAGTTGCGCTCACTTTTAAATCGGACGGCGAAGGCGCGAAGTCGACCTCCGCCGACTCACAGAAATGTATGTGTGCTGCAAACTGCTGCTGTCGTGCTTACTGTGGCTGACTCTGTTGTCGTGCAGCGACATGGTGCGTCACGTGCACTCCGCCATCCACTGGCAACTGCGCTGCATCGAGGACTCTTCGAGTGACGAGAACACGCCGCCAAACGTCGCTGCGGCGCCGAACCATGGCCACATCCGTCGACCCTACGGAGGAGACGGCGAAGCGAGCGCAACGGGGACGGCTACGCCGCCGTGACTGTCTCCGGAGCGGACCAAGCGTCGGTCCAAGAGCGCGACGAACCAGCCGCCACCGGAGCCACTGCCACCACGGGAGACGCCGGCTCCTTCGACGGCGCGTGCGTATGCGAGCCCGACGACTTCGTCTCCAGTGCTGCTGGAGGCACCACCAAGGTCCTCGCCGCGACCGGGGACGACCAAGACGAATCACCCACACCGTCAAGCACACCGAGAAGCCGCAACCCCGTACGCGCGCCCTTCGTTTCGTCCATGAGCACGTCATCCGTGGTGTGGAGAAGCGCGAGAACAAGATTTGTTCTCTGAGAAAGGCGGCATAACCGATCGACCAAAAATCAAGGGGATCGACGATCGAGAGAAGGGCGACCTGAACAAGACTGGGATTGCCGAGATCGAGGAGGTTCGGCGAGCGATCGAGGCACCGGGATGATACTCGCACGTAGGCGGGGTGTGGAACCAGGTAGATCACAGCTGATCGACACATGGAGAGTGGCGATGCCTCGTCCCACACCGATCCAAGGGGCGCGGTGCGAAGGACGCATGTCGAAAGCGAAGGACGTCATGCACGAGGTCAAGATCAACGAGCGACATCGTAGAGTGGGACGGCTGAAGACCGAAGTGGACTGATCACGATCGAGAACTGTGGATCGTCGATCGTCGATCAAGGGCTGATCGTGGATCGCTGATCGCGATCGCCGATCGCCGATCAGCCAAGATGGGGAGCACATGGGGGCGAAGCCAGGACAATAATCCAGTAGTTGTTTAGTTGTAGGATGGTAGGTGAGATGGTAGCGGTAGAGAGACACCAGCTAAACATAAATCAGAGTCGAATATGCACCGTGGAGCGCAAGTGGTCTGGAATCTCGAGGAGGAAGAGCATATTGGCCTCGATCGACTTGCGTTGTGGAGAACAGATTTGACCCCACGCGTGATCCAAGACCACCAAGCCCCGGAAAGTCGCTCTCGAGCAGAATTTGCACCGAAGAGCACAAGTCCCCTCAAGTCGTCGGGTGAAGAACGTAGAAAGAAAGAGCCCCCGTAAGTGGTGGCCGTTGCCTTGATGGACTTGTCGTGGCACTGGTAGTGCCTGTTATGATTTGCCTTGGGTTGTCGCCGTTGGCGCAACCGCGGTGGCCGTCTCATGGAGCAAAGGTGCTGGCGCAGTCGTCAGAATGAGAGAAGTCGTGGAGTCATGTGAGGAGAAGCTGCGGAACAGAAGACTGGTGTTGAAGTAGTTCGAGTGGTTGGCAGAGTAGCTGCAGCCACAGTGCATTGAGCAAGTAGGAGCTCAGTCTCACTTCGGCAGGGTCAAGCGCAAGAGGGCGAAGAAACAAGTTGTGTATTTGTGCTTTTACACTACTTGGCTACTCTATCTTCCTTATCGGTGGCGGGCGCGGCAAGAATCGAGCGGCAGTCCTCGAGGAAGCGCGCACACCAGATCGACCGGACCTGGATCGTAATAGTGCCTCACGAAGTCGTAAAAAGCTGTAGCTGTCCGGTCCGGAACGACGATCAGTGCTTGCTTTTGTGGTCGAACGCGAAATGGAAAGTAAGAGAACAATCATAATAGCTGTGAAGGCGCACTCTGTCCATCAAAAGACGCAACAAGATTGATTGTTAGACATATTGGGCAGGACTTGATAATGAGTAGATATTTGTCAATAGGAGTGAAGAAGGAAGAGCAAACCGGCGAATCAGTTACTACTCTGCTTACGCTGTTTGCGATGGCAGCAGCCCAGCTTAGCTGGCCTCGTCGCCGACCCCGCAATGTCGCCGTGTGTTGCGGCACGTTGATGCTATCAGCGCATGCAATGAACGTTTTAACTGCGTCTTCAACACTTTGACGGGCACACCACAGTTCGGTACGCTTTGCTCTGTCCTCAACTATGGTCATCCGATAGCGTACATCATTATTTTGTAACAGGTTGCGGTGTGGTCATGCCTGATGGTGAGCAATGCGGAACCTGGGGTGCTGTACGCGACGGTGGTTGTAGATACCAAGCGGCAACGACAACTCCAAGTGGCTACGATGCGGAAAACCGCACACGAAGGATCTTCGGGCTAGCTCTAGCGGATATTTACCCAGACAAGAGCAAGTGGGGGCGCCAGCAGCATTGCAGCAGCGCGCGACGAGCTGTCCGACGAAGACGAACTGGTGGACGTTGACGCTCTGGTGAACGGCGACGAGTTGCTGTCGGCCAATGACGAGTTGTTAGACGAACGAGCCGCCGGGTGGGGATGAGCTGTCGGGCGAGAACGAGTTCACGCATGAGGACGAGATGTCGGATGATGGCGAGCTGCAGAAAGACGACGACGAGCTGCAGCAGGATGATGAGGTGCTGACGGACGACGCCAAGCTGTCGCCATAGTGATGTATTGGTACTGACACGAGTTCATTTAGATGGAGACCGTCGACTTGCTGTCAAAGGCATGGTTTAACAAGACCTATCTACTACTCCACCTTGACAAGCGCCATTGGATGCCTCAGGAGTTTCAAGTACAGCCTGGCCTGAGCGCGCTTGAAGAAACATGCAAAGTGCTCAGTCTTTACAAGACGAAAATGCTTGAAGCAAGTACGAACACCATATTCGGCGAGCGTGTTCGCCTTCAAAAGTACCGGACTTGCTTGCAGACGACGTATCAAGAGAAAATCGCGAAGTGGATGAAGCTGTGCGAGAAAGTACGCAACAAAAACATTGCACTTGAAGCGCCAATCCAGGAGGAGATCGACCAATTCGGTTTTGATTTTGACTTCTTTCACCAGCGCAACCCCAAAACAATCCCATGCAAAAATATTTTAGCCAATCAAAATCGAATATGCGAAAATATAATATCAGCCAGTAAGCACACGACAATTGGTCGCTGCACCAAAACCGAAATGGCCAGGGCTCCGCACGGCAGCGCGGCGAAGAAGCTCTGCGAGAAGTGTGGCAACGGAATATCGCGCACGAACTTCTCCAAGCACGCAAAGAAATGCAAGGGAATTAAAGTGCGCGACACCCGGCGCGAGATTTGCAAGCACTCATGAGTCAAGCACCGCGCCAAGCGCGTAGGAGACCAGCGCAGCCGGCGCGCGTCCGAGTCGTTTCAACGGCTTGAGGGTACCGTAAGATTCTTTAATTTTATATGAAGGACAATGTCTGTTGCCTACCTGGGAGAAAACTCCTACGGCCGCTTCATTGTCTGAGTCGTCGCCAACAAGGCCCATCTCGGGGCCCCTGCGTTCGCAGCGAGACTAGGGAGCGTTGGTGTATCAACACCTGTGGGCCACCGCAAAGCACCCGGGACTTACGCCCCTTTGTATTAACCTCACTACAACAAGCAGCAGCTCGTTCTCGTCCTCCTACTCGCCCTCGCCGTTCTGCGGCTTGTTTTCGACCACCAGCTCGTTCTCGTCCGAGCTGCTTGTTATCGTCTGGCAGCTCATCCTCGTCCGGCAGCTCATCCTCGTCCGGCAGCTCGTTCTCGTCACCCTAGCTGAGTTTGAGGCAGTTTACAAGGCTGGATTCATCGAGAAGGATAACGCATACGAGGTCGAGATGAAGGCAAAGGAAGACCAGCTGGCGAACGAGAGACGGTTTAGGGAGACATTTGGGTCTGATTCGGATAGCGAAGATGCCTAAACTTAATGTATAGGTCTATTGGAATACATGTCCCACTTTTAACAAGACCCAAAGTACTACGCCAAGACTAAAAGTACTAAACAAGACTCAAAGTACTAAGACAAGACTCAAAGTTCTAGGGGTTAAATGAGTGGCTCCGACGTTCACAATCCATTTGGCTGGACACGAAGCACTCCGTCACTCTCAGCATGGCATCGCATACAACCTCGTTTCAAGAACTGTTGCAAGGCGGAATTGATACAGCCACGCACGTAATTAAGAAAGAGACAAGAGATGTTTACGCGTCGTACTTCAAGAAGTTTTGTGAGTTCTGCATCGCGAATGAATACCCCGACCCTGCGGCTGTGCGCCACCATGAGCTTCCGTCTCTTTTGGTTGCGTTCATGGAAAGTGTGTTTGCGTCTGCAGTGTGTCTAACCAAACGGTGGAGAAGATCCGGGCAGCGGTCGCCAATTACTATGGAAGTTACGAACGTCGAGACGCCGCAGGACCTGACAAGTGGATGGTAGTCACGGACGACAACGACAACAAGTACGGGTTGGGCAACCCTGCCAAAGATGCTTTTGTTCGCCAGTTCATGCGAGGGTTAAAGAAGCGGAAGAGCACGGAGTTTTCGCAGCGCCAAGCTACCCCAATTTCATTGAACATGCTCCGGGTACTACACTGTCACCTGGCAAATGCGAAAGGATTCTCGGAAGTCAGTCGCCTGTGGTTTCTCGCCGTAGCTGCGTTCGCGTTCTATGGTATGTGCCGGATCAATGAGGTGCTCAGTCTTCAGTGGAAGCATCTCACGTTAGGAATGAAACGACCCAGTACAACGGACCCGAGTGTTTCCATTACATTTGGAGTTTACAAGCTTGAAGGAAGAAATACGGAGGTTGCCGAAGGACGCTGCTACAACCTGCATCATTTGGACGATAGCGAGAATCCCATGGACGCATTGGCGCATTTGACAGCATGGCTTTCCTACGTGCAAGGGAAGACTGATCACAGCTGGAGCGACGGTGACTACGTGTTTCCGGCGCTGTCAAAAGTGGCTAAAAGTGTGCTGAAGTCCGACACTGCATCCACCGGTTGTGAAAATGCGCGTGTAGAATGGGGTAAGAAGATGTCTGAGCAGGCATTCATCACCCTTCTCAACTGTGTTGTGCGAGATCTGAATCGAAACGGGAAATCGACTCGTGGCTACGTCAAGCAGGAGTGGCGTGATATCTGGTTCACATCTCACACGTTTCGTCGAGGTGGTGCGCAATACAGGTTCATGTTTGCTGTTCCCGAGCGTCGGTGGTCACTGCGCATGGTGAAGTGGTGGGCGGGATGGACCCCAAATGAGTCGGCCGAGACGCTTGTACGCTATCTACTGGACCAAGCGGCTAATGACGAAGACAAACAATTAGCGGACTGCTTAGCGCCGGATCGCGAAGCGCACTCGGGATGTCCTACCACGTACTCAGGTCGGAAGCGTAACCTAACGATTCCTGTCCGACAGCCCCATCGGCCGGTGCCATCGAAAAGCGGCTGAAAATTGTTGAGAACTCCGTCAAAGCGCTCCACGACAAGATTGACTGGTATTCGTCTTGCAACCGTCTCAGCAGTTAGTACCAGTTCCAGCAAGTGCCAATAGCAGCGAAAGTCACGTGGAGCAGGTGTCGATCCTCCCACCAGCCAAGGACTCGAAAGACATGTACCGAATGTATTGGAACGCTGATCCGAGCCGCCACCTTTTCAAGCCAGTCAGTGAGTGGACGGCCTAAGCCAAGAAGAAGAGTGGAGCCTTGCCTAGCAGACTAAGCGTCGCTAAACTGATTGCGGAAGACGTGAAGGACTTTGCTCTCCAAAAGAGGGTTCAAAACCCGCGGAATCTCTGTGACATTTCACTGTCAGGCTATGCAGCATATTACACCGACAATTGGCTAAAGAACGCTGCCAGCTCAGACGTCAATGTACTCACGATTGACACACTGGCCCGATACATCCGCCTCGACCGTAAACGTCGTCTTGTGAAGTCTAGGCACGCGTACCTTAGAGATTAATGCAAGTATTGTTGGTCTTGTCGTAGTATTTTCAGTCTTGTTGAGTATTTAATGTCTTGTCGTAGTACTTAAGGTCTTGTTAGAAAACCTAGTGTTTTTAGTCTTGTTACCTTATCTTCAAGCCCTCAGAAGCCTCCTAAAGATAATTACCGTCGTCTTTAGTTTTATTAAATATTCTTGCAAAATTGATACTAAAGTGGACGTTATGACTGGTTAATACTCCGAAGATACTGCGCGATGATTAGTCATGCAATCGAATTTTGCATATTTTGTTGTTTCTAGAGGCGGAAGTTGCTTCTGACTTAAGATGTATACAAAACCCAAGTAAACCGGAAGCAATTTCAATTTCCTCACATTCACCAGGGCAACAGCGGCCTGATCAGGGTTAGGGTAACTATACAAAAGGCAAGTATATTCATCAGACCTACCCCTTCATTTTGCAAATGAAAGCGCTACTTCTCTCAATTTGGCCTTGAAATGGTGTACAGGCAACGACGGATAAATCCGGCACCACTGAATGGCATCCTCCATAGTAAATGCGCCAAAATTCTCTGTCGGGAACGATAGAGATTGTACATGTCAATGACATAAAATACACGTAAAGGAGCATAAATACACACAAATTTAGATAAAGTACTTAAACCTATATGGAATACAAATGTTAAGTGTAAATCTAGAAGCTGATTGGCTATCTGAATTAATTATTGTAAAAAGTACAACATATGTGAGCTGGGTTTTGCGTTGCCGTATTTATCCGTCGTTGACTGTACTATTATCCCGGCCACCAAACCTTGGACGGAAAGTAGGTAAGATTTAGGGCTACTTCCACGCATAAAACCTATAACGATAGTTAGATATAAGGGGTAGAATCGAGCGTAGATTCCGATTTTGTGGTCTATTTTTGCGTATCTGAACTCCTTCCTGTTCATTTCGGCTGTTGGGAAATGCTTCTATTTCTTGCATTTTTGTTGTCTTACAGCAACCCAATTGGCCAAATCAGGATAGCAGCTGGGGATAAGCTCATAATCACGATAAAAACCCGTCATTTATCCTACTTGTTATAATTTGACAGCTGGTGTCAGAAAACTCGCACTTCTTATATTCAGTATATTCATCAAGTCATACCTAGTCAACACACTGCCTCATCAAACCTGTCACGCTTTATATCAGATGATAGCGACTAGTCCAATGTTACTATCGATATGTAACAGCAACCGTGTCTGGAACACTGGTGGCGCCACGCCGACAGCTCTATCTTATCTCCTAGACCTTCGATTCGGCTGTAGCTACCCTCTACATGAAGGTTAGAGCATTGTGAGTATGCTCTGAAAATTTGAGCACTCCAAACGGGGTCAAAAAGAAATTATAAAGGTTTCAATTTTAAGCCACGACTGTGGACGGATCCCGTCGCAGCAATTATAAATTACGGATCAAATTTAGATCGTACCTGTCGAGTTATGGACAAGAATCTAGTGCTACGCGAATAAACACACGCTTATCTTTCGATTGATGGCATCCGCAGCGTCATCGGCCTAGTGGTTGCTAAGTTAAGGTCAATCAAAAGCATCAAATGAAAAATTAATTTTCCGTCCAAGGTTGGGGGGGGGGATACAAAAATCTGCCTCTATACCGAACGGGTATACAATACATAACCTCATATAAATAATACTTCAAGATCCAACAACAGGACGAACGGAGATGGGCAAAGGTACGGATGTAAAAATCCAGGATACCTTTGTTTGGCTAAAAGTACTAAGCTGTACAGTTTGAAAATTGGCGCCCTTTTGATTGTCTGTGCGATCTTCTCTGTATTTACGATTCCACTTTCACATTTGCGCACTACCCGCTAAGCCCTCTAGGAGTAGTACAAAGTAGAGCTACTAACCGCACTGATGTGGTGCGAACACGCCTGGTCGAAGGTCAGCGCTGAAACAACTCAGTACTCGGGTTTGATTAACTAAGCAAGCGTCAAATCCTGTCTAAGATAAACTAATTCAGTATAGCCTTTTCTCTGGTAACGCTGAGATCACTTTATAAGGCCCAGTCTTATATCTCCCCGCAATCGCGGGACGAGATTGGGACGAGTTCGGTTATTGCCAGGACCTCCGGCACTCTGGCAGTGTGTTAGAGATGCAGTCCGATACATTTGCCTTTCAATTTTATGTATCCCGCGGCCCGCGCCACACAACATCCCAGCGGGACAAGAGGGGGTGTCGTCCCTAAAGCGTCCCGCTTCGACCCGCAACAAAGAGCTCTGATTGGTCCCATCCCGCATCCCGCGAGATACAAGACTGGGCCTAAACCTGGAGCCCTTATATATATCAGGCGTTCGGTATTCAGGCAGAGTTCTGTAATACCGTAGTATTGTTAGCATTAGTAATACTTCAAGATAACGCAAAAGTTGCTGACAACTACCTGAACCCTATTTTAAGAACCCCGAATTCTTTGGACAGCTCCCAGAACGCATCTATTTAATGCCATTTTAAAGGATGCATCATTTTTGTAATGCGATACGACCGCCAGAGGCGTGTGGTCCTGGTCGTTGTTTCCCGAGGTCATTTAGAAATCGGCTCTCAAGTTCACGGACCTCAAAGCACCGTGATTTCCCAGCTTTGACGTCGGTGAAGAATGAAGCTACTGCACTTGTTCCTCTTCCTGTTGGCCGCATGCGTCGCAACGCCCAACGCTCTCGCGACCACACAAATCCAGACGCCCGCACTGGAAGACAAGACGCATCATAACGGCCCAGAGGATCTCAAGGCTGCGTTTCCGGATGACGGCAAAACCAACAACACCGGCAAGGACAAGCGCGAGGAAAGATTGAATTCCGTCGTCTCCAAAATCAAAGGCATCCTCCCAAAGAAGGGCACCGGCCTCTCCACCAAACTCGACACCATGCGCAAGAACCCTGACGTTGTCGCGGCCCTGGAGAGGAACCCAACAGTGAAGCGGATCGGGGACGCGATTGAGAATGACCCCAAGTTCATCACAAACTTGAAGAACAATCCGGAAGCGGCCAAGGCGCTGGCGAACAACCCTGAATTCAAAAAGGCTGCAACTGCTCTTGAAAATACTGACGTCACGGTCACCAAGAAGGACATCAGTCGGCTTCGTTCGGCTGTTTCCACGGGCGAATCTACATACTCCAGAGTTGGAGGACTCATTCTCGGCGCTGCGACGGTGGGAATGCCCATAGTTTCGCTAGTGCTGTTGATCATAGCAATTCAGCGTCGTCATACTTAGATGACTGAACGATAAGGTGTGGTGCTATGCAGCCACCACAGAATTAATTGCTTGTTGTATGAAGCCGTGCAATGCATAAATATCAATCATAATCCTGTTCACATAAGGTGGACTTTGACATGGTAAGGTACGTTATTCGGGTCTACTCAGTACCGGTGACAGATTTGTGGTACTCATTCGTCGACAGCACTTGGGTGTGATGGTTTAACTTGCCCCAACGGTACCAATATGGGGCCGAAAATAAAATAAATCGGGTTCCCGCCAATTGTTTCATAAAATGAAATCTCGATGCGGAAGCATCGATCGCATCTTCAAGTTTCCTTCTTTCGAGTTCTCACTCGCGAATTTGACCCGAAGACGCAACACCGAGGCGAAGTTACAGCACGAAGGTACGTAAAGTTGCATGCTTGGGAGTGTGCTGCTGCAACTAAATAGTTTGCTTGTAAATTCTTGGTTAATAACAGCGCGGAGGTAGGTAGGTAAGTAAGTAATGTGATACGATTGTGCTGTATGTTTCAGTTGTCGCACCTACTAACTCGGCTTATCTGACAGCTTTGGTATAACGCAAGTGCGGCGCGCCTAAGTCGCGTGCGCTTTGAGTTTATCTGTTTTATTTTATTTTTGCTATCTCAGTCTCAGTCTCCGCAAAGCCCTTTTAATACCCCAGCGTCTTTATCGGAAGGCGCTCTACCAATGTATCTGCTCGTTGTAGTAGACACCATTTGAGTTAAGAAGATATAAAACCTTACACCCGCCAGCATTTGCGCTCCTACACGAACGATGTAGTGACCTCTGTATTGCTCGTTGGAACTTCCGATTCGGACACTGTTGGCGGCGAGTCCGATTTACTAGCTGACTCGGCCTCCTTACTCTAGATACTGCGCATTGCTTGTTCGATCCGCATTTATTCATCGCAAAGCATGCATCATACCCTTAACCCTTTCGCGAGTATCCTCAATAAATTATAGTATACAACTCATTGATATTTCCTTCTAAAAGGGCGCTCTATGGGACATGCCATCTACGGTGATTTGCAAGATACATAGAATGTATGCGTATGCCTTAGAATTTGTATTGACACTGATTACATGATGATTACTCTGCGTACCGATTATGATTTGTTTTAAAAGAAGGTTTATTACTTGCTTGAACTTATGCAAAAGGGCACAGGATGCGCCCTTTAAGAGGGGGTACACTCTACCGTGTTTTGGAAAACCATCTAAAGGGCGCTTTCTGTATCCTTTTACCGCGAAAGGGTTAAAGATTGAAACGAAGACTTTTTTTAACAATCCACGTCGTAGTACTTAACCCCATGGTTCCCGGGATTTAGGCACCGAAACACGTAATCTACGGTACTGTATGTCGTAACTTACGACGAAAAAAGTAACTACGAGTTTGTATTGGCGCGCCCTGTCCGTAACAAGAGAAGCTCCATCAGACATATAAGATTGTAGAGATCTATGGGGGGAACTTACGACATTAGAGTCGAAAACGACGTGAAGTACGCCGGAACTTACGACATTGAACGTAGATCGAGTGCATACTAATCCCAGATGGTGGATCAATAGGATTGGTGAACTACACAAAACATCCATCTTTCGCGGTGTTGATAGATGACTGCGAGGTTGTAATCACCAAATCATCAATATATAGCCAATCAAAACATTTTCCCTCTCACTTATGCATAGGTCAGGTAATGGGGAACCGTATCCCATTCAAGAAAAATGGGTTATCGCTACAACCAACAAAGGGGTACTTGGAGTGCTGACTTACTTTGTATGTCAGTGCTAAAGCAGCTCTATAACCGTAGCAGCAGCTTCACTTCTTCGCTTTGTTTGTCAGCTTTACGATATCTGCCCAACAGCTCGCCCATTTCTATAGAGTGTTGTTACCGAGGCAACGGCCTACACCGCCGGCTTTTCTCAATCCGGAACACTGAAGCAATACCGAAATTGCTTCGTCTTACCGTTCCTAGAAAAAGTTTTTGCCTACCACGGTTATTCTAGTTCGCAGCAGGTATATTGATGCTGCTCTCGAGGGTGGCCGCACCGGTAGCGGCACTCGGGCTTCGCGTACTATAGAAATCGCCTCGTACACGGAGACTGTCAAAGCAGCCGAAGAGGATCTCTATACGCACAAATAAGGCGTTATGGTCGGATTGACTAGTTGATGACACGCGTACGAGCCAGACCTCCGTCGTTCCAGGCGATACCGAACTATACGTCGTGCTTAAGTTGGTTAGTAGTAGGATACTTTCGTCATCTTAGTTTAGTTATTGGGAGAGGTCATTGTGGGATATACGCACGATCAAGGTTACTCCATGCCCTTGTTTCAATCCGGCATTTACGTGGCGCGAAATACGCTGCAACATTGTCGCTGCCAAAACCAGCTACACCGTACAGTTGTTATAAGGCTGCAAATAAATATTTCTTCGTGTTAGAAGTCTCGGCAGACATAGTCTACTTCCGGTTATACTTACTTTGTATATTCGGCACCTAAACTCGAGGAAATAGCAGCAACAGCCCTTGGAGAGTTATTTAGACGCCATTCCATCCATGGTTTTATCATTTACATGTTTATTGTGTGTACGGGCGTTTAGAAGCTATTCTACGAGCTCGTGGGAGCTCTTGACAGCCGCATACGCCGTACTCTCCCCTTCAAGGTCGCTGTTGTGTTTGCTTGAAAGTGGGTACTCGCGCAAACCTTAAAAGGGGATGCTCGTCTTTCTCTATACAAAACGCCCCATTAGTCAGCCCCGGCTTATGCACAACCCATCTCTGATGGCTCTATATCCGTGTTTTTGTGCAATTCTGATTTTTACCTCTCTTGCTTATACTTTTGCCGACGAAAATAGACTTGATTAAAGTATTGCAATCTCGTTTCGAGCCAAATGCTATTGTTAATCGAGCTATGTCGTATTATACGACATTGAGATTCGGCAAAGTCGTAACTTACGACGTCGGGAACCAAGGGGTTAAGATTTATCGTTTGGGGAAGGAAATGCAGTACGATGGTCCCCAATTTAACGAAAAACCACTTCGTTTAGGGCGAGTTTCGTAACAAAACGACAATCTCCGTGTGATCCTTTTCCTCTGCACTCATCAATGCAGAGCAACCGGAACTGTTTGTCAAATCAATTACAGCCCCACGCTCGACCAGTAAGTTCACAACGGCCGTATAACCATTCTCAGCGGCATATTTCAGGGCGCAATTACCTTCGGCATCTACCTCATCAATAGCCGCACCATGGTCAAGGAGAAGCTTAACCACTTCATCTTTCCCATTCATGGACGCAATGTGAAGAGCGGTTAACCCGCGAGCGACCTGCTTATTGACCGATGCGCCTCCGCTTAGAAGCAAGGATACAGCATCGACGTGCCCGTACTCGGAAGCGCTCATGAGCGGGGTCCAGTCATCGTTCTTGGTCAAGTCAACCGAAGCACCCTGGTTCAACAGGAATTGAACCACTGCGGTGCAGCCATTCCACGCAGCAGACCGAAGCGGAGTGTAGTTCTCATTGTCAACGAAATCAATGGACGCGCCATGCTCCAGAAGAAGCTTGACGACATCAAGCCGTCCATCTGCGCACACAATTCGCAGCGCTGTAGCTCCATCTTCAATGCGTTGCTTCTCAACCGACGCTCCACGAGCCAGTAACATCTCCATCACGTCCGTGAATCCGTACACCGCTGCGAGAATTAACGGTGTTAATCCTTCGTTGTCCGCCAAATCGACCAGCGCTCCATTGTCGAGAAGAAGCTTAACCACGTCGAGGTGCTGGTACTCGCACGCCATCTGAAGAGCGGTCGTCCCATCCGCCGACGCCGCATTAATCCTCGCCCCCTTTGCTAACATCAACGCTACCACTTCAGTGTTGCCATACCCACAGGCGCTCATAAGCGGCGTCCAACCTTCATCGTCTCCGAAGTTAATGTCGTTGTTGGGTTTATCTAGCATCCGCTCCACTACTTTGAAATCTCCCCGCTCGCATGCAATTCGCAGTGCGGTGTCTCCATTTCGGTGCTTTTGATCAATGCTTAGGGCTTTTTGAAGGGCTTGCGGGGGTTCTTTCTTGGGTTTAGCGGCAAACACCAGCTCGACAAAGGAAAGCGCCTTCTCGGCAGGGACTCGCTCGAAGATCAGCTGCACGAACTCGCTGTAGCCGCTAAAATATGCCACGTCCAAAGGCGACCAGTTCTGGAAGTCTCCACACAAATTGATGTCGGCGCCATTATCCAGCAAAATCCGCACGACTTCGAGTCTTTTGTACCACACAGCGGTAAGCAGCGCCGTGCTCCCACTCGGTAGCTGCGCGTTCATGTTAGCACCCCGACTTACAAGGAACTGCACAATACTCGAGTGACCAAGCTGCGCGGCAGTAATCAGCGGTGTGTAGCCTTCCTCATCTGCTAGCTCCAGGTCAGCATCATAGTTCACGAGCGTGACTACGACCTCTAGACGGCCGTGTTCGCATGCGATGTTAAGCGCAGTAGCTCCGTTCGACCGCTGCTTGTCAATCGCGGGTCCATTCTCCAGTAACAATGCCACCACAGCAGGATGACCCCACTCCGCAGCTCTCATGAGAGGCGACCACATTGCCGCGTTGGTCAAATCAATGACCGCACCGTGTTCGAGAAGAACCTTCACCACTTCGGAGTACCCGTATTGAGCTGCCAGAATCAGTGGGGTATCACCGTCGTCGTCTGCCAGGCTGATGGACGCTCCATTACCAACCAGTAGCTTCACCGCTTCAAGCTGTCCTTCAAGGCACGCGACGTGGAGCGCGGTCCTCTCGTCCGGGTCCTTCTTGTCGACCGAGGCTCCCTTGTCCAGAAGCACGGCCATCACGTCAGTATGCCCGTCCTCGGCTGCCATTTTCAGCGGCGTATCGCCTTCTTCATCGGAGAGCTCAGTGGAAGCACCGAACTCCACAAGGACCTTCACCACATCCAGAAGCCCTTGTTCACACGCAAAGTGAAGAGCGACGTACCCATCCGGAGTCTCGATGTCGGCGGACGCGCCGTTCTCTAGTAAAACCTTAACAACCTCAACGTGGCCTTCATTGGCCGCAGTCATCAATGCCGTCCAGTCAGCATCATTCACCGAGTCGATCGACGCCCCATGCTCCAGCAGCAACTTCACCACCGCTGTATGTCCGTTCTCCGCTGCGTTGATCAGAGGGGTGGCGCCGGCTTCATCTGTGGAATCAACTGACGCTCCGTGCTCCAGAAACTCCTGGACAGAGTTCACGTGGCCATTCTCGCAGGCCGACAGCAGGCCAGAGCTACTGCTTGTTTGGAACTTCACGTCAGTCTTGCTCTTTACAGATGCAACTGTGTCCACCAGCTCAGTGGCCGTATCCACGACCATCTTCCGCAAATCCACCTCGCTTTACTCCCTCCGACGCAAATTGAAGAATGGCGTCTTCGAGATGCCGAGCGGGTGCACCACGCGCACATCTAGTACAGAACTCCCCAGCTTAACCTCGCCTGCATAAAGTTTGGTACCTCGCACAGATAGTACAAATCACTGTTGTCAGCATCCATGCACATCCGTGCATAAATTCACCATATACTGATTTAACTGAAAACGGGAGGGAAAGGTCGAGTGCGGGAAGCTTACACAATAGCTATGCGCCGCAATGTTGTAATAAATCCGTATGTTTAGCCTCCTTTGTAATTCGCTTAACCTTGCAAGATTTATTGGTCCCACCTTTTTGGCTAAGGCGGGGAGTTCTGTACCCATTGAAAGTTGAATACTAGTATCAGTCAGTTGCATTTAAGTCGCGGCAGAGGTCTGCATCATGAAAGGCGATGATACGTCAACGATCGAGTGGCTGTGCTCAATTATGCGTAATTTAAAGCTAGAGACAACGACAGAATATTGTACAGGCCATAATAGTTGAAGCCGGAGTTCGGAGTCATTTTTCTTCCAGAAGATGGTAACTTTCCATATACGATAGTTAGATATAAGGGGTAATTTTCGCCGTAGATTCCGATTCTGCTGTCAGATTTGACGAATTCGGACTCTTTGTACGCGTAATTAAGCCTTGAAAACATGACCTCAATTGCTCAAAAGTTTGGGGAAAGGCTCAAGTAGGGTAAGCCAATGACAAACCCAAGGACATGAACACTATTGGCTTAAACGGCAAACCATACGCCAAAACAGACGGTGATTAGGTGAATTGACTGCTCTTGTTCACATTCGCCCTGAGATTGCCAACTTGCGCTTTGTAACATACCGCCGTGTTTGTATAGGATTTGTATTTGATTTGACAACCATGGATAGACTCTTTTACCTTGCTGTTTTCGGTAGTCACTATTTCGGGAGAAAATACAAGTTTAAACAGGTAATTGATATGTACCGTTAAGTATCCGAAGGATGCCTCGGCGACGACTTCGAGGAAGTTTGCTGGACTTGGTACGCGCTCCTGACGCGAAACGCCCTGCTCACATCGGGCCCAATACACTTCACTTCCACTTCGCACGCTTACCGCATCGTCTTAGGCTTTCCTTTCATTGTTAGGCTCGAAGATTCATTCATAGTGATTATGGCAACTCCCTCATCGGCATTTACTTTCAGGCCAATATCCATTCGTTAGGGCCCTGGTGCCTTGCGCTACAATCTTGTTGTGCGCAGTTGAGATAACTGCTCTTCTTTAAGGGTCTTTTGAGGTCCCTGGGCCTAAAAATAGCTAAGCTATCGGTGCGAGCGTCCGCGTGTTATAATCTCCTGCTTCAACTATTTTGGCCAGTACAATAGCCCCGTAACACAAAACCCCGCTACTACGGCTACGCATAGGCTGGGATAGCAAATTTACGGGGGCAGCCAGAACTTTCACCACAGCAGTAGTATTACGACGACTATCAAGGCGTGCGAGCGCAACCTCAAAGCTTAACTACTCGTGGCCTCTCTTGCCTAGCAAGTGAGAGGAAGAACTATCAGCTTCATTGGCGACCTTTATGAGAAACCTGGAGCATTGAATATATTGTATCATAGTTAACGTTACGTTTTGTTTTCTTTGCAGGGTTTGTACCCTGAAAATTATCGGTAGACCACGACTTCTAGCGCCAAGATGCGCGCGTATACCCCCCCCCCCCAGCTGCAATATCGCCGCACGTAGCGGTCGTGGGGCCATTAACGTAGTCGTAAGCTTTGAAAATTAAGGATTTCTAAAAAAAATAGTCTGCTCAATGTCAAAGTTTGATATAATTGAGGGCTATACTACAGACATAGAGTAAGTGTCTCCTGCGGTCACACATTCGGTCTTGTAGCTACTGCATTTGTACTTCGTAGTTAAAACTCGTGTTGTCCTCATACCGCGCCAAACTTATTAGACAGTATCTACTTTTCAGATCGCATTACCAGGCAGATGCTGCGGCTGCGAAGCAGACGCAGGAGACGCCAATGGGTAATTATAAAAAGCCTGCTATAAACTAAAAACAAAACAACTACAGATACGGTCAAAAGACCCCTATCCTATCCATTGCGGGGACCTAGTGCGGTGGCTAGGTACGTAGGCCGGCTACTTGGTTTAGTGGTAGAATGTGAAATTGCACAATAGCTGTAGTCCCATGGCGCCTATCAGTGAGACCGAGGTAGACACGGCCTGCGACGTCAACTACAACAGTCAGCCGAAACCACGTCTCGAATTCAGCGTCGTAGTGAACCTGATAGTGGCGAATTATGGCGAAAAACGCGCGACCATGTTAGTGTAGGGAACTTGTGGCTGTACTGAGCAATAGTTCGCGAGATAAAGGAAAAGCAGGGGGATAGGTACGTACGTAGGTGTCGGTTGCTTTAGAATGCGGATGGCTGAAGTCAAGTGACTCGAGATCGGACTCAGTTACCAACTCCAGTTACCGGGTCACCAGGAGAAAGACAGCCAGTGACAAAGGGCCACGATACCGGCCTCAGTTTACTGGCTTCAGTTACCGATGCGCGAATTAACCCGATTTGGGCTGCCTAGCAGCATGACCTATCGGCCACTGCTATCCCAGTATATATGGACAATACTACCGGAAAAGTCGTATTGATAGAGCCCCAGTTTTCTATTGCGGGTTGCGCTGTGCTCTATCATTCCGATAATTGTGGTAGTACTGCGACAAGGCAAAAATTGCTATAAAACACGGTAGCATTTACATCATTTATAAAACACGGTAGAAAATGACTGATCGACGTGCGCCGTGAACTGTTCGGCTTCTCCGAGACGGCAAGCACACAACGCAAAACTCCAGCAGCAGCAGAAGCCCGACTTCCAAACCAGTAGCAGCATGCCCCGCGACCGCATCCCTGCCCACTACACCAACCGCTTCAAAGCGCGCGCCGTTGAAGACTGGCGTGCTGTACGCGCTAGCGGCACGAGCCGCAGAGCGTTTGCCGAGTCAAGTGGCTTCCCCCACCCTTCGCTGCAGAACTGGGAGTGCAAGTACTCCCGCCTGGCCCAAGAGTCCCAGCGTCAGCCTCGAGCCAGCCCCAACCTCCCTCCAGTTCCCTCCCGTGCCTCCCGCCTCACGCTCAGTGGCAGCGGCCACAAGCCCGACACGGCCCCGATCGAGGACACATTGTGCGTGTTTATCAAGGATGAGCGGCGGCTGGAGCACATCGTTACGGTTGATTTCATCATCGACATGGCTACAGAGCTCATGCCGGAGGTGATGGGGCCCAAAAGCCCGGACGCCAAGACGTCCTGGTGCCAGCGCTTCCTGCACCGAGACCACCTCACCATTCGACGCATCTGCCGATGCCATTTGTCGAGGAAGTGGCTGAGGTAGCGACGCAGCATTGTATCTTTGACCCTAATACTAGCCTCACGGTTGTACGTGCACTGTTCAATATGGACCAAACTTCTGTGTACTGGGACATGGGTACAAGGACAAACAGTGGAATTTGTCGGTGCCCCAACTGTGCGCTCAACCACAAACGAGAGTGAAGGTTACCGATGCACCATGGCGCTTACCGTTTCGGCAGACGGAAGAATTTTTCCGCCACACTTTGTTTACAATGGTGCCCCCGGTGGAGACGTCGAGAAGGAGCTGAATAAGTTTTGCTTAGAAGACGTGGCTGCATTTTCGGTGCAAGAGAGCGCCTGGTTTGATGAGAGAGTGATGTTGGAGTGGATTGAACAGTGCTGGAAGTATATCGTTGTAGAGCCATCAGTCCTCATACTCGATAGCTTATCGGTACACAAGAAAGCGGAAATTGCCGACGCGTTGGCGTGTACGGGCACTTCGGTGCTATACGTACCTGGCGGCTGCACCGGTGTTGCGCAGCCTTTCGACGTAGGCGTTATGGGCCCTGTCAAGCAGCACATTCGTCGACACAATAGCTCGCGTTCCGTCGGACGACCGAAGACTGTAACGCCTGCGTTTCGTCGGCATCAGATATTCGAGCGTGCAATGGAGGGGTTTCGTTGTGTTTCCGCCACGACAGTTCAAAACTCTTTTCTAAAGGCAGGCCCTTTCCTGCCGTATGGGCCTCCAAATAATGCTGGCTGCGTGTAGACTACACGGACATTGTAGAAGAGGCAACTGTGTAAGCACTGTGTAAGCACCTCACCGTGTTTTAATACGATGTACATTTTCCCTACATTGCGTCCTGTCGTGACCTCGTCCGTGCATATTATGGCCTTGAACTATTTACTAAGACAATGTGCTAGGTGCTCTATCTTTCCGGGTGCTCTATCAATACGACTTTTCCGGTATTATGGCAGTTCCCTTTTAGTTCGACGCCTATCAATGACTCCGCTCAACCAACGTTACGTCAAGCTGGAAACCATCTCGACGAGCTACGAGTTCAATACTACCTGTTGAGACTCCAAAGTGCCGTGATGAACATCCTTGGAGAACAGCCCAAGTGTGAAAAGCTTCGAAATGCGATGGCGAATACTTCCTCCATACGGAAAAAAATTATCGACATTTGAAATCAACATTGAGATTTTGTCGCACTAATTCGTGAATTTGCAAGATCAAAGATCCGGCAGCTTCGCAAAAGAGATTCCCTCAGCGATTTCTCCCGCCACGCCTTCAATATCGCTAGAATGCATGTGAGACCAGGTGCAATCGAAAGCTGAGTGCTTCTTCTCCCTATCTAAACTTGCTTGATCTCACCGAGCGCTTTAGTTGTGAAGTTATGCGTCATCGAGTGAACCCACTCCTTGTAGACATATTTTGGGTGCGCATCGGTACAAGGACCCTGAAAGCGGTGTATCCCGATGAGTGCATGGTCAGCAACGCCCAGGGAAGCAACGTAGGTAAGCAAGGGGGCAAACGCTGGTAAGGAGGTCCTGGACAGCGCTCTGATGCGGAAGGAGCGCTTTGCCAAGTCATGCGCAGAACCGACCTCCCAACGTCACGGATTGTCCAAGTCGGCGCGACTGCTACTGAAGCTAGCGGGTGAGTCGTGGTCATATCAGTGCTCCTCCGTATCACCCAAACCAGTGAACTAAGTGAAGACGGCTAGTGCGCAGCATGCCTCATCGCGAGGTTGAACCAAGAGGCTGTGGAGGCAGTCATGCTGCTGGTGGAGAAAGAGCACGACAGCTCTGATGGCGGGTCTAGCGGCTGCAGTAACTCTGAGCGAATATACATGCCTATTGGTTTACGTTCACTTATCGATTGAATCATCAGCCTGGAGAACCGGCCTGGCAAGAGATCACTGAAGTTCAGTGATCATTGACTGAACACGAACCTCTTGTTAGACACCACGCCTATCGACGTTGTTTCCCTTGGCAATCACCTCGCAGGAGTGGGCTGCCTTGACAGACGTAAGAATCGCAGCAAACAAAATAAATTACATGGGTGGACGATAACTGGACTGAAAAACTGGACGATGACTGGATTGGAAACATTTTTCGTACGGAGGTAGTACTACATGTACGTAGAAACTTTCACGAATTTGGCGAAGCGGTAAAATAAATTGACCAAGCCCCTGAAGTCGCAATGGCCACGGCTTCTCTGGAAAAATGCTGCAGCAAGATTACTTAAAACGACATAAACTAAAAAGGCTGCCTCCAAGGACCCAACTGAACTCAACAAGTTGGAAAAGGCCTTAACTGCTAGCCTTACAAGGGATGGTGGCGCTAGGTATCTTGGTTAGGTTTTGGGAACAGGTCCTGCTTCTCGTTGCGCTGTTAGTCGCTACAGTCGCTGAGTGTTCACTGTGAATACCACTTAGATTCACGGCGCCTAAATCTAGCTAGCAACAGAAGACATTTAAAAAAACCAAGCGATTCGATGCTAATTTCACATACTTTGTATATATATATATATATATATATATATCCAGCCTTTTATTTTGTACCCACCACGAGTAAAATCTAATAAGAATTGTATTCGTGGGCACAGTTTTATATTGTGAAGTTGGGGAACTTGCAACCATAAGATGTCCCTGGTACTGTAGATACACCAAACAAAATTCGAATTGCGTTTACGTCTCCATCCCTATTCTCCGCCCGGATCACGTAAGGCCTTAACGCATACCCCCAGCTCGGTTCAACGTCTTGCCTGTCTGAACCTCCTTTGCTTCGTGATGAAGTACTGTAGGACCTTTCGGGGCCTACATATACATGTGTGTGCAGTGTATGGCGTTGGCGGCTGTCACCGAACGCATTTTCCGTTTGAATTTTTACTATTATACGTACTCCACCCGCGCGCCAGCAAGCCGTCTGCGGTAGCCTAGCTTTCACGACGAGGAAGAATGCCGTTGCCGCGCTTATTACTCCTGTTGCTGGCCCCATGCATCGCAACGTCCAATGCTGTCGCTGCTGCTGAAGACCGATCGCCTTCACTGGAGAGCAAGACGCGTCACAACGACCCGGGCAATCGCAGGGCAGCGTCTGGTGATGAAGGCAGAACCAGGAACTTCGGCAACGAAGAGGGCGAGGAACGAGAGCTTGCATTCCTCTCCAAACTTAAAGGCGTCTCTAGAATGAAAAAATCTGGCCTCCCCACGAATGTTGCAAGCTTACGCAAGAATCCTGGCGTTGTCGAGGCTTTGGCGAAGAACCCAAGTGTGGGACTGCGATTGTGAAGGACCCCGATTTCGTGAACAAGTTGACCTGAGGTCAAAAAGGCTGCGACTACTATGGAAGGTGCTGACACAAGATCACAAAAAACGATATCAACCAAGTTAAAGCTGCTGTCGCCAATGACCCCGCGAAAGTTGCCAAGCTGGAGTCGTGACTCTAATCGTAGCGGGGATAGTGTCAGCTAGGTCTATACAATAATTGAGCGATTCACGACAATCAAATGGCGTCATTGCGCATTAAATCACTGGTGTTGTCAAATTTATTGATGCTGGTGGCGCCTCCACTATTGCGACAGGTGAATTCCTTATCTAATGCTTGAAAAAAAAAAACTCGATGTGCCTCATAATCTGAGTACTTAACGGATTTACCGAATATAAGCCGGTCTTCTAATTCTCATAAGCCCTGCAAACCGATCGATTCTGACGAGGGGACTTGTATTCGGGTGAGGACTTATATTTCATGGAAGCGTAGCATCAATGCTGGTTCTGTACTACCGAAGATCTACTTTTCTTGGTTAAATTCTCTACGAGCTCGCAAAGGAGCGTCTCGCTCGTTGTAAGAACCTCAAGATCATCGCATTGGTTCGTCTGAAAGAACTGATGCCGTTCCCATTTACGACTGACAAGCTGACCAAGTCGAGATGCTAAGAAGTTTTGCCTACGCTTAGGTAGGGCCGCTAAATCAGGGTGCCTGGATGTACCCTCAAGCTCACGTCGATAAACTTTTGGGTAAGAAGCAGCCCCTCGAGTACATTAGCCGTGGGGGTTCAACCGCTTCCGCATATCCGTTTGCCCTGCACTAGCAGCAGCTTAATATGGTTTTGAACGAAGTGTTTGGGCCGCACAAGTAAGTTCTAGACTGTGCAAAACGCTGCAAAAGCGCAAGTAGGCGCTCAATGCTCGTCACGAAAAAGATAAACAGTCCAGAGGTCGGAAAATAAAATATCATATTGTATTTTGGTTTTGGAGTCGCAGTAATAATCATTGCAATACAGGGTCAGCCAATAATACAGTATTTTCACAATTATTGGCAATAAATATATTAAATGGGATTTTTGTAGTAAGCTTAGTTTTTCTATTGGCGTAAGTGTTGATATTGTATTGGGACAATTTTCCATTGTACGGGAGCACCCTAAAGCAATAATAAATTATTCCGTGCTAAAAATGCCGTAACTATTGTATTGATATTATTTTTTCCAACCCCTGAAACAGTCGTTCAGTTTCGTTTTGTTTAGAAGTTTGAAGATTTTTGTCTAAGACAACAAAGCTGATGGAGTACATGTAGCGAGATCGGTTGACGACCACAATTCATTGCTTTTTCCAGGTACATCGTATCGTTGTGAAGCAAAACTAATAGGGTCGGAATGAGCTCGAGCTCCAAAGCAAACAGAGTTCGGGCGAACATTTAAAAAAAACTAAATGTTCGAGTACATGTTTAAAAAATAGATGTTCGGTCTTTTATTTGATACAGGACTTCTATTTTCAGGCACTCCAACCTATTCCTGACTGGACTTCTATTTCCTGCAGGTCTTGTATTCGGGAAAACCCGTTAGTTGCAAAAGAATTGGTGAAAACGCAGTTTGAACCACTCTCTGGCCAAGAGTATTTTCGTTGTTAAAATACAAATGGAAGCACTCTGCAGCGTGCGATGGCCGCACTCGTCAGCTTTTAATGATGGCATTGCTACAGTGCTTTAGTTTGGATACTCTAGCCCATTCAATGTGCTCACTAACATTGAGATCCCACGTAACCAAGCGGGGCCAGTCTAACCGGTAGGAAATTCACTCATGCGCGCTGTCGACGTCTTATTGAAACCGGCAAGAACACTAGAAACCAAGAATCCGGGGTCCGTAGGTTTTCTCGATGCCCTTCCAGACTGCCGTGGATGCTTGGGGTGAGCTCTCGCAGAACCACGACGGATTGATCGTGTGCAATGAGCAGGTCTTGCTGGTGGGAATGGTGGACTCTCTCTCCACTTCGTAGTTGAGGCCGAACGCGCTAACTACATGTACGCAATGGCAGCGGTTTTTGAGCTACCCAATCATGCGCAAGTTGAAGCGTTAGGCGCGAACAGTCGTGGAGACTTTCCTCTTGAGACCGTTATGCGGCACCAGTGAACCAGAGGAGCCCATTACTGTGCGCGTGTGGGTCCCGATGGATTCATGCGCCCTTCGTGGCATGTGCCTCTACTGATCCCAACGCCAATGCGTCAGGGATCATTGATTTTTTCTCGCCAGCCTGAGCTACGCCAAGTAAGCTTTGGTGGGTCGAATGCCGTGTTCATGCCCTAGTCTGTCGCGTGCTGCCTTTCCTCGATCGTTCGAGCCGTTTTCGCGCCGTTCGTTTCGGGCTGAAACCCCTTCCTCCTCCCTGCACCCCCCTCCTCCTGCACTTTGCACTCACTCGCCGTCCCCAGTCTCATGCCTCCACATTTCTCCTTTTGCTACGAAGGACCCACTTGGCCGTGCTCTCCAAGACCCAACTTGCTCCAAGCATGCTTCCCGTCAAGTACCTGGTCGCGCTGATCGCTGTGTGCGCCTCCCACGCCTGTGTGGTGAGCGCTGGCGGGTACCCTCCCCCGGACTTCACTCAGACGGACACTGTCACCCCTGAGACGTACGCGCCAGTGACGCCTGCTCCTGTTGAAGAATCCGTGCAGACCTACGTGGACACGCCCATTGTGACCGAGTACGTGAAGCCCACGCCCGCCCCCCAGACCGAAGCCGTCCAAATCCCCGTTCAGGAAGAGCAACTGGTTCTCATCACTGAAGCGCCGACCGAGACGCCGTGCCCGGAGACACCCGTTCCTGAGACGGAGGCACCGACAACGTCGCCGCCCATCGAGGAGGAGCAGTATGTGACTGAGGCGCCCACGGAAACGCCCTGCCCTGATACCCCAGTGCCGGTGACGGAAGCTCCGACACCGGCACCGACACCCTCGGAAGAGACCGTCGAGTACACCCCCACGCCGACGGCCACGGAAACTCCTTGCCCGGAGCTGCCAACCCCTCCGCCCGAGGAGGAGACCGAAGCTCCGACGCCTGTGGTGGTAACTGAGGCACCCACGACGGCGCCTCCTGTGCAAGAAACGGAAGAATACTACCCGCCAGAGCAAACCGAGACTGAGACTGTTGCCCCAACGCCGGCGCCGACTGACACTCCTTGCCCGACGTTCACGCTTGTGCCGGACACACCTATTCCTGAGACGTACACTCCAGAGGTGACGGAGACGGCGCCTCCGCAGGAATACCAAACCCAGGAGAACGTTCCGTTCGAGGAGACCGCGGTAGATGTTCCGGTCTACATCGAGACGCCGGCTCCAGAGGCGACGCAGACCGCAGTGGATGTACCAGTGTATGTCGACACGCCGGCTCCGGCACAAACGACCCCGTGCCCTGTATTCACTCTTGTGCCTGACACCCCTGCTCCTGAGAGCCAAACCCAGGAGGAGTCCTATCCGTCGTACCCCGAAGAGCAGACTGCTGTGGATGTCCCAGTTTACGTCGACACGCCGGCTCCAACGACCCCTTGCCCAGTGTTCACTCTCGTGCCGGACACGCCAGCTCCTGAGAGCCAAACGCAGGAGTCCTATCCGTTCACCGATGAACAGACTGTCGTGGATGTTCCAGTGTACGTCGATACACTGGCTCCCGAGGCGACGAAGACGGCAGTGGACGTGCCGACCTACGTCGACACGCCGGCCCCAGAGACGACAGTTGATGTTCCAGTCTACGTCGACACACCGGCCCCGGTCCAAACAACTCCGTGCCCAGTGCTCACCCTTGTGCCGGACACGCCTGCTCCAGAGTCCCAAGAGTACATTCCGTACATGCCTGAGGCGACACAGACTGCCGTTGATATCCCGCTGAGCTTCACGCCGGAGACGCCTGCGCGCGCAGCAGAAACGCCTTGCCCCGAGACGCCCGCCCCGACTGTGACCGAGGACACTGAGTACACTCAGACCGAAGAATCGGAGCCCGTGCCTGTCACGGACGTCCCGCTGCCTCTGCCCACAATTGCTCCTCCGACTGAGACCCCCTGCCCGACGGATGTCCCCACACAAACGGAGGAGGCTGTTACAGCCGAGACGCCTTGCCCGGACACTTCCGCCCCGGAGTCCGAGCAGACGCAGACGGAGGGCGCCTCGGCCTCAACTGAGGGCAGCGCCACTCAGCAGCAGGACGACACGGCCGACAGCACTGCCGGCACCGTCACGGCCGCTTCCGACGCGACGGAATCGACGGAAGCCACGACCGAGGGCAGTTCTGCGTCTGCGTCTACGGCGACGTCTACCACGTCCAGCGAGGCGCTCGACACGTTTGCCCAGCCGCTGCCCAGCTCAGCGCAGACGACGACCCGGAACCTCCGCGCGAACTAAGTTGCGGCGGCTTGGGGCTCGTTCGTGTCTTCGGCTGCTGCTTCTTCTCTTCTTGAGTATCGGGCCTCCGTGGTCCGTCGATGGGTTTGCATTCCTGGTTTTGCATTGTAGAGATTTAACGTCACAGTCAATGCAAGCATGCACTTCATACTAGAGCTCCGTTTTGTACTCCGGTAAGTAGCACCGTACTCCAGTAAGTACCGCCTGAAGTGAAGACCCATTTATGGGTATCCCTAATTTCGATATGGCCGTTGATACAGCCCATGTTTTCTAAACGGATGCCGCTGGTCTCCCGATAGATTTGGGTTCATTTCACCCCCTCTGACTAAAAACATAGACTCTATCTTTTCCGTTTCGATATCAGTCGACGCTGCGTCTCTGGTCATTCGCGCCCAGATGAGAGCGACCACTGTAAACACGTCAATGGGTTCACAATGACACACGAGAGCATTCTTCAACCATTCGGCTGGGCACGAGACGGAGAGGGATTCACCCCCTCGCTCCCTCCCTCCTGAGCGATGCCAACCAGCGAGGACGCGGTGTCAAGAGGACGCGCCGAGAGGTCGGCAGACCTGAGTCTCAAGCTGCAGGCCGCCTATCGGGACGGAGATCTGCCGAAGCGTGCGGCCGGTGGACTCGACAGTCCGCTGTCTGCTGCGGCCGTAAGGGTGGATGTGGATGTGGTCGAGCTCCTGCTGGAGAGCGGAGCGTCGGCGGACGATCGGGACTCGGACGGGTGGACGGCGCTGATGAAGGCTTCAGGTGAGGGGCGTGGAGATATCGTGGCGCTGCTCTTGAGGGGAGGCGCGAGTGCGGACAAGCAGCTGCCGAGCGGCGAAACTGCGCTGGAGCTTGCGAGCATGGCGGGGCATCTGGAGGTTGTGGCGTTTCTATTGGAGAAGGGGGCAGGTATCGACTTGGCGTCTGATCAAGGGTGGATGCCGCTGCTGCGCGCCTCGGAAAAAGGCCATGCAGGTGTTGTTCGGGCTCTGCTGAAGGCCGGGGCGAGTGTGGACAAGCAGCTTCCTAATGGCTCCAGTGCGCTTCAGCTCGCTGCTGGACGCGGACACGTCAAAGTTGTGGAATTGCTGCTTGGAGGTGGCGCGATGATGAATTTGACGGACAATGAAGGCGATTCCCCGCTGATTTTTGCAGCCAAGCACGGACGGACGGAGGCGGTGAAACTTTGCTGGAAAAGGGCGCGGCCATCGACCTGGCATCAAAAACTGGGAGAACTTCGTTGTTAGCAGCTTGTGAGAATGGGCACGCGGATGTTATCAGCCTCCTGGTTGATAGAGGCGCTAATCTGAACAAGCGACTCGTTGACGGCTCTACTGCTCTCCATATCGCCGCTAGAAACGGCCACCTCCAAGCTGCAGAGCTGCTGGTTGACTACGCCGTTCCCGTGGATGTGGTGAATAAGGACGGAGACACGCCGCTCTTCGTAGCCGCGGCAAATGGACACGTTAACGTGGTGAAGCTGCTGATAGAGCGTGGAGCGTCTGTCGTCGCGACCAACAATTCAGGCTGGACGGCAGCGATGAAGGCTGCGGAACTGGGATATCGAGGTGAGGTGAAGGCAATTCTCAAGAGCGACGCTGGTATGAAGGCCGTTGATATGCAGCTCTCTAGCGGAGCGACTGCGCTCAACATCGCGAGTGAGCATGGACACATGGACGTCGTCGTTGCGCTTGTGAACGCAGGAGCTGACCTCGAATTGGCTGACAACGCGGGCTACACGCCGCTCATTACGGCAGCAGAACTGGGATATTCCGATATCGTCCAACTCGCAGTGAACAGAGGCGCGGATGTGAACGTGCAGCTGCCGAATGGGGGCACTGCGCTGCTCACTGCTGTATGGCACAGGCGTCTGGCCGTGGTTCGGATCCTGCTGGACAATGGCGCAGATCTCGACTTGTGTGGAGATTTCCAGAACTGGTCGCCGCTGAATGCAGCCTACTTCAGTGGCTACACCGACCTTGTGCAGCTCATTTACGAGCGCGTTCCCGACGATACAAGCGATCCGGATCCAGATGAAGCCCCAGCTCTAGTCATCTTACCTCGGAAGCAAACTGTCACCATGAACAATAGCGTGGACCAAACGAACCGAAACGGGGACACGGCTCTGCGAATTGCATGTGAACGAGGGCAGTTGAAGGTTGTGGAGCGTTTGTTGGTCAGCACCGAGGCGGTCAATATCACGGACAGCAAGGGGTGGACTCCTCTGCATAGCGCTGCAAGCAAGGGCCACGTCGAAATTGTTGCAGCGCTGTTGGAGAAAGGAGCGAGTGTCAACAAACCCCTACCCAATGGAAAATGCGCGCTTCAACTGGCGAGTGGAGAGGGGTATCTCGAGGTTGTGAAGGTTTTGCTCGACAATGGAGCATCCATGACACTAAAGGACAACGAAGAACTGGACGCGCTGACGATCGCCGCTAGAAAGGGACACTCGGAGGTGGTGAAGCTGCTTCTGCGACAGGGGACGCTTAAGCGTGAGATTCCAGGTTTGCTCACTGACGCACTCAAGAACGGTCAGGCGAATATCGTCGAAGTCCTGCTGGAGGAAGGGGCAAGTGTGAATGACCTACTCCCAAGCAAAACCACAGCGCTTCACGTTGCAAGTGAGTACGGTCACATCGACAGCGTAAAACAAAATGCTTTTGAAATCTGGTGCTACACTTGACCTCATCGACAAATCTGGCGGTACTCTACTGTTGTCTGCAGCGAAGAGCGGGCAGAGTGCTGTCGTGAAGTTCATTCTGGAGAGGGGTGCACAAGTGGATTTTGCTGATAGAGAGGGCAAGACTTCTCTCATGATGGCAGCGATAAACAACCACCTCGACGTGATCAATCTCCTCCTGGAGAAAGGCGCAAATGTTCGCAAAGAGACTCAGGCCGGTGAAACAGCTCTCGCCCTTGCGTGTGCTGAGGGGCACCTGGATGCTGCTGAGCTCCTCTTCAAAAAGTACGCCTCCAATCGCGCTGGGGGCCACAATGGCAAACTGCTCTTGCAACCAGCTACTCAGGGGTATTTCGATTTGGTAAAGTTTCTGCTGGAAAGAGGGGTGTATGCGGATGCCACCGACGAGTCTGGCTGGAGCGTGTTGATGTGTGCAGCGGACAACGGTCATGCGGATATCGTGGAGCTGCTCCTAAAGCACGGCGCGGATATCGAGTATCACGAAGAAAACGGTTTAACGGCCTTGCATCGTGCATGCTATGTGGGCCATGTAGAGGCCGCGAAGACTCTGGTGAAGCATGGCGCACCTATCAACGTGTGTGAGAATAATGAGAGAACCCCCTTGATGGAAGCGATCGGGGCACCTGATGTCGTTCAGTTCCTTCTCGAGAACGGTGCGTCGGTTGATATGACCGACAACAACTCGGAGACGGCACTGATCCAGGCAGCGTATGCTGACCATGTCGATGACGTGAAGACCCTTCTCAAGCGGCGCGGCAATTGACGTCACCAACGACAACGGGTGGACGGCGTTGATGAGCGCTTCCCATGAGGGCAACAGCGAGGTGGTATCGGCCCTCATCAAAAGAGGAGCGGACCTCGACAAACAAGCGCCCGATGGGAAGAGTGCTTTGCATCTCGCCTGTGACGAAGACCATCTCGACGTTGTAAAGATCCTCGTCGGTGCTGGAGCAGACATCAACTTAGCGGAAGGCGAAGGGAATACTGCGCTGCTGCTGGCGGCTGCGTACGGGAATGTTGCGATTCTGCAGTGTCTTCTGAGCTCTGAAGCACCGATCGAGGCCACGAACAACGATGGATACACCCCTCTTATGCTAGCTGCTGAAGCCGGATATGCAGCTACAGCCTCCGCGCTCATCAAACGCGGCGCTACCCTGAATAACCAGCTTCCGGATGGCAGGAGTGAGCTCTACCTCGCATGTGAGAACGGTCACCTCGGCGTGGTCAAGATCCTCATCAACCATGGAGCTTCCGTTGACTTGGTTGATGAAAATGGAGAGAACGCGCTGTCCGCTGCGAGTGAAAATGGCCACAAGAAGGTGGTGAAGTTCCTGTCGGCCATTGCGAGCAAACCAGGTGCTGGCCGTACTCGTGACGGTGTGGATGGAGGCGTGACGCTGCGAACTGCCTGCAAGCGAGGCGATGTGCAGCTTGTCGAGCGTCTACTGGAGAAATCGCAGTCTGGCCCCATACCGAGCGCTCCAAACTGGACGCCTCTCACAACCGCGGCAGCGGAGGGCCACGCAGAAGTGGTGAAGCTTCTGTTGGAGAAGGGGGCTAACGTCAACGAGCAACTTCCCAATGGCAACAGTGCACTGCAGCTGGCAAGCAAGGGAGGCCACGTCGAGGTCGCAAAGATCCTGATTGAGAGTGGAGCATCTCTTGAGTTGACAGACGAAGACGGAGACACTCCGCTGGCGTCTGCAGCCGAGGAAGAACAGCTCAATACTGTGAAGTTGCTACTGGACAAGGGGGCGTTTATCGATCCGACAATTCTCCACACTGCGGCGTCATTTGGTTGTGATAAAGTTGTCCAATTGCTTGTTGATGCTGGTGCAGAGGTCGACTGTGTGGATGACGAAGGCAAGAGTGCGTTGCAAGCTGCAGCTGAGGGAGGACATACGTCGGTGGTGAAGCTTCTGTTGGAGAAGGGGGCATCTCCTAACTTGGCTGACAGTGATGGCTGGACTGCACTGACGTACGCCCTCTTAATTGCGGACCTGAGTACTGTCAAGGTCCTTCTGGCTAAGGGCTGCAGCTTGAGCTTCCAGCGTGAGGATGGCATAACAGCTCTTCACATGGCGTGTCAAGAGGACAACCTCAAGCTCGTGAAGCTGCTGCTTGCTGACGGCGCATCGCTGGAAGCTGTGGACGAAGAAGGCGACACGCCGTTCATAACCGCAGCCAGGTGTAACCAGATCCAAGTCATGAGGCTTCTATTGGATCGAGGCGCGTCAATAAACGCTTCCAACCATGAAGGGCGGACGGCGCTGATGTACGCGGCGATGGAAGAAGATCCAAGTGCTGCCAAGATGCTCGTAAGAAAAGGCTGCGACGTTAATGTGCAGACTCCGGACGGGTTAACCGCTCTTCACATCGCGGCTGAACACGGCAGCGTCCAAACGATGAGGTTCCTCCTCGCGAATGGCGGATCAGTACAAAACGTGGGGGCGGGGGACGATAGCCCGCTGATGTGTGCGGCTAAGACGAATCAAACCGACGCGATAGGGCTGTTGCTGGACAAGGGGGCGTCGGTCGATTGGACGGACAGTGAGGGCTGGACTGCCCTCATGACGGCGTCAGAAAACGGCAACGCGGACGCTGTCAAGCAGTTGTTGGAGAAAGGGGCGAACGTTAACCAGCAACGATCAGATGGGCCCACTGCGCTCCACATCGCCTCGATTGAAGGGTATGACACTGTTGTCAAGCATCTATTGAAGCGTGGGGCTGTAGTTGATGTCGGCGACGAAAGCGGCGACTCGGCGTTGATCTGTGCGGCTGAAAAGGGGCATGCCTCTGTTGCCAGGCTGCTGATTGAACACGGCGCGTCCATCGACTTCACGAACGCTAATGGCTGGACCCCTCTCCTAGGCGCTGCTGCCAATGGCCACGTGGATGTGGTGACGCTGTTGCTGAAGAAGGACAAGCAGCGCTCGAGTGGGGCACACGAACACGCTGATACTAACGAGAACGCATTTATCAACCGGGCAGACAACGATGGGGACAACTTGCTGATAAATGCAGCTTTATTCGGTCATGCAACCGTGGTGAAGCTTCTCCTACAGAACGGCGCGGACATCGACTCGATGAACAACAAGGGTGAGTCAGCGATAGTGTGTGCGTCGAAGCAAGGCCATGACGCAGTGGCCGCGCTGCTGTTGAAACGCGGGGCTCAAACTGAGGCGCTCTCATCGTCTGGCGAAGATGCTTCGGAAAGTGACGACGAAGACGCTACTTCAGATTCTGAGGGCTCTATCAACCCGGCAGATGAAGACAGCGACGACGCGAGTGACTCAAGTGACGAAGGCGATGATCAGTCGGAGACATCGTCAGCCGATAACGTCTCGAACAGTGCAGACTGGAGCCCGCTCATGACCGCAGCGGCGGAGGGCGAGACGGAGGAGGTAAAGTGCCTGCTGAAGGGAAGAGCTGACGTCGACGAGCAGCTACCGGACGGCACCACTGCGCTACATCTCGTATGCAAGGAAGGACACGTCGATGTTGTGAAGTTCCTGGTCGAGAATGGGGCGTCGGTTGACTTGACTGACGAGGACGGAGAGAGCCCGCTGATGTTTGCAGCAGATTACGGAGAGCTCGATGTGGTGACGTTCCTATTGGAGAAGGGGGCGTCCATCGACGTGGCTACCGACGAGGGCTGGACTGCGCTTATGGGAGCTTCGCACCACGGCAACGACGATATCGTCAGGCTGCTACTGGAGAGAGGAGCTAGCGTGGATAAGCGACGATCGGATGGCTCAACCGCTCTCCACACTGCGGCGACGGGTGGTCGTGTCGAGTTTGTACGACTCCTTGTTGATGGCGGGGCAGCGACGGACTCTTTGAACGACGATGGCACTAGTCCGCTGCTCGCTGCGGCCGAGGAAGGGCATACATCGGTGGTGAAGCTTTTGTCGGAGAAGGGAGCGTACACAGACTTGGCTAACAAGAATGGCTACACTGCTCTAATGAGCGCTTCCGAACACGATCGTGACGAAGTAGCCATCGTGTTGCTTGACGGGGGAGCTTGCGCAGACGCGCAGAATGACAATGGCGAGACTGCGTTGCTGTTGGCCTGTTGATCGGGGCACGTCGATCTGGTGGAGATTCTCATTTCTGCTGGCGCGTCGATGGATTTGGCTGACCGGGACGGTAACTCGCCATTGCTTCGAGCAGCGGAAAACGGGCACGTTGCTGTCGTGAAGCTGCTTGTGGACAACGGCTCTGCAGATTTTAGGAACAAGGCCGGCTACACCCCGATCATGCTTTCCTCGCAGAACGGTCACGACGACGTTGTCGTTGTGCTTCTGCAGAAGGAGGTAAACAACTTCCGAACGGCAATGGAGCGCTCCAACTGACGTGTGCGAATGGGCATCTTACCATTGGTTGGATGCTGCTAGAGAGCGGAGCTAGCGTTGGCTCGAACGACTTGGACGAGGACAGCCAACTGTCAGCTGCAACTGAAAAGGGGGAGCCCAATTTGGTCAAATTGCTCCTGCAAAATGGCGCCCCTGTTGACTCCGTCAACGACAAGGGCTGGACGTCTCTTATGATCACAGCGCGGGATGGAAATGCTGAAGTGGCATCAATTTTGCTAGACAGCGGGGCCAGTATGGAAAAGAAAGACTCAGACGGGAAGACTGCTCTGCTTACTGCATGCGAGCACGGTCATCTATTTGTTGCGGAGATCCTCGTGGAGCACGGCGCTAAGATCGGCGTAAAAGACAACGGCGGTAGCAGTCCACTGAAGTTCGCTGCAACATTTGGGCATACGAGTATCATGAAGCTACTTCTAGCGCATGGTGCGTCTACTGAAGCGCAAAGCGACATCGGTTGGACGCCGTTGATGAGCGCTGCGAGAACCGGCCAGGTCGATGCGGCGAGCTTGCTATTGGATCACGGAGCCAGACTCGAGACAAAGAGCACAGCCGGTATGACCGCCCTTACCGTCGCGAGCAGGTACGGCCGCTCGAATGTAGCAGGCGTGCTTCTGGAGTGCGGCGCAGTGGTCGACGCGGGGGACACGAATGGTAACACGCCGCTGAAACTTGCGGCAACTTATAAGCACATCGCGGTGGTCAAGCTGCTGCTAAGAAAGGGTGCTGCCATCCAAGCGCGGAACAAAACGGGCTGGACACCGCTCATGAGTGCATCGAATAATGGCCACGTTGATGTACTGAATGTGCTGTTGGATCACGGAGCCAATCTCGAGACCAAGAACTCGGCTGGCTTATCAGCGCTCGCAATCGCGTGCCAGCAAGACCGATCGGCCGTAGTGAAGGTGCTACTCGAGCATGGTGCAGTGATCGACAAGCCAGACAGGACGGGCAACACCCCGCTCAAAATTGCCGCCAAGCAGGGACACACAGATGTGGTGAAGCTGCTGCTGGAGAATAACGCGAACATCGAACAGGCAAACGACTCGGGATTGACTCCACTGATGAGCGCTGCATTCGGTGGATACGCTGGCGTGGTGACGGTGCTGCTGGACCACGGCGCCAGTCTTGACGCAGCAGACAGCAACAGTAGCACGGCTCTCAAGATCGCAGCTAAGCAAGGACATGCAGATGTGGTGCTGCTGCTGCTGGAGCGGGGTGCGAGTGGTGACACATCGACCAACACAGGGTGGACACCGCTTATGAGCGCTGCACACGGTGGCCACGCGGATATTGCGACAGTGTTGCTGGGCCACGGAGCCAGTCTCGAGCTGCGGAACTCGGTCGGCATGACTGCGCTCGTGGTCGCGTGTCAGCAGAACCGCCTTAGTGTAGCGGAGCTTCTCTTGAAGCACAACGCAGTGGTCGACGCGACGGACAAAAACGATAACACTTCACTGAAGATCGCGGCCAAGCACGGGCACGCGGACGTGGTGAAGCTTGTTGCTGGAGAAGGGTGCGAATACCGAATTGGCGAACGATGTTGGGTTGACGCCACTGATGAGTGCTGCGCTTAGTGGCAACGCCGGCATGACAACGATACTGCTAGACCACGGCGCCAAGCTTGACGTGAGAGACAGTAGTGGCAACACCGCGCTCAAGATTGCGTCCAAGCAGGGGAAGACAGAGGTGATGAAGTTGCTGCTGGAACGGGGTTCGAATGCGGAATCGACGACCGAGGCCGGGAGGACGTCACTAATGAGTGCGACGCACAGTGGCCACGCGGATGTGGCGTCGGATCTGTTGGACCACGGCGCCAGTCTCGAGACCAAGAACTCGGCCGGCTTAACATCGCTCGCTATCGCGTGCCAGCAGAACCGATCAAACGTGGCCAAGGTTCTCCTAGAGCGCGGGGCAGTGGTCGACACGGTAGACAAGACCGGCAACACCCCGCTCAAGATCGCGGCTAAGCAAGGCCACGCGGATGTGGTGAAGCTGCTGCTCGAGTATAATGCGAGTGTCGAGTTGGCAAACGACTCAAGGATGACTCCATTTATGAGCGCTGCTTACAGTGGCCACACTGCAGTGGCGACGGTGCTACTAGACCACGGCGCTAGCCTCAAGACCCAGACGACGACCAGCATGACGGCATTCTTGATCTCGTGCCAGCAGGGGCAGCTCAACGTGGCGAAGGTCCTCCTGGAACGGGGTGCAATCATCGACGCGGCAGACAACAAGGGCAACACCCCGATCAAAATGGCGATCAACCACGACCACGTGAATATCGTGAAGCTGCTGCTGGAGAAAGGTGCGAGCACCAAGGCCACGACCGCCACCGGGTTGACGGCGCTCATGAGTGCGGTGAAGAACGGTCACGACGAGTGTGTGGAGGCTTTGCTGAGTGGGGGAGTCGATCCGAACGCTGGGCTTCCGAACGGGATCACTCCTCTCCACCTCGCTGGGAAATACGGCCAGCCTAAGTGTGCACAGTTGCTGGTGGAACATGGGGCGTGTTTGGACGCGAAGACCCAAACTGGGGACAGTCCTCTCATAACATCCGCCAGACATTCCCACGCGGACGTGGCCCGAGTTCTTGTAGAGAAGGGTGCGTCTGTCGACATGGCCAACAACGCGGGGCTCACTGCGCGGATGCTGGCGAAGAAAAAAAGTCACAAGGAAGTCGAAGCTGTGCTGCTCGAGAAGAGCTGACCGAGGCTCTTCGTTGTCTGATGAAAGGGTCGATGTCAACAATCCATGCGACTGGAAAAATACATGGAAGCTAACAAATTATAGAAAACGCAACTCCACAACGTGCAAACAGGACACGAGAGATATCAGCTCGCTGCGTCTATAACCTCAGTGCAGCTGGTCTGGACGGGAGTGGTCAGAGCAACCATAAGTATGGTTGCTTTTAGCCATTCTGAGACATGTATGGTTGCTTTTAGGGATTTCAAAAATTACGAGCGTAATTTAAATGTCTAAATTACCATTAAGCACTTAGGTACGCAAATCACGCTAAAGTGCGCTTCTGATTAGGTACGATGCCATTAAGTGCGCCACCTCACAGTCGCTCATTTTAGAATCGCGCTGCTGAACGGAGGCCACGTGGGGCACGCACCTCTCGCGAATCAGTCAAGCACCAAACGGCGAGGGGAGGCCGATGGCTCCTGCGGGGGGAGCCATTATAAAACGGTAATCAGTATGCTCCATGTTGGTGGTAACGAGAGTATCTACGTGCCTCACATTTTGTTTGAATTCTGTCGGTATGTGTTGTTTAGGCCGAAAGCTGCGGAACGTAAACGAGGAGCTAAACTACATGTACGCTGCTCTCGGGATTGAAAAAGACGACGACGAAGACGAAGACTTTGTTCTGGATGAGGAGGATGCGGAAGACAACGGCGACGAAGAGGCGGAGGATTGCTACCAAGAGGAGGAAGACGAAGAAGAGGTCGATGATGCCGAGGAGAGCGATAGCGATGAAGAGGAGGGTGACGACGATGAAGAGGAGGCGAGTGACGATGAACAGGAGGCAGACGACGACGGAGAATCCAGCACAGAAGACGAAACAGAAGCGGGTAAGACTCGTTTGGATTATTGTTGATACTTATTGAGTTGAACTGATAATGTATTGTGTATTTTTTTAGTTTGTTTAGAACGCAGGACACGCAAACAGAGCCCCGAGCCGAGAAAGAAAGCCACAGCACGCAAGAAAACACCAGGTATTCTCGTTAAAGTTGCTTTAAGCAAAACGTTTGCGCTATCATTAATATTGACATTCACTTTGGAATCGATTGATACCGCTCTGGCCAAATGCAAGCTTTGTGCTGGGGATGAAGCCCAATCTTTCGCGAAAAAGCGTAAGGCGGAGCTGCAGCTTCACGAGTCTGTCGACGCTGATTCGGCCCCACGTTTATCCAAGCGGAACAAGCAGTACATACTGCGGAAGCGATCAAGTAAGCACCTTGACGAGTTGCGGGAGATCAACGAGGAGCGCGAAGAAATTATCAACCCCGTTCCGCCCTTTACCCCAGCGATTATCAAGAGTTGGCGCAAGTTCAACCCACACTTGAAAATATACAAGTAGAAGCACCACCTCAAGTTTCGAGTACGAAGCTCGGAGACACGAAATCAGTACAACAGGTATGTGTGACCTCTGTTTGATGAGAAATTGAAGTTATTAACGAAACCCCCTTTCACATGCAGCAATAATCGGGACCAAATCCCTTCACGTTTTAATTGGAGTCACAAGGTCCTCCGCTGTACACACGGTGTTTCGCAATCGTCGCGCTCCAAGGGACATCGTAATAGAAAAGGCAACTATTGCGGGTGTCCTGCACGCACGACACCAACCGTTCAGCGGATGGAAAATGGCAAATTTCGAATTGTCATAAGAAACGAGGTATCTGCCTTTTAGTGTATTTGTTTGCTTTGTTAGTATTTCTCACATGTCGCTGTTGATAATCAGAACTTTACCCACACGCACCCGACCACCCGAACGCAAGCATCGTTGTACCTGCCAACAAAGGCACTTCCGTTGGACGAGCAAGATCTCGAAGATGTTAAGACTTTAACGGATGCTAGTGTTTCTTCCAAGCACATCACGAACTTCCTGAATGAGAGAATCGGTGCGTAGTTTTATATATGATATGCTGAAGTAATACTTACGTTACTGTTCGCGCTCTGTCTGTTTGCTAGGCTGCAAAATAACACCTCAACAGACCCGTAATCTGATCCGCAGTATTATGGGGCACGACGCAGCGGAGGCCCGTATGAAAGACATGCTGCAAGCTATCCGCCAGTTAGACGGTAGTGACGTCCTTGTTATTCAAGACCAAATGGATGTGACATGCGGTATCGTGATGCAAACAAAGGTGCAGAAGTTGATGTTCGAGCGCTGGGGCGACACTCTTACAATGGATTTCACTCACGGCACGAACAATTTGGGCTATCACTTGGGTGCGTATGAGTTGTTCGGTATAGCAACTTTATCTTTGTTACGGCAACCTTGCGTAGTTATAGCAATCATATCGATGATATAGCAACCTTATTAACAAAGTGATTTTCTACTGTTGTGTGTTGGATATTTCAGGGAGTCTGGTCGTCACAACCGCTACTGGTAGAGGGTTCCCAGTTGTAGACTTCATATGCCTCAACCAACGAGCTCCGATGATGACAACAATCCTGGAGTATTTCCAAGAGAAGAACCCAAGTTGGCGGATGATATCCTCCATCGTGATCGACAAAGATTTCGTTGAGTGGAGGGTGCTGAAAACACTATTTCCTGCTGCGAACGTTTTACTTTGTCAATTCCATGCCATTTCGTACTGGAAGAAGGTGATGCAGCGGGCCCCATACAAGCTGAAGGTGTCTGAACGCGACGAGTTACTCAACCTAATGATAAAAACGCTGTACAGGTACGCAACAGGTTCTATTTGTGATTCTTGTGGTAACGCTAACTTTGGAAAACAAACCATATGCAGCTCCACAGAGACAGTTTACGATTCTAGTTACGGTGCATTGAAGCAATACTGCGAAGACAACAAGAAACAAGCTTTATTCTCGTACTTTGAAAAGAACTGGGATTCGTGTCGAGACATGTGGGCGAACTTTGCTCGCAGCAAATTTTTCACGGCTGGGAATACTACAACGAACAGGATCGAGTCAAACTGGAATCAGGTGAAAATACTGTTGGGGCACAAGACACGAATTGACAAGACTATTGCGGGCTTGGTGCAGCATCAAATCATGATAACTCAGCAGATCGGGTTCGTCATCGCGCAGCACCATTCGACTTCGCCCGTTCCTAAAACCATACCGATGTTTCTCCGGACGGTAGCAACTCGACTGTACCCTGACATCTTCGAGAAAGTGAGAAAAGAGTGGGAACGATTTGTGAACTTCATGGCAGATGCGACTTGTGAGCGTACAGCGTCGAGTCCTTCACAATGGAAAATTTATTGCGGGAATCAAACCTTTCGCTGTCACGATGTGGAGTGGACGTGTACTTGTCTATTATATAGCAGTCACCATTTACCATGTCGTCATCTTATGCACTTAGCATGCGAGGGGCATGGCTTCAAACTGCTTCCAGCTATGGCAATTCATGATCGGTGGAGTACGTACCAGACCTTGGAAGTGAAAAACGAATTGACGGCTGCAGCGGAAATGTTACAGCCAATTGTGCAGATGTCCAAGTTAAGGTTGCCGAAAGTAAAGTTGCCGAACGACACTGGGGCTGAACCAGAACAACCACTTTATGACTACCGCGTGATGCTATTCCCGAGCGGCACCAAGGTCTAGCGAACGAAATTATCTCAAAGTTTACTTCAAGTCGGCTACGCACTGAATTTGTGACGCTCTCCAACAAAGTCCTGATCAGCTTTGACAACATCGTGGGAGGGATCTGTCGTGGATGGCTAAATGGTAGCCCTGTGGACTTTTGCATGGAGACCCTTGCGAGATCGGTGGGGAAGTACCATGTGCTGTCATCACTGACATGGGCTATCGGATGGCCAAGTCTCCCTAAGACAGCACTTGCAGCAACGAATTTTATTATCCACCGTTAATCTGCACGCAGACCACTGGGGGGGCAATTATCCTTCGCCTACGCTACACGGCAAAAACAAGCTAGCTTCGGGTGCATGTTTACATGTACGAGCCGCTCATTGATGATGACTATCACCATGAAATGGAAATCGTGTCGACTGGAATTCCGAAAGACAAAGAAAATGAAGGAAAGGAGGGGCTTCGTGGTTATGTGGAGTGGTGGCACAAGGCTTCTGACCCCGTGGCTATCTTTTCTTCGATCCGATTGAGTGGATCTGTGCCCCTCAACAACCTGATTTTGATAGCTGGTAGTAGCCCAAGCCCACAGCTATCTTACGGGGAACTTGCAGATGCAACTTTCTAGAATTTCCAAGAACGACGTCAAGGTGATGCGATTGAAAATGCTGTGGGTCATCATGTGTTACTCCCAAGAACGTCATCTCTCTGAACGCGACGTCGCTAAAGCTAGCCAGATTCATCAGCAGCTACAGAACCAGCTCTGAGAAACACCACAGTCTGTATTTACCTTTAAATACAGAGTCTATGCTGCATTAGTCTTTCATTTTTCGCACCGCCAGCTCCAGTAGAATATCGAGGGAAACAGCGTCGTCCTCTGCGGTGAGACCACCTTGGTCGGCCCCTTCATCGCCCAAGACGGCTGCTAACGCATAGCTGTTCTCTTCGCGATCTTCGACGAGGGTTTGGATTTGTAGCTGCGCTGCCAGAAACTTTTCCAGATGCTCGGTAATCTCATCCAGCTTCTTCTTGAGGAGTGCAATCTCGGCGATTCGCGCGCACCAGCTCATGTGCCAGCGATTTCTTCTCCATTTTTGCTGTCGCTCAAAATCTGCTAAGTGGGACACATATTGTCATGTGTTTCACGTATTGCTGTGTAGAGAACATCAGTTAGACGCCACCACGACGTGTCTAAATTTAGAGATATATGTAGCAAGACCATGACGAGGGCGACGTGTCCCTGTCATTTACGCGTCATTTAAAATAAATTACCGGGTGCCAGCTGGTTTTAGGGTTGCTTTAGGCCTTGTGGTTGCTTTAATTTCTGTCGTGTTGTCGTCATATGGTTGCTGTAACGCCATTCGGTCTGGACCTGCATTTGCGACTTCTCGAGGGCGACACTTTGGGTTCAATTACGCAAGCCACAGCGTATCGACGTCATTCTACAATTGGCAGAGTCTCGAACAGGTACAGTATCGCTACAAGCGGCCCAGCGCACCGATGACACTGTCATTGACAGCGACTCAAGCTATCACCAACATCAACGACAGGCCGAAAGATTTGAAGGACCGGATCAAGTCTCCAGAAGAAGTCGAAGACGCATCAAACCAGGAGGCCGACGACCAGGAGGACAGCGACACCTCTCTACAGTATGCATGCGCCGACGGAGACATCGACGCTGTTACTCGTTTCCTCGAGGACGGTGCCGATGTGAACGAAGTGGACGAAGAGGGAGACACCCCACTGCTCTGCGCAGTTGCGAACGGACACGAGGATATCGCGCGGCTACTGCTTGAACGAGGTGCATCCGTCGACTTGCCCTGCAGTGGCTCTACTGCACTGTACCGCGCGAGCGAAGAGGGCTATGTCGACATCGTCCAACTGCTCTTAGACCACGGAGCAGCAGTCGACAAGACCGGACCAAACGGGGTCACGCCGTTGATCGTCGCCTGCGAGACTGGAACCGTTGATATCATTCGGGTGCTGCTCGATCACGGCGCTGCGGTTGATCTAGTGGACGAAACGGGGGACAGCCCGCTGATCACTGCGGCGGAGAACGGCCACGTGGAGGTGGTGAAGTTGCTGATAGAACGAGGCGCTACGGTCGATCTATTCAACAACAATGGGTGGACGCCACTAACCAGCGCTACACAGAACAACCACGCGCAGGTTGTGGAGCTGTTGCTGGACGAAGGAGCCAACGTCAATAAGCATGGAGAGACTGGCAACACGCCGTTGATCATCGCGTCGATTCACGGCAGCGTTGAGGTCGCGCGCGTTCTTCTCGCGCGTGGAGCGGAGGTCGACGTGAGGAATACGTTTCGCTCTTCTCCGCTTATCAGTGCCGCGGAGAACGGCCAGACGGAGATGGTCAAGTTACTATGTGAGCACGGCGCGCCGCTGGATTGGAAAGAATACAGGGGCTGGACTGCACTGATGAACGCTGCGGAGGGAGGATACGCGGAGATTGCGGCGGTGTTGCTAGAGAACGGAGCGTCAGTGAACAGGTATCTCCCGAACGGGTTCAACGAGATCCTAATTGCCTGTGAAAACGGACACGTCGAAGTTGTTAAGCTTCTTCTGGATAATGGAGCTTCAGTCAACGAGGTAGACGAGGATGGAGACTGCCCACTGTTCGTTGCGGCAGGTAACGGACACGCTGACATTGTCAAATGCCTTCTGGAACACGGCGCGGCCACCGAGTTGGTGAATAATGCGGGTTGGTCGGCGCTGATGAAAGCTGCGGAGCAAGGATTTGTGAGTGTGGCAAAGACGCTGTTAAAATCCGAGGCAGCTTATCAGTCTGTGAACTTGCAGCTACCGACTGGAGCGACTGCGCTGAATATCGCCTGCGAACACGGCCAGCGGGATATCGCGGTGGCCCTCGTTAACCGTGGAGCCTCAATTGAACTCGCGGATAACGAAGGCTACACGCCGTTGATCACCGCCGCGCAGCTTGGGTACTCCGATATCGTCCAGTTCCTCGTGACTCAGGGCGCCAACATGAACGCGCAACTGCCCAGCGGGAGTACAGCTTTGGTTACTGCGGTTTGGCACAAGCGGTTGGAAGTTGTTCGGATTCTCCTGGATAACGGAGCGGACTTTAATCTGTGTGGGGATTTCCAGAACTGGCCGCCGCTGAATGTGGCATACTTCAGCGGCTACACTGAACTCGTACAGCTCATCTACGAACGGATGCCACCAGACCAGAAACTGTCGTTTGGAGACGTGATGTCGGCTTTCTCTTCGGCTCGGATTTCTTCTTCTACTCCTGCGAAAAAACTCCTTCCGTCTCGAAAAGTAACACGAATGGCAAGTACAGGGATCGACCAGAAGAGCCGCAATGGGGATACAGCACTGAGGATTGCCTGTGAGAGAGGACAGGTTAAAGTTGTGGAAGACCTACTGAAGAACCCGCACAATGACATCAATTTGTCAACTGATGACGGCTGGTATCCGCTGCTCAGCGCGTGTATGTGCGGCCACGCTGACGTTGTCTCCGTCCTCCTCGAAAAGGGTGCCGACTTGAGCAAGCGGCTCCCGAATGGCTTCACCGCCCTTCACCTCGCCTGCAAAAGCGGTCACATCCACGTCGTCGAGCTGCTTCTCAGCCGCGGAGTATCGATCGACAGTGTCGACGAGGACGGGGATACGCCACTGCTCACTGCGGCTGATAGCGGGCACGAGGATATTGTCAAGTTACTCGTCGGGCGCGGTGCTTCAATTAACTTGGCTAATAACGAAGGCTGGACCGCTCTGATGAATGCTGGGGCGAGTGACTACGATGAAGTCGTCTCGGTGCTACTAGACAACGAAGCAGACGTGAATACACGACAACCGACCGGCGCCGCTGCGCTCAATATCGCGTGTATGAACGGGTATTTCGATTCGGCCAGATTGCTCGTTGAACACGGCGCTGCAGTGAACCTTTCAGGGGAAGGTGGCAACACGCCACTGATGCACGCAGCCGAGGGGGAGCACGCTGCCATGACCAAGCTACTGCTGGACAATGGCGCTTCGATCGATGCTTCTAATGACGAAGGCTGGACGGCTCTGATGTTCGCGGCGCAGGGAGGCTTCGTGGATGTAATAGCGGTTCTAGTGGAGAAGGGGGCAGACGTCAACAAGCAGCGTCTAGATGGGGAGACAGCGCTGTTCGTGGCTAGTGCAAATGGTCAGGTCGATGCTGTCAAACTTCTATTTGATCACCGCGCCAGAGTCGACGCAGCGGATGAGGACGGAGACACCCCACTTTCGGTAGCTGCAATCAACGGGCACCCCGGAGTGGTGGGGTTTCTTCTTGAGCACGGAGGGTCCATTGATTCTACGGGCGAGGGCGGGAATACACCATTGATCGGTGCTGCGGAGTATGGGCATACGTCAGTGATAGAGCTGCTGCTGGAACATGGAGCGGATATCCACTGCACCAATGCCAAGGGGGCGACTCCGCTTATCAGCGCCTCTGAAGGAGGTCACGCGGAGGCGGTGACTATGCTGCTGGAGAAGGGGGCGAGTGTTAACATCCAAGGCCCGAACCAAGCGACAGCCTTGCATCTTGCAAGTGAGCAAGGATACGTTGACGTAGTTTCGCTGCTTCTCGATCACGGCGCCGCCATTGAGTTGGTTGATGGAGATGGCGACACCCCTCTGCTCAGCGCTGCCGTCTACGGACACGAAGAAGTCGTGAAGCTGCTGGTGGATCGTGGGGCATCTGTAACTGTGGTGGACAATGCTGGTTTGTCTGCCTTTATGAAAGCCTGCCGTGAAGGCTACATCGACTTGGTCGCTGTTCTCCTCGACCTCGGAGCGAGCGTCAACGACCACCTCCCGAACGGCTACTCGGCTCTCCACACCGCGAGTGAAAACGACAACGTCGACGTCGTAAAGTTCCTCCTCAAACACGGAGCGTCACTTAACTACGCCGACGGGGACGGCGACACTCCGTTGATCACCGCTGCGGAGCACGGACGACCAGACGTTGTGAAGATTCTGTTGGAGAACGGAGCAGCTATCGACATGACAAATAATAATGACTGGACTGCGGTCATGGCGGCGTCGGAGCACGGCCACGCAGACGTCATCAAGCTCTTGGTGGACAATGGCGCCTCAATTGATTCGACTAATAACGAGGACTGGACAGCGCTAATCATTGCGTCGGACAATGGCCACCCAGATGCCGTGCGGATGCTGGTAGCCGAAGGGGCAGCCATTGACCAGCCAGGCCCGAATGGAGCCACAGCGTTGGGGGTCGCGTGTGAAGGCGAGAATGCAGCCATCCCTCTGCTTCTCCTCGATCTTGGCGCGGATATCCACGCGACGGATGGAGATGGCGACAATCCACTGCTGATGGCAGCTCAAAGTGGGCTTACTGATGTGGTGCGTGCACTGATCGAAAAGGGCGCGAGGATTAACGCTACCAACAACGAGGGCGAGAGCGCTCTCATGAAAGCCGCGATGAAGGGCCATGCAGAGGTCGTGTCGGTCCTACTGGAGAACAAGGCGAACGCCGATCTTCGAGGACCAAACGGTGACACTGCGCTTCGGATCGTGAGTGAAAACGGCCAGCATGAAGTTGAAAATTTGCCCGTTGCGAGTGGCGCGGCCCGTTGACTGTGGCAGTCTAACTTGACACCGTTGCGGATCAACACAACTTCCAGAGGGCTGACGTAGGGACCATGTAAGTATTGTGTGGAGGTATTATGTGTAGAGAGAGGTTAGCGTCACGACGTCGGCAGGCACATGATGGACAGCTGCGAGGCGCGAAATATTCAAAAATTCAATTCACTTCCACTTCAACAACGTGAACTTTCAGTCGTACTATCGCTAGTCGACACGGACAGCGAAAAATAACTAGGAATTGCATTCAATTTTTGGCAAGGCAGTGCACGGATTTCACTAGGATGTGCCATGTCGTGCCCATATGTGAGCAGTACATGTAGCATTACACAGCAACATGGTATGTAAAGGCAGCATGCACCTCGAGGTTTGGCTCATTTGCTCAGTGCAATGCACTAGCGTTGCAGTGTGTTGTGGCTCAGTGTACCTCGACAGCACATCCTAGGGCACGAGTTGTGGTTCTGTAACTTACGCGCACCGACAAAACCTACACCAACCTAGAGCACCCTCCCTGCTCAGTAGCTTTATCAAACTCACTTGAGTTTTTGCACTCTACCCCGTACCCAACTTCTCAAGCCCCAAGATGGCTCCATCGCTCGCCTCAACCCTCGCCGTAGCTGCGGTCTTGTCCAGCTCCGTTCTCCTAGCCGACGCACACCAAGTCGTTCTTCAGCCGGAGCCGCAGTGGAGGACAAAGATACCAAGTACAACCCGCTGGCCTTCCTGGAGGGCCAGGGCTTCGCGACGCAGGAGGGCTTCGACGCCCGGCGCCGTGATAATGGCTACAAAACTCTACGCGACTTCATGGACCGAGGCAAGTACACGGTGACCCAGGGCGCCGACTACTTCTGCGGCTGGACCAACCCCAAGGGGACGCCGCAGCCCATTCCGCGCTCCACGGGTTACACCCATGACGGCCCGTGTGAGATTTGGCTGGACGACGTGCGCGTGCTGGAGTCCGGCAACTGCCACGAGACGATCCCCCACGATCGACTACTCGTCCTGCGAGAAGAAGGGCGGCTGCACGATGCACTGGTACTGGCTCGGAGTGCGCTTCCTCAAGAACTCGTACTCGTGGCAGGTCTACAAGGAGTGCATCCCCCTCACGGCCGCACCGAAGCGCCTGCGCATGTAGATGCATGGTCAGCATTCCTCCACAATGTTCACAGTGAGCAACACACAAGTGTATGACCAAAGAAAAACAAAAGTACTGCAAGTGGTTGCTGTCGGACGATGGCAGTTCGATAAATGAAAACTTGACGTTTGAAATGAAAGTGGTCCATGATCGTCGTATACTTTAATGAACTACAATGGTGTCCAAACAACGACGAACCGTCTTGTACAGCAACAAAATACTTGGAGGGTATTTCCTTCCAACATCTCCAAGCCAGGGAGGCTGCAAAAGCCAACCTTTGCAAAAATGGCTACACAAGTTATAGTCAAATGGGTACAGTCCATGTTGTACAGCACAGAAATCGTCCACATGTACATGTATCAGCTCGCCTGCATCTCTGCCCCAGGCCATCACTTCGTCTCCCTCGCCACTCTTCCGATTGCCCAGGGCAGCTCACCTTCTGCATCAATTCAATGCCCACCGCCTGCCGCTGTGCCGCCACCCCGAAGCGAACGCGAACTCAAAGATCCACACACGCGCGCCAAAGTTTCAAGACCCACAAGCAGAGCCGAGAGCCGGGTGGACGCCCTGCGACTTCGCACCACACGCCAAAATCTTTGGGGCAAAGTACCCAGTCCACCAAGAATGGGGAGATCCCACTCGTCACCGCAGCTGAAGAAGGCCGAGTCCAAGTCGTGAGGTTCCTACTCGACAGTGGGGCGTTGGTGGACGCCGTTAATGGTCGAGGCTACACTGCGCTTATGCGAGCTTCGGAGCTGGGTCACGCTGATATCGTGGAGGTTCTCCTTGACAGAGGAGCTCTAGTTGACAAAATGGGTGCAAACGGGGTCACCGCTCTCATTCTCGCGAGCGAAAATGGGCATCTAAAAGTTGTCAAACTTTTACTAGACCGAGGCGCGATGGTTGACTCGGTGGACAAAGTTGGAGACAGCTCGCTCATCTCTGCAGCGATCAATGGGCACGTCGCTGTTGTGAACTATCTGGTGGAGAAGGGGGCCTTTATTGAGCTGACCAACAGACAAGGGTGGACTGCACTTATGAGTGCGGTTTCTGGAGGCTTTACCAACGTGATCGCGTCCCTCTTGAACCTCAAGGCGGACGTTAACAAACAAGGACGAAAGGGAGTAACCGCGTTGTTAATCGCGAGTGAGAACGGCAAGCGTAAGGTGGTGGATCTGCTGCTTAAACATAGAGCATCGGTGAATTTGGCGGATGAAGACGGCAGCACGTCGTTGATCAGAGCTTCAGAGGCCGGATATTCCAAAGTTGTCAATTTGCTGGTGACCCGAGGCGCTTCGATTCATGAGGCAAACCGCAAAGGCTGGACTGCGCTCATGCGAGCGGCGGAGGAGGGGCACGTTGATGTTGTGGCGACTCTATTGGCGAGAGGAGCAGAAGTTGATAAGCGCGGACCTAAAGGCGTCACTGCTCTTATATTGGCGTGTGAGAATGGGAACCTTAAAGTGGTTGAGTTGCTGCTAAAACACGGCGCCGAGATTAATCTCGTGGACGAATTCGGCGACAGCCCGCTAATTACCGCAACCAGCAACGACTACGATGCTGTTGTGTGTTTTCTGGTGGAAAATGGAGCGTCCGTCGACTTGACCAACCGAGAAGGATGGACGGCGCTTATGTATGCGGCAGCGAGGGGCTCAAATAACAAGGTCATTTCTGCGCTGATCAAGCATGGGGCGAGTATCGATAAGCGACGTCCAAACGGAACCAATGCTCTCCTAATTGCGTGTGAAAATGGATACGAGAGAATCGTGAACTTGCTCGTGAAAAACGGCGCGTCACTGAAACAGCGAGACGAAGCTGGCAATACACCGCTAATCATTGCAGCTGCGAATAACCGAGCGAATGTAGTAGTTTTCCTGGCCAAACGTGGCGTGTCGATGGATTTGGCCAATAATTACGGATGGAGTGCGCTGAGGAACGCTGCGAGTGAAGGCCACGCTGATGTGGTTGCTGTTTTATTGGAAAAGGGGGCTAGTATCGACAAGCTGGGTCAAGATGGAAGCACTCCTCTCCTTATTGCGAGCTCAAATGGCTGTATTGAAGTTGTACAGCTCCTGGTAGTACGAGGTGCTTCAATCGATTGCGTCGATGATGGCGGCACTACGCCACTTATAAGTGCAGCAATGAAAGGCCATGAAGCAGTGGTGGGATTTCTCGTGGACAGAGGCGCGTCTATCGAATTAGAAGACAATGACGGCTGGACAGCGCTGAACTATGCTGCGAAGAATGGTCACTTCGGAGCTGTAGCCATTTTACTCGAGAGAGGGGTTGAAATTGGTCCGAAGACTCTCCCAAGTCGACTTGATGCCCTCCTTCAGGCCTGTGAAAAGGGTCAGTCTGAGATCATTGAGCTGATTCTCGATAGTGGTGTGCCAATTAACTCGGTGGATGAAAATGGCGATAGTCCGCTGTTGGTCGCAGCTAGTCAAGACCACGCTCATGTCGTGGCCTTCCTACTGGAACGAGGTGCGTCTCCGAATGTGACGAATACTGCGGGCTGGACTTCGCTAATGAAGGCGGCGGAGAGAGGACATACTAGCGTGGTGAAGACACTACTCGCTGATAAGGACACCGCTGAATTAATTGACCTGCAGCTCCCCACCGGAGCCACAGCTCTGAATATTGCGTGCGAGCATGGTCAACTGGACATCGTCGTGGCCTTCATGAACCACGGCGCTTCGATTGAACTGGCCGACAACGAAGGATACACCCCTTTGATCACTGCAGCCCAGTTGGGGTATTCCGACATTGTCCAATTTCTCGTGAATCGCGGTGCCAACATGGATGCGCGACTGCCCAGTGGAGGAACAGCGTTGCTTACCGCCGTGTGGCACAAGCGACTGACCGTAGTGCGAATCCTCCTTGATAACGGTGCGAATATCCATCTATCTGGAGATTTTCAGAATTGGTCGCCATTGAACGTTGCGTATTTCAGCGGCTACTCGGAGTTTGTGCAGCTCATTTACGAGTGCGCCCCCGCTGAGAAGAAAATCTCCTTTTGCGATGTCGTCTCGGCTGTGAGAACGGTCAGATCGAGTCCGAAAACCTTCCGAACTCCTCAAACGACATTCAAGAAGGTGGTGGCAAATGCTAAGATTGATCAGAAGCACCGCAATGGAGACACTGCACTAAGAATCGCTTGTGAGAGAGGCCAATTGAAAGTCGTTGAGAATCTGCTGAAGAACCCCAACAACGACATCAATATGACAAATGACGAAGGGTGGACTCCGCTTATGAGCGCAGCTGAACGTGGTCATACCGATGTCGTGGCAGCTCTGCTTAAAAAGGCTGCAGACACATCCAAGCAACTTCCGAGCGGAGTTTGTGCTCTCCATTTATCGAGTGAAAGTGGTTATATTGACATTATTAAACTGCTTCTTGACCATGGTGCATCGATCGATCTGCTGGAAGAGAGAGGGAACAGTTCGCTGATCGTTGCAGCTGAAAATGGTCATCACGAAGTCGTGAAGTTGCTTTTGGAGCGCGGTGCGTCTACCAATTTGGTCAACCACGAGGACCGGACTGCACTGATGAGTGCTGCAGAATACGGTTGCGTTGAGGTGGTTTCTGTGCTTCTGGAAAAGGGCGCAGATATCGATCAGCAATGCTCAAATGGAGCCACTGCACTTCAAATTGCGTGTGGAAATGGGCATTTCGACACGGCGGAGTTGTTGATTGAGAGTGGCGCTTCACTTGAACTAGCAGCAGTTGATGGCAACAATCCACTGATAGCCGCAGCCGTCTCCAACCACGCGTCTTTGGTGAAGTTGCTTATTGACAACAACGCATTCATTGATGCAGCCAACAAACAAGGCTGGACAGCATTACTGGTTGCCACGAGCGCTAGGTTCACGGATGTGGCGTCAATTTTGCTGGACAATGGGGCGAATGTCGACAAACAACTACCAAATGGAGCCACTGCCCTCCTGATAGTAAGTGAAACCGGGTATATCGATCTGGTCAAGTTGTTCCTGGATCACGGGTCCTCAGTTGACTTGGGAGACGAAAGTGGAGATACCCCTCTCAAACGCGCAGCCGAAAATGGGCACGGTACTGTGGTGACGCAGCTGATTGAATACGGAGCATCGGTTGATGCAGCGAATTACGAGGGTTGGACTGCATTAATGAGTGCAGCAGCTGAGGGCGAACTGGAGATCATATCGTTGTTACTACAGAACGGAGCTCATATCGACAAGCAGCGACCAAACGGAGCTTCAGCGCTCTCGATTGCGAGTGAGTATGAGAATCTCGACGTTGTTCGACTCCTTCTGTATCACGGAGCAAGCATCGACATACAAGACGAGCAAGGCGCCACCCCTCTTATCACTGCGGCGGCTAATGGACTCACTGAAGTGGTGAGGCTGCTAATAAAGAAGGGCGCGAGCGTGAACTCAATCAACAACCAAGGCTCGACTGCACTTCAAGTTGCGAGTGAAAATGGATACCTCGATATCGTCACTCTCCTCGTCGAGAACGGCGCTCTGACTGGCTTGGATGATCAAGGTAGCAAGACACTCACAGCCGTCGCCCGTGAAAATGGTCACGAAGACGTCGCGAGCTACCTACCACAACGTTCGAGTGGAGCCATCGGTGCTTGACTCATGTAACTTTGATGTAGCCATTTCACACGAAATGCTTTCAGTTCATTGATTCAATTAACGGCCTGCAGGCGAAAGATTTTTCATCTCGACTGGGCAATTTCCACTCCAATCCACTCCACTGTCACTTCTTGTTGCTGTTAGGCGACGACAACGGTGTGCGTGGTCTCCTCAGTGTGAACGGCGCGAGAGGGGGGAGCACTGTAGTGCCCACTGAAGTGACGGACGCACTCGACACCGGCGTGACCACAACTTGCGAGAAACGTGGTGCGGAAGACGACACAATTCCGCTGCTGACTCTGTGGTACGGACTCGGGGACAACGCCGAGGAGCGAGGAGGCATCAGCAGCGACGGCAGTGGACGCGGAGTCGTCAAAGCTTGTCCCCCTCCTCCTACTGCTGGGGCCTGGTTACTATAATAAAGAGGTCTTGGAGCTGGTACAGAGGACGGAGACGGCTGCGACTGCGGCTGCACCAAGATGCTCGCAGCCACGAGCTCCGAGTGCGAATACCCCGCGGAAACCTGAGAGACCTGTTGCTGCTGCTGAAGGTACGGACGTTGAGTGTAGCCATTTTGCCGATACTCCGAATACACGACGTGATCTCGAGGATACGCTTCCGTCGCCATGGAGCTAACGCTAGTAGACGCATGCACTGCGGCAATAGGAGGCAGTCGCGCCACAACAACGGGGGCAGTTCCTCCTGCAGCATACACCGGTGGCGGAAATATCCCTCTGATAGTTGATACCATCGGTTGTGAGCTCGTCACGCGGGACGGCGTCCTCGTCTCGGCCTCTTGGTGGGTGGTGGTGGTGATGATGGAGCGGAGCTGCTTGGCCACGGGCTCTCCTTCTTCTGTGTGAATAGCCTGCAGCTTGTTCCCGTCCTCGTCCGAGTCGCTGCCTCGGCGTCTTTTGCGCGAGAACTTCTTGGCGTCGAACTTGCGCTGGTGCTGGTTCTGCTTGTTGCGGTGCTCCTCGCACAGGTTGTGCGGCTTGCCGTTGCGCTTGACGGCGCGCTCGTTCTCGCACTTGCGCGACTGGTAGAGGCACTTGCCCCGGTACGGGCCGGGGCTCCTGGTCTCCGATAACAGAGGGGCTGCAGTGGCACCAACGGGTTCGAGCTTGACAGGTTCGGCCTTGATAGGCTCAGCAGTAGTCTTCCTCTTCTTCTTGACGGAGGACGACCTGCGTTTCTTGATATTGGCGGCGTCGGTGTTGGAGGACGCTGCGGGGTCATCGGAGACCTTGGAGTTGTGGCTATCGGGCTGCATGTTGCCTGCGATGGATCGATATCTTGGCCTTTGGCTTGACAGCCGAGCGGATGATTGCCGAGTGACGGCTGATACGGGGTGGGGTGGGTGGACTCGGGCGCGCGATCGCACGACGGCAACGTACCAGTCCAGCGTGGTACCAAGCCGCGTCTTGACTGCGTAATGTGATCTTAATTCAGTCAGAACAGCCAAGTGCACTGATACTGTAACGTGGGAAACGACCTCTTCATGCAGTTTTGCCCGCAATCTTTAGTGACATGGGGCATGCATTCTGACCGGTATTCGAAGCGAATCGCCGCGATCTGATTGGTCGAAGAAAGGGCGCCTTTCGAACGTCCGCCCGGCTGTAGAACGTCATATGGCGGACATCGCCGGGGCCACGGATCAGAAAGGTTTGACTCGGTTTTTGTATGCTTTCGACGCGACGGCAACGCCCCGCCAGCCAGCGGCCACACCAGCGCTGGCGCTGCCGTTGGCCGCAGCGCGGCGCGGCGCCTCGCAAGTCTGTTTCCCTAGAGTTTTTAATCTGCCTAGAGCTATCGCCGTGACCTGTGGCTGCAAAGTTGCGACTTCAGTGACGTCAGCCTCGCACCAGAAGCGCGCATCCCTCGCTCGTTTGAAGGGCGGAACGACAACAACAGCAGATTCGACCACCAACCGGACTGGACCTGCCTGCCCCGATGCGCTTGTCAACGTTGAGGGCTGCGGAGACTGCAGTGTCCCGCCGCCTCTTCTCCGAGCAGGCAGGCGATGCAGTGGCTGGCGTCACGCGCTGGCTTCTCGCGGTCTACACTGTGCCGCACCGAGAGACAGCCAGCCAGCCACTGCAAACAGGGATCAGGTAGAAGCGCTCTTCCCTGCAAAGTCCACCTCTGACTCAGTCGGACCAAGCAACGATCAGAGGTTGCAGTGCAGTGCAGTGCAGAGCTCCCTCCGAGCAGGCCTTTACCGTCGGGAGCAGCGAAAGAAATTGGTCTTGCAAGACTAGCGAATGTACTGAAGGCAAACCAGCGAAACCTCTCGACAAACAAGCGCCGCCGCCACGAACATGAAGGAAGCCGCAGTGCAGCCAGCAGTGCACCCACGAGCACTCGACGCCACGTCAACAGCAGTCGAGTCCGGGCTGTACGACACCCCGAAACTGCGCTCGCGCTCGCCGCTGCGCGCATAAGACGCCGCCCCCACATAGGCAGTGCGTATCAGACAGCCCAGCGCCACGTTGCGAAATGCGAGGCGACAAAAGTATCAGCTCTCGCAACCTGGGAAAAGTACACGAACATGTGTATATTACACAACTGCTTCAAAAATATCAAAATCTAAATTGATCATTCTGACCTGATCGTGTCTCTAAATGAGTCACGAGCCTAAATGGCTCGACCTGAGCTCACAAGAGACTTGAAGAAACCTTTTTTCAGCTGCAGCAGCGCGGCAGGACTGTCGAACTCCACGACCTCACCCGCATCCAGCACCAAGATCTTGCTGCTATCCAGGATGGTCTCGATGCGGTGCGCGATGCACAGCACGGTCCGGTCACCGCTTCCGAACGTCTCCCTCATCGTCTGCTGGATGAGTTTGTCGGACTCCTGGTCCACGTTAGCCGTGGCCTCATCCATGACGATCACTCGGCTTTCGCGGATGAGGGCGCGCGCGATGCACAGCAGCTGTCGCTGGCCCACCGACAGGTTATCGCCCTTCTCGGCCACCTCGTAGTCGAGGCCCTTCCCCCACACCGACACCGTGTCCGACAGATGCACCTTGCGCAGCACTTGCCACAGCTCGGCGTCGCTCTTCTCCGCGAATGGGTCCAAGTTCATGCGCAGCGAGCCGCTGAACAGCATCGGGTCCTGCGGGATGATGGTCAGCTTCGCGCGTAGCTGGTGCACCGAGATGGTGGCGATGTCCACGCCGTCAATGAGAACGCGGCCGGTGTTGGGTATCTCCACGACACGGAATAAAACGCTCATAAGGGAGCTCTTCCCGGAGCCCGTACGTCCACATATGCCCACCTTCTCGCCGCTTTGGACTGAAAATGACACGCCCTTGAGCACCAGCGGCAGGTCGTCTCGGTACCGCATCGTGAAGTTTTCAAACACGACGGCGCCCGTGCGGGGCCACTCCGGCGAGAGGGACTCTGCGATACTAGGAACACACTTGCCACCTTCTTCATCGAGAGAATTGTAGTGGGCGATGCGCTCGAAGCACGTCATGCTGCTCTCCACTCCCGTTGAAAGGGTCGTCATCCGCTGGAAGCTGGACGATAGCTGAGCCGCGTATACCAAGCTCAGTCCCGCGACGGAAGCCTCGACGCTTGATTTCGTCGCAACCGCGAGAAGCGCACGGTGCCGATGATGACGGACACGAACCAGTCCGTCCTCATGTCGAACCACCGGTTGGATGACTGCGTGATGAAGTAATACTTCATGTTGTTGTTCAGAAGCTCTACACACCGCGCTGCGAACGCGTCCACCATGTTGTACGACCGCACTGTGTCCATGCCCGACAGCGTCTCGGACACCAAGTTGAGGAACGGGGAGCGCGAGACTCCGTCAAGTCTCTTCAACTCGAGAGCAGACGAGAGATAAACCTTGGCAGCGAACCAGCAGCCGCATCCTACGGGGATGTACACGAGCAGTATGAACGGGCTGACGACCGCACAGACGATAAAGGACGAAGCGACCTGGAAGACGCACAGCAGGAGCCACAACCCCCAGTACGGGAGCTGGCTGTCCACCTCGTCGAGATCCCGCGAGAATCGAATTAGGATTCGCCCGATGGGGGTCACGTCGAAGAAGGTTGTAATCGGTGCGGCGCTAACTTTACGGAGATGTTTCAGGTGGATCTTCACTGAACAGGTCACGCAGACCTCCATGAAGAACAGACAGCGAACGAACACGAGAATCACGGTGATCACCACGATCCTCACGTACACCGCTAGCGAATCCATTTCGGTTAAAGCGATAGAGCCTCGAGACCACTGGCTCACGAACCAGTCGCAGGAGAAGAGCGCAGCTTGAGCGATGGCGAACAGAGCAATGATTAGCCCGCACAACACACGGCCGTCCCAGTCGGTGGCGGAGAGGTAGTTGATGTACGTCTGCATGCGGACGGAGCCCACTTTTCGGTCTTCTTGAGTGATCAACTTCCCCGATGGCTTTGACTTCTCGCCTTCTACCAGTCGGCCACCTCCCGACTCGGTCGACTTCATACCTTCTCCCTGAAGCTCTTCTTCGATAGCCCCAGTACCGTCGGATACGGCGCTGGCTGACCGCATTCGAGTGAGAAGGAACGGGAAGTCATGCTTCAAGTCGGCCAGCGCTCCATCCCCGACGATCTTCCCGTCCGACATAACTAGCACCCGATCCGCGTGGCTAAGCAGGTGATAGTGCGAGTTCAACACCAGCACACGCGTTGTTCCCCGCGCGACCCCCTTGATGCCATCTACAAACACGCCATTCACAACATGCACGTCAAGTGCGCTCAGAGGGTCGTCCAGCACTACGAAGTCGCATTTGCGAGCGGGATGCTCGAGTACGGAGACCAGACCGGAATCGGCGAGCGCGGAATTAATCTGAGTGGCGGCCAGAAAGCGCGTGTATCACTAGCTCGTGCCATGTACCGATCAAGCGGCTGCGCGACGTGCGAGCAATGAACAACGAGGACCCTGTGTATGTCAAGTGACAAGGAAGCTTATTAGGATAAACTCTCTAGTGATCTTGGCTACGACAAGGCGTTGGGGCGGTCGAACCCCTGCAAGATGAAGCGGCAGCTGGCTGTGTCGTACGGGATGACCGAAATCCGGCACCAATTGGCACGCTGCGATGACGCGACGATAGTGATCCGCGTCGTACGACTCACCAAAGAGGATATTGCTGCGTATGGTCTGGTTCTGGATCCACGCCTGCTGGCTCGCGTACACCATGCTGCCCCGCACTTCACGCACGCCACGGACTTGCTTCATTTCTCCCAGGATAGCGTTAACGAGACGCCCCCACGACAATGGTCAGAGATCCAGATTCGAGCGTGAAATTGATGTTGGAGAGCGTTGGCGTTGCCGCGTGCTCGTCTCATTGGAAGTCGGCGTGCTCCATCGAGATCAGTGGTGAAGCCACAGTAGTTTGAGCCGAATTCTGAGCCGGTGCGGTGTCGAGCACTTCGTCTGCAGAAAAGAATGCCGACAACCGCTTCGTGGACGTGATGTGATGGCTTCTGCTGTTGCAACTGAGGCATCAGCAAAGACACTGAACGGAGTGCGGCAAGCAGTCGTGAGCGCCATGATGAAGAACGCGGTCGTCACGTCCAGGTGGTTGCCCATCAGAATCGTCGTGGTGAAGCACACCAGATTCAGCAGCGTGGGGGCTAGAAACATGAGCACGGAGCTCACAAGACGCAGACGATTGAACTTCCGATGCAACAGCACCTCCTGCTCGCCAATTAGGTCGCTGGCCTACGTTTCCCAACCGTAGAGCTTGACCACCCAAACACCGTGGAGAATGGGTGATATTTATGAGCTGTTACTTTAGCACTATTCGGCTGTTGCCCACCTACAGCCCCTGTTCACCTGTCATGAGCCCTGTTCTGCTGTTGCTTTCTGTTTAACCTGCTACTTCTTCATGGATTTCTCCTGAGATGTGTGTGGACTGTGGATTACACTCCCCAGACCCCAGCAATAAATCTTACTCCGAGTTGTGGGGGCAGGCCCATTCGCAGGAATGCTAGGCAATGGTTGGAAATTCCGGGCGGCCCTAATTTGCGAGTACAGTAGGGTTTTCTTCGGCTACGTGCCCTTGCAATCGCTCACTACCTTCTGCTACATGAATTTACACAAGTACAGCGCTATTGTTTTACTTCTATATCCTACGGATCCTCCATAGCAAAGAGCAGTCCATTTGCAAGTTACTAGCTATGGGAGTAGCCGACGTACGTTTGACTGAAGTGCTTTGGATGAAGCGGTTTTGAATTATCGAAGCGAATCGCAGCTTGAGCCCGCAACTGGCGTTTAATCTAAAATAATACGTAGTATTTGTTGGAAAACAACAGCAGACCAGGGTCCTTGACAGGTTAGTAGGAGCTGTACGGTACCAACAGCTCGACAGTGCTGGAACAACAGGTATTGATTATTTTCCGTGGAGAATCTCATTCGTTCGCTTGAGACGGGTGGCGCCCATGCTTGAAATCTGGCCCCGGTATTTCCCAATCCTCTTGGCCAGGTATAGAGAAGTATACACAATCGCCACTTTCGTCGCCGCAGCCACAGCATCAACGGCGACATAATGCACCACATGCCCAGCTTGTACGCTTCCAGCACGCGTTCGCTGTCAACGCCGATGAACGTGATGATTTCCCCCGTGTCCATCTTCCGTCGCGCTGCAGCCGACAGTCGAAGTATCTTGCGGAATGCGCTGTTGACGACGATCATGTGCGCGTTGCAGGAGGCTCGAGTGGTGATAAACTGGCTCACGCTGATGCATGTGGCCCCGCAGAACGATGCGGCTCCCAATAGCGCTGCCGACGCGTACCCTGACGACAAACCAAACGCGTTGTCTTTACCTTCAATGTTATCGAGGATTGCCTTGATCAGGAAGGGCTGGAGTAACGAGAGGCACGCACTCGCAAGGTAGCAGCCAAACGCAATGAGGCACGCGCGCTTGACGCACTTCAAGATCCCGACGTTCACATTGGGCTGCTGAGTTGGTGGTCCTCCGTCTTCCTCTTCTTTAGAGCCATCGCCATCTCCGCCCAGTAGCTTACGTCGAAGCGCTTCTGCAGCGGCCCAGCTTGGTCGGAGGTCGGGAGATCCCACACACTGTCCTCATCTAAAGGTGCCTCATAGCCGCGCTCCAACATCGGGTGCAACCACCACATCGTCACCACCGACAGGAATCCGGCCGGTTATCCTGCTTGAAGAGTGCCGACTTAGTCGGTTCATCGTCGGAGACTCGCGTCGATTGGGTCATAGCGGCAGTACTTGTCTTCATAGCATGGAAAGCACCATCCGGCTCAACGGGGATGAGCGGGTCGAGACTTTGTCCGCGAGGACTCATCGTGGCTTCGGTTTGAACTTTAACGGGGGCGACTCGGTCTTGAACGTGCTAATTCGCGAATGACAAGAACTCGGCAGCTTTTTGGGTGTCCGAGATCCGTTCCATAAGGTGCAAGAATTACGGACTAACCGATTCACGTGTGTCCGTTTTTCGAGCGAGCTCCTAGCGAAGTAGTATTTCAGCAGAAGCCTTTCTGAATCACGACAATTGACGACTGATAACTTGGAGACGTAACGTAACAGTAAAGTTAAAGGCGGAAGAGTACGTTTTACCAAGGGCGGGAATGTCTTTCCAGGACATTTAAAGGCGAGTTCAGAATACGTTTCTGACGAGTGTAGGGACCTTCCTTTATCTTTTTTATTTTCTTAAAAAAGTCAACGTAGCTAACGGTCAAGAAAATGAATCGGTCAACCGTCTGCTTTATTTGCACTAGTGTAACGGATCTCGGCAGTTAAGAAAGTAGTTAACGGGCGGCTCTTGATCGCACCCAATCGCGGATGATCATCAGTTGAACTGATGACCTGGAGCCTGACAAACTCATCCACTGTGTTTTGGCACAGTATAGCATCGATACATCATGGATAGCAGTAAGATCTTGGCTTTCAGCAGAGGTCCGAAATAATAATTGCGATCCAATAAATAATTGGGGTTTGCAATACTAATTATTATTATTGGAGATCAACGATTCCAATACAATACAGTATTGTACCAATTATTGACAATTAATATGAAAAAAGGTTGCACGGGCGCCAAACATAGCAAAGTACGTCATAAAATGATAGTTAGGTCTACATACGCAACGATTAAGGTGCAGTAAAAGCCATAATGGGCAATCAACATCTTTAGAAACCAATATGTACGCAAGTCAGAACATCAATGACGTCCAGATGTAGTGAATCCCGCCGAACACATCACATCAGGGGACGGCAGCGGATGGCAAACCACTAGAGACTTGAGCTTTATGTTTTGATATAGTGTGTACGCCTTTTGAGGCAATTGTAGGAGAAAAAGCGAAGTGGGTCCGCGAAGCAGTTGATCATACAAAATGCTTAGTCTGTAACCTCATATCAGGTGCACACACTATGAAGTGTGTCTGTGTGAAGCTTGACTGGTCATGATGCGGTGAACCCAATACCTGTGGCTGGCGTGGGTCACCGCCGCGACATGCTGTCGAGCCCATAACTGCACCAAGGTGAAACCCTGGATTCCACTACACCAGATTAACGATATATAGCAAGATCCAGATATATCTCGCTCACGTATTACTATCGGTAGGTTGTTTAAGCATCCACCATGCAAAGTTTTCTAAAGCAACACCCCAAAAAGTGTTTCTTAACGACTCTGTAATCATATGACGCACAGAAAGTGGTTTATTTCTTCTGTAGAAATGCCTCAAATTGAAGAGCAGTATATTTATATAGCGGCAATTTTTTATTATTTCTCCTTGCTGAATTGTAATTTTTATTACGGTCTGATCTCGTACTCAATTCAACATAGTACTGTATTTTCGGACCTCTGGTTTTCAGTATGCGGGAAGTACGAGCTCCTTGTCCAGGTTTGATCACTTAGATTACGTCGAATGGCACCGCATTTGCACGCGCGGCAAAATTTAAAAAGACAGATCGCCTCCACGTCTACTGTAGTTTCTTGGAAATGGCTCTTCTCCATTATTTTATTGCGCTACCGCATTTCGCATGTAGAGGGCTGCAGCAGCTTAAGGGATACACTTGGAATTTAACCAATCACATGCACTCTAGTGTAGAACTCGAAACCGCATGTAAACGGACACACTCCAAAATACCGGTATACCGATAATTGCGACCCAAAATATCGTTGCTGCCACCCGTTTTGATATGGCGCACGCGCGCCTAACGGAAGGCCAGCCGCAGTTTTGAAATCGCACGCGCGCGCCCAAAAGGAAGATCAAGCCGCGGAGGCGTCGTCAGAAATGTACACCAGTACAAAGTCAACCCTGATCAAGAAGCTCGCCGTCATAAACTACCTAGCTGTGGTGCGCAAAATGCGTGCTACCATCGAGCATTTCTACCCCAACCTCGCCGCTACTGACTACAACTCTAAACGCACGACAATTCTACGCTGGGCGCGCAATCGCAACAAGCTGGTAGCCGCGGCCGCCGCAGGAAGAGGAGAGCACAAGAAGGTACGCAACAGGGGGGTGGCTACAATCCTGTCCGCGGAGAATGAGACAGAGATTGCCCAGTGGGTCGATGAGCTGCGTGGAGACGGTATCCCTGTCTCCACGCAAATGCTAACAGACAAGGCGCTGGACGTTGTGGAGAAGGCAGAGGTCAAGGACGTCAAGGCGTCCGACAAGTGGGTCGCTGTGTTCAAGCGCCGTCACCTGTTCAGCCTACGTTGTCCCACGCGTCAAAGCCAGCTTAGCCCCGCCAACCTCGACGAGATCGCAGCCGACTTTGCTGCAGAGGTCGACGCAACCGTGCGAAATCTCGGCATTAAGCGTGTGTATACCGCTGATCAAACGGGTAACGTAACTGCTGTGTGTGGGCTAATACTATTATTAATGTGACGTGAGCTAACTAACTCTGTGGCAGCTGTATTTTTTTGAATATGTAGCCAAGAAGACGGTGACGCGCCGAGGCCAGAAGACTGTGTGTGTAACAGGGTCACACGCACAAGTGGCTACAGTCACTTGTAACTCTAACAGATACGACGTCTGTTTGAGGTTCGAAAGACTTTCTCGACCTTGGTGTAGACACACCAAAGGCTACATACATTTACGACCACCACGACGGGTGGTCCATAGAGACTTAGGATTCCTATTGGCTGAGAGCAGCATCTCTTAGCTAATGAGCGACATGCATAGCATTGGAATTCTGCCAACCAGCCGTTGGCAGATTCCTATCTTAGAATATTACATTTAGAGGAAGTCAGGAACATAAAACAAAAATAGCAGTTCTCATTTTAACCCAAAAACATTATTTGGATCGTTTATTTAGATTAATCTATACTCGGAGGCCCGCGTATAATTAACTCTAATTTAAACTAGGTTACGCTTCCTCACATACACGCGCACACGTGTAAGCACAAGTAGTGGGCCAAAGTAGGCCCATTACAGTGTGGGTCAAGTGCAGGGGGGCTTCAAAAGAACGGGCTTCCGTAATGCTTCTCGGCGAAAGCGATGGCAATCGCTACACGCCCTTTGTTGTGTTTAAGGTGAAACCCTCCAAGTACAATGCCATCCAAGAGGAGAACAATGCTCGTCGCTATGGATTCGGCATTCGCAACTGGAAAAATGTGCGCACGATTCGAGAAACTACAGGGCTTGAGGTTTATGGCAACGCCAAAGGTACATGCTGAAATTTTATTATCCTTGGGTTGTATCCATTGTTACTCATCGCTTACTATATGATTAATTATGTGACAGGGTGGTGGAATGAGAGCTTTCCATCGCGTTTCTAAATTTCGCTGCACGAGTCCCCCGAGAGCCCATCCTCCTCTTGTGGGACGATTTCAGTGGACACTGGAAGGCAAGCGTTCTTTTGTATGCAGCATCGATCAACGTAGTGCTGTTGAAGGTCCCACCCCATGCCACGCCGGTCTCGCAGCCGGCGGACGTGGCATGGAACTTCCCGCTGAAGGTAAAGCTACGCCAGCGCTGGCACAAGGACATGCAGGCTCAAATCATGGCACTGAGAAGCTCCGGGAAGAAGTTCAAGCTGATGCGGCCGAACCGTACCAAGATCTGGGAATGGGTACGTCAAGCCTGGGACGAGCTGCCAGCTGAAACAATCGTGAACGGCTTTCGAAAGAGCAGCCTGCTTCCAAGCGATGCATGCGTCGCTGCTGCCGACTTAGAAAGGCTGTCACTGATGGAAGGCCGCCCTGTGCACGAAGGTCAGGACTTTGGGGCAAACATTATCCTCGAGGAAGCTGATGTCTAACCCTGAGCAATACATCGTTTTTGGGCTAATCTACTGTTTGTTACCTAAACCTATAACATGTAGTGTATCGGTCTACATGCGAAATGCGGTACACTGATTCATTGCGAGAAATCCGTCGATGTCGTCGTGGTTTCAGAACGCTTGTCAACGTTTGTGATGTATATATGTCCCTTATCGCCGTTTTCTCGTGACTTTGCTGCAACGGTATGTTGAATCGGTTAACAAAACGTCTGCACTTGCGTACGTTCCAGGCATTTAGATTTGGCGCATCGATCAAATATGCCTTAAGGCGCTGCTGTGCATCACCTAAAGATCTCGATTTGATGCGCATGTATTCGTGTCCAAATGGCTTTCTCATCGTCTGCGACAATGCATTTGTCAGGCACCTGGTCATCACCAAATGCCCGGCAACATGGTCGTGGGTGTTGAGGGACTAATTAATACACTTCAAGTCTTTTGTCTGTTCAAGGCCAGTTACGAATCTGAATCGACAAGAATAAAATTTAGAGAAAAGTTTTAGAGATCGCAGACAAACACATGTGTTTTCAAAAACAATACAAAATTAATATGCATTTTTGAAGAAGCCAATTGTTTTTAGTCTAGGGTAATACCGGTTCACTTCAATCTCACAGATCCGCGTCCGCTCGTGGTCATGGCCTCGGCCAGTTCCTCCTCCTCCTCCGCGGCCGACCTGCCGGCGGCCACGTCCACCTCTTTCGTGTACCTCGTGTACGCCAGCGTGTACTCGTGCGGCGCGCTGTTCCTCGTGCCGGGGCTCGTGGCCGCGCGCCGGATGCTGCGCACGTGGCGTCGGGACCGCACGGCCGTGCGTCTCTACGGGCTCCTGGCGCTGGGCGCCTCGCTGCGGGCCGCGGCCTTCGTGCTCGTGGCGCTGTGGATGCTGGCGCTGTTCCAGTCGCACGCGAGCGGCCTGCTGGACCGGGACGCGGCCCATTTGCACCTCTCGTACCTGCAGTTGGTGTTCCTGTGGCAGCTGCTGGGCGCCTCGGCGTCGCTCGTGCTGGCCAGCGTCTTCCTGCTCGTGTTCAACACGTGGGCCGCCATGGTGGACAAGGTGCAGGGCGGGCCGACGGCCCGCGCGCGCTCCTCCAAGCGGCGCGAGGCCGACGCGCTGCTGCAGAGTCTGCACACGCGAGGAGCCCCGGATCTGGACGAGCGGCGGGACAGTGGGGCCACGGCCGTGTCTTCGCCCGTGTCGGCCCTCAAGCCGCCGCCGCCTCCGAGGCTGCTCTTCATCAGACTCATGGTGGCCGTGTACCTGCTGCAGATGGGCATGTTCCTCTTCGCCAGACAGCAGCCGGCCAGCAAGATCCGCCGCAGTCTGCTGCTCGTGGCCACGGTGCTGTTGGTCTGCTGTTGGGCCGCCTGTGTGGTGCTGCTGCCCGCGTACGGCGAGAAGATGTGCGTGCTGCTGGACAAGGCGGCGGAGGACGTGAGTCACCGCAAGAGGAACATCCGACGTATCGCGTTCATCGCTGCGGTGTTCTGCCTCATGCACACAGTGTCATTGTTGCTGCTGGCCGCGTCGCAGTGCACGCCGCCGTCGGACGAAGCGTCGAGCTCGGTGGTGGGGAATACGACGCACACGACGGACGTCCACTGGCCGCACCTGCCGCTGCACGACGTGGTGCAGGCCAACCCGGCCTTCTTCTTCCCCTCGGGCACGGCGGCTGATGGAGCGGCCCATACCAACGACGGGTTGCTGCGCTGGGTCGTGATGGTGGAAGTGCTCGAGTTCCCCATCGAGTGGGCCATGCTCATGGCGCTGCTCTGTGTACTACCGGCCCGCTCGGCACTGCCAGCGTTCCGAGGATACCGACCAATTCCCGAGAGGAGGAACTGGCAGCCGTAAGGATGAAATACTACACGCGAAATCCACACATTGAAGACTTATACAGCAGATATTATAAATACAAGTTGAAGTATTGAGCTACTGCTTCACCCGCGGTGCGTGCGGTCATACGCGCATGCTGGGCCAAAGCGACAACATCGATGACGACATGGTCTGGAAACTCTGCTGGTAACTGCGCGTCGAGCGGCAAGCCGAGGACACGCTTGGAGTCGAAGTGGAGGAAGTGCTGGTGGTTGACTGGAGCGTTCGCCTCACTGATGCTGAACGAGTGATGCTCGGCATCATCAGGGTAGGCTGGGTGGTTGTTGGCGACGTCGTAGAGCTCGTAAGACCAGCACCGCATCGCTCGCGACATCTTCAGACAGAAGATATATTGGAGACCATCAAGCTGTCGGTACATTTTCAGCTTGGGCCGGACCAACGCCCACGGCTGGTTGCGCATGAACTCCACGATCAGGCTCGCCCCGCCCAATGGCACCTGAGCTCCAGGAATCATAGGCAACGGGAGGTAGGCGTAGTCTGGTGCGAACGTCAATTGCCCACCATTTAGACCATTTGGTCCAGTGAGGTTCGCTCGTCCAGGACTCGAAGTAAGGAGACCAAAGGCCATAGCAAACGCAACTTGAATACGTCCAATGGCACTTTCATGCCCAACCGACAGGGGGAACTCAACCACCCACACGCGCCCATCGTCCCACACCAGTTGGTTAAGCTGGAGACCGCGAGGCAACACGTTCAGCTCTGCGAATCGATTCCACGTCTCCAACAGTACTTGGTCGGCCACTAGAATGGCTAAGTCATCATCGTTTACAGGTGGGGGAGCGTTGAGGTCAATGAGCTCGAACGCGCGAAGAAGTCGGTCCATGGCCTCCCGAGGGATAAATGACACCACCGAGAGCATCCATCATACCGACTGGTCTCATTTTACAACTGTACCTTGACTACAGCAATCGAGCAAGTGCCGTGCTCTTTGATTTTCCCTTGAAGACAAGTTGGTCCACTAGGGCGCACGCGTCGGTCTTCACGGTGAACGACCTGGTAGGAACCGGCAGGAATTGTTTTTTCGCGGAGCTGTACTTGAAAAACTGCGAGATCATTTCACTGCTTCCGAGTTTCAACGGAGCTCTCGACGAATTGCTTGGTAGAACGGAGTAAATTCGCGTTGCCGAGTCTCGTTCGACGTGATTCTCGTAAAGCGCGCGAAACTTCAACTCTTTCGCGGATTTCAGCAGCACAATGAAGTTATCACACGTAGACTCAGCTAGGGCCTGCAGCGCCAGCGTCCGCTCCTTCTCCATTGAACCTCCTGCGAGTAAGGTGAACTCCAATGCGTTCTGCATGAGCTGGCGGTTCGATGCCTTTTTCGAGTAAACTGAGCTGGCGAATGATAGTGGTTTCTGTACTTGACGCTGGTTCTGCTTCTCCTTGTGCTGCTGCAGGGATAAATCTCGCGTTTGCTGTAGTTTTCGCAGTTTCTTTTGACGAAGCTCGTTCAGTCTCTCCTCCCTTGACATGGCTTGACTGCGAGGGATGTCTTCAACCAGAGGAATGAAGGTAACCACGGGTGGAGGTGTGGGGATTCGGGGTGTAGTCTGGAGATGTGCTGCCTTTTGGGGTAGGCCGGATGGCTTGATACGGCTCGGAGGGTAATGCTCTTCCTTTGGCAATGCTATACGGCCTCGGGGTGAACTGGACTGGCAGGCGCTCGAAGTTGATGCAGCTTTTGGTGCTTCAGGCTCAGCGGGTACAACCACTTTGCCAGGGTCACGATGAGTTCGAATGGGAACTCGACCTCGAACAGTAAACGGGGTCCCAGGGACTTGCGGCGCGTCTTCTTCAGCAATTTGACGAGAATACGTAGTGTGATCCCCTTCGTAGCTGGTACGAGTGCTTCCCCACATCATCCTCGCCGCGGCTTCGTCCTCATCTTGATGAAACGAGCCATTTACTTTCATTTCAACGTGAAAGCTCGAGCGCACGACGGATGACTGCACGGAATGCACAACCAATTTCGAGGTAGAGGAACGGTTCAGTGGTTGTCGGCTTCCTTTCATCTCGCTCGAAGCACGCTCATTTAATTTATCCTTGCCCAAACTGTCACGAAGCTGGGGAGATACTTCTTTTAAGACTGAAGACTGCAAGTCACCAAGTTCCAATCCTCGATCCTCTTGCCGGGGCGGATTCTGGCAGACCTCGTGGTATTTTGTGGTCGTTGAAATCTCCGTTCTGGATAAGTCTGGCCGTTCAATCGCTTCCGTGTTTTTGTTGGATGGGTTCATGTCCTTAAAACTGCGAATACTCTTCTGCATCGACGGTGGAAATGATGTCTCCGACGGGGGCAAGGTTGAAGGCTCAACAATGTCACGCGGGGATTCGCTATCCTGGACGGGTAGATTATGTGCGCCCTCACGAATTTCTGCGCGTGTCGAAATCTCCGTTGATTGCCTTGGTGTTGCTGGCTGTGGGGTTACTCCTGTCCCCTCGTTGAGTGCAAACTGATTTTTAGAGCTGCGAAGGTTTGTCGGTATCGGGGATGGCGATGGTAACGCCTCCAGCGGTGGCGTACCAATTTCCTGCTTGTCATTCCCCTGTTTGCTGTGCGAAAGTATCGCTGAAGAACTCACTGCCTTATTTTCTGTCGTTGAAGACACGATATCACCGAGATCTGCCACTATTTCGGTCAGTTCAGGAGGGCCCAGACCAATATCCACAGACTCTTCGGTCGATACGGACACCTCATTCTGCCTTTGTAGTCGGCGTTGTTTTGACCAGCCTGTTGGTTCTAGGCGCTGTGGGCCTGTGCGACGACCTAACTTTTGTTGAGAAGCTTCACGTGGGGTAGTTGCCCTATTACTAGTTCCACTAATGCGAGCTTGCTGCCGACGCTCCATCATCTCTTCACGCTCCAGTTTTCTTGCTGTATACTCGAGCTCCCACCAAACTCGAGCGCCAAGTTTGTCCTTGTAATTGACAGGAACGGGTTTAGGCTTTCTAGGCGACACCAACAACTCGGTGTGTATCGGTCGAGACAACTCGACTTTGTCGTTGGGCTCCACTGGACTAACGTCATCCCCACAACTCCTATTCAAGCAGATGTCCTGCTTCATGTCGCCCGTGTCTACTTCAGACGCTTGAAACATTCTCGTACTTTCGGTATCAGTAGGCATCTCAGTAGAAGTAGTCACTTCCGGTGATAGCCTGCGGTCGCTTACTTGGCGCTCGGGTTTCCCGTTTAGTTCAGCCCCAAACCTGGAAATGATAGTATCATCGCCGTCCAAACTGTCAACTTGTTCCGGTAGATCAAGCTCTGGAAATTGTTCGCTTTTCTCCGCCATTGGTTTCTCCGCCTCGGACGGCTGAGGCTCCTCACCGACACGAACAAATGCTTCAGCTGCACCTAGTTCGGAGCCGCCAACATCGTCTTCATCATCCTCTTGGTTGCTTGCTTCAGACGCTTCGTTACACTCTTCTAAATCATTATCAGATGCCAGTCTTGCCCGCTGGTGAAGAACCGACCTCCGGAGCACCTGCCCATCACAGCTTTGCCACGCGAGTCCCTGCGGCAAGCGGACACCTGCGCTTAGTCCAACGTCATTATCAAGATAGCTCTCCGGCGAGAAATCTGACATTGATGAGGATACCACATTGTTCTTCTTCCACGAGACTTGGGACTGATTGTCGCCAGTGCAGCTTGCAATAGTTTCCTCACTCGCGACACCATCTCTATCACGCTCAACATTCTCGTCGTTCTCATCACCATTCTCATCCACGCCCAAGTCTTGGAGTATATGTTGGTTTGATGCCAATGGCAACTCTGTCGACATTTTCTTGTCCAAGCCAAACGAAAATATTGATCCAGCAGGATACTGCTTTGAGCTGGTACCATCTTTGAATACGGTGAATCGAGGTCGCAGTGGTGGTAGCTCCTCTTGATCGAAATTGGCGTCTTGTTGAGGCTGTGAGGCAATCTCAAGCGTGTCCTTGCTAACAGAGTCGGCAATGTGGCTATTCATACTCCCATGGTCACCTTTATCTGATCTTGCTTTTCTCATTTCCGCAGACATTCTCACTGTGTCGGTAGGTTTTTTCGCCTCCAAGACTGCTGGCACAGAATCGATGGGGTCTCCAAGTCTGTTGAAACCTTCATTTGACCGCTCAACCGCAAGCTGACTGGTCTTACTACCTCCCAACTCCACCACTTGTATCTGTGAAGCTTCATGCTCGTGCTGGTTATCAGTCCTTAAGTCCCTTTTGAGAACCGCCCAGACCTTGTACAGCGCACCTCTCTCTCGGAGGGATGGCAATTCATCATGTAGCTTCTTGACGAGTTCGCCAACGCTCTTCACAACTTTAACGCGTCCTGGGCAGACGTACAGCAAGATCTGCTGCTTCTTCAAAATGCTGCGTTTGTCGTCTTCGTCTCGAGGATCGTCGTGGCTTTTCAGAGGAAACCAAATCACAGCTTGCCCAGCAATTGAAACAGGAGTTGAAGCTGAGAAGACGACACAAGTGTCCGTGGTCTTCATCGCCGCTCGGTCTTGAAGCTCCTCAAGTTCCATTTCCAGCGTGTCCGCCACAGCTCCTTCGAAATCCCACGTCAGGTCCGCTACATCCAGTCCAGCTACAGGAGAACCCCCACTCAATTTACTGCTCTGCAACACCTTCAAAAGCTTGCGCACGTCAGCTGATGTACCAGGCTCGAGGTGTTTCGTGGCTTGCTGTCCGTAGCGATGAGCCTCAACCACCATGGGCGCCAGCACAGGCTTGGTACAGATCTCTTGCACACTGGCAGTCGAGGACAGCACCCGCGCAGCGAAGTCCAGGCACGTGGCGACTGAAGCTGTCGGGGACAAAGCTTTCTTCTTGCTCATATTGACTCGTTGCTTTAATCTGGAAGGTTGGTCCCTACAAGAAAAGCAAATGAAAAGAGAATGCCTAGCTGGCGTTGATTATTTTTACGCAAGTGCGATCCAGTCAGAACCCGTTACGTGCTCTCTTACCTTCAAAGACTAGCGCTGTCCCAGCTCTTCCAGCCTGGCCACCAACTTCTCGTTCTTCTCGCATTCCTTCTGGAACTCGCGGATGGCATTCACGTACATTCGCTCCTGCTCGAGCAGCAACTGGTACTTGCTGTCCAAAGTCTCGACGCTGAACTGGTGGTCGTCTCGAGCAAGTTGTTGCTTGGATACAGTACCCTGGACATTCTGAATAATGTTCTCAACCTGCATGAAGAACGCCTGCGTTGCTGCCTTGGACCCCATCGCAACGTCAAAATTCTCGTTGATGCTGTTGATGAGCGAGATTTCTTTTTCGAGAAACTCATGCGTGGTCTTCAGTGTGTTGTACACGCAGTAGTATTTCCGCGTTTCATCCAGCGTCAGCGCCACTTCGTCGTAGAGCTCCACGAATCGCTTCTCGTACTGAACGAGCTCGATCCTGGTAGGAATTTCGTCGATCTGCTTCATCTTTAGGTGCAACGCTCGGGTTTGCTTCGCTGCCGCAAGCTTCATCTCCTTGTGCTTCTGGGCCATCTGCGCGTGCATCTGCTCGATCTCGTTCAAGCGCAGAGCTTCCTCGTCCTGGTTGTTCGCATCTGCTGCCACCTGCACCTTCAGCTTCTCAATCCGCTCCTTCAGCGCCTCCAACTCCAGTCGGCACTTCGCTCGGAACTCGTTCTTCTCGCGCTTGAGCGTCTCATTCTTCATCACCAACTCGCGCAGTTTAGCAAGGTGCACTTGAGCGTTCTCGTCCTTCGGAGTTTGTGCTTCCAGCTCCTCCAACTCCTGTTTAACAGCAGACAGCGCTTCATCCAGAGCTGCCGCGCGGGCTTTAGTCTCCGTCGACTTGGCATCCAGGCTCTTCTTCTCCTGAATCAACTGCTGCACCTGAACCTCGTGCTCCTTCAACTGCTCCTTCACCAAATGCAGCGGAGTTTGAAGCACCGACTCAACTCGCCCTTCAACGACATCTCCCAGCTTCTCCTCTGGTGCAGAGACCACTCTCTGCAGCAACTTGGCTTCACGCTCGCGACGCTTACTCAACAACGCCTGCTGCTCCTCCTTCGCTTGCTTCATCGCCTTTTGATACTGTCGATCAAACTCTGCGGCTTGTGGGTCGCCGCGCTTCGTCCTCCTCAGTCCTCTCATACTTCCACCTCGAGGCTTGGACGCGCCCCCTGACGCAATCGCCGCAGCTTGACTAGCGATCTGAGCCATGAAGTCCACTTGGTCTTTACCTTGCTCTGGCATATCCACCGTCGGATCCTCGTTATCATCCACCGCGACTGTAACTCTCTCTCCGTACTCCAACAAACAGCGTTGAAGCATTGCGTCCTCCGTCTCCTCCTGCTCTCCGTCAGCTGCAACATATTGCCAGCGTCGTCGGGGCGCGTAGGTGTCCAATAGAAACGCGACCTCTTTCTTCAAAGGCGTAACCTGTTCTCCTGGGCTCATAACCTGCAGGAACTCTCTCTCCCGCCGGATCTTTTCCAAATGTTGGGACTCTTTAGCCTCCTCCACCAGCCACGTCACCAGCTTCTGCACGGTCTCGATGTCTCCGAAGTCTTGCAGCAGCAGCTGGTGCGGCTGGATCGCCACGGGGCATGCGTAGGCCAGCGCCTCCACACAGCGCACGGCCTCCTGGGCCAGCCCCAGACGAGGCTTCATCTTGTCGTGCGACTGAAACAGAACGTTCCATTGCACGCGCCCCTTGTCCGCGTCCTCGCGCCGCACGACGCGCTGCAGCAGCCACGTGACGCCGCTGAGTACGCGGTCGAAGGCCGAGTACGAGTTCACACGCGCCTTGGCGAAGCCCGCGGCCTCCAGAGCCTGCAAAATGCGCGACAGCTTGGCCGCAGCCTCGGCGCCGTACTCCTCCGCCAGGTCGTAGGCGTCGGGAGGCGGGTGCAGCGGCGTAGAGGGCGCCGAGGAGGAGGATGCCCACGTCGAGCTGAACATGATGCCTTTTTGATGCGGAAATCCAAAAATGATGGTCAGATTGAAGACACGGGTTTGGGGAAATTGGGTCTATTCGTGATTTTGGGTTTGATGCTACGCTTTTATGGAAAACGAGGGATGCGGGAGGTGTATGCCATTCAATGTCCAGCCGGCGGGACGGACCAATGCAGTGAAGAGGAATGCGACCGGAGAGCGATATCGAGGGGCCTATGCAGCGAACATGGCGGGGGCAGAAGGTGCTTCCATCCAGGATGTGGCATGCGTATAGCCAAAGATGACAAATGCTTCAAGCACGGAGGAGGGACGCTATGTTCGTATCGAGGCTGCACCAAGTTTGCGCATTACAATGGCCGGTGCAATCCTCATGGTGGAGCGAGACCTTGTTTGTACCCTGGATGCACTAAGTGCGGCCGAGAAGGAGGGATGTGCTTCGAGCACGGCGGGGGGAAACGATGCTCCGAGCCAGGCTGTGACAAGCTTCGAGTGTCCAAGGGAAGGTGCTTTGATCACGGAGGAGGCAAGCGGTGCTGGGTGGAGGGGTGCGAGAAGCGCTCAAAGCTGAAAGGTTTATGCATCAGACACGGGGAGGACAAGAGTGCTCCTTTCAAGGGTGTGTCAAACGAGCTGTGTTACGAGGTAAGTGCCACGAACATGGCGGCAAGAACACGACCAAATCCTAAATGTGCTCGTTTAGTCGGGTTTTGTTGCGATAGTGGCAATGAATGAATGCGTTCTTGTGTATTGAAGTAGTTCGCAGCAATGAAGTGAATTATCTCGGCAGAATTTTTGAGTTTTAAGTCAGTCTTTGCACGAACTACTATGTTGTTGAAGCATCACTTTGTGTTGTCCTCTGCCTCCTCATCGCCAACTAAATTTTGGTATGGTGCACAATCCAGTGCTCGACAAGCAGCACTTCTCGAGAGTCGTTCGGCATCGTCATTGTCAGTAGAGCGACTTCGCAAATCCTGTGAAATATACTCCGTAGGATCCCACCGATAGCACGCCAGGTCTTCTAACGCATTTGTCATGTCTTCGGGGATAACTAAATGGCTCACTTTAGCAAAGATAGGCTTCCGCGCCTTCACGGAGACAATACAACCTACGAACACTCTGTCTTCCTCCAGACCAGAGTGTTCACGATTGTCTCCCCCAGTCTCCTGCTTCTTAACTTGTGTCAGTTGAGGCAACTTCAGCGCGGTCTTCTCAGCGTTCGAGGTTGTCGTGGAGCTTTGCAGCTTTTTTCTTTCTTTTTTTTTTTTTTTTGGGGGGGGGGGGGGGGCGGAAGGGTGAGATTGTAGATTGGTTAGCCGATTAGCCGTTGGACCAAACTCTTTGTCTGTAAAAATAGGGGCGCTCGCACACAGCGGTTCATTGTTTGATTTGTTTTTCATCGGTCAAAACCAGAAAGAATGTAGGCATTCGTCGCGTAATGCGGAGTCTTCGCCGCTTTCTACGTCGGTCGCTCAAGTTCTTCGAAAGCTTCCAAGTGGAGCTACGCGGACACTACTCAGCACTTGAGATTATGCGGGCGAGGCTTGGTAGTCGAGTGTTGGTTAGGAAGGAAATCCGAAAGTGAATTAGAATGAGTTAAGCAAAACTGCTTTTAGGAGTCTGTCCTACCGTGTCTTACCAACGAGTACACGAAGTTCTAGCTTCTAACTCCAACATGTTTTGTCGAGGCTGCGAAAACTAAATGTCGATTGTGGTTGCAGATCCCATGCAAACGGCAACTTCAACTTGACCTTCTCTCAGCCAATCAGAATCACCAAATCCGGGGAACCAGCCAATCACATTGTAGCATTCAGTACAACCGTACGCCTTGGCAACAACTCCACAGCCGCACGTACCTCGATACGGAGTCGCACAACTAGACTGCGAAGTGTCCAATCGCAACATCAGCGAGTCGACTTCTGCATCTCGAGCTCTTTTCCTCTGCTTCGTCCTGCCCGTCCCCTCCCTTCTGGGTTTGGCCATCATCGACACCGCCTCCTTGGCCCCACCAAGCGACAGCTTACGCGGGAACTACGTGTTTTGGATCCGAGATATCGTGATAATAGATGATTTCAGGAGCACGGAAATTCTAAAAATACATAGTGAAAAACACGTAGCGCTGATACGTGTTTTTAGTTACGGGTTTTCCGTAGTGGTCGGCTGTTCAGCGATACGGAAAATCAAAAACCCGTGGCAAAACTACGTAGTGCGGAATCTTCCGAGGGTACGCAACGTTTTAAGCTGGAACCTCGGCTCAACAAACTTCAGCTGTGAGCGCCGTCATTCTGCGAACACGTCGGCAGCGCCTACGCACATGCGCCATCGCTGGGCCAACGTAGTTGTACAGTATAGTGAAGTAAAGTAAAAATTGTTCAGTTTTTTTAAATTAATGTCTTCTAACTGTTAGTCATGTTCATTCCGTGCTTTCGATGAATCTGTTGGTGTTGCATCCACCATGAACACGTGTCTCGGTTGTCTGCAGCGTCTTCATCTAATTTACCTGCGTTGGGTGTTGTAAGTATCAATTTGTAAAGATGTTTGTCGGTCCATGCTAGTTTGGTCTACTTGCTTTCTGGCGTATGATACTCGATACTTCCAGCATGCCTGGAGCTGGCACCGGAATAGGTAGCAACGAAATCGACGCCTCATTAAGTCCCATAAATGGATGCATGCTTTCTTGGGGGTTGCATGGTTTCCTGGCACTTGTAGCTGGAGTGGTCCCAATACGGCGCGTTAGCTGTGGTCCCTTCAAACTCCAGGTAGGTTTGGAAGGGGTGCTCGCCCCTTGCCTTGATTTAGGGCGGTGGAGGAGCCTATCGGACGCCCACGCTGGTCCTTGGATGACAAGTGGACAGATGGAGTGTTGGGAGGCCGATAGCAGCCGATAACGGAGCACACACACACGCTATGGTCGCCAATGAGGAGCACTCGGCCTCTAACAGACGGGACATGCGTCCACGAACAAGTATTTGTCATCCAGGGCCCCCCACCCACCTTTACGAAGAAGCTTAGGCATGCTGCTTCCTTACGTATATTTCGGTTTGATTACCCCGTAGCGGACTCCCCTCTCACGGGTTTACGGGATCGAAAATCACGTAGCGTCGCCCGTGCCAAAAATAGATCTGGTCGCTACGTGTTTTTCGCTACGGTTTTTTGCCAAAAACACGTGCTACTGAAAGTCCCTAATCTATAATAATAAATTCGAGATCCTTGAGTGTGTCACGCTTTTTAGACCATTTGATTGGCTGATGTTTATATCACATATCAGTACAAAATTTCGAGCTGCTAGCCCTCCAAAAGGTACTCATCTATGTGACAACTGCAAGACAGTTGAATTATTTAGTCGAACTGCTAAGATCGAGTACGCGCCGCACCCGTACGTGCGGATGTCACGTGCGTGCTTCGACGACCTTGACATACTGACGGAGGGGTTCGCTGTCTCGACCAGCTGCCTTCACAGAAGTTTAATCCATGTGCTGAACAACGCCGTGGCTGGCAAGCTGGCGCTCCAGCTCATCAAGTAGCTGCCGCATGTTTTGGATCGGTGCAGATACATTCAATTGCACCGACACACTAGCAATACGCGTGTCAGGCCTGTTGGAGTTCCATTAGGTGCAGTTGATCGCCTGCACGATGCAGTGCATCTGGCCAGTTTCAACCAGATACGGCATCATATTTGTTAAAACGTACGTACCCCGCACGAACACGAATGGAGGTATCCGCAACCATAATGATAGTCACCGCGTACGTACGGGAGTACAAACAGTAGTGAGTACATACCGTACGTACAGTAGCACAATTACAGGCATAATCTTACTTTGTGTATAGTCGTACGGGGCTTCGGCCGAAGGGATAGAAAGAGGTCGCGAGGCGAAAACCAAGACCGTAGCGAACAACAAAGCTAAGCAAAATGTGTTTTATCATTATAGAAGGTGCCACGTCAATATTCCTGTACCGTTAATGAAGATAGGTAATAAGACGAAAAACTCACTCGCGGCTGAAGCTGTACAACTGATAACGTAACGTGGTACAAATGCAAAAATGATAACGATTTTCTCATCGGATAAAAATTTAGCGTGAATCTATTTCTGAAAGGTGCCATAAACATGTACATTCACTACCAGCGACATTGTTGACTGCGATTGCAGCTTGGTCTCAACCATGTTTCCCATTTCCATTTCTGCTTTGAACATGGCAGTCCAGCTCCGCTCTGGGAAGACCTGCATGACTCCGACCGTCGCCCAGGAGGTTCAACGCGCTCAGCAGCGCATAAAAAAAATAGCGGCCAAGGGCACCCACGACTCCGCCATAATTGTAGAGACTGCCCACTTCTACACGGCGCACATTCAGGCGCTTCAACAGCAGCAGAGCGACCTCGCGTCGGAGTTGCAAGCTGCGGAGGACGCCTACGCTGATCTGAGCAAGAACTACGAGCAGCTGAATGCAATGTACGACGAGCTACGCGAAATGTACGACGAACTCAAGCTTCATGCCGACTGTCTCGAGCCAGAAGTTGCGGCGGCATTTGAGAGTTATTTTTGTAATTAGATGTTCTATAACCTAATATCTAATAAAACGAGAATGGTTCACCTCCTTTTGGGAAGCTCATTTCTGAATTTGCGCTGTAGGTGACACATCAAATCTTTTTTAACAGGTGCTGGTTAAAATTCATATTATACTGTAATTTTTCGTTTAGGGTAGCTAATGTGATATTATTTGATAAAATTTTGCTGACAATCATTTTATTTTAACACTTAGAGAATTTAAGGATGCCAAAAAGTACTTTTGCGAGTCTTAGTGATATAGACGATGCATATTTGACGCCGAACGATGATGAAAGTCGCGAAGACTGCAAAAGACGCAAGGCTAATAAGCTCCAGGCCAAAAGTAGATGGAATATTCTTCATCGCGCTGCGATACGTTCCGAGCAACCCCTCACAGAGTGTATACTGAATGCAACGAGAATGGCTGTTCACCGCCAACAAATGTCGCCCGAGGAACGGCGTGCATCGTGCTCGCGTCATACACTTCAGGTTGCAAATCAACATGCAGTACAGTCTGGACCAGCTCGCCAGCGCGCTCGCGAGACTAACAATGCACAACATAGAGCTCGAGCATCTCAAGGAAGCGGTGTGCTTTAGCCACAATTGAGAACTACCAATAACACCACCCTCGACACACGATTGGATATATGACCACGGAGTGCATACACTGTCACGCTTTGACCTGGAAGAGTGAAAACGCTTCGACATGCTGTCTAGATGGCCGAGTCGGCCTCGCCCCTCCAAATGATCCACCGGCTTTCCTCAAGAAGTTCGTGTCGCCTCCTGCTTCTCTCCGCCAGATTCGTGCGTACAACAACATGTTCGCTTTCACCTCTATGGGCGGTTCGATTGGAGAAAACGTTGCCGTCGACAACAACTACGCAAACGGTCGGCAAGGCGTCTACACATTCCGAGTTCAAGGTACGATATGTCATCGAATCGGCTCATTACTGCCTGAGGAAGGCAGCGAACCGAGCTTTACACAAGTTTACGTCTACGACAGTGATTTGGAGCATCCAGTGGACAGACGAATGCACATTCTGGATAATCTGGATCGTCCTACCGTGAAAGCGCTTCAACAAATGCTAATGGCATACAATCCGTATGTCAAACAGTTCCTTACCGCCGGAGAGAAGGCAAGAAATGGTGTCGATCTACGCTTGGTGATACACGAGCAGCCAGGGACTGATTTAAGGACACACAACCGCCCTTCCGCAGAGTGGTTGCAGCAGTTATCGTCGACGAGAATTCGGCAAAGGAGCGTGATATCGTCTTGAGTCGTCGTGGAGGTGGTCTTCAACGTATATCCGATTTGCATCCTGCTTATGACCCCTGGAATTTCCGCTACTGTTTCCGTTTGGAGAGCAAGGGTGGTCAACCACAGTTGAGTACAAGCCAGGTGTTGTGCGCTACAAGAACAAGCGGATGAAAGTGCGCGATTTTTACGTGTACCAGCTCTTCACGCGGATCAACCAATTTTCTATTTTGCATCGCTCATCTCGGCTGTTCCAGCAGTGGTGTGTTGAAATGTACGTGAAGATAGAGCCCCAACGACTCCGTTACATCAAGCTACACCAAAGTACATTTCGGGCGGACCTTTATCGTGGCGTGATTGACGCAGTACTCCATGACGCTAATTTGAGGGAAGTTGGCAGGTTTGTTCTTCTCCCTCCAAGTTTCATAGGTGGAGAAAGATACATGCGCAAGCAGTACTACGACTCCATGGATATCGTGCGAGAAATAGGCAAGCCCGATCTATTTATCACCATCACGTGCAATCCGGATTGGCCAGATATCAAGGAGGCGATGCTGCAGAATCAGCGTGGCGCTGACCGGCCGGACTTGGTTGCTCGAGCTTTCAAGCTTAAACTGGAGGCCATCAAGGACGACATAATCAAGAATGAAGTGTGTGGAAAGGTGCGGGCGCTGATTTACGTCATCGATTTCCAAAAACGAGGTTTACCGCACGCACACATGCTGGTGAAACTTACGGAAGAGTCAAGCCCTAGACGCTCAGAGGACTACGATAAGTTTGTGTGCGCAGAGCTTCCAGATCCCAACACGCATCCCGAGTTGTACCAAACTGTGACGAAATGCATGATCCATGGACCATGTGGTATACTCAACCCTAAAGCTCCATGTATGAAGGATGGTGTTTGTTCCAAGGGCTATCCAACAGATTTTCATTCTGATACTACACGCGAGGAAAGTGGTTACCCCGAATACAGAAGGCGAGACCAGGGCCGATCCACGATGCGCAAGAATGTCGAGCTGGATAATCGTTGGGTAGTTCCTTACAATCCGTACCTATAACTGCCACATCAACGTTGAAATTTGTTCAACAATCAACGCTATCAAGTACATCTACAAGTACATCTACAAGGGACAAGATCGTGCAACTTTTACCGTTGAGGTACCCGTCACAGATGTTGGTGACAATACCAATCGGCGTATTGATATCGACGTGGTGGAGCAGTATCTCAGTGGGCGATACATTTGTCCTCCTGAGGTGTATTGGCGTATGCTGAAGTATCCAATGCAGAGGAAGTCGCATGCTGTGATTCCGTTGCCTGTCCATCTACCAGAAATGAACTACACCATTTTTAATCCTGAGCACCCGGAGAGAATCCCAGAACAGCGCCACACCATGCTGACAAGGTTCTTTAAAATGTGCGCTGCGAATGTCGATGCATCAGAGCTCCTCTACTACGAATTTCCACGTCGCTACACCTGGGTTAAGGAAGTCAAAAACTGGCAACCGAGGAAACAGGACGGCGAGAAGGCAATTGGTTGGATGGTTTCGGTTTCTCCTAACGATACTGAGCGTTTCTATCTTCGAATGCTGTTGTGTAATGCCCGTGGGCCGATGTCGTTCGAGTATCTCCGGACTGTTTGTTAATGGCACGATTCACGAGACGTACCAAGCTGCAGCGGAAGCAAGAGGGCTTCTGGAGAGCGATGGTGAATGGCACCGGTGTATGGAAGAAGCAAGCCAGCATCAGATGCCAAACCAGCTTCGACACCTATTTGCTATCATTTTAGTGCATTGTCATCCCGGTACTCCAAAACCCCTTTGGGACGCATACCTGAACGACATGTCGGAGGACTTCCAGAGAGACCTCCACCAGTCCGGAACCAGTCGGGAGGTGATATATCAGACTGTTCGAGCGGTTGACCAGTGCTTGCGCAGCAACAACAAGACAATTGAAGATTTCCGCGGTCTGCCCAAGTTGGCTGACTTTAGTGATCTTCACCCTGCGGACGCGACAACAAACCGATTGATTGAGGCAGAGCTATCGTACGATCAAGCGGAAATGGAAGCTTTACGGGACCAAGTCGATCGCTTGAATGACGATCAAAGAAACGTGTATGACAAGGTGATCAGCGCTGTTCAGCTCGAAAATGGCGACGAGAAGCTTTTCTTTCTGGATGGCCCCGGTAGTCCTTCTTGCTTCAGACGATCCTAGCGACTACACGGTTGAAAGGCAAAATCGCTTTGGCAGCTGCCTCAAGCGGAATTGCAGCCACACAGCTAATGGGCGGCAGGACGGCACACTATACATTCCAACTAGGGTTGGACCTCACATCTACGTCCATCTGTAACGTCACAGTCGGCTCCGATCGAGCCGACCTACTACGGCAAACATCTTTCATTGTATGGGATGAAGCTCCACTGATGATTAAGTACGGTTTTCAGGCCGTTGATATCACGCTACGGGATCTCATGAAGAACGACAAACCTTTTGGGGGTAAGGTTATGCTGTTGGCCGGTGATTTCCGTCAAATTCTTCCTGTAATTCCGCATGAAACACCTGGCCAAGTCGTCAACAGCTGCATTAAGCGGTCCTCATTGTGGACAAACTTTTCAATTCTTCATCTCAAGACCAACATGAGAGTTCAAGGACGAATGAAACGACAGCGATGGAGACACAAACGTTTGCTGATTTTCTACTGCGTGTTGGAGAAGGCCGGAATCAAGGTTGTATCGAGGGAGGACGCGACTACACGCGAATACAACAAGACATGGTACTGGCGGCTCCAGCTGACGTGGAAAAGGCAAAGGCCCTTCTTGATCATGTTTATGATGGTATGGAGGAGCGTTACCTCGAAAATGACTATTTTGCGGGCAGAGCTATTCTGACACCGCTAAACGCCGACGTATTGAAGATAAATGACGCAGCAATCGAAGCACTCCCAGGGACAATCAAGGAGTACGTATCTATTGACACGGTCGAAGATGCGCAAGGGTCCGATACGTCCGTGTTTCCCGACGAGTTTTTTAATTCTCTGAGTATATCGGGGATGCCGCCACATATTCTGCGCCTCAAGGTTGGTGCGCCAATCATTTTACTTCGAAACACTAAAAGCGAGGCCGGCCTGTGCAATGGAACACGTCTTCAAGTTTGCCACATGCACGATCACTACATCGAAGCTAAAGGGCTGACAGGAATCCTCACAGGCAAAGTTGTCGTCATCCCTCGCATCCCATTGATTTCTCACAACTCCGTTCTGCCATTTGAGCTTCGTCGGCGCCAGTTTCCAGTTCAACTCGCGTTTGCCATGACTATTAACAAGGCTCAAGGGCAAACACTACGGGAGCTTGGTATATACTTACCACAACCAGGTTTTGCACATGGTCAGCTGTACGTGGCACTTTCTCGGGCGACATGTAGGCGTCATGTTAAGATTGCGGTCGACTACTACGCGCACCGAGAGGAGGATGGATATTGCATCCTAAACATTGTGTACAAAGGTATAGTTGATTAGGTACAAAAACGTTAATCGGAATTGTGACTACTCAGAGCGCTGCGCCGTTTACGGTGCAGCCAGCTCGCTTGTAATAATAATATTATTGGTGATCGATACAGCGGAAATTGCGCATCTCCATGCTGCGCTTGGTTTCATTCGTGCTGGACAGCGGCTGGCGAATGGTGCAGGCTAGCCTGCTGACCTGGATCGTGTTTACGGTTAAGAGCTCACTAGAGCACAGTGGTGAGTGCCACGAACGTTCGGTAAAATGTCTAATGAGTGCTTACATGCTTTATGGTGTGGATCTTACACACAGGAAATGATTACAGCTTGTCGTTTAGATGGCTAAAAGAGAATCAGTAAGAACTTTGCGCTGTTCGCTTTGTGCTACACCCCGCAATTGGCAATTGTTTCGGATTTCTTTGACAAACCCCGTTATGGGGGGTTACACGAAGTAAGTAAATGAGTGAAAGTTTTAGAACCGCGATTGATAGTACTTACAGTTAAATACTTTCACGTCCTGAAGAACAATGGCTTCCGCAGATATGCTCGTGTGCGCGGTGTTCGGAGTTCGGACGCAACCGCTTCAGGGTAGAGCGACCCAAGGAACTACGGAGATTACGCGAGGAGGAACGGACGTGTGGGAAACTTCTACTGGGAGGCCAATCGAGGCGACTACATCCTGCAGATTTCACGTTCGGAGGCATCACCTAAAACGTCAACGGTTTTGGTAGTAGTGCAAAAGATCGTGAGGCGTGGCTCTGCAGTTTGCGCGGCAAATCGGCCCATGGTCGCAATGATGTGTATCTACTACAGGAAACGCACGTCGAGAAGGAGGAGGTGAACAAGTTCGCTGACCTGCATGCAACTGGCTGGGGTTTTCGTACTGGTAATGACAGAGAGAAGCTGTCATTCTGGTCACCCTCCGAGGGCAGGAAAGGCGGCGTGGCGATTCTCGTTGATCCTTATGGGGCCTTGAAGGATATGGCACCGGTGTTTGAACGGCGATGGGGCCCGCATTTTATGGCAGTACAAGGGCGCATGCATGGTCAGAGTCTGATTGTTCTCAATCTGTATGCTCCCCATCGAGTCCCGCAGATAGAGACTTTCTTCCGCAGTCTGGCGGATCTGGAATTTCCGAGTGGGTCGCTGGTAGCTATTGGAGGCGACTTCAACTGTACATTGGACGAGGTAGCAGATCGCAGCTACACCAGCCGCAGCGGTGCTCATGACTCAATCGCACTACGGGAGCTCTTGGCCGCCTGGGGTGCGGTGGATCCCATTGAGGAGACACGTCCACTCGAATGGCCACAAGGAGCGTTACGGCAGCATCACGCGGAGACCCACACGTACCGATACGTAGTCGATGGCCATGGGGATGCTTCCTCTCGATTAGACCGATGGTATGTCACGGCTGCCCTACGGCCTTGGGTAGCAGGCTGGGAAGTCATTGAGCCGGGGGTTTCCGCCGACCACCACGGTGCTAAACTACACCTCCAACCTCCCGATGACCCAATCTGTGTGAAAAATCCAGCACAGGTGCATCCCGCCAGCGACGCTGTTCGTCGGCGCACGGAGGAACTTCTTGAGGCCTTTTCGAAGAAGATATCGCAGTCCGATGTCACGGCCACGCAACTGGCGCTCTGGTGGGATGAAGTCAAACTTACCATTGTCAAGGCTACTCTCAACACGATTAAGGAACGCCGGCGGCGGCAGCGCAACTCTTCGGCAAAAATTGCGCCGTCTCCGCAACCAGCAGGTGCGCCTTCAGGAACGCACGGCTGGGCAGGAACCTGGCGTGGAGTCTATCACGGACGAGCTTGATGCCCTCTCACTGGAAGATGTACATGGCTCTAGCCCAGCCGCGCGTCTGAGGCGGGCTATTGCGGAGTGCCAGCGGGAACGGTCATCGCTCCACCAACGCCGTCACTTCGCCGATGCAACTTATTGGGATGGGAAGACGACGAAGGCTTTTTCTAATCGTGTATCGAGCAAATTCTCGGACAACACGATACGCCGGCTTGACCCAGTGCCTGGAGCGCCGGTGCGGGATGTCCACGCCAAAGCAGACACGTTTGCGGATGCATGGAGCCCAATCTTCCAACAGCAGGTGGAGAATCCGGAGTGGTGGTGAGCTGGATACGCGAGGTTTCTGATCCTACACAGGAGCAAGAAGCCGTTGCAAAAGAAATCACAGCTTCAGAAATCAAGGCGGCAATAACATCCTGTAAAGCAGGAAAGGCAGCAGGCCCCGATCGACTAGGAAATGGCTGGTACCGCGAGTTTGCCTCGCACCTCGTTCCAATCTTTGCGGTGGTTCTGAACAAATGGTACACGGAGGGTGTTTTCCCCGCTTCCTTTGTGGAGGCGGACATTTTCTGTCTAAAGAAGGGCGGGGATCAACATAACGCTCTCAATTACCGACCGCTGGCGCTGTTAAACACCGACTATAAGATCTTCACTCGTATTTTGCCGACGAGGGTGAGGGAGACGCTGGATGACCGCATCCATCCCAGTCAGAATGGCTTCGTTCCTGGCCGGACAATTCATGACACGCTGCACATGTATGACGCGGCGCTGAATGTATCGTCGACGGATCCCAACCAGGATGATGCCCTGGTGATGCTGCTGGATTTTACGAAGGCTTATGATTCCCTGGCGCGTGGTTTTCTGCTGATGGCTCTGCGACGGCACGGTTACCCCGCGAAGTTCATTGAGGCCATCCGCTGTTGGCACGAGGGAACCACAGTGAGATTTCTTGCGAACGGGTTTCGCTCGCGCAAGGTGGGCGTCTCCAGCGGTATACGCCAGGGCTGCCCGCTCGCCCCGTTACTTTTCATCTTGGCTCTGGATGCGCTTTATCAAATGCTGGAGCATCATCCTGACCTCCGCGGTGTCCTGCTTCGCTCGGCAGGTGGAGAGGCGGAGGTACGAGTGGCGGGGTATGCCGACGACACGGCGGTGTACTTGGCATCGCCGGAGTATGTTCCGACGCTGCTACACATCAACTCAAAGTTCGGGGCAGCATCTGGTCTCTACCTCAACCATAAGAAGACAATGATGATCGCTCTTAATCCGAAGGAACCGCCGGTGGCGGAAAGTTTGCCGGCACCTCTCACGTACCAGAATCCCGATCAAGTCGGTCGTTATCTTGGGATTTATGTGGGCACCAAGCGAGATCCTGAAAAGACCTGGGCAATAGCAGAACAGCAACTGGTCTCAAGACTCAGTATGGCCAGTCGCAAAACAACGACGGTAGATCAACGAAGTATGGTCGCGGCAGCGGTGATCATCCCCAAGCTACTCTACATTGGCCAACACGCGTGGCCGTCCACCTGCACTGCCAACCGATTGTCCAAGAAAATCAAGTAATATGTCTGGCATGGTTGTTTTATATCTGAGCTCAGTGGTGCCGAAGCCTGGCTCGACGCCGATCTTGCTGCCATGCCGCGCACGCAAGGAGGGCTGGCAGTGCCCGACCTTCGAGTTGAGCTGATGGCAATGGCTGCAATCACCGTTACGTCCTGGGCCGTGTCAGGAACGCATGTCAGTCATATTGTCGGGGATATCCTGATGGCATCTCCACCGGGGGGGGGGGGGCATCGCCAGAGCACCGGCGGTGTACCTGACACCGAATGCCGGTGTTCTTCCTGCTACCGGATTTCGTCGTGGCAAAAACCTGTGGGCTACTGGACGCATGTTAATCACGGCGATAGGGCGGTCACAATGCTTCACGGACAGGACCCCAATGGTGTCAGCGCTATTTCAATTAGCGGTTAATTTCGGGGGTATCCAGCTGGCATGGAAGGGAACCAGGCTGGAGATGGAGGGAGCTGCACTGCGCGCCACGACTTGTCATCTGTTTCTCGCCGAGGAAACGCGAGCGCTGGGACAGCAGTGCCTGGAGTGGTTGCCATACGCCAACCTTGCCGATCTCTCCCTGTACAACGGCTTTGAAGGACGCAACTCGTCCAAGTCGGACTTCCAGAAGCTGACACAGTTAGGCCCGCGTCTTCGCGATATTGTGCACTGGAGGTGTTACGGTGGTGGCAGAATCACGTTTACACCCCTCTGCAGAACGAAATACCTTACGACCGCTGTCAAGACGACGATGTAATTACTTAGCGTCGTGCTCGTCACCAATTTCCCTCGTCTACTCAATTTCAACTGGATTCAGCAGCGAGCTTCGGGTCTTTACATCTCCTACCGACCATCCGGCTGTCGTGGAGATGCTAACTTCAAAACCGGCAGAAGCACGATTGACGACTGGGACCTCTCCGCCTCGGCGAAGTGGACCGATCCGGAGTCACGTGAGACTCACCCGGTTTGTGTCAACATCGCTCCGGTCGCATTTTGCGGTTGAATACGTACATCCGCACCCACGCGTGAGCCGCCTGGTGTGCCTTTGGATGGGGAATAGGAGGTGGTCCGTGCCCCGCCGGCACTACATCTCGGCTCCGTGCCCGCACAAGTCTCAAAAGGCGGATGGACAAGTGGACTCAACTGAGTTCCGCTGCTGCAGAAGGAATTTCTCGACTGGAGTGGAACCGACTCCGACGCATCATCGGACTGGGGCCTTGGGGGGAGCAGCTTCTTTTCCGTCTCAGGCAGCATGCTTTCTCACTTTTCGACCCTACCCGTGGGCTGCCTGGATGTCCCCACCCTGGTTGCGCGGGAGTCGCGAGAGTGGACTTATATCATGTCTTCTGGAGCTGTCCCGCAGCGGGAGACCTCCGGCGCGTGTTCGTCCAGTGTTGGCGGACAGCAGGAGTATCGGAAGCCAGCCTTGAGGCGGCGTGTTTCAGCTTGGAACTGCCTCAGGTACCAGCGGGAGTCTGGGCTGTGGCTGATTCGCTTTTTCCTACAAGAGATGGGCTTGCGGAAGTAATCCTCACAGCTGCTATCACTAACGTTGCGGAAAGCTGCTGGAGGATTGGGGCTGCTTTGTACCTACATTGCGTTTGGAGATGGAGGGTGGCACACTTCGACCCGCTGAATGACGTTACCAGCGAGCATCATCAGGCGGTGCTCACGTCACGCCTCCGACAGGGGTACGCTACCGTACATCTACGACTCAAAGGCAGTGGGCAATCCTATGAATTAGCGGCCCGGGTTATGCGGCGGGTGTTGGCATCCGCCTGGAGGTGGTCGCCGCAAATTGCTCCAAATGGAAAAACCCGATATCTGCTCTTCTTTGATGGTGGATCCCGCGGCAACCCGGGTCCCGGTGGCTGTGGGGCTGTGGTCGTCCGCGTTGGCGACGAGATTGCTGGTCACGAAGTCGGCTGGGTCGGCAGCATGTCTTACGCCTCGAAGACCACCACAAACAACCTGGCCGAGAACATGGGACTCCTCACGGGACTTCGAGTTTGTCTACGGCATTACTGGACACCACTGCATGTTGCAGGAGACAGCAACATAATCATCCGACAGCAGAGAACCAGGACACCGCCGCGAGCAAAGCATCTCCACGGGCTGTTTTGGCAGAGTCGAAGAATAGCGGACAAACTGAGCGTGCTAACGTGGCAGCACCACGCGCGAGAGTACAACAAAATAGCGGATACACTCGCCAATATGGCGATGGACCATCCAAGACCGGCCCCAACGAGTACTTGGCTCAAGCTCGAGATGGGACGACGTCTACGCCCATGCCCACCGTGATGTGGGGCATTGGCTGGAGAGAAATCACGATTAGAACTCCTCGGAGCTCGCGGCCTTCACGCTATAACCTAGCTGGAGTGCCTTCGGAGACAGCAGTCACCACGATAGGTTGCAGGGCGAGTGGATTGAGACGATCGCCGACAAGGTCATAGGATGTCATTAGCGAACAATGTTAAGTGACAACAATGTACCTCACTGAAAACTGAAACTGTTCGGAGTTCGGGGCTTCTTCGTCGCCAAGATTTCATTCAAGAAGCGGGGTGCTGACCTGAAGAGGCTGATCAAGAGTGAGATGTCGACCACGATCCTCTGTGAGGCTCGCGACCTTCGGGTCTTCCCCGCCTTGGAGAACGGGCAATGGCTGGAATCTGGCAGCGACATCGCGCGGGGATTGAGAGCGGGCATGCGCAGTTATGAAGTCGACGGCATATTCTGTCGTGGGGACCTGGAGCTTACGGACGATGATTGTATCTATACGTGGCTCCTGTTGCTGGGAATGACCGGAGAGCGCGCCCCGAAACAAAACCAACTCCATATCGTGGTGGAGATTGGAGGGGAGCAGCTACTGACCCGAGGAGTGAACCGTATCTACTACGACGCGATGATGGATTGCTCTCCGGTGGCGCCTGCTCAAAGTGAATACTTCAGAGGGAATCTGTTGGAAGCATACAAGTGCGATGCTGGCAACGGGATGACCCGCTGTATGCTGCTGATTGCCGTCTTCCCCGCAGCGATGGTCGTTGGTTCCTACCTGTTTCATCGGCGTTACGACTATCTGGCCGAACCATTGATGGCTCTGGACGATATCGATGACGCGGGGAACGCATTGTTACTGTTCGCTCCGTTCAGCCAGGCGCTGGATCTCCATCGGATCAGCTTCGTCTACGACGAGAGCAGCGACCAGTTCCGCCTGAAAGTCTGTGATGGATCTCTGCTGCAACGACGACTATTTGACGAACTGGACCAGAGCCAGCAGACTATTCTGCTTCAAGACGAGGAGTTGCCTGAAGATTCGAGAACGCAAGGCCCGAGAATGGCGCCGGGAGCAGATATCGATCTTCAAACAACGTATGGAGATGTCAATGGAAAAGCGCTGCGCTTCGAGACACTTGAGCGTCCGTACAGGCGCTGCGTCTACTTCCACGCCCATCTAACGCAGTTTAAAGGTAGGCAACATGGATGGGCTGGAAGCGATGAGGAAGGACATCGAGGAGTTTTGGCCGGAAGGAGAGTCGTTATCTCAGAAAATGCATCGCTTTCATGCGAGTCAGTGCTAGAGCCTTGCAACGTCAATGGTGGCGCATGACGCGCAGCACCAGAACATTTCATTAACAGCTTGACCAAGTTCATTTCATTTCGTTTTGAACTTCCTCATCCTCTCGTTTTGTGTGCTTCTTCTGGGCATGCGTGGTGGAAGTAGCTTTTTGCGCTTGGGTAAGGATTCGGACTTGTTGCACTGCACACATTCCCCCACCCGATTCGATTTACTTGGAGGCAAGTTGCTTTTATTGTTGCCCCGGCCCGCCTACTTGAGTTTTCCACGGCCTCCCTCATCTGTCGATTTTATCTAGATACGGTCTTCTGTTTCATCCTCATCAAACGCCGAAAAAGTAGAGCACCGCGTAGACTGGCATATGAGTTTCTTGGGGCAGCTAGAACCTAATCCATGGTCACCAGTGGCAAATGCGCAGACACAATCGTAGGGCGGGCTGTAGTGCGAGGATAACCAAACAGACGCTTGCGTACAAGTATTGTTTTCTCAATCGAACGCTTCAGAAATTAACAGAGAGAATGTTAGTCGCAACTCTAGCCGCACCACGGCAAGTCTCAACTGTTGTGTTCACCTCTAACCACCCTTTATCTTGTTAAACACGCAATAACGTATCGTTCGCTACTTAGCATTTAATAGTAGCGATAACTCTTCGGCCCGTGAAAGGCCATGCGAAACGTAACAACTACGACATCGGTGGCTCGGAAAAAGGGTTGCCATTGAATCGGCGCTTGATGGCCATCAGATAAGCTTCATTTATAATAGCAACACTTGAAATCCTTGATAAATCTGTCAAATGTGATGGACCAGAAGTAGCAACCCTGAAAACTTACCCGAAGATTGGACTATGCAAGGTCCAAGAATTGCTCCGGGGGCAGAATTTGATCTACAAACAACGTTGATGGAAATACGCTGTGTTTCGAAACCGGGAACGTCCTTACAAGCGCTGTTTCGACTTCCACACCGATCTAACGCACCTAATTCAAAGCTTACAAAGAGGTTGGGCCAAACGCTCAAACAATTGAGGAGTTTGGGGCGGAAGAAGACTCATGATCCAAGTCGCCTCCAAGCGATATGATACTACGTACTTCAGTAGTAGAAGTAGTCTTTCCTGATTACTGAAAATTAGTTATCGCATTAACTTGCTTGTCGCGTATTGACGCTCTCTTCTCTCTTTTTTTTTCGCGCAAGCGCAACCTGCTGTCGTTCCGGCCAAAGTGAGGTTCAGAGCTCAAGTTACCAGTCTCTTTTCCCAAAGTTACCGCTAGGTTAGTGCTGTGTAGTTAGTTACGTCGGAGTGCTCCATGTTGAACTTGTAAGCCGTCAATCATATTGTGTGGTTTAGCGAGCAATACGACTCATAACTCCCTAACGCGGTATGTGGAACAAACACGGTAGACTATAAACTGCTGCATCAACCTCAACGCTGTTGAAAAGGGGAATTTCGTCTATGGCTACCGCTGACAACACCCAACTTGATCTGAGGATGGTCACAGTTGCCAGCATTGATGTATCCTGTCGTTTGGCAGGATTGCTCCAGAGAATACGGTACAATGTGGCCAGTACATCCGAGAAAAAATCACAAATGAATTCGAGCCTGCTCAGCGCCATATAATATGGTTGTTCCGGGTGGCGCATTGGCGCAGGAGGCTGAGGGCGTTGGTCACTTGAAGCAAACTTGGTTCCGCAGTACAGCATGCATGAGTTCCGCTCGTCGAGGGTTTGCCTGGTCATCTTCCAGAGCGTCTGCAATGCACCAACTTGTTTCACACTGTAAGTGTGACTATGGTCCACGCCAATCCACTGCACCGTTATAACACAGGCTGGAACTAATTTTTCAGGATCATCAGCATAACAATACAACATGCCTCCCGAGTCCCCCTCCTCAGTCTTCGCTTGGTGGTGTAATGTGCCTCCCAACTCCACCGACGAGCTCTTAAAATCAACGTAATGAGGGAACATTTCTTCTCCCTCTTCTTCATCACCATCACCTGATCGGAAAAAGATGCTGAAAAAAATTGTGCCGTGTGACCAGTCCCCCAAAACCACATTATTGATGTCGGGCATGATTGTGGGGTAAGGTAGTGGCTCGTCCGTGGCTAACTCAATAGCGACCAGGGCAACGTCGTTTTGGTCATTCTCATCAGCGAAAAACTCGAATTGGGTATCGGGGCTGCTCCAGTTCCACGCCTCATTGGCAGGCATGATGATTTCAATGCCATACTCCTCTTTCAAGCGTCGGCTTCCGCCCTCTAGCTCATAAATAGTCTCAGATTCTGTCTCCGGTTCCGATACAGAAGTCTCCCACACGAGAGTGTGCTTTGATGTCAGCACCAGCAGAGTGTAACGCTGGGTATCTCCCGCAAGACAAGAATGCAAGTAGACAGCAACAGCACATACTTGGCCCGAGCAAACAGATTCATCGTCGTCGTTTGTCTTGACTTTGATGTATCCTGCAGCTTGAAGAGCTTGCTTCCGAGAGTACAGCCTTGGCTGGACTTGATTATCTGGGGATTCATCGATGCCTTGAATCGTACTCGCTGACGTAAGTAGTAGGTGGCAGCACATTACACCGGCAGTTTTTTATTTTCATAATTTCTTACCGTAATCAACCACCGAGAACATTCCTGAAACCTTCTTTCGGGACAGCAGCGATTTCAACGACGCGACCTCTCAACCACCTGAGAGCTTGAGGAGGCGTCTGTTAGCGAGCGGGCAGCCGCGCGACCCTGTAGACGTGCAGGATCGCACATGCGAGGGTAAGACGAAACTCCTAATAATTACTGGCACATTACGACGTCATTTTCAGAAATAATTTATTTTTTTCAAAAAAATAAGAGGCTATCTATATAGATACCATACATACATCATGTCGAACACACTAACTTTCGGAAAATACAAAGGTCAATCCATTGAGGATGTATTCAAGAATGATCCTGGATACTGTCGATGGATGCACAACCAACCAAGCCTTAACATTAGTGAGGATATCAAGATTTTCCTTCACTCCAAGTTTCTCAGCAACGATAATTCATATATGATGACATGGGGGAAGTATCGGGGTAAGACTCTCAAGCAGATTAGCCGAATGGATCCCGGATATATCGATTACCTACGCAAGAGCGAATTCGTGATTGAGAAGTGTCCTAAGCTACTCAAGGAGCTTAACTAAGAAAAAAATAATTTTTTTTGTTAGCTAAAATGGGGTCTACAACCTATGCGGTTGAGAATTCTAAAATTTCGCCGGTTAGTCTATCGAACGTTAGTTCCTGTTCGCTGATCACGAGGACCAACAGATTTACGCCTTGACATCCAGCGTTGGTACCCTGAATCTGAATGGCTTGAGGTACATCACGCTCAGTCAGACGACTAACGTCAGCGATAAGGACACGGTTAGTTAGCGACCACGTCTGATAGTCAAGGAGACCATTAACTAATTCAGGTGTTAGATCACCATTGATCGAAGAGATCTTAGCCAACTCATTGTGGAAGTGATGGAAGTCATAATCATGGCTAATGTCGAACACCTGAGTAGAACCAATGCGCACGTTGAAGTTGCGAATCGAACTACCTGGGTGGAGTGTCCATGGAGAACTATCGAACGGAGATTGGAATTCCTGAACAGTAGCAGAAGCGAAATTACCAGTCTGTTCAGCAAAAGGGAGTACAACTACGTATTTCGCATTCTTAACACTTGCCGATAGCTGTAGATCAAAGGAAGCGTTATGCTGAGTCGATTGCTTTCCAATACCAGCCCGCTGATAGAACCACTGAGCGTAGCAATCGTTGTAGCGAACCTTCTTAACCGGCTTAGAAATGATAGCCTGAGGATTCTCAAGATGTACAAACGGTACATACAGGCGAGCCGTAGTGAAAGGCATATACGTTCCATCGATAGTAGGTTCAAGAGCATTGACTACAGCGCCCCAAGAGATACTGAATCCGGCAGAAGCAGCAAGCACTCCAGCCATGGGATTACCACTGGAAGAGGCAGCGACCATTACAGGACATACATTGCCCGAAGCAAGGGTAGTAGAAGTTAGAGACATACCCTTTGTAGAATCTACAGCGATAGTAGAAGTTCCCTGATTGACGCGGAAACGGAGGCGAATCTGGGGATTAGCCATTAAATCAAGTTCCTTGAAGATAGGATGGAGATCGGATAGCTTGATCTTTAGCATGTAGTTCCATGTACCCATGATTGCGTTAGCAGTGGCAGCACCAGCTACAAATGCACCACGAGCAGTTTGGTTAGCAATGGTGGTAGAAGCAGCAGCTCCACCCACCGAGGGCCACGTCGAAGAGAAATCAACGCCAGCAGTAGGAGGGTTCGACAACAGACGCTTTACGAGACCGTCATTAGCAATTGTTGCTCCTCCAGCAGGAGTAGAAGTGGTGAAAGTTGAAGAAAAGGCAGCAGTGTTTGAATAGCCATCGCCGTTGAGGGAATTAGTTCCAGAGCTGTACGAGACGGACTGAGCAGCATCGGGGAACAAGAACGATTCCGCTCCATGCTTCTCTACATACTGAGGACTGTATCCAGTCCGAGCGCGAACGTTGTTCCAAAAGAGCTTGTAGTCGGCCATCGATACGATGGTCTTACCATTTAGTTCAAGACTCAGGCTATCGATGACATCCCAGTTGCCACACTTTAGAGTAGCGCAGAAGCGGTTAGCAGGTAGAGTCTGACCAGTAGCACCATTCTTCATCGATACTTTGTATGGAAGCATAATGTAGGCATCACGGAGGCTCGCAAACCCTTCTGATCTATTCAGTTGAGCTGTTGCGTCAATAGTGATGACACCATTTTGATACGATCCCTGGTTGAGATCGATAACAAACGGTACACGCTTGCCTGATGATACCTTGATCTCCGGTTCGCTCTTGAGCGAGCTCTGGTACAAATATTGGTCGGATAATTGAGATTCTATATGGGATGTAATATACTTTCTCAAAATTAATTATTATGGAGTTCATTAAACCAATCACATCTGATCATGACCTCATTGAACTTGCGAAAAAAATGAATATACATCTTGATGATATTTTTGAGTCAAGTGAGATAACAAAGCGGCTCCCAAAGAAAGGATCATATCTGATTTTGTTGAGGCAACCTAATATGGATGTAGGACATTGGACATGTGTTCATGATGGGGAGTATTTCGATAGTATGGGTGAGGCAGCCCCAACAAAGTATGGAGTCGGTAAATACAATCCAAAGCAATACCAAGGTACGTATGGTGATTATTGTGGGATATGGTGCATGCTGTGGCTCTATTCGAAACAATATCGTAAGCCAGATGTATTCAAAAATATGAAAGATTTAAATTTAACTATTCTTTAATTCAACGTATATAGCAAACATGTACCGCGAACTAACTATTTCAAGCGATATTCCTGCCCGAAAGCTTGGCAAAGCTTTCAAGACCGGTAAGCTTAGTCTTACATCAAACGAACTCAAGGGTAGCGGCTCTGTTATCCACCTTCATCCGACGTCTTATGAGAAAGCTATTAAGGCTCGTAAGGCTGGACGCGGTGTCAGACTTGACATTACCAAGCACGAAGTAAAGAAGGGATACAAGAGGGCTCAAGGAGGTTCTATTTGGTCCAAGGTGTGGGGAGGGATCAAGTCTGCTTTCAAATTCGCTAAAGATTCGGGAATCTTGAGCAAAGCCGTTGATGCTGCCGTTCCTGCGTTAGCAACGTATGCCGGTCAGCCAACGGCTGCCATCCCCGCGCGAGCTGCAATTAAGTCTCTAACAGGAATCGGTATTTACGACTCCGATAGCGACAAGGAGGGAGGACGTGTATCGATGGCTGACGTAAAGAAGGCTGCTAAGAATGCTCTTGGATATGCCAAACGGAGAGGAATCATCACTGATGCGGTCGATGCAGGAGAGAAGTTCCTACTATCAAAAGCTACCAAGCCTGAACATGAGGATCTAATCAGATCTATGCGAAAGGAGGTTCGTCGTCGTTATGGAGTAGGAGTAGCAAAGAAACGCCCAGCGAAGGGTTCGGCGGAGATGAAGGAGCGAATGGCAAAGCTACGAGCTATGCGAAAGAAGGGTAAGTCTGGAGGTTCTTTTACATTGTAAAAAAATTATCGAAGATTTATTTTTTTGGACGGATCAAGAGCATAATAGATACCGAAGTATCACGGAAAATGACCTTCTTGTCATTTTGATTGTATATGCTTAGCGTAATACTGGCACGAGATCCGTTATGACAGTTCATCCACGCATACTGACTCGGTTTGTATGAAATGACCTTTCCAATAGCGGCATCGCCTCTATCAAAAGCGCTGACAATATCGCCTGAGGCTACGTATTCGTTTTGGTAAGATCGCAACGGACGATGTAGGAACTGGTTGGATGGATCTGAGGAATGATATTAGAGAGCTGAGCACTTGCAACAGTAGCTGGAGAAGCAGGATATGACCCAAGCGTCAATCCTACTACTTTTCCAAATTCAGCATTATCGATGATCAATCGAGGGACACGAGTGGTAGTCGGCAATCCACTACCGCCCGAGGAATATAGACCTGTGGTAGGTCTTGTCCATGTATAGATAGCGTTGTAGGTGTAGGAGAGAAATCAAGCTGACAAGCGTAATAGACGCTGTTAGCACTCATTTTGAGGTAGAATGTATTATTCCCAGACGGATCGATGAGATAGGCCCCAGCATTGACAAGAGCCGTCTGAATGCTTCGATTGATATCGTCGTAGGAGTAGATTCCATCAGGAAGGCTTAGATTGATTGTCGATGTAGTTGCAGCGGTAGGTACTTCGATTTTGAAGGTTGTGTTCTGAAATTGCATCGAATCAATGTTATACTCGGAGTTATACATTGAAATCGATTGAATAGCACATACTACATCGCGGAAGTCAGCGGCCGATCCGGGAAAAGAGTATTTCCAGGTTGAGTTGGTTCCATCCTGTACCAGATTGGTGCTATCGAGTTTGATAAAGCTGGACATATTGTTTTATATGAATGGAAGCATATTTTTTTATAAAATTAGTCCTCAATTCGAATCACTCTATCAAAGTTATACCTGATCTGACCCTTGACGGAATCTATGAAGAGCATTTGCCCCTTTCGCTCCGTAGCCTTGTTGTAGAAATAGACGATTGAACGATCATCTACTCCCTTGATATTGAAATCTTTCACAACCATCTGGAGATCACGCTTCGAATTCGCCTTTA